TTGTAGATAGTCTTGATAGCCGACTCCAAATCTTTCCAGAGCGCTTCGTGAAGGCTGTTTATTTTGAAGATTCCTGATGTACGACAAATGGGGCGTGGAGTCATAGTGTTTCTTGTTCGAAACTGCAGCCTGCGTCAGGCTCGGGTATTCGGAGCCAGACACGTTCGAATCAAACGACTCGTCTGGTTCCACTCCCGGGATGGGCCCAACATCGCACAGAAGTATCCAGGGAGGTGTACGAAGACACATAAACCGAGCAATCAGAGCCTGATGTCCCTTGGATAAGACGGGATAACCCTTCTGGTTTTTGATGAAAGAGTTCGCGTCAATAGTAAGCATGTGGACTGGCTCAGAATGCCACCGAGATTGGACCGACATAGGCGGAAGGAATTTCGGTAAGGAAAGAGCTAAAAATAGTGTCTTAGTAGCAATATATCGAGGCCGAGGAGAGAATCAAACAAGCAAAATAGAGGTATACACGGGACATCCTTACCTATGAAAAGTCTCGAATGATATCTACAGATTCTTCTGATGGTGTCCCAGGCGTCCCATGTGCCGAAAGGGTCCACGCTCGGGGATGTTGCTCCCGGGAAGCCTTCAAGAAATTCAGCGCGGGGTTTCAAGTCGCCCATCTCATCGACTTCCAGGTCCGGGTTGTCAACGGTCTGCAACCAGATATGGAACTGGATGTAAGGACCAAGATTGATTGCATCCTGGATTGCTCGAGCATAGTACACCACGCCTTCCGAGTGCATGCTCCCATGATGCAATTTTGGCCCAGGAACCAAAAGGTATCCAATTCCGCAAAAGGCTGCATAGGCCACTTCCAACATCAACACTTGGCGAGAAATGTCCGCAACCAACGGATCGGGAGAACACAAATCAATCCAAGAGCTAGTAGCGCCCACCAATTGGGACATCGCATCATTCGGAGTCAAATGAGTATCTGACGGCCCCAGAGGCGGAATGACCAGGGGCTGTGTGTTCGCCGTGTTTCCCAGAGTCCCATGAGCATCAGGAGTCACCGCCTGTGTGTTGGACAGATGAGAGGAGAGCAAGCCTAGAACCCGGGATTGGAAGTGGGAGGTAGTTATCGGGGTCGTAAGCATATCATACTAAAAGAAGAGCCGTTAGCATTTTAATAGCGCAACAATTGGGCGCAGAGCGACTCATACACTACTCTCATGAGCTGCCTGCACTACCTGAGTAGTAATCGTTTCTGTGCGCTTGCTTTCATGCTGTCCAACGCAGAAGCTGATCCCCACATCGTCAGGGTTGTAGTCCATCTTGTAAACACGACAAGCGGCTTCTCAGTATGATCAAGCGAGGAGATGAGATCAAACAATCCCCTTCTATACAGTGAAATCCAAAGAAGTATGACCGCCGGAGCTATTTGGACACAATTTTCCAAACAGATGAAGGGCGGACCGAGAACTCTGGAAATTAATCAGAGCGGTTAGTTAGAGTGGGCTGTTGCTGACACGGATGATCTGCGTGCAGAATTAGTCCCGGGTAGGTAGGCAATTGAAAACAATGGAATGATCAACCCAATTACTGGCTCCCACACATTATTCGATAGAGACCATCCGAGGAGACAGAACGGGGAGAGGAAAAAGGATACAGGGAGCAGGAAGCTGTAGGACGACGGAACAGCGGCCCCCTCACTCGTCCGATGAAACCGTTTCGAAGGTAGCGTCCCTTGCGCTTTTCCGTGGGGTTTGGGCCGGCAGAATCCAGCGGGCGGTGAGGAGTAGTGGCAGCAACTGTGGCGATAGGCGGCCGACCTGCCATATCGGGAACAGCTTTTTTTTTTCTTCGCTCACCGTTGTCTGCGGAGAAACACCCTCGTCCCGAACAACCCTCACACTCACCTCTCCCTTCCCTTCCCTTCCTTTCCCTCCCTGGCAAAACGTCATGGTTGACCGACGTTCAGACTCTGAGGACGGCTCGCGTGCTAAGCGTCAGAAAATGGACAAGACCGGCACGGATCCCAAGGACAATCCGTACCTGGCTCACATGTATGCGGACTCGTCCTCCAACGGTGGCTCTCACTCATGGACCGATGGCACTTTAGACAAGGACTCCCCTTTCGCCAAGGTGACGAGACATCAGACGACCGCTGCTCAGGCAAAGAAGATTGAGGATGGCGATTTCAACCCTTTCAACAACCGACCCTTCAGCAGCAAGTACTTGTCGATCTTGAAGACCCGTCGCGATCTCCCCGTTCATGCGCAGAGGTAAGTGTCTCGAAGTTCTTCACCCGCCACTCCGATCACTGATCATGTTCCTTGTACAGAGATGAATTCTTGCGGCTGTATCAGCAATCCCAAATCTTGGTCTTCGTCGGTGAAACCGGTTCCGGAAAGACCACCCAGATCCCTCAGTTCGTTCTCTTCGACGATTTGCCACAGTCGCAGCGCAAAATGGTCGCCTGTACCCAGCCTCGTCGTGTTGCCGCGATGTCCGTCGCCCAGCGTGTGGCTGCCGAAATGGATGTCACCCTCGGCGAGGAAGTGGGTTACAGTATTCGTTTCGAAGACATGACCGGCCCCAAAACGGTCCTCAAGTACATGACCGATGGTATGCTTCTGCGGGAAGCCATGAACGATCACAACCTCAACCGATACAGCACAATCATTCTTGACGAAGCTCACGAAAGAACCATGGCGACGGATGTTTTGATGGGACTTCTCAAGGAAGTTGTAGCGCGCCGCCCGGACTTGAAGATCATTATCATGTCTGCCACTTTGGATGCGCAGAAGTTCCAGCGCTATTTCAACGATGCGCCTCTGCTTGCAGTTCCCGGTCGTACCCACCCGGTGGAAATCTTCTACACCCCCGAGCCCGAACAAGATTACGTGGAGGCTGCCGTCCGGACAGTCCTTCAAATCCACGCCACTGAGCCAGAAGGTGACATCCTTCTGTTCTTGACCGGTGAAGAAGAGATTGAGGATGCTGCGCGCAAAATTTCTCTAGAAGTAGACGAAATGATGAGAGAAGTCGATGCTGGACCTTTGAAGACCTACCCTCTGTACGGCAGTCTCCCGCCGCACATGCAACAGCGCATCTTCGACCAAGCCCCTGGACCCCGTCGTCCCGGAGGTCGCCCCGGCCGCAAATGTATCGTCTCGACCAACATTGCCGAAACTTCGCTGACCATCGATGGTATCGTCTATGTCGTCGACCCCGGTTTCTCCAAGCAGAAGATCTACAACCCCCGGATTCGTGTCGAATCTCTCCTGGTGTCTCCCATCTCCAAGGCGTCTGCACAGCAACGTGCCGGTCGTGCCGGTCGTACGCGCCCCGGAAAATGCTTCCGCCTGTACACCGAAGGTGCTTTCAAGAAGGAGTTGATCGACCAGACTTATCCCGAAATTTTGCGTTCCAACCTTTCGTCGACCGTCCTGGAGTTGAAAAAGCTCGGTATCGATGACTTGGTCCACTTTGATCTGATGGACCCTCCGGCTCCCGAGACGCTTATGCGAGCTTTGGAAGAACTGAACTACCTGGCGTGTCTCGACGACGATGGAAACCTGACCCAGCTAGGACGCCTGGCATCCGAGTTCCCTCTGGACCCTGCCCTCGCCGTCATGCTGATCAGCTCGCCCGAATTCTACTGCTCCAACGAGATTCTCTCCATCACTGCCCTGCTTTCCGTCCCACAGGTGTTCGTGAGACCGGCTTCTCAGCGGAAACGGGCCGACGAAATGAAGAACCTCTTCGCCCACCCCGATGGCGACCATCTGTCTCTCCTCAACGTCTACCACGCTTTCAAGAGCCCGGATGCGCAGGAAAACCTGAAACAGTGGTGCCACGACCACTTCCTGTCCCTGCGTTCCCTCCAGTCGGCGGATAACGTGCGCATGCAACTCCTGCGGATCATGGAACGCGAGGAACTCGAGATGGTGTCAACTCCTTTCGAAGACAAGAAGTACTACGAGAACATCCGGCGCGCACTTTGCGCTGGATTCTTCATGCAGGTCGCCAGAAAGGAGGCTCAGGGCAAGAACATGTACACCACCATCAAAGACCACCAGAATGTTCTTCTCCACCCCTCCACCGTGCTGGGCCACGAGGCCGAATGGGTCCTGTACAACGAATTCGTCCTCACTACCAAGAACTATATCAGAACTGTCACCGCCGTCAAACCTGAATGGCTCATTGTAAGTCCTGACTTCCCCTTCCCAACTGATATCAACCTTCCATTAGACCGCATCCTATTAACCTATTTATTCTGTTCGCTTTCTTCTAGGACATTGCCCCAACATATTACGATATCAACTCTTTCCCCAAGGGCGACATTCGCTCCTCTTTGCTTCGTGCCGCGGAGAGGTTGACTCGAAAGGAGAAAATGCGTTCTGATTCCTCGAGGAGACGATAGATTTTTTATTCCCTTTTGTTTTAAATTTAATGAATGCATAGATTTTGTTTTATCCTTTTATATAAATATATTTCACGCTGTTCCCGGATTTGAACACTTCTACCTTTTTTGAAGGTTGAGATGAAAATACCATATTTGAGTGGTCTTTTTTCCCTCCCTTTGACCCGTTTGTTCCGTTCTGTGCCGCCGGCGGAGTGTTGTAGATCTGGCAAATTTTCATTCCTTGGTAGAATTCACTTCAGGATGATCAGATGTGGCGCATACATAGCATGAGGTATAGTATATTTTCAATCAACGGGAAAGGGTCTTTCTATCATACTATTCTTCAAGTCAAAAGACAAATTAGAAGAGAGGAATGTTTTCTAGAGCATCGTAGAAGTGTATAGTACCAGGTTTGATTTCATAATGATAATGTACAGTTCGGTCCAGTATATTAACAATGCAGAAAGAAAGTGATAATCGATCGATGATAAAGCCAATATAAACTCCCAGTCACGCCTTCCAATGCTTCTTCTTTCTTTATACGACAAATACATTTCATGCGCTCCTCCATGATCAAAAGCGCCGCCCGATAGACGATGGACGCGTCATGGCGGGAAACTTGCAAACGAGTCCAGTTCTATGGGTTCCAATATGGGTTCCGATATGGCTTTCGATTTGGGTTCCGAGATGGGCTTCGATATGGTTTCCCAAATGATTTTCGATATGATTGCCCAGATGATTTTCGATTGACAGCCATGTGGGCTGGCGGTTCGGTGGGGTCGAGTTCTGTTGTCGAGAGCTGGGCCTTCAGCTCTCCCATATCAGTTGGAGGGGAGACTTGTTCAGGTGCAGCCGTTGGGGTGTTGGATGTGGTTTGGGTCAGTTCGAAGACCATTTGTTTCAACTGAGAGACTTCATCTTTGAGGCTAGAGATCTCCCGTTGGTGCGCCTCCGCGATGTCATTAGAATAAGATGATGTTTGGTCATCCACATTAGGTGATTGTGAGATTTGTAGGTTCTCTAGCTGAGCAATCAAATTACCTGCCTGTTTGAACTCTGTCGGGGCACCAGAGACCATACTTGAGAGCACTTGCTGAGAATAGGTATCCATCAGCTTCATCCACCGACGTGCAGGTTCGGCATCAGGGCCGAGATCGTTCAGCTTGTCAGAAGCAGCGTTGACGAAGGCGTAACATTTTTCCCAGATAGGCTTTTGCGACATATCTGATGATGAGCTGTCCCTTGCTGTTTCCCATCGTTTATAATCGAGGTCAGCGGGAAAGATCAAGTCTATTTGCTTCATGGCAGACTCCCAGGCAAATCCACTGTTCACGGCAGTAACGATAAGAGCCTCGGACAAGTCATGTGCATTGCAGTTATCGCAGGCGCGCACCATGAGCGTGATGAGACGCTCGAGTTCAACTTCCGGGTGTTCGGTGGAAGATGCCATGAAAGCCAATGCTCTTTTCATGATCTGTAGGCAAGCTCGCCAATCCCTCTGGTTGCCATAATACTTGAGGTAGGCATTTAGAGTGGGGAAACTGTCCATATACCCGATAGATCTGGCATATGAAAGATACGCATTGGCTCGGTCAGGCTGCCCAAAGTTTAGGCATCCGAGGATCAGTGTGGAATAAACAACAGCATTGGCAGAACTTGACGGGGGAATTGTAATATCAATATTATTGACCCTTTTTGGTTTAAAGAAACCCAGTTTTCCTATATCGACCGGGAAGTTCTTTCCACTGAGCATGTCCAGGAACGTATCCCAACCTCTCAGGTTCTTGGTTCTGTAGTTGTGAGTGAGTATGGCGAGAATCAAAGAAGAGTTTAGTGGGAACATGTTAGGCAATATTGCCTTCAGAACCAGTTCGGCCAAGTCAGTTTGGCGAGTCCTGGTGAATGCCAAGAGCATATACTTCAGTCCCACTACTCGATCTGGATCAGGAGAGTTGGCTAGACTGTGCGCCAGCTTGATAAGAAGCTCATCAAGGGATGCATCCCCGCACAAATAGTCCTCAACATCGGTTCGAATTTGTCGGTCCACCTCAAATGATCGATACTTGTCAGCCTCGACATTGCAGCCCGGGACAATATCTTCGGGGTCGACTTGTTTTCTCGTCTTAAGTTTCATCATCTTGCGCCTAAGTTTATTCAGTTCGTAGAGAAGTTGTTGGGTGCGCAGTCGAGGCTGTGATGGATCAGTTTCGTACTGAGCTCGAAGACCCAGATAGTCGTGGGCGATTGTAGGGCGCAACAGGAACCGGATTGCTAGCTGTTTCAAAGCGACAACACGTATGGCCTTCATGCGGGCTTTATCCTTTACAAGCCACAATGGTATCGTATTCTTCTCAAAAGCAAACCCTCGTTCGTCTTGCGCCAATCTTGAAAGTAAAGGGTCTCTGAATGTATCCGCATCGTGAACCGCGTCTGGGGTCACATATACATCATCTGGGGTATCGTCGTCAAGATGCCTATTTAAGGACTCGCGTGGGATAATGACATTCCAGGATCCTTCAGATGACAATTCCGAGAACAATTTCGAGTTTTCCCTGAGTAACTCCGGACTGAGGCCAGCATCCACTTCCGATTCTTTATTGTGCTTCTCTTTTGAGTTTTTCGTGACCGTCTGAGAGTGATAGGAGCGAAGCGAGAGTTGCCCTGGGCGTCTTGAGAATATCTCGGAGGTCATCTGAAAGGGACGATGCTGCCGTGCGTGAAACGTCGCGTTGAAGAGCCTGGGTTTTTGCCGTGATGCGAGAGCTTCTAGTAGTCGCCGTTCCTCATCCACCAGCTCGTTGACCTCCTCCTTCACCGCCGCTATTTTTTCCTTCCATTCCAGACGGCGTTGGTCCTTGGCTTGAGCATCCGCCAAAGCGGCAGCGGCAAAGATGCTGGTGTACAACGCTGTAACCGAGTTTCCGATCCGCAGACGACGTTTGCTGGCGGCCGATGCTGTCCGAGATGCCAATCCCCCAGAGCTGGTGCTCAGGCAAGAGACGCATCCACAGGTCGACTGCGCCTGGGGGGCGCGGGACCAAAAGCGTAGCATTATCGGGACATCTGTCTTCGTGAAGATCCGAACAATAAACGAAATTGGTTGTCGGACTCCGAGAACGCCCCTAGAAGGGTCAATGGCCTGTGCCAAGTGTTGTGCGCGAAAGTTTTGAGGCAGGAGGGGACAATGGCCAGGAACGGATGAGAATCATCGGCGTCGGCAAAAGTCGTAAGACTCCCGCGGTGCTGTGCAAACACTGCAAACGGCTGCGGCCCCAGCTTATCTCCAGTCTAGTCTACTACAGAGGACTAACTATCGGAAGCTGCCCCCATGTCACCACTTGGTTAGTCCTTGCTGACATCTGTTTACACGTTTTCTCTTCTTCCTTCGATAATTTGCTCTTCTTCTGGCCTCGTTGAATTGCTCTTTTTTTTTAATCTGAGTTAATCATGCTTGTTCGCTCGGTCACCCTCATTAGCGCGTTGCTTGCCCTCGGTGGCAGCTTCGCAAATGCCCACGGGTCTCACTCGAATGACCAGCCTCCTTCCTCGGACTGGGCGACGCGACACATGCAGGGTATGGGCACCTTCCGTACTCATTAAACTATATGCGACAGCGTCGGAGCAGCGCAAGACCATGCTAATATGACCGAACCCCCAGAGGAGCACCACGTTGATAATTTCGATGCGTCGTCCTTTTTCATCCTCCACGATTACGACAGCTCCGGAGTTTGGACGGCGGAGGAAGTTCGCAAAACATACGGTCTCGACGACGAATCGAACGCGGGTGTAAGCGAAGAGCGCAAGCAACAGGCCATCCGGGAGGTGTTCGGTCTCTTTGATCCCACCAACACCGGTGTCATCAGCTCAGACAACTGGATGCGCCTCATCTCGGAGGGTACCCGGCTGCCCGATTTTGGATTCGGGCCGGGCCACCACGGCGATATCGAGTATGAATATGAAATCCATCACTTCGAGAAGTACCACGGAGACGATGCGACGGTGGACGAGCTCACGCACCCGGAGGATATTGAGCACTTCCAGCGTCATGACGAGGAGGATCTGGCTGCGGAGAAGCTCGAGAAACTGGAGAGCATGGCGATTGTCGAGGCAAACATCCCGCGGAAGTTCCTTAAAGCGACTTAAACTGGCGTTTTTGTTTCTGTTGGTGTATATATGTTCTGCTGGCTTCCGTTGATCTTCCATTCGTTGACCTTCTGTCCGACATGATGACACGTGTGATCTATGTACATTAGGAACGTATTGATGCGATATGATTATTCAATGTTTTTCCGCTGGGAAAGGTGTACCCAAGGCACATTGCCCTCATACTGATCTTTGCAAGTTAGGTTCGGAGGATGGCAACCGCATGTCAAAGACACAATGCATGACTCCCGGTGCATAGGTCTTGACTTGTTCGACATGTCGGCATTCCACAGCTACCTCGGGGATATCAAGCACCTGCGCTCGCAACATCCCCAGCTCCCTGCTAATCTCTTGGCTTTTCTCTTCGATTTGCTGGATATCCACGTTCTCGTGTACATGGACCCAGCCATCTTTCCGACAGTCAATCATTTTGCAGGCGTTTCTCCAAGCCGCAGACGACGAGGGGAGGAGACCGAGATTCACATGTCGAATGCTGTTCCAAGACTGTCGAGCACTCAAGAGCTCTTTAGTTCTCATCAGAATCTCAGCCGCGAACTTGTTATCACCATAAAAGATGACCACTTTATCCGAGTCCCGAAGATTCTCAACCAAGTCGGGGATGGGTTCGCTCACATGTCCATCCTCTTGAACTCGCACTACCTTGCATCCCCATCCATTCTCGATGCAACCCCTTCGCAGGCCTTCTACCGACCACCCATTAATCTCCCATCCCCACACCCGCTTGACTCCTCGTTTCAGATACGAGAAAACGAAATACCCAATGCCCGCATACATATCCACCACACTTATATCTCCAATGGCATCATCTCTCAACGAGCTCGCATCGAGACCCTCAAACGCTGCTCCATGGCCCAATATCCGAGCCTTCTCCGTGATATTCCCTCGAGAGAACATCGTGTAAAGCGGCGCCCAGATCTGAACGATCCCATGGTTCTGCACCGTCCGCACCCAGAATGCCTGTCGTAGATCATCCTCACTGGGCTGTCCCGTCTCGTCGTTCCCTGAGGGGAGAGCCCCGAAGTCTCCGTAAAGAGGAACCAAGCCCACGGGACTTCTCATCTTATTCTCGTGTCCTTGCACATCTGTTAACGCAATCGGCGCGTTGATCGCGACGTGCGTCACCCCCAGACGACTGAATGCTTTCGCTATCGATGCGTACAGGACCTGTCTTTCCTCGTCGCTGAGCGATTGGTAAAATGCGCTCCAGGCTGGGGGCGTGTTCAGCGCATTGACAGGTAAAAGCAACATGGGCTCGTAGATAGTATATCGTTTAGGTAGCGTGGGTAGTAACGCCTCTAGGGAAATGCCGTAGCCTGATAGTACGGACGGGGATACATGGGTTGTCAAGTAGTCGTGGATTCCTTTTTGGAGTGGATTCATGTTCTTGGGTGGTCGTTTGCCTGGGTATTGCTCACTTCTGGGCTTTTTGGAAGTAGGATTCGAGCTTGCGTCCTGATTTGAGCTCATTGTATCCATTGCGCTGGTTGTGCTTGTTGTTCAGGGCTCGGATGATGCTGGATCAGACGGATATAGAAGAAGCAGTCGATAAGTGCGCTAGGCGAGCGTTACTCTGAACCGATGATCGATCATGAATGTATTAGATTCGTTGTCTCGGGAGTTTTCAGATCTCGTGGGTCTCCGCTGATTATCTCGGGGTTTAGGTGCGGTTATTCATATTTATCCACTTCCCACCGTCCACCAAGGTATCGCGTCATGTGACCAATACTGTGCTGGATGAAATTAATGAACATACCACAGCAAACATTACGGACAGGGTGAATGCATCTAATCCTAGGATGGGTTTGCGGATACTACAAGCCTACGGAATCCAAGAGATGCTGCTAATAATCAGTTGAGATCGGTAGATCGTAAGACTGGAGAATAAGTAAGCTATTATTATCGTTTGAGATCTGGATGGGGTTGAGAAGGGTCTTCGAAGAAATTGTTAAAACAGCCGACACCAGATAAAGTGTGTGAGGGACGCCGCAGAAGGAAAAGCAAGAAAGAGGACCGTCGCTGGCAGCAATAAATATATAGAAGTGTTGAGATATATCATAACGAGCGTAAGCGCTAAATGAACAGCATTTAGACAGATGTTCAATAGTCCGTGACAGAATACCCAAGCCTGTCGTTGGAATCGAGTACCCTGTCATTTTTGGTTAGTATTTTGGTACGGAACACGAGTAGAAAAGAGAACTCACGAGTATTGTTTTGTCAGGGTACCCTCGCCTCCCTTGGAAAGATCAATGCTGAAAACGTAAAAGTTGCCATCGCTAGTCACTACCATGACCTGAGGCATGTTGCTACTCATGGCAACAACGCTTCTGAGCGGACCAGCGGTTCCGTTCGCCCCGGACCCTTGATTCGATTTGGGGAGCTTGATCCAGGCGAAATCCCGCGCCGGTTCCCACATTTCACTCACCCCCTTGGGGAGATAGCCTCCAACCCTAGCAGCAAATGAACTGCCAACATTTTGTGAAGTTCGACGGATCATCCCCATGAGAGTCCCGTTGTGCTTCCTAGAGGGCATATCCGAGGACTCACCATCTCCAGGCAGGTCGTCAGCATCCGGAGAATTGCCAAGCGAGCTTTGGCTCAGAGCCCTTTCCCGACCGGTAGGGGAGGATGATCCAGGTGAGCCTTCCGAACTCTGGTTTTGGTGACTCAGTTTAAACAAGTGTATCGTTTCCGTCGATGAAGACACGCATAGGAGAGTAGACGTTGTGTTGAAAGACATGCTGTAAATGCGAGAAGGTATCGAGCCTCGTCGGAATTGATAGAGCTTGTGACCGTCCGGAACGGAAAAGACTCGAATGATGGTTCCCTTGTCCGACGCCGTAGCGATAAGGGTGCCGTCGCCGTTCATCGAGATACACGCCAGCGGTGACCGATGTGCTTCAACCACATTGATGGCTTCCAACTTCACAGTATCAAAGATCATGACTTCGCCGCTTGTCGGAGAGACGTGTGTAGTTCCGGGAGGAGCATGGGACGGAGGGCTGAACGATGCAGTCGGTGCTTTTTGAGGAAGCGGGTATGCGAGATAGCAGTTGTCGGAGGACGGAGAAAGGGCACAGATCGCTACTGAATGTTAGATTTCGGAGAAGACGGAATTATCTTGGGTCTTTCCCAAAGCAAGTATGAAAAGCTTACCGTTGGGGTTTGGCGACGTTTCAATAGCATATAGTAGCTTCATGGTCTGGATGTCATAAAGGTAGATCTGATCCTCCAAAACAATCACAAGTCGCTTGCGGTTTAGCTTGACTGCTAGGACGGTGGTTGGGAACGTCAACTCGCATATCGTAGATTGGCGCTATATGGACCGCAGAGATGGAAAATAGGTCAGCATGTATTGGACGATGAAGCGAAGTAACATAGTTCCTTTTGTTGCGTTGCACATAAGGGTACGCAGGGATGTTGGACGAACCTTGGTGTTAGTGATCTGGAGGCGACGCGGCGACAATATGAGCGCAACAAGAGACGTCGAGAAAAGCATCTCTATAATCGCGATGTTCCCTTCCTTCGTTTCATAGCTTTTGGCGAACGGTTCCGTCGTGAAGATTCGAAAGCCTTTCGCGGTTGCTAGAAGATGTCAGCCAGACGTACACAACCCAAGTGTGTCGACCAAGGGTTGTTCTTACCTACAGCCAGATAGCTGTAGTCCTGGTTGAAAGTGACGTAGTTCATTGCCATTTTGTCTGCAGTAGATCACTTGGATCTATGATGCTGTTCAAAGGGCCCTGTTCCTCCAAGCACCCCTTAGCAACCTTGAGGAGCTCCGTGGTGCTATTTTTATCGAAGACGAGACGGTATGGTTTGGGTGGGAGAAAAATAAAGGAGATTCCCTCGATAGGTCTAACAGAGGATACCGAAAATGAATAGTTAGACGCCTCGCGGGAAACCCCGAGTTGAATAAGCTAGCAGTGGAGGGGTCAAACAGGACCCTATCACAGGACCGCTTTCGTCACCAAGAGCCCCCTACAGTGCATAACCCAGCGCCCAGAGAAACGAGTGTCAATCCTGACGAATAGATATCACATGCAGTACATGCGCATAGGCGACGATAGGACGAAAGAGGCCGAGGGGAGTGGCTAAAGGAAGCGGAGCATCTGGGGGATCGCTGAACCGCAGTTCGTTGCTGTTGCCCGGTCGCCGGCAGGCGCGACAAGCGAGACCGGGCGCTTGGGCCACACCTTGATTCGGTAGGGGAAAAATTAATTAAGACTCCGGACTATTCTGGTCTGCGTCCTGCGCTCCAATACCCCGCGGAACCCCCCCCCCCCCGACTCTCAGAACACAAACCAGACTCCGCCATGGGCTCTGCAAAGAAACCAGCCATGGCTGGTGTCAATTCCAAGGCGGAAAAGGAAGCGGACTTGGTGATGGGGGTAAGTTGTCAATGATGTGGGCTAATGCCATTGCGCGCATAGTTTCGGTGCTAACCACGTGCCTGGCTTTTCTGGCGTCGACATTGATAGACGAACAATAGCAGTATTGTATCTAAACGAAGCGTCGAGATGTCCTACTATCCCAAGCCGCATTTCTTCCGGTATTTCGTTAAGAAGCCCCAGAGGCGGTCGCCTTTGATCAACCGTGGTTATTGGCTTCGTATGCACGCCATGGCAGAGACTGTACGACAATTTATGAGAGAACCCTCGGATAGACCCAAATTTGTCTTGAATCTTGGATGTGGATTGTGAGTCGTAGTCTGATCTCCAAACAGTGGAGATACAACAAGTACTAGACCGCCTGCTAAGTTGGAATACCGTAGTGATCCCCTGCCCTTCATGCTTCTCAGCGCCGACAAATCGTTGTGTAAAGATACAACATTCGTGGATATCGATTATGAGAAACTCATGATCAATAAGAAAACAGCTCTTCGACAAACAGGCGAGATTACGGAGCTCCTTGAGGGTGTAGAGTTTCTACCAGATGATAGCGATATACAGATTCGCAGCAAAGACTACATCGCAATAGGCTGTGATTTGAAGAATCTCACTAAACTGGACCGTGTTCTTAAGGCCCAAATACTGCCCTCCGAATGTTCGGTCCTTTTTCTCGCCGAGGTTTCGTTAACATACATGGATGTTAAATCCGCGAATGCAGTGGTCAATTGGGCTTCGAAATTAAGCGATGGTAAGAACTGCCCCTTCCCCGTATGATGCATGTTCATACTAGAGAGATTGCTAACCGACATGATGAAGACTGCCAGTTTTGCATTTTGGAGCAGTTCTTCCCCGATGGACCCGACCACCCGTTCGCGTCAACCATGATGCAACATTTCAAGAAACTTGGGGCGCCGCTTTACTCTATTAACGAATATCCATCACTGGGCGAACAGGAGCAGCGTTTCAAGAGCGCTGGTTGGCTGCGAGCACATGCGAGAACTCTCTGGGATTTGTGGTCGGACGACACATTCGTAGATAGCTCCCTGCGGATGTCGTTGGATGCAGTAGAACCATTCGACGAGTGGGAGGAGTTTGCACTGTTCGCATCCCACTATTTCCTTCTCCGTGCTTCTACGAAGCAGCGAGAGACGAATCAAAGCTCGGAAGGGAAACCGGCAACACAGGTCAGCCTGTCTAGCCAGTATAAGCTTGTTCCCAATTGTCCCACCGGGGCAGGTCAACGGAGATTCGGGGCTTTGATACCGGATAGCGGCTCCTCTGTTGGCCATCACTCCGGATTGGGCCGTCAAACGCGACTGGCAACAACTGATTTATACACCAATTCGAAGGAGATTTCCAGTCCCCAGAAGCCCTTCCCTCCTCGAGACGTCTCCGCAAGGATGTGTCACACTGCGACTGGTCTGAGCAATGGGGACTGCTTGATTGTTGGGGGTCGAATGTCACCCGCGAAGAGTCTCGAGGATTGTTGGTTTAGGCAAGGGAGCCAATGGCGCCAAGTCCAAAGCTTGCCGTCGGGCCGATTCAGACACAGTGCCGTCAAGGTCAGCCTGGAGTCTGACTATGCCCTCGTTTATGGTGGCAAGAGCAGCGACGGCACGGTGTTGAATGACTGGCTGCTTTGGAGGAATAACGGAGAGGGGTGGAAAACGATCGATTGCAAGGAATCCTGCCTAAAACCACGATTTGGGGCAAGTCTGGGAGGCATGGATAACTGTTCAGGTGTTCTCTTTGGCGGAATAGGACAAGATGGAACTGTGCTGCAGGACTTTTGGACCTGGCAGCTGCGTGAGCGAAGCGATGGATCCCTCTCTTTGGAGCTCAACGACCAGACCAAGGTCCTCCAAGAAACCTCGCCTTTGTTCAAGTACATCCATCGGTTTGGGGCCACGGTCAACACAACTCCATGGGGCCTATTAATCGTCGGTGGTATAATTCCAGAACAAACAGTCCCACTTGACATGGAAATCATGCTTCTTGACCTAACGCAGGTGGAAAACTTTCTTGACGGTCGACCATCCTGGACTTCCAGTGTCCTGTCAGCGATAGGGCTTGGGACCGGATTTGAGGGACCGCGACCTCTCCTAACAGGCCATGTATCATATGCTGCTGGTCCCAGCGAAGTTGTTATTCTAGGAGGTGGAGCAGTGTGCTTTTCGTTTGGAACATTTTGGACGGAGGGGACTTGGAGCTGGAAGGCCATAGATTCGCCAAGCAAGAACGAATGGACGATGGTCCCCGAAATCATCCAATCCAACCAGACCGCACCACCTATCGCTCAACCTTGTGGCTCTCCAAATGGCAAATACAAGTCCGCGGGAAACATCACGGCGATTCCTCGCGTCCGAGTGCAAAATGCCGCACAATTCAAACAGATACTGGCTGACAGCAAACCCGTCATCATCGAAGGATCTGATATTGGGCCATGCACTGATCTTTGGACCCAAGAATACTTGACAAATGCCGTGGGTAAGGACCGTGAAGTAAGTCAAACCAATCGCCCCGGGGCTATGGCGCCGTGACTTGCGTGTTAAAAGTGTTTTGTCAGGTGGTGGTCCATGAAGCCCAGTCCGAGAATATGAGCTTTCAGACCAAGAACTTTGCCTACACAACAAAGTCATTCGGCACGTTTCTGGATGAGGTGCATGCTGGTGGTCGCCAGTATCTTCGAAGCATCTCTGCCGAGCAACCAACAAAGGTCCCTGCCAATCTTGCGACTGATTTCCCAATTTTGAAAAACGATTTCCACCTGCCGGAGGCACTCGCCGTGGTTACGGAGAATGCCCACAGCTCTCCTCTGAGGATCTCGGGGCCTGTCACTCTGTGGCTCCATTATGACGTGAGTTATAAAAATGGAAAAGACAACGCAGCGTGAGGAGTATTGACGCCAGAATAGGTGATGGCCAATGTTCTATGCCAAGTACGTGGTGAGAAACGATTGATTCTTTTCCCGCCACAGGATGTGCAACATTTATCCGTTCCAGCTGGTGCCTCGAGCTCAACTGTCAACATTTTCCAAAACTCGGAAGATGGGGCAATTGCATCAATTCCACACACCTCGCCACACGAGGCAAGGCTGGGCTGCGGCGACATCCTTTTCCTCCCTCCACTGTGGCTTCATACAGCATCACCGACTGGCCAAGTCAGCGTCGCCGTGAACGTTTTCTTCCGAAATCTCTCGAAGGGTTATGCTGCTGGACGGGATGTCTACGGGAATCGTGACGTGCAGGCCTATGAGAAAGCAAGAGCCGACCTCCAAAAGATGGAAAGGTCTTTCGAGGGACTCCCGACAGATATGGCACGGTTCTACCTTCTCAGACTCGCACAGGAATTGAAAGAAATTGCCGAGAAATAACCGAATCCGAGTTCCTGCAGGATTGGTGCGATGCATGTCGAGCTTGCAAGAGTCTGTCGTCAGCCATCAATTTCGCGAAGTATGATTTAAGGTGGCGCATGTCCAGTGTGAATTCAAGCAGTTGCCAGGTAGTCAGAAACCCGGGCAGGAAAGTGGGCTTGTCTGACCAGCGCACGATGATCATCTGGGCTATGCAAGTAGATTGCATGCATAGTGAAGCCCGACCACTTTGAAACATCCACTATTGTGGGCTACTCAAAGCCCTTCAAGCGAAAAAAAAGGGGGGAACAGCAAAACATTCCCTCACACACATACTCCGTATAGCGCAGAACAAATCCCAAAATAAAATAAAATAAAAAATAAGTTGGCCAGTTGGGAGAAATATGCGGGAAGAAGCTGCCAACCCACCGATTTTCTCAGAGGACGACACAATGATGAACACGTTTCGCAGCAAACTGTTAACCGAGTTGTTGACGATCGAATATGAGGTCTAATATGAGCCACGGAAGCTCTTGACTCAGTCCTATGTTATCAGTACAACATTGAAGGGGTCGGCAAAATGAGCCCTTGTTTACCCCTTCGGGCGTATAGTACACAGTGTACAGTACTACTTAAGTTAGAACGCCACTGGAGTAACCGGCTATACAATAATTGACTTCCGGCGGAGAACGCTGTGGCCGCCGATCCGGGGTTCGGGCCAAGGGTGCAACCATCATTCACATTCAAATAGGAAGGGATCGTGCCCCCACCTCTATTGGCATTGTCAATGGGTATCAAAAATCACCGCATACAACGGATATGTGGCCTTACTCGCAGATCAGGCGTTGGAAAACAGTAGAAACCAAGGGAAGAGAAGTTGGTTGTTTATAGACGAAAGACTGACAGGGTCAGCGACACTTTTACTTAAGTACAGTACGGAGTAGTAAGGAGATAACTACCTAGCTAGGATTATTCTTGATGTCTACCTATCTGGGAAGGAACAGAGGTGGGACGATTACCTGATCGAATTGTTATAGTAATTAATTAACTAGTTAGCGGCTCGGGATTCCAACAATTCCAGCACGGCGTGGTTCGATCAATCCATGTCATCATCATTCCAGTGGCGGTTCCAAGGGACCGGCCGACGCATGACTCGAAGGAACCATGGAGCCGTGCCATCAACCGTTGCCGTCGAAGATAGCGAAAAAGGAAAAAAAAAAAAACCAAAACACAAAAGGGAAAAAAGAGAGCGAGAGGGAAGGAAGGAGGGAAGGACGGGGAATTTCGCCAATAATGCCAATGACGAGGCCGGGATGCCCCTGCTGAGTTTGGCACTAGCCCTGCACAAGGGGAGGGGTGGCCCGAGCTCTCATTCGTCCAGATGACTGGTTTGCTCTCGAGGTTGCCTTTCCTCGCTGCCCTATTGGCCGTGGACCCGGGAGTGTTGGCGTCAAGACTTCCGGGGTTCGTCCAAGGGGGGGTCGACCAGGCCTATCATCAGTTCCGGTGACATCGGGGATCTGGTCTGGGTTATTGGCTGCAAACGGCCTCGACCGGCATGAGCAGACCTTATGTGGAGACGCTGCCCGAAATCAAGGATGGGAGGGGGGGCAACGGAGTGTAACGGGAACAATGAAGAGGGAAATTTGGAAGATGGGAAAGGCACCCGCAGATTGTCCCACGAGAAGGATTGTGCATGGGATTCACTTACATGGTTTAGACAGATAAATATCTACAGCTAGGTATTTCCAGCTTACGGAGTAGGAGTAGAGTAGAGTGGTCGACAACTCGCCAGGTTAGCTGGTCCCAGCACCACCATTCACCATTAGGTTATGAAGATCAAACGGCGCAAAAGGAAAAAAAAGAAAAAAAAAAAAAAAAAAAAGAGGGAATAAAACATCAAACAGAAAAATCAAATCAAATAATCGGGAAAAGAAAAAAGAAAAAATATCAGTGCCGGATCCAATCCAATCAAGAGAACTCGTCGCTATCAAATCCTAGCACGAGCCACAGGCAGCGCCGGCAGCCCACTTGGTGACCCAAGGCAGCTAGTCGGCTCGTTAGTTCGTGACTGACCTGCTTTACCCCTCCCCACCCCCGTACTTCCTGGCCCTCCCTCCAAACATCACCACCGATCAACCGACTGCTTTACACGAGGTTCGACAACATCCTGCCATACTTAGCCCTGCCCTATTATTGTCCTTCCTCGTCGCTCCTCTCAGTGCCAGCTTACCGTTCCTTCACTCCGCAATTTCCTCGCTGAGGAGTATTAAGCCGCCGTGTCCCCCTTCCCTTATCGCTGTGGGGTTTATCTACGGTGGGTATACACGCCAGAGCTAAAACGGGTCTCCTACGTAATGACTCCTTTCTGTTTGACGAACGCTTGTTATTTCTCAATTCACTTGCTAATCATTCACTACTCTTCAGGTTGTTCGGGGTTTATTCAGTGTTTCGGCTGCTTGCAACTCGAGTACGTTCCCTCCCCCCTTTGAGATACAGCAAATACTGCCGTCCTTCTTGTCCCTTTGACCCCGACAGATACTAATGGGCAACAGTTGACAGGCATTGCATGCACCTGTTGATACATTCACATTAAAAAGAGACTCATGGTTCGGATAAAGTGTGCTTGATCAACGTTCCGTCTAGAATCGGTGTTCATAAAACATTTGGGGAATCACGTTACATATTCTCGGCACAATCGACATTCGAGGACACAGGCACTACCAACATGGCGACCGTTGTGGTGCAGCAGCAAACGCTACGGCATTCGACACCTCCACCTACGGGAATCTCCCCAGCATTGAATCTAAATAGACACCCATCCCCGATACCTAATAAACATCTGCCGGTTTGCCCGACTGGCCCATCCCCTATCACCTCCCAGACCTCATCTCCTGTGGCGAGACTTGAGAATGGTGACCAAACATCATCGCTGCTCTATCCGCCAGATGCTTTCGTGCAGATCTCGGAATCGCCTCGCTTCTATGCCCTCAAGCCTGAACCGCTCGCTGCTGCCCTTGAGTACTGCGCTTCTCTGCCGCTGCCGGATCCCAGCCTAGTCTTTCCGTGGCTGCATGGACTTCACCCCGAGAACCATTTGCAGCTGGGGTTTTTCACTAATCGAAAGCGTTCTCTTCGACGCACCCCACACTGTTGGCGTGGCATTACCATCGTGAAAGTTGGGGGCGATTTGAGTAGGGCCAGGCTCAAGGGTGCCGTGTCTCCTGAGGAGATTCTTACGCCGTCGGGTTTCGAATTCATCCCCGTCGATCCCCGTGAGGGGTTTTCAGTGCGCAACTTTCAGATACAAACTGCGAAACTGGCGCCATTGTCTGACATCGTTGTCTATGGCGATGAGGATGTCAGTTACAGGCAGCTTCTAGATGCCGCCGAGCAAATCGTAACGGCCCAGTCCCGCTGGAGAGAACAGAATGACCCTAATTATACACTGCCTGTGTATAATACATTTGTCCTCTCCTGTTAGTCTCAGCCCCTACCCAAAAGGACTCACACGTACATTTGCTAACCAGTCAACTAGGCCCATTTTCAGAGATTGAGCAGTCGACGCCAAACTTGGTCGCCGTTAACTCCCGAGGGCAGCTAACCGGGCAAACCATGGACTTCTGTGAGTTAAAAAATTGCTCCTCGAAATGCGAACTATGTCTAATACATGGTAGTTCAATGGGAACGGCTGGAAATGTGTGAAATGTCGCGTGCTTCAGAGTTCTCGCCTAATGTTTGGCAAGGACCGACTCCGGATTATTTGTTGAGACCTAGTTCCTGCGAGCCGGCAGCTGGCGACAAATTCGACCTTTTGGTTGAGACGAGCGATCACGCGAGCATCCCAGGCCCACGGTACCTAGCTCGACTAAACAAACAGCTTAACGACGGTCCCCAGCGATTAGAATTCCCTTCATCCGGGTCAATTTTGCTTCCGGCAGGAGAGAACAGGGAGGTGGACGACCTTGTGAGCACGATCCGATGGATTTACTATCTGGCAAATCCAGAAGGGCCGTCGCATCATACGGATTCCGATGGGGACATTCATATGACAACCCATGTGGAGGGATCACGCCGGATTCTTATGCATTGCCCAGATGGCTATACCGAGAGCTCTTTATTGGTTATCGCATACGTAATGTTTGCGGAAGGAATACCGGCGCATGAAGCTTGGCTTAGACTCCATCGCGACAAGAAGCGCAACTTCTTTGCCTATCCCTCTGATGTCCAATTCTTGACCAATGTGGAGTCCAGGTTGCTGCGTGAAAGCCCAGCAACGCGATCCCACAACCTGACTATGACTCCTGCTCCTGCTTGGTTCGACCACTGTGATGGCTCCCTTCCGAGCCGCATTTTGCCATATATGTACCTGGGTAACCTGGCCCATGCTAATAACCCAGAAATGCTGTGGCAACTTGGCATTCGACGCGTGCTGAGTATCGGTGAATCCGTTACCTGGAACGAATCAGAAATTTCCAAGATAGGCGCCGAAAATATCATGCACATTACTCGGGTCCAAGACAACGGCATAGATCCGTTGACGCAGGAATTCGATCGGTGTCTAGAGTTCATTCGTTAGTGTCCCAGCATATGATCGCTTCTCATCTATAGGGATGGAAACTGACTTATTTTCTCTTTAGGCAAAGGAAAATCTGACGGTGCAGCTACATTGGTGCATTGTCGAGTGGGAGTTTCGCGATCTGCTACTATTTGCATCGCTGAAGTTATGTCTTCCCTGCATCTATCCTTCCCCCGAGCATAGTAAGTTTACCATCTGATTCTCGAAAGAATATATATACTAACATGTTTTGTCAGCTGCTTTGTTCGAGCGAGACGGCTTAATGTTATCATTCAGCCCCATTTGCGTTTTGTGTAAGTGATATTTGGACCCAGATGATCCCCGTCTTCATAATCCTCTTTGCAGCATGACTAACGCCACTAAACAGCTACGAGCTCCTCAAATGGGAAGAATTGCAACTACGCAAGAACAACAAACATGTAAAGAGAGAGCTTGAATGGGCCACCGTGGCCCGCGAAATTGCGCTCATGAACAAACCCTACTCGAGGTAGCCGCAAGCCAATATTTACCGAAAATCTTTTGGCATATTCTCTCATCCATGGCCACCAGCCAGGGATGACTTGTCTTACATACAACATTCCACTATTTGATGCAACAGACCATTTTCCTGACGACAATAAACAAGGATACCATGAGCAATGAACGGGTACGAACGGATGAATAATGAGCACTTCTTGTTTCTTTCTTTATTTAACCTTCTTTTCTTCTTCTTCTTTTTGGCGTTTGAAGAATTCGATTTATGTGATTCTCTCATTACGCTAGTTTGATGGATCGATCTTTTTTTTTTTTTTTACTTTCTTCTGGTTTTGGGGCGGCGTTTTGCGGTGTGATCTTTCCACTGGGATTCTTTCGTATCTAGGCATCCATCTTCTTCGTCAACTGGACTGACTTTGACTGACTGAATGATTCGACTTGGTCGTGGGCTTCGAATCATCATTGATCTCTGATGTTTAGTAGGAGTATCTGTTGTATGATGTATAATCTTCTCGTGACTGTGATTGAACGACTGATTTTCTTAAAAGATTTGTTCCTTTTTCTATCGATTTCTTTTCGTACGCTACCCATCTCTCGTATGTGGTTTGGTTCTCATAGAACATGCTAGTTACAATTTTCTTTTATCTTCGTGGTATGTGATATGTGGTATTGAATGATGTCAATAATTATCAGGTAGTCCTTCTCGTAGATGGGTTGACAGTACAAAACGTTGGTGAAGCATTTTTGTAGCTGATTCTTTTTCTTATAAGTTAGTTATATAGCCAGCGCTCGAAGCTCTCCCCACCAAGTACAAAGTTTTGGTATAGTGTTATTCCCAGTAGGTTTACATTATGTTGAAAAGGACGATAGCGTGAATGAAACTGTATTCGACGCTTAACATCGCTCAAAAACTCGATACAAACCCTTTAGATCCGCCACCTCGACAACGCCCCGAAGAAGTCGCGTCGTGGCAACCAGGCGGCCCCGAAGTGCGGGAAACACTACATGCTCCAGCATGTGAGCTATTTGCTGTCGACGTTGCTTGATAGTCTCATCTTCTTCAGGAGGGTTCTGTGGGTTTGCATTCTCATCGGTTGGCCCTGTTGTTGAAGTCTGCGGCTGCGCCTGAGGCGGAGGAGTAGGCAATTGTTCCGGCGTATAGAAAGCGGCGAGTTCACGGAGAAAAGTGCGGAAGCATTCGCCTTCGTTGGACCAGTCCACGTAGGGTCCTAAGCGGAGGAGGAAGCGTGGTAGTTTGCCTAATGAAGGTAGGTATCCTTTGAGTAACAGAGGAATGGTAAGGAGGTCGCCGTCCTCCGAGATCTGGAGAGAGAAGTACTCGTCGAGCATTTCTCGTTTCTCCATGAGGGTGTTTGCGACCATGTCCGCGGCGTTGGTGAATATTTCGTTGGCCTCTTGTTCGCGTTCTCGACTGGGTTTCTTTTTCTGACGCGCGGCTTGGGATTCATGTTCTTCTCGTTCGGTGCTCGCAGCGATTCGCAAGAGATCGATGAGCTTTGGTGCTGGATCTAGCTTGATGACGCCGAAATTGCCGAAGTCTGTAAGGCCTACTTGGTAGAAGAACTCGCTGCAGAACATCCCGTAGTCAATTAGGTAAAGCTTCACGCCGGATTGTATGGCTGCAATGCGGCGTCGCTCGTCAACTAGTCCGACGTAGGTGTGGGAAGCGATCGTTTCGGTCAGGTTGTTGTGCATTGTATTGCGGACATTGGCTCGTAGTGTTTTCACGGTTGTTAACGCGATTCGAATTGGCTCCCGGCCGGTCTTTTCGTATTGTAGTCCCTCATCGAGGACACTAGGAGAGATATTTTCTGCGTCGGTGGTTTGATGTGCCGGTGTCAGCATGGAGGTGATTTTCCGGACCTTGGAGTCTGTTCGGACCAGGTTGTGCTCATATGGCTTTTTTGTCGCTGAAGGTGTTTTGAGGACTGAGCCACCAGCTTCTGTAGACGCATCCGCATCGCCTTGACCTGAAGGATCGATAGATCTGATTCCTGGCAGGAGCGTCTGTGTCAAAAAGGTTCGGCTTGAGTCTACCTGGGCCAGTTTTGACCTGATTTCATTGCAGATGGATTCGATAATTTCATCCTCGTTTAGGAAATTCACCTCCCGCTTTGTGGGATGTACGTTGACATCCACTCGCTGTGGCTCAATTTCTAGGTCGATATAGACGAAAGGATGACCACCTTTTGGTAGGAAGCTCGCGTAGGTCTGTTCTACAGCGCGTTTTACAGCGGTAGATTCAACAGCACGGTGGTTGATGAAGAGAAGAATCGTGGTTCGTTTGACGTGGTAATTTGCGTTGGTGACGAGGCCAGATGATTGGAATCCCAAGTCACTATCCTCAACCTTGAATTCGACAAGTTCATTGGCCACGGCACTCCCATGAATTTGACGGATCCGGTCTGTCGTGTTTGCAACGGCTGGCGTTGATATGCTTACGCCTGAATCCCCGTGTTTGCGGCAGGAAAATGCGACTCCGGCACAGTGGACTGCGTAGCGGCCGACAACATCTAGAATTTTCGCATATTCTTCACTCGCTGACCGGAAAGCTCGGCGTCTCGTTGGGACGTTGTAGAACAGGTCCTCAACCTGTTTATTGTGAGCTCATGGCATTAAGCTATTGAGACCTTTGTTTATAACTTACGGTGATCTGCGTACCGCCTCGTCCAGCTGTAGCTTTTGGGGCCTCACTTTGTCCCGGTTTAGCGGGAACCAGGTGTCCATCGCCATAATGTGCCCTCCATGCACAGCTTGAGCCGGCTGTTTTGGTAGTCACGGTAAGGTGGGCAATATGGCTGATACTGGCCAGTGCCTCACCGCGAAATCCGTATGTACCAATGGACGAAAGATCCTCGAACTGCTTTAATTTGGAGGTTGTGAATCTCTCACAAAGAATTGGGAGGTCCTCGCGCTGCACTTTATTAGTGACAGCTAACAAAAGCAAGATGCATGGGCGGTAGTCATGGTACCGCGGTTATGAATGCTATGCTCAGTTTTGGGAATTCGGGTTTTGAAAGGGTAGTGAAAGGGTAGTGAAAGAAAAGTTGAACCAAAAAATCTAGGATGTCTCACATCTATACCATGACCATTGTCAGTAATTTGCAGTAGCTTGAGTCCACCGTCCTTGACCAAGATCTCAACGGACGTAGAGCCGGCGTCAACAGCATTTTCGATAAGCTCTTTTAAAGCATGCATAGGAGCCACAATAATTTCTCCGGCTGCGATTTTGTTCACAACATCGGGATCGAGGGCCTAGTTGCAGGTGAGGTGTGAGCCAAAATTTCGCAATGAGATTCACAGTCAAACAGACCTTGATTCGCTTGGGCTTAATTGAAGCGTCAGTAGTGTCTTCGGCCGCCCGCTTTGTGCCCCGAGGCCCTGGGCTATCTATCTCCATACCAGACTCCATGGCAGACTATTAACGCTGAAAGGATTTTGCTCAATTTATCCTGTCTGTTTGGGTCGCGTGGTAATTAGGTACTTGGCCCATTTAGCGTGACATCCGGAGTATAGATCAAACGAAAAGGCAGGACGCCAGACGCGGAAAGTTGGAGGGAGCGGGCCCCGTGACGAGGCCCGCTACCGCCACACCCCTTTGGCTCTGTCGCAGTTTTGCCGCTGCACTAAAAAGGGTCAACCTCCTTAGCGCAGAGCTAAGAAGGTACGTATAGTGCATATTTCCCGCGGCCACAGGCTCATGCCACGTCCCATGTGACCAAACGACCTAGTCGGTCGCCGGTCCCGATGCGCCCCTACTACTAGGGCGTCCCTACTCCGTAGGTAGGAACCTAACTACGGTCGGCCTGCGTAGCGCAGTATTTACCCTAGTTATATAAATACTATTACTGACAATGGTCATGGTATAGATGTAAGACATCCTAGATGATTTTTGGTTGCTGTCACTAATAACGGTGTACAGCGCGAGGATCTCCCCATTCTTTGTGAGAGATTCACAACCTCCAAGTTAAACCCAGTTGATTACGATTGACGATGCAGGCCTACCGTGGTGGTGAGGTTCCTACTCCATGGGACGTGGCATGAACCAAAGGGGTGTGGCGGTAGTTAGCGGGTTTCCTGTGACTGCCTGATTCGCGACGGAAGCCGGCGATAACGAGGCATGGCCTGCTTAACTCCTTCCTTCGTCCAGCCACGCGCTGAACCTCCTGCATCCTTCGCGTTTGTAGATGTCGTTCTCATCCTCCATAGCTCTTCTGGGGCTGACGTCCTCATGCTGCAACCATGCTGACCTCCAAAAGGCAGTCGACCGCGAGCGAACAACCGACAACCACTTTGGTTATCGAAGCAATGGAAGCCCCCTCGCCGGCGTCGGTTCCTTTGGGGGTCTCTTATATTATGCCTGATCTATGTGTTTCTTAGAAATATGCCTACCGATCTTGCTCCTGCAGCCGAACGATTCAACCCCCACCTCTTACAGGAGCGTCCGGAATCACAGGTCGCAGCGCCGCCCTTTCCTCAGAAGCCTCCCCCACGAAACGAGTTTGTGGTGGAAGCTAATAATGGATTCTACTACGATGGAGAAATTAGACTGATCTCTCTGGCAAAGACCTTGCAGCGTTTCCCAAATCCTCACGGTCGTTACAAGAAGGCAGACAGCAGCGTTGTCATGTTTAGCGGCGCAAGTCTCAAAGCCATGTCGGATCTGTTACCTCTCGCTTGCCGCATGGCACGCCAACAAATCAATGAAGTTCATTTCGTGCTTATGGGAAGGGATGCCGTATCGGTCGAGACAATACAGCATCTCAATGGCATAACCGATGAGGACTGTCGGATTAACTGGCATGGTTTGTCTAGACTATCCGAACAGCTGCGACGTTCAAAGTACTAATAGTTGCTCATGTAGATACTCGACCGAACTATGCGCAATGGTCTACTGATTCCCGCATGCAAAGAGCTGCCCTCCTTGCTCTAGGCTATTTGCAATTCTACATTCATCCGCAGGTTATGATAACTCAAGGGGCGACGCTGGAGGACCCCTTTTTCTCCGAAGGGGTGGAGTTGGCCAGTCAAAGACATGGCCTCTCTCTTATCGTTCTTCCTGCATATTCTAGGGACTTAATGTGGATCTCATTTCTGAACGGTAGTGCTCTTCGAGGTAATGATTCAACGTTCTGTGAATGACCGAGTGAATTTCGTGCTTAATATTCTACAGCCTGGAACCAAATGCAGATTGAGATCCTAATTCAGGCTCCTTCGGAATCCTCTGCGTCTGTGATCAGGTTGCTTCGCTCTTTGGAAGAAGCTGACTACCTTGGATCAACACCCAGTTTGACAATCGAACTTCCCCAACATGTAGACCCACGGCTTCTTCAGTACTTTCGAGAAATGAAGTAGCCCTTTATGTCGACTCAGGTAACACTTCGTCGGCTAATCCAACCACATGCTTTGAAGCCGGAAGAGGCCTCCTTGAAAACTGTAGAGGCTTTCTGTCCTAGAGATCCGAACACGTCGCATGTCCTCATGCTTTCCTCACAGACCGAGCTGTCGGCATCTTTCTACCACTATTTGAAATACGCTGTACTGAAATATAGATATTCAATTCCTACGGGGCGCTCCGCCAAAAATCTTTTGGGGATTTTACTTGAGTTTCCCTCATCACTTCCCACAAAAGAAGAGCCACTCAGACCTCCTCGGAGTGACGTTACCTTCACGGATGATGATGATAACGAGGCACTTCTATTACTCTGTCAGGCTCCAAACAGCAATGCGGCATTGTATTTTGGCGATAAGTGAGTGGAGCTCCATTCTTTTTTTTTCAAAACGCCTTTACTTTCAGGAGCCTGCAGCCCAGGACCTCCCACAGCGAAAGGTCGTCTCAAAGAGATATCCGGCTGTCATGGAATACCTTCTCGAGCTTATACGCGCGAATGGATACTGCGTGCTTTACCCAGCGTTCGAAGCCAGCGGACCTGCACTGGCTACAGTTCACAACGAACTGTACCACGCCCCGGAAGAATTTACGACGCATATCTCACCAGAGCTGCCTAGTGCTGAAAGGATGGATAATGATCTGCCCCAGCCGCCCAAAGTGAGCGTGGAGAAACCAGTGAGTCAAGCACCCACATTGATGCCTCTCTTGGACCAATTCTCAATGAGCCTGTCTGTGATCGACACCATGCCCTTGCTGTCATACGCGGGTCATGAAATGTCTCGCGCAGAATGGAATCAACATACTGGAGACTATAGACAAGAGTTTAGGATTCGCCATGTAGGTTGTTCAACCCAAGCCCCTGCAGACGCAAACTCGGTCTCATTGTTTTGCATAAATGATAATTTTACAGAGAACAAATAGGCCGGACCTGTCGCATTTATGTAATACTATATATGCTAGCATATTTTGGACAAACCAGACACACTGAATGGCGGTTCCATGCTTTTCTATAGTCTTCAGTTGGATAGTAGTTACTCGGAGAAAATCGAAGATCAGCGAACGACCGAACTGAAGCGCGGGAATCAAATTTCTGCTTCATATCCCTTAAAGTGCTGCAATCTGTTTGATACCAAACTGCAAATTTCTCCAGTAGATTAGTATCGCATTAATCAACAGCGTCATCGTCATCGTCGCAGCTGATTTCTTGGCATGGTCCCGTTACATAAGCAGGCGGCAGCTCCACAAGGAGCGCAACAACGTCCGAGCGGCGACGGGCGAGAGCTCTCTGCTTCCATCAACAAGCTTATGATTCATTCCCTGCTCCATCACTTGGTGCATAGAGTCTCATTCTAATCGCCTTCTCGCCATCTCGATACCCCGCCTCTTTCTTTATTTCCCCCCTACTTCCCCGAGTTTCCGATTCCTCTCAAGGACCTTCTCGCCAGATACCCGTCAGAAATGGCGAAAGAAGGCGAGCGGTCAGCTCCCGTTGACAAGGGCAAGGGCAAGGTTGATGATGTGAAGGATTTGGCTGGAGGCAAGAAGCCTCAGGATGAAGAGAAGCCACAAGCGGATGGCAAGAAGAAGGATGAGGAGCCCGAAGAAGGTATGAGCGTGTCTTGCCCGTCCTATGTCCACTGCAACTTCCGGGCGTTTCGAGGCGTTGCTGACGTGTGGAAATCTTCCAGAGGAACTTAGTGAGGAGGACCAGCAACTGAAAAATGAGCTTGAAATGCTTGTCGAAAGGTTAAAGGTACGATTCGGGCGCTTATGTTTATGACATGGCGATGGATCGATGACGTTAACCCTTCTCTTCTATCTAGGAACCCGATACTTCGCTGTACGGCCCCGCCTTGGACGCCATCAAGACTTTTATAAAGACCTCGACTTCTTCTATGACTGCGGTTCCTAAGCCTCTCAAGTTCTTACGACCATACTACGATGACCTCACGGCCCTATATGACAGCTGGCAGACCGGTTCCGTCAAGGTGGGATTTTTCGCTTACAAATGAATCAGTAGATAGGCTAATTGTGAAATGATTTGAATAACAGGAGTCGTTGGCGGATATGCTGTCGGTTCTTGGAATGACTTACGGAGACGAAGAGAAACTCGAGACGCTCAAGTACCGTCTTCTCACGAAATCGGAAGACCTCGGCTCCTGGGGCCACGAATATATCCGTCACCTCGCCTTGGAAATTGGTCAGGAATACCAGAATCGATTGAACGCCGAGAAGGACGTGCAGGACCTCATCGACCTCGCGCTGTCTCTTGTCCCGTACTTCTTGAGCCACAACGCCGAAGCCGATGCTGTTGACCTTCTGAGTGAGCTGGAGATCATCGAAGAGATCCCCCGCTTCTTGGACGAAAACACATACTCGCGCGTTTGCCTGTACATGGTCTCTATGGTCAACCTCCTGACATATCCCGAGGACCAACAATTTCTCCGCACCGCCCACGAGATCTATGTCCGTTACAACGAACTCACCAAGGCCGTCGTCCTCGCCATTCGCCTGAACGACACCGATCTTATTAAGAGCGACATCAACGCCACGTCGGACCGGTCGCTTAAGAAGCAAATGGCGTTCCTGGTCGCTAGACAGCAAATATGGCTTGACATGCCGGAAGAGGAGGAGGATGAATCCTTCATGGAGAGTCTAAACAACACCTCGATTCCGAACCACTTCAAGTCACTTGGAAAGGAGCTCAACATTCTCGATCCGAAAATGCCCGAGGATATCTACAAGACGCATCTCGAGAGTAGCCGTGGTGCCGGCCTCACAAATGTCGACTCCGCAAGACACAATCTCGCCAGCGCCTTCGTCAACGCTTTCGCCAACTCTGGCTTCGGCAACGATAAGATGATGCTCGTGGAAGGCGATAAGGGCCCGTGGGTTTGGAAGACAAAGGATGATGGAATGCTGTCCACGACGGCGTCGATGGGTATGCTCTTGCACCGAGATCCCGAAGTTGGTCTGGACAAGATCGACAAGTATACATATGCCTCGGAGGAGCAGATCAAGGCCGGTGCGCTCTTGGGTATTGGTCTCATCAATTCGGGTGTCCGTCTAGATTCCGACCCAGCCTTGGCTATCTTGAGCGATCCCGAGAACCTTGAGTCTAAGAGCGTGCCCATGCGAGTCGCTTCCATCATGGGTCTTGGCTTGGCTTATGCTGGCTCCAACAAGGAAGAGCTCCTTGATGCTCTGCTTCCTATTGTTGAGGATGTCTCGCTCGACATGCAGCTCTCTGCTATGGCAGCTGTCTCTTTGGGTCTTGTCTTCGTGGGCTCCTCGAACCACCAAGTTAGCGAGGCCATCGCCACCACGTTGATGGACGAGGAGCGACAGAAGCACCTCAAGGACAAGTGGACTCGTTTCATGGCCCTTGGTCTGGCGCTGCTGTACTTCGGCCGTCAAGAAGAAGTCGATGTTATCCTTGATATCCTGAAGGCTGTCGATCACCCCATGGCCAAGCCCACTTCCGTTCTAGCATCTGTCTGCGCGTGGGCGGGAACTGGCACGGTGTTGAAGCTGCAGGAGCTCCTTCATATTTGCAACGACATCATTGAAGATAGTGACGAGAATAAGGGAGATGAGCTAGTCCAGTCGTACGCGGTCTTGGGCCTGTCGCTGATTTCTATGGGAGAGGAGGTTGGCCAAGATATGATCCTCCGTCAATTCGGCCACCTTATGCACTACGGCGCGAGCAACATCCGCAAGGCGGTTCCCCTTGCCATGGGCTTGATCTCGCCTAGCAACCCTCAAATGAAGGTTTACGATACCTTATCCAGGTACAGCCATGACAACGACAACGACGTTGCTATCAACGCTATCTTTGCCATGGGCCTGTGTGGTGCCGGTACTAACAATGCCCGTCTGGCACAGCTGCTCCGACAGCTGGCAAGCTACTACCACCGCGACCAGAACTCGCTGTTCATGGTTCGCATTGCCCAAGGTCTTTTGCACATGGGCAAGGGCACCATGACGCTCAACCCTTTCCACACAGATCGCCAGGTTCTGTCCCGCGTATCAGCTGCGGGCCTGCTCACCGTGCTGGTGTCTATGATTGATGCCAAGCAATTTGTCCTTGATGAGCATCATTACCTTCTCTACTTCCTCATCACCGCTATGTACCCACGATTCCTCGTGACACTCGACGAGGACCTGCAGCCTCTCACAGTGAATGTTCGTGTTGGACAGGCTGTGGATGTTGTCGGACAGGCCGGACGCCCCAAGACGATCACTGGCTGGCAAACGCAAAGCACTCCGGTCCTTCTGGCATACGGCGAGAGAGCTGAGCTGGAAGACGAACAGTACATCCCTCTCAGCAGCACATTGGAAGGCTTGGTCATTTTGCGCAAGGTAAGCTTTTCCTGTCTTACTCGATTTCCTGAACAGAAGGCTAACATGCATTTTTAGAATCCCAACTGGGAGGCTCCTGCTTAAATGTGATGATATTTCTAGATCTAGTTTTGATTGATAGGATTGAGAGTGCAGGGAGGCTCGCATGAGTATGGGTAGATCTAATGTATTTCCGATCGAGTCCAAAACAGCACGCACTACAATCTATAGTATGATAAGTTCAACCGATTACCTTATTATTCTCTTCGCTTGGGTCGTATCTTGCTCTGGGACCTTGGGAGCTGTAGAGAGGCCGAGGCGGCCGAATCAGGAAACTAGGGCATAGGGCACCCCGCCCATATCTTTTTCCCGCATCGACTTGTTGCGCCACGACATCCAGCATCAGCCCTCCATTCAACAGGCTGCTCTATCTTTCATATCTACAATAAAAGAGTTCTCGTCACTATGAAGCTCGACCCCAAAGCTATCCGATATCTCACTACCGAGGATTTCCGCGTGCTCTCAGCCGTATGCCGCTCCGAACCCCGCCGTAATGCTTAGATCATTGCATACGGCCCGATGGCTAACCCAATAATCATTCCTCTAGGTGGAAACCGGAAGTCGGAATCACGAAGTCGTCCCGACCCCGTTGATCGCGCAGATCTCCGGCCTTCGAGGCGGGAGCGGGGTGAATCGAGCCATTTCGACCCTAGCCAAGACGAACCTGATCGCGAAGGTGAAAAATGCGAAATGTAAGCGCAAGACAGTCTACGTGACATGCGAAGCCATATGCTAATGCTATGGGGTTACTCGTGCTCTAGATGATGGCTACCGACTCACCTACGGCGGGCTCGATTACCTCGCGCTCAACGCCCACCAGAAGAACAAATGCATCTACTCTGTCGGAAACCAGATCGGAGTCGGCAAGGAGTCGGATATCGTCGTGGTCGCAAACCACCAGGGAACGCAGCGCATCTTGAAAATTCACCGATTGGGCCGTATCTCCTTCCGATCGGTCAAGACGAACCGGGATTACTTGCGCAACCGACACACGGGATCGTGGATGTACATGTCGCGACTGGCCGCGATGAAGGAATACGCGTTCATGAAGGCTCTTCGAGAGAACGGGTTCAATGTACCGGAACCTATCTCGCAGAACCGTCACACGATCGTCATGGGCTTGATTGATGCTTTCCCCCTCCGCCAGATCTCGAAGGTCCCGAGGCCCGCCCAACTATACTCGGAGCTGATGGATATGATCTTGCAGCTGGCGCGGTATGGACTGATTCATGGAGATTTCAACGAGTTCAACCTTCTGATCAAGGAGGAAGTGGATCCCGAGGCGAAGGGTAAAGCCCCCGAGGGCGCAGAGGAGGATGATGAGAACATTAAGCTCACTCCGGTGTTGATCGATTTCCCTCAAATGGTGTCGGTAGACCACGTCAATGCGGAGATGTACTTCGATCGAGACGTGAATTGCGTCAAGCGGTTCTTCAAGCGAAAGTTCCATTTCGTCAGCGACGAGCCAGGCCCCTTCTTCGCCGATGCCAGAAAACAACTGCGGAAAAATCCTGGAAAGCGATTGGACGTGGACGTCGAAGCGTCTGGGTTCTCCAAGAAGATGGCTCGTGAGTTGGAGGCATACATGAAGGAAGTGGGTGCTGATGGTGGTGAGGGTAGCAAGGAGGAAGGAAACGACAGCGAGAACGAGGATGAGGAAGAGGAACATTCGCGATCAGACCCCGAGAGCGAGGCTGCCGGTGACAAGAGCGAAACAGAAGAATCCAAGGAGCCTCAGGCAGACGAAGTCCATGACAGTGCGCAAAAGTTAGAAAAGTTGCAAGTGGCGGAGTAGGAGCACTGGGATGGGAGAAAAGTTAATTTGTTGAATGATAATGACATGATGAGCGAATATAGACTTTTAATTTCTTTTTCTTGTCGTTTATTTCTTCTAATTATTTGATACAAAACTTTGCGAACGACGTATAAAATGAACTAAAGAATGCAGATAGTAGACAGTATGACCTGCTCAAGCCCAGAAGCCGGTACGGCACGTGGTGCGGCCACCCGCGCAATTTTGCTCAAAAGTTCCGCCGAGCATCCATCCGATAATTCCAAGCAATCCTCGATTTCTACTCCGAACCCAACCTACGACTTCCCCGGCTCTTTTTTTTTCGCTCCATTCATTCAATTCACCAGTGCGGTGACACAGGAGCCAAGATGGTCCGTCAATTCTCCAAGTTTCCCAAGAAGCCCGCCGGCTGGGTGTCTCCTTCGGCGCCGCTGTCCATGCGGAAGCAAGTCTTCCTGTAAGTTCGATATCTGCGCACACCCCATATAGAGCCACCCCCCCTTCCTCTCTCCCTCCATGTCTCTTTGGTCATGAACAGCTACTAATAATGTAATACGAACTAGTCCCGACTTCACAATCGCCCTCATGCGCACGCCTTACCTCCCTCCCCGATATGCCTCCTTCTACGTGCCGTTGAACTTCAACAAGCTCGACATCCGCGACTACCTCCAGCGTCTGTATGGTGTCGATGTGCTCAGTGTGCGAAGCTACGTCGAACAGCAGAAGATCACGCGTCTCAAACCCCAGGGTCGATTCGGTTATGGAAAATGGAGGAGGCCTATGTCGAAAAAGAAGATGACTGTTGAGATGAAGCAGCCCTTCGTGTGGCCTGAGTCTCCAAAGGATATGGCGCCGTATGTTTTTCTTTCCCTCTCTTATCCCTTTTTCCTTTTAGTTTGTTGTCGTTTGGTCCCTCCCGGTCTGGTTATGCGTTGGTTGGTTCTTCGGGTCAATGTTCGATTTGAGACGGGATGGGACCCTGGTCATGCGCTTCACTTTATCGCACCTCCCTCTGCATTAAAGACCACAAATTCAAGACTAACTAACGATTATGACAAATAGATGGGAAAACGACCAATTCCACAAGGCCGCCAAATACCAGAAGCAGATCCAAGACACCCACCGACCAGAGGCCGGCACCAAGCCCGACGAAGAAGCGCGCGAGGCCTGGGACGAAGAAGCGAAGAAGCTGCTGGACGGCTCGAAATCCTGGAGGCCGACTTGGCGCGCCCTAGGACTTAGCTACGATCGTCCTGCGTTCGGGGTATCGAAGAATGGGGGCTCGGGCTCGGGTGCTGAGACTTCGACGCCTAGCTCGTAAGGATCGCGAAGGGTGAGGTGAGGATAGTGTAGTGGATAGATTAGAAAAAGCGGATTGGAACTTATTCGTTTGGGTTTGGGTGTTGGGTTCGATGTTGAATCCATCCTTGGTTTTTCTTTTACTTGTTATGTGTTAATTGTTGACAATGTATTATATTCCATGTCTCATATAAATAAAGACTTGTATTGAAAAATTCAGATATCGGAGTCACGATCTGAGCATAATTCATTGAAATGACAAGTTAAAGAGCTATTTACAGCCATCGGACTGATGCCAGTCACATGCAGCCGGTAATTATACGTACTGGAAGGACACCAGATCAAATGGGTTCGTTCCATCATACGCCATGCGAAATCCAAAACCAAACAAAGGCAATTGCGCTGCGCTGAGAGAAGGACGGGAGAGTTACAAACTGAGAGCAATTTATGAAACGGACAAGGGAGTGTAAAAAGCGATCAGAAAAATAGAATATAAATCACAGGCGGCTCTCAACGAAGTTCACTTGGTGTTGGCCGGGCCAGTGAGCATCAGGCCAAACCTGTTGAATGGCCTCCCAAATTTGTCTGTCATCGGGTCAGTTTCTTTCAATGTGGGAGAGTTAGAAAGGGCGGGTAACTTACTTGACATAGATGATCTCAAGACCATCGCTGACTTCCTGCGGAACGTCTTTGACGTCTTTGCGATTCTGGTAGGGCAAGAGAACGGTCTTGACGCCTGCGCGTAGCGCCCCGATGAGCTTCTCCTTGATACCGCCGACAGGCATGACCCTTCCGCGAAGCGAGACTTCTCCGGTCATGGCAAGCTGAGGCGGAACAGCCTTGCCGGCGAACAACGAGATCAGGCCAATCGTGTGTGCGAGTCCGGCAGACGGGCCGTCCTTCGGAATGGCCCCCGACGGACAGTGAACATGCAGGCTTCGGCTCTTCATGATATCCTCATTAGGGTCGGGAGTCAGGCCGAGCTCGTACGAGTGTGCCTTGACCCATGTAAGGGCCACTTCCACACTCTCCTTGAGGACGTCGCCTAGTTTTCCGGTAAGCTGCACACGGCCGTTTCCTGGCATATCCGCAACCTCGATGAACAAGATGCTGCCTTGGCCTCCGGTGGAGTAGGCGACAAGGCCGGTGACAACACCTGGACGACCATGCTTCTCGGCAATTTCTTCATCAAATCGCTCAATTCCGAGGATCTCTTCCAGATCGTCCATAGTGACGACAGGATTGTATGAATCGACGCGACCGGCGTCTCCCGCATCTGCATACTGCACGGCCTTGTGGCGGCAGATTGAGCCAAGCTCACGTTCCAGGTTGCGCACTCCAGACTCGCGTGTGTAGGAAGTAATCGTTTTGTCAATAACTTCATCGGAAAGGACCACCTGGCCGTCAGAGAGTCCGTTGGACCTCACTTGCTTAGGAATCAAATGTCTCTTGGAGATGTGTCGCTTTTCGACAGTAGTGTATCCAGAGAGCGAGATGGTCTCCATACGGTCAAGCAACGGAGCGGGGATAGTATCAAGAGAGTTGGCGGTGGCAATGAAGAGCACCTTACTCAAATCGATAGGAATGTTGATATAATGATCGGAGAACGAGTGATTCTGTTCAGGATCCAAGACCTCGAGCATGGCTGCAGATGGGTCGCCCTGGAAGTTTGCACCGCCGACTTTGTCGATTTCGTCAAGCAGGAAGACCGGGTTTGCAACGCCAACCTTCTTCAACCCGCCGACGATCAATCCCGGCATAGCCGCGACGTAAGTCCTCCGATGACCTCGGATCTCAGCTTCATCTCGAACACCACCAAGAGAGATTCTGTGGAACTTGCGCCCAAGCGAGGTAGCCACCGATCTTGCGAGACTCGTCTTTCCGGTACCGGGGGGTCCAACAAGCAACAAGATCGGCGACTTATCAGTCATGCGCCTGGACTTCAGCAGATGCAGTTTCGCTTCGACAGTGACACGGTCTGCCTCCGATAGGGTCGGGGGTGCCTTCTCGAGGTCTCCCCCGTCTGCCTCCTCAAGGTCCTTTGACAATGCTGCAATTTGGCGTTCAACGTCCTGGTTAGTTGACTGCTTGAGTCTTAACACAGCCAAGTATTCAAGAAGTCTCTTTTTGATCTTTTCTAGTCCGTAATGATCGTCATCCAGCTGCTGCCTGGCCCTCTTGAGCGTCTCGGGTCCAAGCTGGTCCTCAGTGACCTTCGTCCACGGAATGTCCGCAATGTTCTCCAGGTATGTCCGACAGACCCCGTATTCGGCGTTGGCCGGGTTCATCTTCCGAAGACGTCGCAGCTCTTTGTCGGCAATCTTCCTAGCTTCAGGGCTAAGCTCGGCGTCCTGCAGCTTCTGCTGGAGTTCGTCAACTTCGTTCGTCTCCTTCTCATCACTGTCGCCGTTCCTCCCGCTCGCGGTTCCAGGGGGCGTCAGACCGGAAAGACCAGCCATAGCCCGCCTCGCCAGAAGCTCGCGGTCACGCGGATCAATCTGGTTGATGTCAAACCCGGATGGAGGGAAGCTGTTCGTCGAGAAGGTGGTTACTTTGACAGTGCTCTTGATGTTTTGGACCTGTCTACTGAGCATTTCGACAACTCTTTCCAATCGAGTTCTCAGATCCAACGATGACAGAACCCGAAGCTTTTCTTCAAAGCTTGCGTCAGCGATGTCGCCCATGAAATCGGCGAGTCTGCCGGCCTGGGAGAGATCGGTCTTAGAGATGAACAACTCGAATTTCCGAGCAATCAGAGGCGACAAGCGGGTGGACGGAGAAGGCAACAGGGAGGACAGGCGTAGTAAAGTAAGAAGTTCACGTGAGAGCTGCCTTAACTGTTGGAACGACTCGACGGTTTCCGTGTCGTTTGTGATTGAATCTGGCAGAGTCAGTACGCGCCGAGGACACTTAATGGCAAAGAAACAGACAGAGAAAACGCACGAACCTTTGTCATCATACAGGATGGCCTCTGCTTCAAAGAAAGGTCTCTCCCGAGTGACCCGTCTTATAGTGAAGCGCTGAACACCTTGCACCACCAGCGACGCTTCCGAATAGGCGCGACGCTGAACCCCGACAACCTTTCCAACAGTACCATATCGGAAGAGGTCTTCCTTCCTAGCCTGGCCTGCATCAACCATATCATATTCCTCCTTCTTCTCATCATCCAGACTTCCGTCGTCGATGAGATGCTGTCCATCCTTACTTAGGAACGGAGAGCTAAGCGGAACGCATCCGAACGCGATGGTGTTTCCATCCCGCTTTCCCGGAGGTGTCCGATCCAAGAGAGTCGAGAGGAGATTGGACAGATCCGGCCGATTAGCGACGGGGATGCGAAGTGTTGCGCCCGGGAGCAGAACCGAGCCCTTGGGGAGCGGCACCAAGGAGAGTTTGGTCGTCCTGGCGTTGTTGGAGCCCATTTCAGCCTATCACGCCTTTGGGTGATAACCGGCTGGAAGAAAGAAGAAAGATGGAGTGTAGATAGATGATGATTGACGCGATGGAGGTCAAGAGTATCCGGGGGAACGGGGAACGGGAGTGGGTGGGAGGAGTCGGCAGTTGTAAGATTCAGTGGTGACCGGGAGGAGAAGGGAAGAAAGGTTCCAGAACCCCATAGATGAGGCGACTCTGGGGGAGGCGATCGCAGAGATAAGCGGTCTTGCTCCTTCCGATGCCGAGGTTCGCTGGCGCTACGTCAGTCCGCCTGGTCGATCACCTTGTTACGCCGCTGTCAGTTGGACACGACGCAGGATGCTGCAGGAGATGCTCCGAAAGGTGAGGTCTAGGAGAATTGTAGTCTCCCGGGCAATTCAATTCATGTCAAAAAATAGGAAGTTTCCCCCGTCAAGACCCTCTCATGCCGGCATCAGTGCGGCCAGCGCTGGCCATCCCGTGATCGCAAGCGTCCGGCGTACCGGTAATTTACCGGCGTCGCATGACAAATTGACCGTCGCTCCGTCCGCGGAACTCCCGCTTTTTAGTTACCTGCACAGTTTACCTTGGTACACTGCGTTGCGATTGCGGATTCTCCACGAAGAGCAGTCTCATTCCGGCTTGCTACTAAATCTCGGTTTCATCTCTATCCCCTGTAATCTAATCTCCCTATCTCCCTATCTCCCGGTCATTCAGTCCTCCTTGGCTCGTCGTCATCATGGCTGCTGCCCCGCCTACCAGTGCCGCCAACCCCTCATCGCGAAAAACTTTCACCATCGGAACGCGCAAGTCGAAGCTTGCTCTGTCCCAGACCGATTTGGTTCAGAGTGCGCTCCAGGCAATCTTGCCGGATCACACATTCAATATCCATTCGCAGGAAACCGCGGGAGACCAGAACACGACCATTCCCCTCCGCGAGTTTACCACCAAGAACCTATGGACACAAGAGCTGGAAGAGCTGCTGATCGCCGGGAAATTGGACTTCATCGTTCACTCCCTGAAAGGTTAGTGTTGCAGGCTCATCGTACCGGCGATCCTAGACTCATGCTAATAGATTAAACGTCGCTAGATGTGCCCACCCTTCTGCCCGAGTCCTGCACCCTGGGCCCCACCTTGAAGCGCGAGGATAGCAGAGATGTTCTAGTGATGAAGAAGGGCCTGCCGAACATGAGTCTGGCCGACATGCCCGCTGGCTCTGTGGTCGGTACCTCCTCCATCCGCCGCACCGCGCAATTGGCTCGCCGATACCCTCACCTGAAAATCATGGACGTCCGTGGCAACATCGGCACGCGGTTGACGAAGTTGGATGCGGAAGACGGTCCGTACACGTGTATCATTCTGGCCGCTGCCGGTCTGCTCAGACTCGACCTGCACGACCGTATTTCCCAGTATCTTGATTCGAAGAACGGTGGCATGCTGTATGCCGTTGGACAGGGTGCCTTGGGTATTGAGATCCGGAAAGACGACCACATCTTGCATGATATGTTGAAACAAATCGGTGATATGGACGCTACATATGCCTGTTGGGCTGAGCGGAGCTTGTTGCGAACGCTCGAAGGTGGCTGCAGTGCTCCCCTGGGCGTCGAAACCGAGTGGGTTCAGCTGCCTGACGGATCCAGGAAACTTAGAATGCGGTCTATAGTGGTCAGTGTGGACGGCAAGGAAGATGCGGAGGTTGAAGTCGACGGTACTGTCGACTCGGCAGAGTCTGCGGAAGAATTCGGTGTTCTGGTGGCCAAGGAATTGGTGGCTAAGGGCGCAGGGAAGATTTTGGATGACATCCAACGCAACAAGCAGGCGTCTGCCTAAGTTGCTCATATTACAGAACCTATGGTTTGGGTATCCACGACACATCGAAGGAGCTGCTGGTCTTCTCCCCGATGTATAGATAAAAGGGCCATGGCTTAGATAAATACCCGTACAAGAAAAAAAAATGAACATATTCTGTTTAAAGTCATAGATTTTCTCTGTCATAAGGTCGCTCTAGTACTGGGTACTTTCTGGAAGATATTATGCATGTGGCATGCATGGCTTCGAGTCCGCAGTAAGCGAGGGGTAAAGCCACATTCCCATCATACCTCAACATGAAACAATCCCGTGATCGCGTTATGTGCATCGTTACCCCCTGTTTAAGGTATTTCCGGATCCTCTGGGATTTGCTTCCTTATATTCATCCCAGGCTCTTGCCTTCATCGTTTCTTCATCGGCCCGATCGAAATCATCCTCGTCAACCTCTGGCTGAATACCCGAGCTTTCTCCACCTTGAACAAAGTTGCCTCGTCTCTTCTCTTCATCGAGATAATCATCAATCGTCATCGTGGGCAAGTTATGGCTCGGGCGGAAGACCCCCTGCTGAAGCTGGGACCGGCGATCGAGCAACGTGAACGGCTGCATTGGCTTCCCTTCCTTGCTTAAGATTGGCCCAAACTTGCCTCCTTGTAGAAGTTGAGATATCGGGGGGTCCAGTCTATCCGAGTAGGTTGAACGGTCTGTATTGTTTCGGCTTCTAGGGTCTTCTCGCTGGGTTTGATCCGGGTTGGGCGCCATGTTGCGCACACTCGATAGCATAGAAATCTCCTGAGAGATAAGATCTAGTGACTGGAAGGTCTGGTGGATATACAGGTGGATTTCCGCAAGGTAAAGCTGCCGAACATCGTCGTCGTCATTCTGCAGTTGGCTTTGGTTATCCGATAAATACTTGAGACAACGTCAGTAAAGCTCGAGACTCTTCATCATATGGTTGGAATCCAACCTCGAGTCTTTGTTTCAGCTCTTTCTCCTCCCTGAACCGTATGATCTTGACTTCTCTTCTGGTGGCAGCGTCGTTGACGGGGGTCAGGGAAAAGGTAGACGGGTTCTCGGCATATTGTTCGTAAAGCTTTTTGTTGCTGTCATTAAGTAATTCATAATTATCCAATCGCGCAAGGTATTGCTCATATTGGTGCAGTGCACGTCGGAGGCTCGCCTCGCGGTCGGAGCTGTAAGATCTTTGGAGAAGGTCGGCAAGATGATAATCAACAGTCAGGTACCTATACACGGCGATAGAGTTAGTCCGGTCCACAAATATGAGGTCAGGTTCAGGTGGTACTCACTGCAGATCTCCTGTGGTAATATCCTCCAGCGGTTCGTTCGAACTGAACAAAGATAACAAGCTCACGAGACGGTGGCATTCCTCGAATTTGGCTATCGACGCGCTGACATCATTGCGATACTGGTCGGTGTTGGTGTCAGGGCGGACTTCCAGTGCGGTTTTCTCCGCCTTGGCCTCGTTGAAAAGAGATCTCAAATTCTGAGGTTGTTCCATTGTAGTGATTCCTGAGATGGCTGTAAGGGAGAAGCTCCGTTCGCGTCCGTTGGAGAAATTCAGCTGGCGCAGAAATGTTGGATCCGCCCCGCACGCCCCGCTATGATCACGTCGGCAGTTGTCTAGACTCGGGGAGAGAAGTAGATATATATCTCCATCTTCGTTTTCGTTCACTCTTTCTATACGCTATCGTTAGGACAACTCATTACAGTGAGATCCATGAAAGTTAACTATTACACTTGACAGATCTCTGGTTCCTCGAAAAATGACACCAGTCTCATTCATTGAGTTATCGTCTCACTGCAGGAGGCCGCCTGCGTTTGCACTGGTCTGCACCTGCCGTAAAGGGCAGGCAGTGAATGTTCCTGCCCTCATTCACCCCACTTTGTACTCCTTCTCTTATCTCTTCTCTCTTCCTTCATCTAAGCTCTGCTTTCCAGTCTTCTCATCTCTTTCTCCTCACTTTGTCGGAGAGACTCATCTGAGTTGCTCTCATCATGGAGGCAACTACGCCATCACCTGAATTACTTGACGCAATAGGGCTCCCCAGAGCGCAGCAGCCAGAAGACCAAGCATCAGTCTTCTCCGGAGAGAATCCTCTTGTTTCCGATGGTGGGGCTGAGAAAGATGACAGTTCTTCAGATGAATCGCACAATGACAGCGATGAAAATGGGTCCAGTCATCAACATGTTTCTCAGCGACGGAAGGTTCAAAATGCGAAATTTGAGGCCTTGTAAGCTAAAGGTTCCTTGAAATACATGCATCTGATATTAATAATCTCACAGGCTCCATCAGAGAGTGCAAGAAGATACGGTCGAAGTACTCAAATCCGCGATTCCGAATGTGCCAGATGCCGAGCTCTCCACTGCTCACTTGATAGCGAAACAAGACCTCGGAGTCGGTATCTTAGACCCAAGAGAATATCAGGTGGAGCTTTTTGAAAGAGCCAAATCTCAAAATACCATTGCTGTTCTTGACACTGGTATGTCCATGTATATCCCAGCTTTTCACCTGCAAGACACTGATGACATTCAAGGGTCGGGGAAGACATTGATAGCAGTGCTACTGCTGAAGCACATCATACATGACGAGCTGGTTGACCGCGCTGCTGGAAAGCCACATCGAATATCGTTCTTTCTGGTATTCATTCTGTTCCTCTTCTTTGAAATCCAACATTCAAATTGCATATATATTGACTTGTCGGTAGGTGGACAGCGTTACACTCGCATTCCAACAGGCTGCAGTCCTGCGCAATAACATAGATCAGAATATCGCTCATTTCTATGGAGCCATGGGTGTGGATCTATGGAGCAAACAAACCTGGGACGAGCACTTTGGAAAGAACATGGTGATAGTCTGTACGGCTGAGATCTTGAACCAATGCTTGCTAAACTCTTATATCAAGATAGATCAGATAAACCTGCTCATCTTCGATGAAGCTCACCATACAAAGAAGGATCATCCCTACGCGCGGTTCGTGGTTTTATTCGATGCACTGAATCAGTTCTGACCTTTTTCAGGATCATCCGGGAATCATACCTCAGAGCAGATCCTTCGCATCGGCCCAGAATCTTTGGAATGACCGCTTCACCTATTGACACCAAGGGAGATATCATAGACGCCGCAATGTAGGTTTTTGCATCTCGACGCTCGGACAACACCAACCAACAGTGCCGCAGATCCCTCGAAACACTCCTGGACAGTAAGATAGCTACCACATCGAAACAAAATCTGTTACGGCAGGTTGTCAGTCGACCAGTGGAAAAGGTTTGGGCCTACGATCGGCTGGAAACACCATTTGCAACCATGTTGTATAGCACAATGGAAAACCGCTTCGGCGACATGGCAGCACTAGAAGGGATATCCAGGTTTGCTCGCCTAGCAAGCTCTGAGCTTGGGAAATGGTGCTCAGACCAAGCATGGATACATGCATTGGCTGATGATGTGCTACCGAAACTCGAGAATACGGTCAGTAAGTTGCTACAATCAGGTAGCTCGTCCCAGATCCCGGAAACTGCATACAAGGAAATCTCGCGGATCAAAGAAGCTAGTGAGATTGTGAAGAAACACACATTTGGAAACCCCAGTTTCCCGGGTGAATTGAGTTCGAAAGTACAGCTCCTATGTGATGAACTGAAAGCATGCTTCGGTAGCTCGACGGAGACGAAGTGCATCGTGTTTACACAGAAACGTTACACCGCCAGAATGCTGTTTGAGCTTTTCACGAAATTGGAAATCCCATTTATTCGACCTGGTGTCCTCATAGGGGTGAGGTCTGGTGATGTGGCAGGCATGAATGTGACTTTCCGACAACAATTCCTTGCGCTGGTCAAGTTCAGGAGTGGAGAAATAAACTGCCTGTTTGCTACTTCTGTGGCAGAGGAAGGTCTTGATATTCCGGATTGCAATTTGGTTGTTAGGTCAGTTGCGCTTGAATGTTTTACTGCTTGAGAGCTTATGCTGATTGAAAAGATTCGACCTGTATAACACGCTCATTCAGTATGTACAGAGTCGAGGGCGTGCACGCCATCATCAATCGACTGTAAGGAACTAAATACCTTATGTTGAACTCATTCTGACCTAGATACCTGCAGTACGCAGTCATGACCGAGAAGATGAACAGCACACATCAAGCACTACTGGAAGAAACTCAAGAAGCTGAAGTAAGTTTTATACGCCCTTGAAGTAGGGCGAGAGAAGGGTGGCTTGTCTAATAACGTTATCGATTCTAACATTTATACAGAAAATCATGCAAACTTTCTGTGAGACTCTCCCAGAGGACCGCATATTGTATGGGAACGAGCCAGATATAGAGTCAATTCTCGAGAAAGAAGAAGGAAAGCGGACATACACCATCAGAAAAACAGGGGCAAAGTTGACCTATCATTCATCCATTGCTGTTCTAGCTCGCTATGCTAGCTCTTTGGTACGTCCTGCATTTTTTAGATTGTTAGGTAGTTCACTAACAAGATTACACGTTAGCAATATGAGAGGGACATCATCGCCCAGGCAACCTATGTCGTTCTTCCTTCGAATGGCGCCTTTGTTTGCGAGGTCATTCTCCCGGAAAAATCGCCAATTCGAGGACTTACAGGCAGTCCTGAAATGAAGAAATCCACCGCAAAGCAGTCTGCAGCTTTTGATGCTTGCATAATGCTTCGAAAACACAAACTTCTTGATGAACATCTCAATTCGATATATCACAAGCGCCTACCTGTAATGAGAAACGCGAAGTTGGCCATCACGTCCAAGCATACAAATCAATATGCCATGCTGTCAAAACCTTCGCTTTGGAGGCAGAAAGAGGGAACCGTGCCGGATCAGCTTTACGTTACGGTCATTACCTTAACCCCTTCGAAGCCTCTTTCCAAAAAGCATGCGGGCATAGTATTCTTGACCCGGCAGAGAATGCCGAAGTTTCCCTCCTTCTCGATCTTTCTAGACGACGATATTGAAACTACAGTCCAATTTGCGTCCCAACAAGAAGCCCTGTCGGTGTCTCTTGAAGGTATGGAGCTGTTGACAACTTTTACGCTGCGTGTTTTCCAAGACATTTTCCATAAAATATACGCACGAGAGCCCGAAAAGCTACCGTACTGGCTTGCTCCAGCTGACTTGGGCGATGAGGTCAAGCCCTCGTCATTATTATCTCCTAGACAAGATGAAGAGGCCTTTGATCCCGTGCAGTGTCCTAGGAACGTGGCTGATACGACGGAGCGATCTTTCCTGAATATATCCCCAGGAAAGCAGAGCGATGATCGGAATCCAATTGACTGGAAAGCATTATCTTTCATAGGTGAGAACGAGGAGATCTTGCTTCCTGGCGATTCCGATCCGAAGCTCTTGCTCAACCGCTTCGTCTATGATAAATGGGACGGGCGATACAGATACTTCAGCGTAGACATTGAGGAGACATTGTCTCCATCAAGTCCGCCACCGACCTTCGCACCACGCCGTAGGAACATGAAAGACATCATGAACTATACACTAAGTCTTTCAAAGAACTCACGAGCCTTGTTCCTTTCCAAGTGTAAGTGGGATCAACCAGTCGTTCGAGCAGAGCTGGTACGTCTTCGCCGGAATCTCTTGGACAAAATGACAGAAAAGGAGAAGAGTATCGAAACCCGATGCGTCATTTGCATTGAGCCGTTGAGGATCTCCACGGTGAGCTCCATGAAATAACAATTTATATTATGGCGACATACTGATATTCTAGATTTCGGCACCAACCGCCGCTTCCTGTCTGGCTTTCCCTGCAATTTTGAGCAGAATGGAGGCCTGCTTAGTTGCACTCGAAGCATGCGAGAAGTTAGAACTTGTTGTAGATCCGGGGCTTGCTTTAGAAGCATTTACTAAGGATTCCGACAACACGGAGGAACATCGGGCCCAGCAAATTCATGCTCAAAGAGGCATGGGGAAGAATTACGAGCGCCTCGAATTCCTTGGCGACTGTTTTCTTAAGATGGCTATCTCAATATCGCTATTCGCGCAGAATCCTGACGACGACGAGTATGACTATCATGTGAATCGCATGTGCCTTATTTGCAACAAGAACCTCTTCGTCTCGGCGAAGAAGCAGGAACTTTACCAGTACATCCGGAGCCGAGGGTTCTCGAGGTAATTCACTAATCGTGATAAAAAGAATGAGGCTGACATTTCAATTCTAAGACACACATGGTATCCTGATGGCCTGAATCTTCTGCAGGGTAAAGATCACAGCCGAAATGTCTCTTCCGAGGGCAAGCATGCACTCGGAGAGAAGACAATCGCGGATGTTTGCGAAGCGGTTATCGGGGCTTCATTGCTCTCTGGTGGCTACGAGCATCGGTTTGATGTCGCCGTGAAAGCAGTGACCGCCTTTGTTGACAGTGCAGATCATAGAAAATCATGCTGGAAAGATTATGTCGCGTCATACACTATCCCCAGATATCAAGCCCAAAAGCCTGATGGATTCGAAATTGATCTCTGCCAGACAATTGAGAAGAAGCTAGGATATGGCTTCAAGTACCCGCGACTCTTGAATTCGGCCTTTACTCATCCGTCATACCCTTCAGCATGGGTTAAAGTGCCTTGTTACCAGAGACTTGAATTCTTAGGCGATTCACTTCTTGATATGGTGTGCGTGGAAGACATATTCCACCGATTCCCCGACAGAGACCCTCAATGGCTCACAGAGCATAAAGTAGGTTGGCATGCCAGAAGGTGTTGCATAGAAATCCTAACCAAATTTTTCTACACAGATGGCAATGGTATCGAACAAATTTCTTGGTGCTCTTGCAGTCAAGCTCGGGCTTCATACGCACCTGAAACATTTCAGCAATCCCTTGCAGTCGCAAATTACCCACTACGCGGAGGAGATCCAAACTGCAGAAAACGAAAGTGAGGGAGCAGTAGATTATTGGATTCTTACCAAAGATCCACCCAAGGTATGGATATATCCATCGTCGTGTCGTTCCCTCTGCTAACATAACTTATTAGTGCCTTCCCGACATGGTTGAAGCGTACCTGGGAGCTGCATTTGTAGACTCAAGTTTCAATTTCGAGGTGATAGAGGGATTTTTCCAGCGCTACATCAAGCCTTACTTCCAGGACATGACAATTTATGACACTTTTGCCAACAAGCACCCTACAGTAAGTTCCTTTCTTTTCCCCTGGTACTAAACTGACCTGACGCAGACGTTCCTGCACAACCGGTTGACAAACGAATTCGGTTGCTCCAATTATTGTCTGAAGGCCGGTGAAATGTTCACTATCGATGGGAGCCCTGTCAGCGTTCTTGCTGCTGTGATCATACATGATGCTGTGATCGCCGAAGGAACAGCCTCATCTGGTCGTTATGCAAAAGTCAAGGCGAGTGAGAAAGCACTGGGCGTCTTGGAACATACTGGTGCCTCGGAATTTCGCGCAAAGTATCATTGTGACTGTGGAGCCACCGATAGCTTTCAGAGCGTGGACATTGGAACCGCCATATGAGGGCTTCATTTTTATTTGGGTATTCACGCCTCGGGAGATGGAAGTCTGAAACTATTCAAACAGGCATAGCTAGGACTTTTCCGGGAGGAGTTTGTCCAAATGATATGGTAATCCAATATTTTATTATGGAGTAGTGAGAATCCGTTTATGCAGCCTGGAACCTACAAAGTCAACCACGGGCAAGACCCCATCCCATGGCCACGGAACCGTATCCTTGTAGATAGTAGATACTAAATAGAGGGAGTTCATGTCAGGAACCGGCACGGGAGCGACACTGAGGGAGCCGTGGACCGCCAGGCCGTTGTCTCACGCTAGTCCCGTTTGGGCGTAGCGCCACTGCCCCCTGAAGTAGACAGAGAAACGCGTCCCGCTGCGTCGGACACCGATTTATCGACCAAGAGCAGAGACAGAGTGCAACAGAGGGAAATACCCGTCAGACCATGACTATCTGACCTGCGACCGGTCCTTTCATTTACTGCTCCTTTTAATTTGCATATATTCCCCACTTCTTCTTCTCTCTATTTTCCATTTCCACCCGCCTTGTCGAGAATCCGATACCCGAGCGAACGTCGCGACCGGTGTGCTTGCTGTCAACATCGCAACAAGCTCATTCCTCCTCCTTCCTCTCCATGATCAACATCGGCCGTCCCCTATAGGTTATCGCAAAGATGGAGATCGCCTCTCACGGGGTCTCGAACGGCGTCTCAACGCCGACCCCGGCCTCCCTGGTAGATTCGAGCGCCGTCATACATTTTCTGGTCGAAGTGTTGCAAGTGACCTTGGGAGCTCTGAGAATCGAGCTGGAAGGCGCTGGTAGCTTGCTATCGAAGGAAAAGTATGAAGAAACGGTACAGAGATGTACGCGGTTCGCATCGGAGTCTCAGATGGCTCTTTATGTGCAGAAGGATATTGTCGGATCGGAGGTGACCAACGGCGCGGATGACGGTGAAGGTAGGTTTATTCTGATGGCCTTGTTCAAAAACTTCTCATGAGAAAATGGTTAATCAGTTGCAGTATCGTCGACCCAGTATGTTTACAACGTCTCCACCGAGATTTCTTCGTCCTCTACCACGGTCGCATCGGTCGCCTTCATAAAACGCCCGGCCTCTATCGATCCTACGCTTCCGATCTCCTCTCAAATCCAGGTGATGAACCTTCCGGGATTGGCATCACTCAATACCCAAGCGCCGCAGGGTGGCTCTTTGTCTCCGTATGAGATCCTACATTTGCTGGTCCACCATGGTCTTAGCCCCTACTTCGAAGCCTATGCCCGAAACCAAGATGCCATGGGTGGTCTGAAACCGAGGACAGACACGGAGGTGAAGACCGGTGTTCCGGGGACGAAAAAGAAATTTGCGGAGCTGGAGCTGGGCCTACTGCATCTGCAGCAGAATGTTGAGATTCCGGCCTTGAATCTGCCTCTGCATGAGGTAGTCCAGGCCGCACTTGCGGAGGCGGAAAGACGACGAACAAGGCCTTCTGTGGAGCTGGTCGACCCGAAAGTACTTGAGAGTAGCACCTTTATCAACAGCATCCAAAACAACGTGAATGCCTGGATCCGGTCCATCCAGACCATCACGAAAATGTCCCGTGATGCCGACAGCGGATCAGCAGCGCAAGAAATCAATTTCTGGCTGTCGATGGAAACTGCTCTTGAGGGAATTGAAAATCAGCTGCGCGGTGATGGTGTGCAGTTGACCATGGATATACTTCGTCATGCAAAGCGATACCAGGCGACTCTTAGTTTTGTGGCCGACACTGGTTTGCGCGAGGCAACAGACCTTGTCCAGAAGTACAACCAGCTGATGCGAGATTTTCCATTGGACGAGCTCTTGTCTGCCACTACCCTCCAGAAAGTGCAGGAATCTTTGAGTCTGATCTTCAACCACCTCAACAAAAAGTTGAAGATTTGTCCCTATCCCATCAAGCGAGCTCTTGCGCTTGTGGAAGCCATTTCAGGAGACCTCGACACCCAAATCCACACGCTGCTGCATGGTAGGACTATCCTGCATCTGGACTACCGTGAGTTCCGTGCCTTGATGAAGACTGCTGGCGCTATCTGGAGAACTTGGGATGAGAACCTCAAAGAGTTCACCAACGTTGCCCGAGACTCCACAAGACGTCGAAACGAAAAATTCATCCCAATTAAGATCACCGCGCGTCACGAAAAGACACAGGAGCGTTTGAAATATATCAATACATTCCGTGTCAATCACGAGCAACTTCAAAGGACTATTGTGAACGTTTTGGGTCCGAGCACTTCATCGTCAGCGGAAACTGCCGCCGGAGCTGGCTCCGATGGCGCCGTCGTCGTTGAGGAGATTGGAGACGTGGACGCTGTCGAGGAAGTTGCAGAGGCGTACGCTGCTTTGAAGAACGTGGATGTGCTGGATGTCTCTGAAGAAGGCACCGAGCAGTGGATCAAAGAAGAGATCGCGTACAATGAGCGGACTTCCCGTGTTGAGAACTCTATCATTGCACGCCTCAGAGATCGTCTTGCGACAGCAAAGAATGCCAATGAGATGTTTCGCGTTTTCTCCAAATTCAACGCCCTCCTGGTGCGCCCCAAGGTCAGGGGTGCCATTGTGGAGTACCAGACCCAGCTCATAGAGAACGTCAAGCAAGATATCTCAGCCTTGCATGAACGATTCAAGCAACAGTATGCTCATTCCGAGGCACACGCAATGGCGCAACTACGGGATCTCCCCCCAGTTTCTGGTGCCATCGTGTGGGCCCGCCAGATTGAACGCCAGCTCGATGGGTACATGCGCAAAGTTGAAAATGTGCTCGGAGAAGATTGGCATCTTCATGCTGAAGGTGGGAAACTTGATAGCGAGGCGAAAATGTTCCGAAAGAAACTGGACACTCGCCCGGTCTTCGAGTCGTGGCTGCATGATGTGCAGAGACGCCATATCACGATCTCTGGCCGACTGTTTAACGTCGTCCGCAACCGTGCTGCGGGCAATACTTTGGAGCTCACAGTCAATTTTGATGCCCAAGTTATTGCTTTGTTTAAAGAAGTGAGAAACCTGATCTGGCTGAACTTCCAGGTACCTCACGCCGTCAGCAACATATCGAAGGAAGCCAAACGGGTTTACCCCTACGCCATCAGCCTCATGGAGAGTGTGCGCACATTGCTCCAAACGAACCGCTCAATTCTAGGCATGACCGATGTTGCCATCCTGTTGAATGGATATGTGAATGATGCGCAAGGCATGATTGTGAAAGGTGTCCCCCTCAGATGGGAATCATTCGTCCACTCATACGAGCTCCATGTTAAGCAGTCTGCGTTAGCCAACGGTGCTATTGACTCCGCAATTTCAGGGCGAGGAGAAAGCAAACATGTGCAGTTTGTCCGCGAATTTGCTGGATCAGCGTCTGTTCTTCAATCCAAGACGGCTGTTTTGACAGCGATCAACGAGAATATCCAGAAGGCCATTCATGAATTAAAAACGTGTCCCTATGACTCTTCCGCTTTCAAACAACGCCTGGATTCCATTCAGGTCGCCGTTGATAAGCTGAACCTGGAGAATTATGTCAACCTCGGATATTGGGTTGCCAACCTAAACCAGAAAATCGAGTCTATTTTGAGCGACCGTCTTCACCGCGCGATCAGGGAATGGATCAATTCATTCCAGGAGGCAAAGGATGGCCAGTCGAACATGCAGATGATGAACGGTAAAAACCATCTTTCTACTGGCGAGCCGGAAGTTCCGGCTTACAATATTGAATTCTCAGAACTTGTCCATGAAATCTCTATGCGCAATCAAGTTCTTCACCTTGATCCGCCTTTGCAATTCGCTCGAGCGAGCTGGTTCTCGCAGTTCGATAACTGGCTGGGCATTGTTTGCAACCTCGAAAAGATCAAGGCGTCCCGATACCAAATCTCTATTGATATCCAAAAGGTCCATTTGTCTGAAGCGTGCTTTGCTATCCTTCCGCAGCACTGTACGAATGAGCTCAGTCAGGTTTACAATGCTGTCGACGTGAGACTGAAAGAGGTATCGGAATATGTTGACAAGTGGCTGCAGTTCCAGTCATTGTGGGATCTACGTTCCGAGCAGGTTTATGACATCCTCGGTGACGATTTGTCTCAGTGGCTCCAACTGCTCCAAGAGATCCGGAAGAGCCGAGCCACGTTTGATACCTCAGAAGTCAGCCGCTCCTTTGGTAACATCAAGATCGATTACGAGCAGGTGCAGACTAGGGTCAACGCAAAGTACGACCAATGGCAACATGAAATTCTTCTCAAGTTCGGAGCCAAACTAGGGGGCCGCATGCGAGAAGTTCACTCTGAGATCGCCTCAGCGCGGCGTGACCTCGAAGGACAAACCTTGGAAGCTGCTTCCACTGCCCATGCCGTTTCCTTTATCACAATCGTCCAGCAGTGCAAGCGGAAAGCCAAGGTCTGGGAGCCAGAAGTCGATCTCTTCCGCCAGGGCCAAGCCACACTTGCACGCCAGCGTTACCAATTCCCGAGTGACTGGCTCCACGTGGAGAATGTTGATGGCGAATGGGCTGCCTTGAATGAGCTGCTTGCCCGGAAGAGCAAGATTGTACAAGACCAAACGGAAGGCTTACGGGCGAAGATTGCCGCCGAAGACAAGGTCATCGGGGACAAGATTGCTGAAGTCATCTCCCAGTGGAACGAAGAAAAGCCCGTGTCTGGAACTATACCCCCTGACGAGGCGTCTCGTACTCTAAGCTCGTTCCAGTCGCGCCTTGAGGCTCTTCAATCTGAATTTGAGATGGTATCTAAAGCCAAGGAAGCTCTTGATCTCCCAGCAAGCGTCGAGTCTTCTTTGCCAGCAATTTTGGAGGAGGTACAAGACTTCATGTCTGTGTGGGCAGCTTTGTCCACCATCTGGAAGAGTTTGAATGATCTCAGAGACGGGTTGTGGACGAGTGTGCAACCCCGGAAACTTCGTCAGTCCATCGACGGCCTAATCAAGATGACCAAGGAAATGCCTAGCAGAATGCGCCAATATGCTGCTTTCGAGCATATCCAAAACGTCCTCCGGAAATTGCTCAAAGTAAACCCGTTGCTTTCTGATATGAAGTCTGAAGCTGTCCGAGAACGACACTGGCAGAAGATTTACAAGTCGCTCAAGCCTGGCCAAAGGTTCTCTCTCGTTTCGCTCACCCTTGGAGATGTGTGGGATCTACAGCTCACCGCCAGTGAGCCCGTGATTCGCGGCATCATTGCCCAGGCCCAAGGTGAAATGGCACTGGAAGAATTCCTGAAATCGGTCCGCGAGACTTGGCAGAACTATTCCCTCGACCTTGTTAACTATCAGAACAAGTGTCGCCTGATTCGCGGCTTCGATGATCTGTTTGCGAAATGTAGCGAAAACCTGAATTCCTTGCAAGCAATGAGGCATTCGCCTTACTATAAAGAGTTTGAGGAAGAGGCTTCATCTTGGGAAGACAAGCTCAATCGAGTGCATGTCCTCTTTGACGTGTGGATCGATGTTCAAAGACAGTGGGTTTACTTGGAAGGCGTGTTTACCGGAAATGCCGACATCAAGCACCTTCTTCCTCTTGAATCCAGCCGCTTCCAGAACATTAACTCCGAGTTCTTTGCCGTCATGAAGAAGGTCTATAAGTCCCCTTTCGTGCTCGATGTGCTTGCAATCAACGGTGTGCAAAAGTCGCTGGAGCGACTGGCTGAGCTGCTGAACAAGATCCAGAAGGCATTGGGCGAGTATTTGGAGCGAGAGCGTATATCTTTCCCTCGGTTCTATTTCGTTGGTGACGAAGATCTCCTTGAGATTATTGGCAACAGTAACGATATCTTCCGTGTGGCAAAGCATTTCAAGAAGATGTTTGCTGGTCTATCAGGTGTCCTCATGGATGACGAGAACAACATTACCGGCTTTACTTCTAAGGAAGGAGAGGAGGTTCGACTGAAAAAGGAAGTCAACCTTCTCAAGACCCCTAGGATCAACGACTGGCTTACTGCCCTGGAGAGCAACATGAAATTGACATTAGCTGAACTTGTTGCTGAAGCTGTGGAGGAATTTGAGCCTCTATACCATGCCTCCGAGATCGACAGCACTGCTTTCAGTGACTTCCTTGCCAAATATCCGGCTCAAATTGTGGTCCTTACCTGCCAGGTGGTGTGGACTAGTGCCGTGCAAAAATCCCTAGAAAACGAGGGCACGAATCTTCCGGCTTTGTTCGACGCACAGGTGCGAGTTCTGGATTTGCTCGCTGCTACTGTCCTTGGAGAATTGGACTCGATTACCAGAAAGAAGTGTGAACATATGATCACTGAATTTGTGCACCAGCGTGATGCTATCTCCAAACTCATCACCTACAATGCCTCGACGCCCATGCACTACTTCTGGCTACTGCAGATGCGCTACGTGTATAACCCCGAAGGCGACTTTATTCAGCGGCTCTATGTTCACATGGCCAATGCCAAACTGCACTATGGATTCGAGTATCTTGGAGTTCCCGAGCGCCTTGTTCGTACACCACTGACTGATCGCTGTTTCTTGACACTTACGCAAGCTCTGTGTCAACGATTGGGTGGTTCGCCCTATGGTCCGGCTGGTACCGGAAAAACAGAATCTGTGAAGGCTTTGGGTCTCCAACTTGGTCGCTTTACGCTTGTCTTCTGCTGTGATGACACATTTGATTACCAGGCCATGGGCCGAATCTTTTTGGGTATTTGTCAAGTTGGAGCATGGGGCTGTTTCGACGAGTTTAACCGTCTGGAAGAGAGAATCTTGTCTGCTGTCTCTCAGCAAATTCAAAACATCCAGATTGGGTTGAAGAACGTAGAATCCGATGACAAGGCCCAGATCGAACTTGTCGGAAGAAGACTCAGTGTTAACCCCAACACTGGGATCTTCATTACCATGAACCCTGGCTACGCAGGCCGTTCTAACTTGCCCGACAATCTGAAGAAGCTTTTCAGAAGCGTTGCGATGTCCAAGCCCGACAAGGAACTAATCGCCGAAGTCATGCTATTCTCGCAAGGTTTCAAGCAAGCCAAGCGTTTGTCAACGCAGACAGTGCCCTTCTTCGACCATTGCTCTTCGAAGCTGACAAAACAAGCTCACTACGACTTCGGTCTGCGTGCCTTGAAGAGTGTTTTGGTCAGTTCCGGAGGTCTCAAGCGTACCCGCATCGCCACCGCAGAGGGTGATTTGGGCCCCGATGAGGTCGTCGAACCGCAGATCATCGTTCAGAGTCTTCGGGAGACGATCGCTCCTAAACTGGTCCGAGAAGATGTCGACCAAATGCTTGAGATTCAGCAAGAAGTGTTCGCTGGGGTGGAGTACGTACCGGCGAATTACGAGAAGCTTACGTCGGCCATCCGTGAGATTGCACAGGAGCAGCATTATGTCGACAGCGAAATGTGGATCACCAAGGCCCTGCAACTTTACCAAATCCAGACTATCCACCATGGTGTCATGATGGTCGGCAAGTCCGGATCTGGTAAATCGGCTGCTTGGAAGATCCTTCTCCAAGCGCTGCAGCGTATTGAAGGGGTTGAAGGTGTTTCTCATATCATCGACTCGAAGGTTATGTCCAAGGAGGCACTTTATGGTAGCCTGGATAGCACTACGAGAGAATGGACAGACGGTCTATTTACCGGTATTCTTAGAAAGATTGTTGACAACCTTCGAGGCGAAGACTCGAAGCGACACTGGATCGTGTTTGACGGTGATGTTGATCCCGAGTGGGTTGAGAACTTGAACAGTGTTCTCGATGACAACAAGCTCTTAACCCTTCCCAACGGTGAGCGTCTGAACCTGCCACCCAATGTCCGAATCATGTTCGAAGTGGAGAGTCTCAAGTATGCCACGCTGGCAACCGTCAGTCGTTGTGGTATGGTGTGGTTTAACGATGACACCGTCACGCCCTCTATGATGATCTCCAATTATGTTGAGTCTCTCAAGACACGCACTTTTGAAGATTTGGATGATGACAGTGCCCCCGCTGGCCAAGCTGCTATCAAGACACAAGATGCACAGGAAATGGTGTCCGGTATATTCAAGCACCTTCTCCAGACCGACGGGCTCATCCTCAAATCTCTGGAGGAAGCCAAGAAGTACAACCACATCATGGAGTTTACCGATATCCGTGCCCTCAACACATTGTTCAGTTTATTGAACAAGACCTGCAGGAACGTCCTCGAGTACAATGTTCAGCACATTGACTTCCCACTGGACTCGGAACAAATCGAATCTTACATTTCCAAGAAGCTACTTCTTGCCCTTGTCTGGTCCTTTACGGGTGACTGCCCCCTGGGAGATCGTCAATCATTCGGCGGGTTCGTATCTGCTCTAACAACGACCGACTTGCCGCCTGATGGTGTCTCATCTCTCATCGATTACGACGTCACTCTACCGAGGGCAGAGTGGACAAGCTGGCAGTCACAGGTCCCCTCCATTGAGATCAACACTCACTCCATCACCCAGACCGATGTTGTGGTCCCCACGGTGGACACGGTTCGCCATGAAGATGTCTTGTATTCATGGCTGGCGGAACATAAGCCACTGCTGCTTTGCGGTCCTCCAGGTTCTGGTAAAACCATGACCTTGTTTGCTGCTCTTCGAAAGCTCCCCAACATGGAGGTTGTCGGTCTTAACTTCTCCAGCGCCACGACCCCTGATCTTCTCATTAAGACGTTCGAGCAATACTGCGAGTACAAGAAGACACTGAACGGTGTTGTTATGTCTCCTAACCAGATTGGTCGCTGGCTGGTTATCTTCTGCGATGAAATTAACCTTCCAGCCCCTGACCATTACGGAACCCAGCGTGCTATTGCTTTCTTGCGTCAACTTGTTGAGCAGAACGGTTTCTGGAGAACCTCCGACAAGACCTGGGTTACTTTGGACCGCATCCAATTTGTCGGTGCTTGTAATCCTCCTACCGACGCTGGACGTACTCCTCTTGCCGAGAGATTCTTGCGTCACTCTCCTTTGGTCATGGTTGACTATCCTGGAGAGCTCTCACTCACGCAGATCTATGGAACTTTCAACTCGGCGGTGCTGAAGATCCTTCCCTTGCTGCGCGGTTACTCCGACTCCCTCACCAAAGCTATGGTTCAATTTTATTTGGAGTCTCAATCTAGGTTTACCGCCAAGATCCAACCTCACTATGTGTACTCTCCCCGTGAACTTACTCGATGGGTCCGTGGTGTGTACGAGGCGATCAAACCTCTCGAGAGCCTCTCGGTCGAGGGCCTGGTCCGAATCTGGGCGCACGAAGCCTTGCGTCTTTTCCAGGATCGACTTGTGGCGGAAGAAGAGAGAAACTGGACCGGCGATGCGGTGCGACGCATTGCGCTTGAGCACTTCCCGAACATGGACGCGGAAGAGGCCTTGAAGGGTCCAATCCTGTTCTCGAACTGGTTGTCGAAGAATTACGTGCCCGTGGAACAAGAGCGACTGCGTGACTTCGTCAAGGCCCGACTCAGGACTTTCTGCGAAGAAGAGGTCGACGTTCCTCTTGTACTGTTTAATGATGTCCTCGAACATGCCCTTCGCATTGACCGAGTCTTCCGCCAGCCTCAGGGCCACCTCATTCTCATTGGTGTTAGCGGTAGTGGTAAGACCACTTTGTCCCGATTTGTTGCCTGGATGAACGGGTTGAAGGTCTTCCAAATCAAGGTGCATGGAAAATACTCATCTGAGGATTTCGATGATGATCTCAGAACCGTCCTCCGCCGAGCAGGCTGCAAGGGAGAGAAGATCTGCTTCGTCATGGACGAATCAAACGTTCTTGATTCTGGTTTCCTCGAACGCATGAATACCCTGCTAGCCAACGCCGAAGTTCCTGGCTTGTTTGAAGGAGACGAGTTCTCGTCCTTGATGACCGCTTGTAAGGAAGGTGCACAGCGCCAGGGTCTTCTCCTCGATACTCAAGAAGAACTCTATAAGTGGTTCACGCAGCAGATTGTCAAGAACTTGCACGTTGTGTTCACCATGAATCCTCCCGAGGAAGGCCTGTCGTCAAAGGCGGCCACAAGTCCTGCGTTGTTCAACAGATGCGTTCTCAACTGGATGGGTGACTGGTCTGACCAGGCTCTCTTCCAGGTCGGCTCGGAACTGACCCAGTCGATTGACTTGGACAAGGCAAACTTTGTTGCTCCGGATAGCATCCCTGTGGCATATCGGGAATTGAGTCTTCCGGCATCACACCGAGAAGCCGTGGTCAACGCGATGGTTTACATCCATTACTCTTTGCAACGATTCAACGGGCGTCTCCAGAAACAACAAGGCAAAACTACATTCCTTACACCTCGCCATTACCTCGACTTCGTTGCCCATTATGTGAAGCTTTTCAACGAGAAACGCGAGGATCTAGAGGAACAGCAAAGACACTTGAACGTGGGTCTTGAGAAACTTAGGGACACTGTCGTTAAAGTTCGCGACCTGGGTGGTAGCCTCGACCAGAAGAAGCTACAGCTCGAAAAGAAAGACAAGGAGGCGAACGAAAAGCTCAAGCGTATGGTCGCTGACCAGCAAGAAGCCGAACAGCGCAAGGCAGTCTCTCTAGAGGTCTCAGCGGCACTCGAAAAACAGGAGAAGGAGGTAGCCGAACGAACGGAGGTTGTCCGCAACGACCTCGCCCGTGCCGAACCTGCTGTTCTAGAAGCCCAGAAGAGTGTCAGCAACATCAAACGTCAACATCTCACCGAAGTTCGATCGATGGGTAATCCTCCGGCCAGTGTTCGTCTTGCGCTCGAGGCCGTGTGCACATTGCTGGGCCACAAAGTGGATAGCTGGAAGACTATTCAGGGTATCGTACGAAAGGATGATTTCATCGCCAGCATTGTCAATTATGACAACGAGAAACAGATGACAAGAGCCCATCGGAACAAGATGCAGAACGAATTCATCTCGAAGGAAGACTTCACCTACGAGCGAGTCAGCAGAGCAAGCAAAGCCTGTGGTCCTTTGGTCCAATGGGTTGAAGCTCAGGTGAACTATTCGGCGATTCTGGACCGTGTTGGACCTCTGCGTGAGGAAGTTGAACAGCTCGAGGACCGCGCACAACAGACCAAGGCCGAAGGACAAGCCATCCTTAACACTATCCAGGACCTCGAGAGCAGCATTGCCACCTACAAAGAAGAATATGCCGCCCTTATCAGTGAAACCCAAGCCATCAAGACGGAAATGTCGCGGGTCCAATTTAAGGTTGACCGAAGTCTGCGTTTGCTTGACAGTCTGTCGTCTGAACGTACCAGATGGGAAGAGGGTAGCAAATCCTTCGAGACTCAAATCAGCACCCTGGTTGGCGACGTTTTGGTTGCAGCAGCGTTCCTCGCCTACGCCGGTCTTTACGACCAACAGTTCCGTAAGGCCATGATTGACGACTGGGCCAATCATCTGGTGCAGTCTGGCATCACATTCAAGCCACATAACCCCATCACCGAATACTTGTCGAATGCCGATGAACGTTTGACTTGGCAAGACCATTCTCTTCCGGTTGATGACCTCTGCACGGAGAATGCCATCATCCTAAAGAGATACAACAGATATCCGCTGATCATCGATCCCTCTGGTCGAGTCACGGAATTCTTGCAGAAGGAAAGCACGGACAGGAAGCTCACTGTCACTAGCTTCTTGGACGACTCTTTTGTCAAGCAACTGGAGAGTGCCCTCCGATTCGGAAACCCAATTCTGATCCAAGACGCCGAGCACCTGGATCCCATTCTCAGTCATGTTCTCAACAAGGAGTACCAGAAAACCGGAGGACGTGTTCTTATTCAACTGGGCAAGCAAGAGATTGACTTCTCGCCATCGTTCAGGCTTTTCTTGTCAACCCGAGATCCGTCCGCAGCTTTTCCGCCGGACATCTGCAGTAGAACAACATTTGTCAACTTTACTGTCACCCAGAGCAGTTTGCAGACGCAGTCGCTCAATGAGGTCCTGAAGTTTGAGCGACCCGATGTGGACGCCCAGCGCAACGACTTGGTGAAACTGCAAGGAGAGTTCAAGGTTCACCTTCGTCAACTGGAGAAGAGGCTTCTCCAAGCCTTGAATGAGTCTCGTGGTAACATTCTTGATGATGACAACGTCATTGAGACTCTCGAGACCCTGAAGAAAGAAGCCGCTGAAATCTCCAAGAAGATGGTTGAAACCGAAGGAGTTATGACAGAGGTGGAGAGCATCACTCTGAACTACAACATCATTGCCCGCTCTTGCAGTGCTGTATTCGCCGTGTTGGAACAACTTCATCACATCAATCACTTCTATCAATTCTCTCTTCAGTACTTCACCGACATCTTCAGCTCGGTTCTCTACCAGAACAAGCGTCTTGCCCAGGAGAAGGAGCATAACGCTCGAATGCAGATCATCCTCCGTGATCTGTTCGTCACAACTTACCAGCGGACTTCGTTGGGCTTGGTCCAAAAGGACCGCATCACGTTCGCAATGCTTCTGGCGCAGGCCTCTCCTTTCCCTATGGACAAAGACATTCTTGACACCATCTTGGATGAGTCAACGGAGAGCGTGGACCTCTCGACGTCTCCTGAACTAAAGGAGCAGGTGACAAATAAGGTTGCCAATATGTCCATGTTCAAGTCGTATTCCCCTGCAGTGACCCCAGAGCTGTGGGAGCAGTTCTTCACGGAAGAGCTGGCTGAAAACTCAATCCCCACACTCTGGGAGGAGAACACAGAGCCAGTCAACCGATTGCTCCGATCATTGCTGCTCGTCAAACTGTGTAGAATGGACAGATTTGTGCCAACGGCAGAACGCTTCATCGAGGCTGTGTTTGGCCGCGAGTTGTTCGAAGGCAGCTCTGATCTCAAGGACATTGTTGACCAAGTCACCGCAACCACTCCTATCGCTCTTAGCTCCAGCCCTGGTTTCGATGCTAGTTACAAGGTGGATGCTCTTGTTGAGCGTGTGCAAGCCACTTGTTCCAATCTTGCCATGGGTTCCAACGAAGGTATCGAGATTGCCGACAAAGCCATCAGCAGCGCCGCAACTGCAGGCACTTGGGTCCTGGTCAAGAACGTGCATTTGGCACCATCTTGGCTACAAAGTCTAGAGAAGAGGCTGGAATCCCTCAAGCCTCACGAGGACTTCCGTCTCTTCCTTGCCATGGAATCTAGCCCCAAGATTCCCGTCAATCTGATCCGTGCCTCCCGTGTGCTCATGTACGAGCAACCTGCCGGTGTGCGCGCCAATATGAAGGACTCGCTGTCTTCGCTCTCGACACGGGCTGGTAAACCACCAGTGGAGAAGGCGCGTGTTTACCTGCTGCTCTGCTTCTTGCACGCCGTTCTCCAGGAGCGACTTCGTTACGCACCTAGTCTTGGCTGGAAGGGATTTTGGGAGTTCAATGATAGCGACGTAAGTTACCCGCATTGCTGTCCCGGTTCCTCTACGACGATCACGAAAACTAACTCGATTCTCATCTTATAGTACGAATGCTGCGCCTTCATAATTGATCATTGGGTTGATGTGGTCGCCCAGGGTCGGTCCAACGTGGCGCCTCAGAAGCTTCCCTGGGACATGCTCCGCACGCTCGTGACCGAGACCTACGGCGGTAAGGTCGATGACTACGGTGATTTCAAGCAGCTCGAAAACCTGGTCCATAGCTTCCTCACTCCCGCAGCCTTCGAGGACGACTACAAACTGGTTTCCGGCGTCGAAAACGACGAATGCCTGACTCTTCCCGGACAGACCGGTATCCGCGACTTCGGGGAATGGGTCAACCGACTGCCTGAGAGAGAACCGCCGACGTACCTGGGTCTACCGGCCAACGCAGAGAAACTGCTACTGGTTGGGCATGGAAAGAAAATGGTGTCGGATCTTGCCAGGGTCACGGAGTTATTGGACGAGGGAGAACAGTTGATGATTGATGGTTAGGTTATATGACCTTACTTTTCTACACTTGTGTTCTGTATTTTCTTTTTTCTTTTTATTGCACTTTTTTTGTCTGTCAAATCTTTGTTAGAGCAGGATATACATACTTGTGGATTGGTTTTACTTTGGCTGTCTTTGTATGAATGATTTTGTTGTTTATCTAGATTCTCGTCCGATGCTTCCTTCCCTTCTAGGAGCTGTATTTCAATTGTTCGCTCTTTCCTTATTAAACCTCTACATCTCATAGGAATGGCAGGAAGGAAGGACTGTTTAAATAAATAGATCTGAACATTCCTCCCGAATATTGCAATCCCCTCACAACGTCAAGGTAAAACCCAACCTTCACCTTGGTTCTTGTAGACGAACCCCAACTCAAGAAAGACAATCCATAAACCTGCTACTACCAAATTCATCTCTCATACTGCAGGACACTTCTGGATAAGAACAAAATAAAAAGACCACAAATTCTCCCTTGACAGATACCTCGAAATAATCCAAGTCAAGACATTGTCACAGATGTCCGAACCCATACAGGGTGTATCCCATCTAAATATTTTCATGTTAGCTATATGTGCCGCATGAATCCATGTAAAACAAAGAAAGAAACAAAGACAGACACAAGGGATATAACATACTCGACGAAGTGCCTAGACCACCTGATAGGAACAGGATTACCCTTGAATGTCAGATCTTGTATCCCAGCTTTTATACTTCCGTTTTCCTCTTGTTCCGGATGAATGAATGAGTAGATGGACTCACGTCTTTAGTGCTCACGATCTAGATAGAATTGAAATGAAGACCATCCCAGTTAGTCTACTTAGTCAATGGAAGTAACCAGACAAACCTACCTTCCGGGGGTTCTCTTTCGAGCCGGATGACTCCACCACGAGAACTACATTTCTCAGGATCTAGAGCTCTCGCTTAGTACCGGGAGGAAGGCAGGGTCTGGAGTATATCAAATTCACCTCCTTCAGTCGATCCCGTAAAGCCACCCGGATTGCAGGGTAGATATCTGTCTTGATGCGGATGACGCCGCCACGACGAGCGAGACGGCTATTCGGATGGGAAGAAGAAAGGACTCGAAGTTAGAAAGATATCGTGAGGAATTCTGGGAGGCGTGAACTGGTTGAAGTACCGGATTGCAGGGCGAGCTGGGGGTCGTTAGAGCTTGCTTTTTTGTCTGATCAAGGTGATGATGTGAGGGCGTAGAGGAAGAACTTACTGATACCCATTATGTTGTCGCGTAGCTTCCTGTGTAGATGTCAATGATAGGACGTCCGAGAATTGAGGAGCATATGAGGAGTGATCTACTTCTGTCGGCGCTTGGGAATGAAGAAGGGCTGCGCCTTGGAGATCCTTTTTGGAACCATTGCAGTCGCCAGGGATAATATTCGAAGATAGATAGAAAGAGTGTTGGGAAACTATGGGTTGTTTGTTTCTTTCTTGGGAATTTAGAGTGAGCGAGGAGAAGAATATTGAGGGACTGATAGCATGGTTTCATTTGAGAAATGCAAAGTGCAGAGTGGCTGGTGTTAGTCAATCGAGTAGCGATGACTGCTGAAAGTGAATGGTGACCAGCCACAGGTGAAAGAACACCAACACAAAGCGATGTATGAGTGAAGTGCGAGAAAATTCGAAGTGTATGTAGTGTATTCAATAAATGACATTATTTCTTATGTTTGTAAATTATTAAAGGTCAAGGTCTGCGTTGCATATGAATGATGAGAGAAAAGGAAATATATCGAAGATCTCAAAAGAAAAAGAAAACGCCATGGACAAGTCCTCGAAAATCGTGGTCTATGTACGTCGAATCATTCAGGAGATGAAGGTGGCCTCGGCGAACAGGGTTCCCTCCTCGGCAACCTCATCATCGCCAATATTCAGCTTGAGGGTGAGTTTCTCTTGCGGCGAATACTATTGATTCATTAGCATGGATGGCTCGGTGAAGATGTGGTGTGGGTGGAGCCTTACCTGGAAGATATACGGTCGCGCTCCGGCGACACTTCCTGCAATGGACTTGATGAAGCCGGGAACCTCGGCCATCACGTCGATACGGTCCAGTCTCTTACCGACCGCGCCCTCCAAATGGGCGGAAACCTCCTTGCCGTCCTTGGACTTGCCATCCCACACCCACTTGATGGATTTGGGTTCAGGCCATTCGCTCTCGGGGTCCTGAGTGACCTCGGTGTGGGTCGCTGAGTTGTCGACGCCGGCGTAGACGATCTCCCCGTCTTTGAGAATGGCACCAACATTGACCACGGTCGATCCGTACGACGGCGGCGTGGTGTATTCCATCATGACGGCGGTGTACGAGGGAGTCTGGAAGTTGACAAAGTTCCAGCGGGAAGCTGTTCCAGGGTTAGAGCTATCCAGCTCGGGCAGGTAGTGATGTTGTTTTGATTTTTGGAGGCTGCTTACCAGCATGGTGAGGCTTCATGCCCTGAAGACCCTGGATGAACATGCCCCGGCCTTTCATGTCGTGGGTTTGCTCCTTGGTGGTAATGGTTCCCTCAACGTTGCAGCGAGGCCAGAAAGCGTGGCGCATAGAGCCCCAAGGGTTCGCTGGGTCCGTGCCAAAGTAGGAAGTACCGTCCTTGCCGATCACGAGGCCCGGGGTGTTGCGGGTGAACGTAATGTTGACCAAGCAGTCTTCGTTCACGGCAGACTTGAGGGTGTAAGCATCACCTTCCTCGCTGAGAGTCAGGGAAATGTTGTCGCCCCAGAAGGCAAGCATGCTCTCGTCGAACATGAAGTTGGACAAGGGATCGGAGTACCAGCCGTGAGGGCCATCTCCCTTGACATTAAAGATCTTGCAGTTGAACTGTGCGGTCGTATGGATGCCTCTGCAACGAGCAATCCATGTTAGATAAAGCGAATTTCCGGAGTGATGATAGAAGGGCCTGCAAGCGGAAGGCACTCACACGATGTTGCTGTAAATGATCTGGACGAAGACCAGGGTGCCGTTGTCGGCCATGATGTAGAAAGTCTGAGTTTCGACATTGGTGTACTGGTACGCCCGCCAGCGCAGATCGTTCTTGGTGAGCTCGGTATAGGGGACCTCTTGCGCCTGTTTGGCGACGGACTGGATGGCATCGGGTCCATAGATCGGTTCTTGCGTACCGGCGACGCTTGCGAGACTAAATGCGTGAGGGCATCAGTTAGCACGATTGAATTTCCGGGCATAGACACAACAACAAATCAGGGAAAATCGTACGTCGATTTGAGCCAATTCATGACGGGCAAATAAGACAGGTTGTGGTGGTTGATGAAAACAGGAGAAAATCGTAAAAGGAAAGGGAAAGGAAATCGATAGCGCGTGGGGTCACGGGGGGATCGCTCGGAAGTACTGGAGAAGGCGAGAGGACGAGGGAGGGCCGAAGCAAGCTTGGTGTCGAACAAACAACCACGACAGGAGCGTCAAAAAAAGAACCGTGGCGATCGGGCGATATGGATGAGCTCAGCAACAGCGGTCGAGAGCAGCAGCAGCAGAACAGTAGCGAGGGTGAAGCCGTCGGAAGGAAGAATGACGTCCGCCAGCAGCTCGATTCGCTTGCCCGACGCGGCAAGTAACTCCGTCCCCGTGCGCCTTTCCCGATCCAGTTCGGCCCGTGCAAAAACACCTTCCGCTCTTCTCTTCTCCCAATAGGTACTCTTCTATATTATTATTATATCCCTCTTTCATAACCAATTCCCACTCCGCATTCCACAATGGCGAAGAAGGCGTTGGCCAAGGATCAGATCGTCAAGCTCATCGTGGGCGCCGGTCAGGCCAGCCCCAGTCCCCCGGTCGGTCCGGCCCTGGGTAGTAAAGGTGTGAAGAGTATGGACTTTTGCAAGGTGAGGTTGAACGGAACGCATGGAAACAAGAGAACACCCTTGCTCATTGCGAATTGGAATAGGAATTCAATGCCCGTACTGCCCATATCAATGCCGGCGTTCCGATTCCTGCGCGCGTCACCGTCCGTCCCGATCGCTCTTTTACGTTCGACCTCCGCACGCCGACCACCACCTGGCTGTTGCTACAAGCTGCCAATGTGGAGCCTCGAAAGAACCGCATCCGCGGCGCCATGAACCCCGGCCATGAGACCGTGGGCAATATCTCGCTGAAACATGTGTACGAGATTGCCACTATCAAGCAATCGGAGACGAGGTTGTCGGGATTGAGTCTGGAGGGACTGTGCAAGAGCATTCTTGCCCAGGCCAAGTCCATTGGCATCAAGGTTGTGGAATAGGGCAGTGCAGCCCACGGCGAATTGGGGTACCGAATCCGAGTGTAATATGTATATGAGTCCGACTACTCTTGCACGGCTGCAACAGCCTACAGTCCTGGAGTCACGACAATGGCGTTTAGGGATGGTTCTGTCATCAATTGTATTATAGGGAATTGCATGTGATATAGAAAGCGTTTACAAAATACCCGCAGCTTCTGCTTGACGTGGATCACTGCTTTCTTGTCTGCCATCAGGACTGAGTTTCCATTTCCTAGTTGGTAGATGAAACCGAGTATCGAGTACGCCGCATGCACTGCTCCGTGCGCATATATCATCTCGATCCTTAATCACGGGGCATTCAGGGTCTAGAATGATTAGTCACGAAGGGAGAAAGGGGCCGTGACGGGGACGGGGCTGAATATCATTCAGGGACCAAGGCAGGGGGGAAATGATGACGAGGCAGAAGCATAAACATAAACGGAAGGGGGGAATTAAAACTGGATCCAATATTGAGCCGCTCGGGATCATCCGTCCCCAGTCCAAGGGGCATTTTCCAGGGAGACTGATCAATAGCAGATCTGTTCCATGCCGGGGACCATCGTTGGCAGGGGACGGTCAACGCAGTCATGGCATGCGCATGTACGGAGCTACGTAACCTTTGTACTGTACACCGTAGTATGTCTGGGACGTGAAGGCCTGGATGAACGTTTTGTGCACCTCTGAGACCCGAGGACCCCAGCTGCTTGTCGACGATGAGACCCATTTACTTGGCGAGTATGAGGGCTATTCATCTCCACGCAATCCTTCAATAATTGCGAGCTTGGCGGCAGAGTGTCTCACGGGAGCGGTGCCCACATTCTCGTAGGTCCGAGACCGAGGGATTTGAGAATTTGAGAGCAGACCGGAGCGAGGTGAAGTTGCCGGAGTGGCCATCAGGATAGTCTTGTCTGTCAACAGGGAATGTGAATAGACTCTGCCTATCGCTGTACTCGGAGAGAAGGTGAACTGGCAAAGGGAGGCAGCTCCTCACAAGGAATGGCAGATCTCCAGACTAGCCGGATGCGGCCTAGCGAGCTCGATCACGGGCGATTCCCAAAGCGGCAGGCCATTCGGGGGAGGTTCTCCACTCCCCACCCGAAATGTCATCATGACCTGGACTCTTTTTCGTCGTGTTTCTGCATCTTCATTGTCTTTTATCATCATCGCGATCAAGATTAGGAAAAATGAGTGCTAGCATTGACTTGGCGAGCAAGGTCTTGTCTTGTCCATGCCTGAAGTATGACTCCGAATTGCCGAATATCGCGTCCAATGACGAATGAATCAGGCGGGTGGGCGCCGATGACCATCCCCTCTGCATCATGATGCATGCGCCAAAGGTAGTCCAGAAGAATCTAGCGGCCCTGCTGGTCGGGAAGCCATCGCTCCGAGAATCTGGAGGGTCGTCTGCCAATCCTGTTCGCGGATGGATGGACTCGCACGGCTCGACGGCACCGGTAACCTATTCCCTGCTGATAAACGCACTCGTGCTGAGTAGTCATAGTCACGTCCCCTTTGGATAGTCCTCTTCTTCCATCAGACATTCCTTCGCATGCATGGAACAACCCGGTTCGAAGGCGCCAAGCATGGAGAGAGGGAAGTTTAGTCACGCAGTCTCCAGCAGTCTATCCCCGTACCCTACAGGGACTTTATAGGAAAACAGGAAGTACAGTATAGAGTACAGTGGTACAGTGTAGTACTACCTACTCCGCACTATCCAGAAGGGACCGATGGAGACAACCGTAGGACTTTCTCCGAAGGGTTCCGAGCACATCGATCAGCTCCAATCTCAGTCTTTCCCTCGAGCACAAGGAAGTTTAACTGGTGACGGAGTTGGTAAAGTATTGACTAAAGTCGTTACTGAAGGAGGGGGACATTCTTCCGGACTGGTCAGACATTATTAATATTTATTCAATAATAATGATAACTAATGATAATGGGGTCCCTCCTTTCTTGGCCGCCCGTGAAATTTCCTTTATGAGATCAAAGAGGAGAACCAAAAAAAAAAGGCTCTGTCTGAATAATGCAGCTAACTATTGTTCTGAAAAGATGAAAGACGGGCAACGCCTGGTCATACTCATAGTTTACTATTTCATACTTCATACTTGCATAGGCTCCTCCTTTAGACCCTTCCCCCCCTCCCTTCTCCAGGCTCCATTCGAGACCCCCATATAGTCTTAGTATCTTAGTTGTAGCAAGGTGCAGCAGTAATTCTAGCCCTATCAGAATGACGACGGTCCAGCCCAAGCCCACCGTGGAACCGCTGGAGTGACTAGTCTTAATCCTCCTCCGTGGCCGCCCGTTTCCTTTCTCCATCCATCCCGCCGCTCTTGCTTTCTCTTTCTCCCTCTTCCTCGCTCTGTCGCTCTCCTCTCTTCCTTTCTCCTACTACTCCGTACTAACTACGTAGTAGGTTGTTTGGCCTACTTACTGCCTTAGTCGAGTGGACCTCCCCTCCCTCTTCTTATCTTACTCTTACTCTGCTTCTTTCTTTCCCCTCTCCCCTCCCCCCCAAGAGTCGACTCTCTTCAACTCTCTCGTAATCTATTTTTTGCTTTCTTCTTCTCTGATTTCTCCTCTTCCTCCTCTTTTCCTTCATTCCATACTTCTTCCGTTGCCCTTTTGATATTTTTGGATGGCCCCAAATCCCGACCGTCTCTTAACATACTACCTGCCTGTGGAAGCTCCGTGAGTAACGACGACCAACGCCGGCCCTCCGTCTTGCATACGAAATTCCTCCGCGCATTTCCATTTCGTCCCACGAGGTTGTTCCCGGCTGCAGCTTCCAAGCAGCCACCCTTTCGACGTCACCAATCTTCCAAAACTCAATCACCTCCGGCCATTTGGCAATCCTCGCCCTGACCACTCTCGTGGAATACGTTCCGATCTTTCTTCTCGTTCCTTGTTTTTGTTGTCGGTCTCGCCAACCAGGTTGTGGAGGGGTATGCGTCCCGCAACGTGGTTTTGATGAGTATGACGTCTGAAACGACCGGTTCTGCCCACGCAAAGATGGATTCTGGTGTGCCACGCTCTGCCGCCTCGAAACGTACTCATGCTCTAACGCACTTCTCTCCTTCAGGATCTTACCCTACCAACAACCCCGCCCAAATGCCTACTCAACCGGGCACGGATTCTTCCGACCAGGACAACAAGTCCAAGACGCAGCTGCCGAGTCAGGTTCGGTTTTCGTCGGTAACCGAAGAAATCGAGCCTTCGGATCCATCGGCATCTGCTCAGCCCGCTGGGAACCAGCCCGCCGACAGTCAAAAACAGCAGAATGAGGAATTACGGTCGCTAGCTGCCAGTCTCCAGCGGTCTCAACTGCAAGAATCGCGACTGGGGAAGTTCTCATTTGACCCAGTTTCTCTCCCGTCCTCAAGAGTATGTTTTCACCCACGTTGCGAAACGACCGTCACTCGTTCCGCCCCCGCACTTCTTGTCAGATATGAAGCTAACCCCCTTGTTCGCTTTTCCGATAGGTTGCATCCCGAGAATCGAGCGATCGCAGCGCGCGAGAACCCAATGGATCCGGTTTGCCGTCTCCCCATGCCTCTCCACCGGTGTCAACGATGCAATCTCCGCCTCTTACCCCCGCAGCCACCCACTCTCGTGAACCCAAAACTAATGACACTGCTTCGACGTCGAACGCGACAGACCGAGGACTTGCTCCGCACTCTACTGCGATGACTCCGGAGACTTCCCCGCCTACGAGCGCGTCCGCGAGAAGCAAGGCTCCTCAGAGCGCGCCGACATCGCGGCCCGGTTCCACCGAACAATTGTCGAAACAAGGCAATGTATCGCAGACGTCATCCCACCCTTTGAATGCGTCCAAGCATCGTGCGCAGTTTTACGTCGGCCCCGAAGGTGGCTCTCAGGAAGAAAGCCCTCCAGTCACCCCGCGAGATTCTGAAAGTTTCACGCCGCCGGGCGCCATCACGCCCGTTGGGGAACCGAACGATCCCTATGCCCGCAGCAAGCGACCGCCGCAATCCAAGAATCTCGGCCAACTTGACCAGCGATTCATCTTCGGAGGCCGGGACCTGAGGCGTCGAGGACAGAATTCGGCAACGTTCCCCCTCCCTCGCCCCGGAACGCCGCGATCGGCCAGCGCCAGCGACCTGAAGGCCAGTGAGAAGCGCAGTGGCTTCTTTAGCAGCAAGAAGGACGCGCGCCAGCAGGAGCCGGAAGGCAAGCCCCATGGTCACATGGCGGAGCTGAAGCGGTTTTTCAAAATGGGCCACAAACACAAGCGGAACGATTCTCCCTCCTCGCTTCCCAAGAGATCGAGTCGCGGCTCCGGAAAGAACACACCGTACCAGATGGCCCCGGACAACGTGCCCTTTGCCGATGACCATGGACTCAACTCTAAATACGGCAAACTCGGGAAGGTCCTTGGGTCCGGGGCGGGCGGCTCCGTGCGGCTACTTAAACGGAACAGCGACGGCGTGACTTTCGCCGTGAAGCAATTCAGAGAGCGCCACTCGTGGGAGACATTGAAGGAATATTCGAAAAAGGTGACCGCAGAGTTTTGCATTGGGTCAACTCTCCACCACGGTAACATCATCGAGACGCTCGATATTATACAAGAAGGAAATCATTGGTATGAGGTCATGGAGTACGCTCCGTTTGACTTGTTTGCCATTGTCATGACCGGGAAAATGGTAAAGGACGAAGTGGCATGCGCCTTCAAGCAGATCCTGAGCGGTGTGGCCTATCTACACGGCATGGGTCTGGCTCACCGTGACCTGAAACTAGATAACGTGGTTGTCAACGAACACGGTATCATGAAGCTCATTGATTTTGGAAGCGCCGTTGTTTTCCGGTATCCCTTCGAGAACGATATTGTTTCTGCATCCGGTAAGTAACCCATGTCTTTTGGAGAAAAGGGGGATTCTGAGCTTACGCAAACTTCAGGTATTGTTGGTTCCGATCCATATCTCGCCCCCGAAGTATACGACGAGAAGAAATATGACCCTCGCCCCACGGATATTTGGTCCCTGGCTATCATTTTCTGCTGCATGACTTTGCGTCGATTCCCATGGAAACAACCTCGCGTTAGTGACAATTCCTACCGGCTCTTTGTCTCCACGCCAACTCCGGGCACTCCGGTTCCGGACGCGGATCCAAGGCGCCATCGGATTTCCCGATCGACCCCCGATCTCCCCTCGTCTGCCCGCGATAACCAACCATCGCAAACCGCCGAAAACAAAAACTCGGAGAAGAAGCCCGCAGCGCCTGAGCAACAGAATGGGCAGCAGGAGTCGTCGAAAGAACAGGTCAAATCCCAATCAAGCTCTCATGAAGACAACAACTGTCCTGAAAGCCCGCAGGACGACAAGAGCATAAAGACCACTTCGAAAGAGAAGAACGGCGCTTCTCATAATAAGCCCACGCGCACAACAAGCAAAGAGGCCCCTCCGCTTCCCGCGTCGGCCCAGTCCTCGGGCCAACGCCAGGAAGTTATCAAGGGTCCTTGGCGGCTTTTACGACTTCTACCGCGTGAGAGCCGGTACATCATTGGTCGTATGCTCAAGGTGAGTGTGAAGGATCGTGCAAGCCTCGATGATGTCTTGACCGATGAATGGGTTCGAAACATCAAGGCATGCCAGCAAGAAGTATCCGGCGAAGTGATCAAAGCTCCCGGTCACACCCACATTCTCGAACCTCCTTCTTCCAGCGTCCCCGTGGCCAGCAAGGCCAAATAATCGGGCTAATCGCGGTCCTGTCTATAATTCTACGTGCGATGTCCAGACTCTGAGATATTTGTATTGGCTTCAGCCCTTCTTTTTGGGAGTGCCTTGGGCTGTTAATATAATCATTGCTCCTTTTTCCTTTGATTCCCTTTGGATGCAGGGCTTCTCTCATTAAACTAGCTCTCTGTTCAGCATCATGAACATCTTGCCTTTTGTTATCTTCTCTCTCGTTTCGCCATCTTCTTACTTCCAGTGAATCTCGACCCCTCAATTCGAGTACCCCTTTTCTTTCTTCCCTTCGTGTGCGCTACTTACTTTTATAGTACGGTGAAGAAGTAGTGACACTTGTCTAACAACACTTCTTTGCCTTTTCTTTTTGTCCCTCTTTGTTTTTAATATGGGCGTTGTGGTCACTGTTTCACGGGAAGGGGCTGCGCAGACGGATCCACCCTTTCCCCCTCGCGATTAGAGGGTTGGCTACTAGATTTCTATCGATTATTGGACCCTCGTATTTCCCTTTTATCTTTTTATTCAACCAACGTGTGGGGTCTTTTCTTGTCTTTTCCTTTCTGTCGGTATTGTGTGTCAAGGCCAGCTTTGTACGGTGTGGCCATTTTCTACATTTGCTTCTGATTGTATTCAGCTTTAGTAGGTAGCTTGGTAGATATTATAAACCCATGGACAAATGAACAAGCATACGATGTGCTCCGTAACTCGTAAACTTCCTTGGAGGAAGACTGACGTAAGGCGCCGATGCGGAGATAGCGGAGTTTGGGGGCCGCAGCGATAATCGGAATCCATCAAAAAAGCTGCCCTGGCGACCTCTGCGCTTTTTTGGCGACTCGGTCACTCCATCCCCACTTCCTCCTCCGAGCTTCCTCCACTTCCTGTCATATCAATTCCGGGCTGGTCCTCCCCTGGTACATTCCTATATACATACGGGCACAAATCCAAGAGGCTGGTCATCTGCTGGAATGTTTATTCGGTAGATACGTCATTGTCACACTCCCTACAACCTCGCCTACCCTACCTACGATGGCCCAGTCCTCCGACTCGGAGCCATTGGTCTCCCTGTGGACCAGATCCTTACTTGTTAGTTTGAAACTTTCCCTGCCATATACCTAACTATGCACATAAGGCCCCTTGACTGACGCTGTTGGGTCGCTTGATTTAGTCGGGCGCAGTAGCCGGCCTTACCGTCGACTGCTCTTTGTACCCCTTGGATACCATCAAAACGCGCCTTCAGAAAGCCCGGCTCCATACGCCATCGGCCCCAGCTCCCAGCCTGTCCTTGAAGCAAACCATCCGCGGAATCTACGCCGGCCTCCCCTCCGTCCTCTTTGGCTCCGCCCCCTCCGCGGCCTCCTTCTTCATAGTCTATGACGGCGTTAAACGCTCGCTCCTGACATCCTCGAATTCGGAGGCTCCGTCCCGCACCCATGTCCTCCTCACACATTCGCTTGCCTCTTCGATGGGAGAAGTCGCCGCGTGCGCCGTCCGCGTGCCCACAGAAGTGGTGAAACAGCGCGCGCAGGCCGGTCTCTTCGGCGGCTCCAGTCTGCTCGCCCTGAAGGATATTCTCGCTCTGCGCCATCCGGATCCAACCAGCGGTGCCAAGCGCGGCTACGGACAAGTACTTCGGGAGCTGTACCGCGGTGCGGGGATCACCATCGCGCGAGAGATCCCCTTCACCGTCCTGCAGTTCACTATGTGGGAGTCGATGAAGGAGGCGTACGCCAAGCGTTCGCAGCAGCAGTCCGGAGGCCAGATCCCGGCCGCCACGAGTGCCATGTTCGGTAGCGTTGCCGGTGCCATCTCGGCGGGGCTCACGACGCCGCTGGACGTCATCAAGACGCGAGTCATGTTGGCTCGTCGGGGCGATGGTGCGGCCGGAGAGGAAAGTGCTCGCGTGCGCATCAAGGACGTGGTGCAGGATATCTCCAAGGAAGGGATGGGAGCTTTCTGGAGAGGTATCGGCCCGCGCGTGGCTTGGATTGGTATCGGTGGCGCGGTGTTCCTGGGCAGCTACCAATGGGCTTGGAATACTCTGGAAAGAAAGGATCAATCGGAACAGTAGATTTCTGTCCAATAATTCGCTGGTGTTGCTATAGAGGTATATATAGGCTAGACAAATGTGTACAGTATGCCGTGAGATGATAATTAACTGTCCAATTTGGTTACGTTCGACTACAAGATGAACCAAACTATCCTACACCTCAATCCTTTCGACGCATCCATTTCAGCTCCCGCACCTGTTCCAGAGTCAACAGTTGGTCCATCATTTCCGCCGTCAAGAAATCGTGGTCTGCAAACTCAAAGCCCGGAACAACAGTCTATGATGCATACATGGATGGGTCAGTCAAACGTCAACTCTGCATGATTAGCACTCAACAGTCATAAGTATAACGAATCTCACTAATCAACAATCTCTCGGTCTCGTCGGAGTTGGCATCCGGCAACAAATAGCTGGACTTGAACTTTCCCCCTTCCACGATCCACTGCAGTCGCTCACCCTCCTCGATGCGATGACCCACCACGAACGACTCGACGGGCGCCTTTCCTCCGTTACGAGCGGCCTGATCGGCGTGAATGATGGCGTAGCGACCCCGTCCGCGATGGAGCGTATGTACGGTGTGACTGGCATTGCGATGAAATACCCCCAGCGGAGAGGATTGGGGATTCGCAGCAGGCTACGGTCCGTTTCCACGAAGAAACCGCCTTCCGGGTGAAGCCGGAGGTTCAGCGTTTGGATGGTCTTCTGGATAGTGGGAGAGTCGGCGACGTTCTTGTGTGTTCGTGATGGGGGTTCGTAGTATGGCTTAATGTCACCGATGGGGATGTCCATCTCTGGTGGTCCTGAATCCTTGGTATGCCTTTATTAGGCGATCGAGATAGCTGTATCTATTGAACCGTCTTGTTTCTTCTCAACAAGAGGCAGCATAAGCACACTTATGGTCTTTGGTGGGTGAGATGGATAGCAGGCCGGCGTGGTGTAACCAGGTTCCTGTCAGCTTCTTAAATCATATCAGTCATCTGCCCAGTTTTGCACAAAACATGGATGGTGGAGTATCATCCAGGGCATTTTTTGGTTCCTTCGGGGCATTGGAGAACCAGTCGTTGCGTACATCGAGAAGCCTAACGGAACTATGGGTCGGTAGAGAAGAGGTCGCATTTCAAGGATGGCGCATACTTTTGATGTAAAGTACATGGAAGGGAGGAATATCGGAGAAACGATCACGACAGACGCAGGTTCATTCTTAATTTCACAACCAAGAGATGTGCCTGGCGTGGCGTTGGGCCAAGTCTCGCGCTCTTCCAACTAGCATCGGATCCTCCTTTTGGTTGCTCGCTTTTCCCCTCTTCCTCTTCCTTCCTCCTCCTCCTCCTGGTACGTCCTACTACTATTCCTACTTCTACTTTGTACCCGCCACTTCTGTGTTTTTCTTCATTTTCCCGCTGGAATCGCATCGGTCGGTCGTATATATACGTCGTGTGCTCGGTCTGGCCGAGGAATGTCTTCGTGAGCGATCGCCGCCCACTTGGTAGGTAGCCTCCGCATTATCCTCCGCACTGGCGCCTCGTTCACTTTCCTCGGGGTAAAAAGTATAGACCACGCGGCATGGCTCGAAAACCAAGTCATCAGAGGGTCACCTACGGTAGGCTTTTTATCTTCCACGCGCGCACCTGCCTTGTCGCAGATCCTCTACTGACTGCCTGCTTCGCTTTCCTTAGTTCTCCCTCTGCCCGACGCCCCGGGCGGTCATCGACTAGGTGTGAATGGCCTGACCATTGACCCTGATAACTCCATCCTGTACTCCGCTGGTCGCGACGGTGTTGTGTGCTCGTGGGATCTCAATTTGCCCCTCTCGAATTCCTCGGTATCATCGGCCTCGAACGCGAAGCCTCCGCCGACGACGTTTCGGAACCAAGTCCAGGCACACAGTCACTGGATCAACGACATCGTCCTGACCCAGAATAATTCCGCACTGGTCTCCGCTTCTTCTGATACCACCGTGAGACTGTGGCGACCGCACTCCGACTCGACTGAGGTGCCCGATCCCATTGGGAAACATGCGGATTACGTCAAGGCCCTGGCCACCCCGGATAGCCGTTCGAATTGGGTCGCATCGGGTGGTCTCGATCATAAGCTCAAGCTGTGGGATCTGAACGGCGGCGGCGAGATACTTAAAATCAATGTTTGCGGCGACGATGGTACAGCCAAGGGCTCGGTCTATGCCTTAGGGGCTGTGTCTTCTGTCCTCGCCAGCGGCGGGCCCGAGAGCGTGGTCAGAATCTGGGATCCGAAGTCCGGCAAATTGATCACCAAATTCGTCGGCCATACCGACAACATTCGCGACATTTTGATCAACCAGGATGGAGATACGGTCATGACGGCGTCGTCGGACCAAACGATTAAGGTCTGGTCCCTCACGGCGGGAAGGTGTATGCACACCTTGACGATGCACAACGACAGTGTCTGGTCATTATACTCCAATCACCCGCAGTTGTCTGTCTTCTACTCGAGTGACCGATCCGGTTTGGTCGCCAAAACAGATACCCGGCATTCATCGGACATTGAGCAAGGAATTTCTATCGCGGCCTTGCAGGAACACGAAGGCGTGGTCAACGTCGTGGCCGCTGGCGACCATATCTGGACTGCGACCCCGAAGTCCAGTATCAATCGGTGGAACGACATCGACACCACAGCTGAGATTGACTCTCCGAGGGAGCGGGAGGCTGCGCCCGCGAAAGAGGAACAAGAGTCTGCGGCGAGGGAACGGGTGAAGAAGATTCCGTACGAGTCGGTTCTGCAGCTCTCCAACACCTCAATGTTCCCCAAGTCTCGGGTTCCGGGGGGAGTGGTGCCTCGGTCAATGGCAAATGGACAACCGCCTTCGCCAGGATCGGACATGGAAGATGAACTGGAGCTTAATCTTCCCGTGTACTCCTTGCCCAACGACACGATAGAGGGCCAGCATGGCTTGATCAAGCACTTCTTCCTGAATGACCGGAAACGAACATTAACCCAGGACTCCGCTGGGGAAGTTGTCCTCTGGGATCTTCTCAAGGTAAATTATGAAGTGAGCTACTATACCATCGCATCTCAATTTAACTCTGTTTCTAGTGCGTACCGATTCAGTCATTCGGCAAGCGTCACATGGACGACGTCGCGTCTGAGATCAACACAAATGAGAGCATTGCTCATTGGTGCACAATCGATATTCGGACCGGACGACTTTCCGTGATCCTGGAACCTGGCCGGTGTTTCGATGCTGAGGTCTACGCGGATGAGGCCAATCTACCGGACTATTCACAGATCCGCGAGGATCAAAGAAGTATGATGGCCGACCCTCTCACCTCTTTTGCTTGGAATTTGTGTTCAAGGCTTTGCTAACCACCACATAGTCAATCTGGGCAAGTGGATTCTCCGGTGGCTTTTTGCGCCCTTGGTAGACGAAGAGATACGGCGAGATGCCCAGTACCGCGCCACCGCGATGACCAAGGCTGAAGAAATGGCTAAACAGAACATGAATGCTACGGCACCCATGGACATCCCGACCATGGATGGGTCAAGAAACTTTGGCGCATCTCTAGATCCTTCAATGTCCTCCCTGCGCCAGGGATACGACATGCTAGGCAGCCCCACAACACCTGGGTTTGGCATCGGGTTTGCAAATAGCCCTGGCTCATTCGCTGCGACTCCGATGTTCAATCAGAGTAGTTCTCAGAACAACAGCAATCATTTCGGCACGTCTCCTGGCGAGCTTTCCGATTATACGATGTCTCAGCAAGCTGCAGATCCTACAAGAAGCTCAATGTCCGATAAGTCTAGTGACTATTTCTCCTCGCCCCGAATGCAAGGCCTACCGCCCTTGGATACCGACCGGGCGCTGTCGACAACGCCCGGGGAGCCAACGCCAACGGCTCTTTTACAGTCACCAGCGGAGCCCGATAAAGAGGAACGCAAGAGAGGTGGCTCGCTGTTCGGAAAGAAGTTCCGCATGGATTTCCCGAAGAAGCTTGGCCGAACCTCGTCGGAAGTCAAGCCACAGATCCAGGAGGAAAAAGTAGAAGAGTCCGATAAATCTTCCGTCAAGGAGGAGAAGGTGTTTGAGAACAACCTAAGTGGCTTTATTGACCGCATCCGTCATGAATACGAAGAGTCGTTGTCTGCCAATTCTACACAGGATCTGGCCTCGGCTTTCTCGCCAAGCCACGAGAGCGAAACTCCGGCATTAGCTATTCCCTCACGCACGGCGGTATTCATCCAAGAGGAATCGGGTGATACGGCTGTGGCTTCCGATCTTTATCGCGGAAGTGTCGGCCGGATCAGCCAGGAGGTCGACAAACTTGAGAAATCGATACCTCTGTGGCTTGCCGATCTGCTACTCAAGGTCTGTATCATCAATGGTTTATTGTTTCGGACTTGGGCCTAACAGCTGCCACAGAACCAAGTACCCTTCAAGGAACCTATCAAGATCGCCTTCACGTTGAAGCCATACGATGATTTGCTGCCGCCCGTGGTAAAGCCCGATGTGTAAGTACAAGGTCGACTCTGATCTCGTTTTATGTCTGGCGACTGACAGCCCCTGCTTTTGCATCAGAAACACCGCCAATGGTAATACGACAAACAATTCTCGCCTCAACGCCAACCGCATGCTCCGGGCCAAGAAGATCCTCGCATACATAGCGGAACGAATTGACCCGGCTAACCCCGACGATCCCGAAGATAACCCACTAAAGCCGGAAGAGTATCTGGAGCTGTACTGCCAAAAGACGGTTAGTTCTTTTACACCTCGCTACACTAATCAAGCCGCTTGCTGACCTGCCACAATCCAGCTTCTACCCCCGAACATGACCCTTGCGACCATGCGTGCCCACATCTGGCGGTCGTCGGGGGACATGATTCTCTACTACAAGGCCAACGGAAGGAAAGAAATTCGAAACCCTGAGGCTGGAAGGGACAACGAGCAAAATCGGCAGGCTTCTGAGGGCGGTTTGCATCCGCAACGACTCGGCGAACCGGGCAGTTTGACCAACGGAGAGGGCAAGATCGCGCCGAGTATTCATTCTCTGACCGCGTCTGGTTCTGCATCGGCCTCTATTACCAACTCCTGAGCAAAGTTTTTCCGGGAGGATTTCATTCTTTGTGACATTATTCTTATTTCCTGTGGTGATATGGCCGACGGCCAGATTGTGTGATATATCAGTCTAGTCTAGTACAGTACATACATTTGAGATGGCGTGAGTTGACCAGATGCCAAATTTGAGCAAGTTCGCCGAGATGTATAAACTGTGACGTACGAAAATAAACACGTAGATGAGAATCAAGGGGGTGGTTGTTCAGGCAGTGTTGCATGATGCCATATATAGAAGGCCGAAAGCTTGGCGGATTGCCACCTCAGGCATTCACGCTTCTACAAAAATCAGCGGCCACCGGGTTCTTCTCCCCTTCTCCCTTCGCCCTCGCCCTTTAACAATTCAACCCCCAAATCAATGGCAGGACCATGTTGCCTGCGCGAGCGATTACTACTTCCCAATTCCTTGAAAGCTTTCAGCGAGCATGGCTCGAATCGCGAACTCCACGGGCAGAGCGGAGACTCGAGACCCGTCTACCTCGTCGGATAGGTCTGGCAGTTAGCGGCGGAGCCGACTCCATGGCTCTAGCATATCTTTGTCGGCAATGGGAGAAGACCCATCGCAGCGACGATGTAGCCGTCACGGCGTTCGTGGTTGACCATAAAGCGCGAGCAGAAAGCACGCGGGAAGCTGCTACGGTGACTGGCTGGCTTACTGAACTGGGTATGTACGATGCATATTTCGCGTGATCAATCTATAGGCGATAACTTGATGACCTGGGCATCGTCACTGACTAGAATTCCAGGCATCAGAACTCAAGTTCTAGAACTCTCATGGTCTCAGGGCACGTTGTCTCAACCCCCCTCCCAGGTATCTGCGTTTGAGACGCATGCTCGACGATTGCGGTTCCAGGCACTCGGAACGGCATGTAGAGACTATGGGATTGAGACTTTGCTGATGGGTCATCATCAAGATGATGATGTCGAGACTGCGCTCTGGAGACTCTGTTCCGGGGCTAGAGGGACAGGGCTTGCTGGCATCCCGTCGGTGAACCCTATCCCTGAATGTCACGGTCTTTTCGGAGTAGCTGAAAGTGGATCGTCGGTTACTCTACGAGGTCTACCCTCTTTATCTCAACCAGGGACGAACAAACAGTCCGAATCAACAGACGACAAGAGCCTTGCATCTCGACGCGTCCCCATGTCCACAGGCGGGATCTTCATCTGCCGTCCATTACTTTCTTTTCCCAAGGCCAGTCTCCTGGCAACTTGCCATGACAACCACGTCCCATATGTCTCCGATCCGACCAACTTCGACCCGACTCTCACCCCCCGGAATGCCATTCGGAGTCTTCTTTCTTCGGATAGACTCCCGCGCGCCCTTCAGACCCCGTCGATTCTAACTCTCGTGCGGAAGAGCCAAGGTCTCGTACGAGATACGACAGATCTCTCGAACCAGTTTCTCCAGAAGTTCCAGATACTAGGTATGAACCTCGCGACTGGCACGATGACGGTTCAATTCCCCTCGTCTTTAGAAACTCTCTATCGCAAGATAGACCCCAGCAAAATCCCTCAACTCCAAGCCACGACCCTTCGACGCATCACGGATCTCCTCGCTCCATTTCCTGGGAATCACTTCCCTCTGCGCAGCTACGAGGACTTTACGGACCTTGTCTTCCCTACCTATGCTGTCTCCAGTACTAAAAGACAAACATTCACTCTTGGAGGAGTGATGTTCAAACCTGTCGATCGCCCTAAGCATGTACCACTTGACGACAAATCCTCATCAACAGCTACTACTAACCATACCGATACCTACACCCACAAGCCTAATCCTAATTCCACGACCGAAAACAACAACATCTGGTTTCTTTCCCGCCAACCATTCATGAAAAACCGTCTCCCTACATACCATCTCCATCTTCCGCTTCCAGTCCCATCTCAATCTCAACTCTCGTCCGCTAGCTGCGGTCAAAATCCCTTAAACACTAACAAGGACCCCCCTCAACAACCTACCCTAGAAGAAAAAGAAGAAGAAACAGAAGAAGAAACAGAAGAAACAAGCTACACAAACCCAACACCCTGGATCCTCTGGGACAACCGCTACTGGATCCGCGTGTCAGCCGTACTAGCCGAGAACTCGACCATCAACAACACCCCTAGGACAAGAACCCAGCCTATACCGTCATCTTACTACCCAAAGAAAGAGAACGTCACCCTTTCCCTTATGATTCGACCACTTTTGAAATCCGATATCGAGTTTATTCGTCAAATTTCTTCTTCTTCTACCAAGGTCTCCACGTCCGAAAAGCCTAGTGTGAGGGATATCAAACTGGATCAGTTCCTTAAACGACTCGCGAAGGAAGCACCAGGGCAGAGTAGGTTTATACTGCCGGTGGTGGTGATCTCGAAGGAGTGTTTTGATGGGTTGGAGAGGGATTTACCGGTGGCGTTGCCGACGATGGATCAGTGGATTTATGGGGTAGAGGAGGTAATGAGAACTCGATGTGCCATGGAGGGAGTTCAGGTACAGTGGGAGTGGATGTATAAGAAGGTGGATACTAAGCCTCTGGAATTGATGGGTGGATTGTTGGAATTGGAGAAGACTCCGACTCCCTAAGCTAACTAGGTGGTTCTTATTATTATTTTACACACAAAGAAAATAATAAAAAGGAATAAAAAAGGGAATGTGTATGTGACATGAAGGAAATGCGATAAAGAGGCACGCTACTCCAGTGCTAAGTGGATGCGATCAAAATCTGCTCAATTGAACCCCATTGAATGCATTCAAGAAAACCAAAGGGAGAACGAAAAAGAAAAGGGGCTCATGCAAAGTATGTTGTAATGTGATACAAGAATGAAGAGGAAAAAAGGGAAGGAGGTAGGAAGGAAGAAATGGCCCTATCAACACCAGTAACCAGAAGGTCATGACACAATAAGGGCGGAATTCTCCAAGAGAAATGACCACCCTTCATCAAGGGTTGCATAGACGCCAAAATGAGCGGTAAAAGAACACCATCAATAGAGACCAGAAAATAAATAAGTCAAGGAAAATAAAGGAAGGTCCTCATCTTTCAGTGATATGCGTGTACTCATGTCCAATCCAGAAATTTCCAAAGGAACGGAGTTCAAGGTCTCATTCACTCGCCTTCAGCAGAGCCACGGCGGCTTGTTGAGCCCGTAAGCCGGCGACTTCTCGCTTGAACCGGAAATTCTCCTTCTTTAATCTCCCGATATCGTCTAATGCCGACGACAGCTGAGATTTAATGGCATCTTCGGCATTGCCGGTCCGCACCTCTTTCGATATTTTGCTCAGTTCCGAGTTGAACCGATCATACAAGGCCTCATTTTCGGCGCTGGCCTCGCGATACAGCTCGTCAAGCTTTTTGGCTCGCTTCTCGCTGACCACTAGGGACGACTCCAGGTCCTTCTCGATGGATGTTGTGCGCCCATTGAATTCTCCACAGAGCGATTCGAATTTCTTCTCAAGTTCCTGAACTCGTGATAGAAGGGCTGCGCTTGCGTCAGGTGCAAACGGTTCCCCGAGTAATCGACTGTTTTCCTCTGCCCGAGGGCTAAGCCTTAGAGCTCGTAATTCGTCACCGATAAGATCCAACTCGTCTTTCAACCCAAGCTGAGCGGTAGCCTGGCTCCTTTTTTCGTTTTGCAGACGATCTCGGAGCTGTTCAAGAAAAGAGTTAGAAACCCACCTCATTCAAGACGACCATACATAAGGAAAGGGGGATGTAATTACCTTTTGTGGACTTTGCATCCGCAGCTTTTGCGGCTTCTGGGGAGATGATGAACTTGTCGGGCGCTTCGTATCAGACCCGTTCACAGGAACTGCCCGCTCTTTCAAGCCGGGGTGCTTCGAGGATGGTATGCTAGTAGCTCGTGATCGTCTTTTGAGCTCTCCGGTCGGCGACATCTTCCTGGGAGACCGTTCTGTCTGCGACAGCTTGGGGTCGATGTTCTCTTTTCGACTAGGGGTAACAGGGCGTGTGGGAGATCGCCGACTGGGTGAAGTCAACCGGACCGGGGAGTTACTCTTTGCAGGCGACTGGCTCCGAAACCTAGACCCGGAACCTTGGCTTGTTGGCGGCCGGTCTTGCTTCGTTGGAGTCATAACTTCAGCTTGGGCGAGATTGCTAGATGATGCTGGAGTCGTCGGCCTCTGTGTCTGACCTGGAGACACACCGGAAGCATCACTTGAGGCTGTCCCCGGTCTCAGATCCGACAAAGAGCTCCGTCTCTTCCGGCGCACTTTTACCACTCCATTTGTTGATATACCTCGAATCGACGACAAGGATGCGGTCTCTTCCTGGGAGCTCCCTGGCCGCCGGATGTTTTCTTGGGAGAGGGAGGCCCCCGTTCGATCACGAGAGCCGGGGCGTAGCAAATGAGCCAAGTTACTGTCGACATCGATCGATTTTGAACGCAGCAACGAGTTTCTTGGGGTGCTGGCTTCGGAATCGTTGGAGCCTTTGCTTTTACTGAGTGTCCGCAAGATCGACGAGACCTTGCTCTCTCCCTCGATCTTGGAATTTTCTCGATGTAGGCCAAAGCCGAATCGCTTGCGAAAGGAGGAGGCGTTGGAGTTCATAGACCCCGCGGTTTGCGAAACGGACAGCGTCTGATCGCAGCTCAAGGCCCCCTCTACCGAGGCGCCGCCCGGGATGAACTCGTCAAAAAGATTGTCAAAGTCATCAACCAATCGGTCTAGCAAAGAGATATGTTGCATTGGGTCTCCTTCAACCGTCAGGACTTCGGCAAAGGCCGCAGTTAAAGCTCCTCGGTCACCGTCGTTCCCAGAGGCATCAAGCAGTTCGGCCAGTAATCGCACCAAGGAGGCTAATGCGCGACGATTTTGCGGACTCATGTCCGCTAGGAACTTTCGGAAGTTTTCATCAAAATCTCGAGGAAACATGGTATCAAAATGACTCTGAAGGAGTTTCATCGAGGATGGCTCCAGGACTGGTCCCATCTGTTCCCGCCAGGCGTTTGCCATGAAAGTTTCAAAAGCCACAAAGAGGGTGTCAACAGGCACCTCTGCCGCCATCTGGATCCTCCCAGGATCTTCTAGCAAGACATTGTAGAGCTCATTGACCGCGGAACGATCGACATTGTCCCTAGCCCGAAGGGAACGGCCCACGATGTTGCCACTGCGCGACTGGAGGGCAAGAACGTAGGCAGCGAATGCTTGCTCCAGCACGCTGAATGGGCTTTCCGTCTCTTTTGAGGGTGATGCGCTAACCATGGAAATCTTGCTTGGCGTTTCCTCTCTCTTGTCCTCCTTCGCCGGGAAAACAGAAGGCAAGGTATTGGAGCGCGACATATTACCGCGGGGTGGTGGCATCTTGGGAAATTCGCCCAGCAACGTTGCAGAGGTGGGTGTTTTGGTACTTGAGGTGTGCGTATCTTTTGATTGACTCCCACCTAGAAGACTTGAAAGTAATTTGGACGGGGACGGAGGTCGGAATCCACGGGGCGTCTTCAGCTGTGGCATGAGATAGCCGGCCAGATAGCGAAGGATCTCAAAATTGGAGTGGACGATAGATTCAGTCATGGTCCGATTTTGAGGGCCATGCAAAGGCAACAGGACGTTGAGGACTACAGAGAATTAGCAAACAACTGGACGCACATAGAGAGCTAGATGGTCCTCTGAATACTTACGACGTTTGGAGAGCACGGGCACGAAACTATCCGCCGTGACGATATCTGAGGATGAGGTGCCAACTATGGTGTCTATGTCCACTCGAAATTGGTCTTCACTCGAAACGGATATCCCGACAATCACCTCTAGATCCGACGAGTCCAATATTTGTTTGCTCGTGGCCCTAGAGGTGTCAAACACAACCCTGATCTTGGACATGCCGACCCGGTTTGTCAGCGACCCCGTTCCATCTTCCTTACCCTCTCCCTCCTCGAATACACACGCCAAGATGCCGAGGTTTCCAACAGTACCCGTAGGGCTACGTAGGGACCATTTGCCGTTCTCCCTTTCGGAATCGGTAAACCGACCTGCAATCTTCGCCTTGACAATGTCTTCAATGACGCGAACGGCGCGGCCCTCGTGAGTCGAAGTTAGCTCTAGTGCCAGAAGATCCACTGTCGTATTCTGGGTTGGTTTCGATTTGGCGGCCGTAGGAGCGAGAAACAAGATCCGCCCACAGTTAGATTGCGTGCAACGCACGGTGTGAAGATCGTATACTTGTACGACACGGATTTCATTGGGAGGCAGCGATCCCGAAGGGCCACTGGTGGCAGATGCAGCGTTGTCCAACTCGGCCAGCAAGCCACGCGCCATGATTTTGCTACCTGAAGCCTTCGCCAACAGCACCAGGCAATTTTTGTAGACCAGCATGATTCCAGGATTGGGATCCAATGACGGGGGATCCACATGGTAAGGGGGTGACAACTCATTAAAGTCAACCGCCGTAATCAATCGACTTGAGGGCAATATCGTGGAGGGCCAACCATCCACTAACTCTTTCAGTCGACGAAAACTGAGGTCGTGGTTCGTTGACGAGGAGTCATCTAGGGCGCAGATGTCGTTGATGACATCTCGGGCTTTCAAAAATGGCCGGATGGCCGGATGAACCAACGGGAGACTTTTCATCATGGTGTCGATTAGCAGACTGTACCGGGGCAAGCGCTGCACGGGCTCCATGAGTAAGGATCGCAACATCTGCTCTCCGGTGTCATGCACGCGCTTGGAGAAACTGGACTGTTTATCCTTCATGAAAGAATTCAGCACCTGGGTGAAGCTGTTATGAGCATTCATGTAATCTGCGTAGGGCTCCGAGAACCGAGGAAACCAGTCGAGCAATGCATTGGCCAATACCACCGCCCCAACCGGATCATCTCTGTCCTCTCCTGACGGGGTACGTTGTGACATGGATGAAGACAGCTCGGTATCCCGTGTCATATCCTCGATCGCTTCCCTCTCTGTCTCTTCGAGGACCTGGCGGATCACCTCCAGAAAGCCCATGTTGACTTCAAGAATCGCATTTAGACAAGGAGGGAAGAGCTTGGCCAGGTCTGATTCGGTGGGACTTGTACTGGATGATCCTCTTGCTTGAGCCTTCATGCGGAATTCCTCCGCCACATTGCGTACCAGAGTAAAGAGCTTGTTCACATATCTTTCTTCCGTATCCACAAATTCACACATCGTTAATCGGAACGCCTGTTTTTGGCTTGTCGAGAAGACACGGGATCGATTCACCTTGGTGGGCTGGGACGGGGCTCGCTTCAGTCGTGATGTCGGCAGGAACACGGGTTTCCCCAGCGATTGAACGAGCGACGAATACTGGCCGTACTGAGTGTCGGGAGGGTCCTCCATGTCGGCTAGATCGTCCAGTTCGTCCTCGCCCGGTCGCTGCGGCGGTTGAATGATTCCCGGGGGAAACACGACATCGAGATCCACCCAAGGGACCTTGCGCTCCTGAAAGGCGCCACGGATGTCGCGCACAATATCAGCCGTATATTCCACCTTAGTCATGCGATTTGCCAGGTCGGCGGCATGCATCTCGTCGAAGAGCTTGGGAATCTGTCCCCCCGGTCTGCCAGCTCGCGCGAAGGCGTTCAGGCAGTCTTTGGCGGGGTCAGACAGGTCGGCAAAATATTTCAGCATCCCGACAGCTAGACCGCGACATACTTCGTCGCCTTGTTTCTCGCGGGGGAGGTGGTTGACGGCGGCGTACAACGGGGCGGCGGGGGAGATGGTGATGCGCGGATAGCTCTGAAAGCCGGCGGGGGTCAAGACATGCGCCTGGATGCGCGAGCTGCTGACGGTGGCATTTGCGGTCGCGACGGGGCCATAGAAAACGAAGACGGAGGACAGATAGGGATCGGAGGCCTGGTAGAGAGCGAGTTGTTCCAACGGCAGGTCCGACGGGGCGCTTGTCACGGTCGCCATCGTGGCGGAAGCAGCGAGGCTGGCGCGCAACCGGGGGAAATCAATATGGAGATACCGACGGAGGAAACCAAGTAGCTAGACAATTAATGCCGCACCACAATGAAATGAAAACCGATGGGTGAGAAAGAAGATAAGACAGGTACGAAAAGAACAATCGACAGGTTACATAAAAGAAAGGAAAAGAACGACGAGCGAGCGATGGGAAAGCTGCACACGCAAAGGCCACTGATACTCTAGAAAGAGACACGAGGGAACGACTGCGCCGAAGGCATACTACTCATCGGGAACAAGGACAAGAAAACAAGCGAATAGCGAGAGACGGTCCTCATGCAGTCGACGGGGGAAGAATAGGAAACCCCTCCATGGGAAGAGTCCAGAGAGATGACTGATGGCGGAGAGAGCGAGCGAGAGAGAGCGAGAGAGAGCGAGAGAGAGCGAGAGACGCGTTGAGGTTCCCTGGGGACAACCCGGGAGGGCAAATCACTGGAGCATGAATGAGTTGTTCCGGAGGGGGGGGGAAGATGAAGAGGGCGAGTGGGGACTGCAGCCGGGATTAATGATGATTGTTGTGGTGGTTGTTCGGTGGTTGTTGTGGTGAGAGAAGGATGGAGATGACTGCAGATGATTTGCGCGGCGCAAGCGACAGGAAGCCAATACTGCATGTGGACGAGGGGGCAACCAAGTGGGGGGATGCTCAACTCCGGCCGACGTCCTTGCGGGACGATTTCTTTATCTTCGTATTTTCTTCCTTCTACGATTCATGGCGTCCTTCTAGTTCAAGAATCCTTTGGCAAAGCACGACTCAACTTCTGTCCAATGGGTACTTCTCCTCATGTACCTGTCCGCGGGACTGGCAATGCACAAGTACCCTAGGCCCATGTACACGTGAACAACCTAACAACTACGTTCAAAACGTCGGAACCATGGATGCGATCTGGAGATCCCGATCCCGACCCAGATCCCCTGGCAGGGGCTGTGAATATGGACTTGTGCACCGAAATACCGATGGTTGGGTCCATGAAACTCCCGATCACGACCCCAGTCCATGGAGGTGCGTTGTGGACTTGTTGTCCCGTCCAAAAGTACGTGACGGCGTAAGGCATGGGGTGATGTTTCTGTTGCCCCTGCAGATTTCAAACCTCCGACCTGCCGGTAGACAAATAGAAAGGTACAGTAGTTCTGGTAGAAAATCTTACGCGATGGTAGGACTTGGGTCGATCCGACATGCGGAGATCGAATACAGGATCTCCCTTACTCCGGAAGTTGACTGCTATACTAAGGACTGGTAAGTAACTACTGCTAAGTAACTATGACCCGGCACGATAGCGCGAGGGAAGGCCCAAGTCACTTCCAAGTACCGCTGCCAGCCAAAGGGCCGCGTGGAGGTACCGCCGAGGGACTTGGCGCGGCTGAGTCAGCCACCCCCAGAAGCAAACAGGACAAACGCCAACAGAACAGCTGTTGTTCCGCTCGTCGTTCATCTTCCTTCCTTCGCTGCGTCGCCTCGTCTCTCTTTGCTTGCTCCTCTCATTCTTTCCCCCGTGGTTTCCTCGTTCAAGGGCCATGTTCTAATCTTGCTCCGTTGTCGGGCAGTCTTTCATTCCCTCCCCCTTCTTCTCTCTTCCCTCTTCGCTCAATTCCTAATCTCCCTCCGTCATGTCGTCCGCCTCCCTTCCTATCGCGGTCGACCCCGTCGCTTTGGTGACTACAGAATGTATCACCGTCACGTCGGCTATGCGCAAACATGCCCGCTGGGCTCATTCTTCCGTCTCCGCCATTCTTGGCGGAAGTACCGGCGCCCGCGTCTACGGCCGTGATACCTCCGCCCCTCCGAGTCCCCGCAATGGCACCTCGACGTCTCGTTCCGCACCCCGGGCCCCCGCCCCCGATGACGATCATACTCTGGCCAATCGATGGGGCTTGAGAGGCAAGAAAGGCAAGAGCATGCAGGACAACCCCCTCATCTCGGCCTTCACTCGATTACGGAGTGATCTGAAGGGTTGCAAAGACATCCGCTCCTTCGATGCTCCCGCTCTACTACATCCGTTCCTGCAGGTCGTCCGCTCCTCGTCCACCTCCGCCGCAATCACCTCGCTCGCCTTGGTGGCCCTGACCAAGATCTTCTCCTATAACATCATCGGCCGGGACTCTCCTCGACTCTCCATGGCCATGCAACTCTTATCCGCCGCCATTACCCACTGTCGATTCGAAGCCAGTGACTCCGCTGCCGATGAGATTGTCTTGCTGAGGATTCTAAAATTGATGGAAGGCGTCTTGTCTCGCCCGGAGGGTGAACTGCTCGGCGACGAGAGTGTGTGTGAAATGATGGAAACCGGGTTGAGCATGTGCTGTCAGGTCCGTCTGTCGGAGGTCTTGAGGAGGTCGGCGGAAATGGCCATGGTCAATATGTGCCAGGTGATTTTCATGCGACTGTCCCACCTCGAGATTGCAGAATCCTCCGAGGAGATTCCCGCGCTTTCCCTTGCGGGAGGCGACCAGCCGACCAATTTCAAGATGGACCCTTCTGTCGACGGAGATACCGTGACCTCGCAACATCCGTCCGCCATGGGCTCGGATACCGCCGTTCCGGAGCGCGATCGCGGTAGCAGGGAGGAGACCCCAGAACAGACCCCCAACGGCAGTGCCGTCGCCGCTCCCCCCAATCCGCAGGACGACGTTGGTGACGACGTTGCGCCTTACTCCCTGGCCTCTATCCGGGAACTCTTCCGGGTACTGATTGACCTGTTGGATCCCCATAACAACCAACACACTGACCCCATGAGGGTCATGGCATTGCGAATCATTGACGTCGCGTTGGAAGTTGCGGGTCCCGACATTGGCAGGCACCCTAGTTTGGCGTCATTGGCCCAAAACGACCTCTGTCGCCACTTGTTCCAATTGGTGCGATCAGAGAATCTGTCGATTCTGACCGAGTCGCTGAGAGTGGCAGGCACCCTGCTTCTAACTTGTCGCTCCGTGCTCAAGCTCCAGCAGGAGCTGTATCTGTCGTATCTGGTCGCATGCCTTCATCCGCGGGTAGAGATACCCAAGGAGCCTGGCATCAACCCGGCTCTTTACGACGGGGTGCCGCAGGCGCCTAAGTTGGTGAAGCCTCCTCCGTCCCAGTCCAACAGTGGCAGATCCACGCCCGTTCCCGTGAAAGATCGGCAGAAACTGGGACTGGAAGGAGGCTCCCGGAAACCGGAGACGCGAGAAGCCATGGTCGAAAGTATCGCCGTGCTGGCGCGGATTCCAAGCTTCATGGTAGAGCTGTTTATCAACTACGATTGCGAGGTGGACCGTGCCGATCTATGCGAGGACTTAATCGGACTTCTCTCTCGTAGCGCGTTCCCCGACTCCGCCACGTGGAGCACGACCAATGTGCCCCCGCTATGTCTGGATGCTCTGTTGGGCTATATCCAATTTGTGTACGATCGAATGGACGACGAGCCAGTGCAGGCCGGCTTTCCTGCGCGGGGGGATTTGAAGACCCAGCGCAAAACCAAGAAAATCATCATCGCCGGCGCACAAAAATTCAACCAAGACCCCAAAGCCGGTATTGCCTACTTGGCTGCTCACGGTATCATTGAAAACCCTGATGATCCTGTTCTAGTGGCCAGATTTCTCAAAGGAACCACCCGACTGTCTAAGAAGGTTTTAGGCGAGTTTATTTCCAAGCGATCGAACGAAGCGCTCCTGGAAGCTTTCGTCGATCTTTTTGATTTTTCGGGGAAGACTGTGGTCAACGCTCTTCGCGACCTCCTCGGTGCATTCCGCTTGCCCGGTGAATCTCCGCTCATTGAGCGCATCATCACGACATTCGCGGATAAATTCATCGAAAAGGTGCATCCCGCAGGTGTCGCTGATAAAGATTCTCTGTTTGTCTTGACATACGGCGTCATCATGCTTAATACAGACCTGTACAACTCTAATGTCAAAGCCCAAAACCGCATGTCATATAATGACTTCGCGCGAAACCTGCGCGGTGTAAACGCTGGACAAGATTTTGCGCCGGAGCTTTTGCAGGACATCTACGATTCTATTAAACAGAATGAGATCATTCTGCCAGATGAGCACGACAACAAACATGCATTCGACTTTGCTTGGCGAGAGCTCTTGTTGAAGTCTTCCTCGGCTGGCGGGCTGGTTGTGGGCGAGACTAACATCTACGATGCGGAGATGTTCGAAGCCACTTGGAGACCAGTGATCGCTACCCTTTCGTACGTTTTCATGTCCGCCTCGGATGATGCGGTTTACTCCCGGGTGGTCCAGGGATTCGACCAGTGCGCCCAAATTGCTGCCCGGTACAGGCTGACAGAGGCTTTTGACCGAATCCTTTTCTGTCTTACGTCCATCAGCACACTTGCCTCTGAAAATCCCCCCAGCACGGCCCTCAACACGGAGGTGCAAGCTGGAAAGAAGAATGTTATGGTCAGTGAGCTTGCTGTGAAATTCGGAAGAGACTTCAGGGCCCAGCTGGCCACGGTGGTTCTTTTTCGAGTTTTGGCAGGTAACGAATCCGCTGTTCAAAAGAGCTGGACATACATCGTCCGCATCCTCAACAATCTCTTCATCAATTCCCTCACTCCTCCGTTTGATACCAGCCTGAACTCCGAACTTGAGATACCTCCTATTCCACTGCAGCTGCCGTCGCAGGTTGTGGACCGTGATGGACGTGGAAACGAGAGTGGATTGTTGTCTGCCTTCACGTCCTATCTGTCCAGTTATGCCGCCGATGATCCCCCGGAGCCATCAGACGAAGAACTTGACAACACTTTGTGCACCGTGGATTGTGTTACCGCATGTTCCATCAACAATATCTTGACCAATATCAAGTAAGTTAGCCCATCGTTCTGTCTGAACTGAATCTCAATTAACATTTCTAGGTCTCTTCCTCTGGAATCCGTATCGCTGGTGGTAGAGTCTCTATTGGCCCAGCTGCCCGAGGAGTCCGCACCAGCAGTTATTGTCGTGAAACCCGAGAGACCGTCTCCCGCGTCGAGGGCAAATGGCAAAGCTGATGCCAGCCAGTCGAAGTATGATCCTGGAATGATGTATCTATTGGAGCTGGCGACCATTATCACCCTCCGAGACGATGAAACATTGGGGGCCTTGGGCGAGCGGCTTTTGACTTCGTTGCAAGCGTTTATTCGGGATGCTCGGAATCTGCATTCGCTGGCCTTGTCGCGCATTATCTATTATCTGTTAAATCTGTTGCGACTCAGCCATGTATGGATAACCCAATTTCCCCCCAGCCATAAACTGCTTTTGAAACTTGCTAACAATCTGGTAGGATCATTCATTCATGCGTGTGCCTGTTGTTCTACACGGCATCTCGGGGTTTGATCAAGACATATTGGAAAGCGTTGCCATCCCCACTGTCAAAGGACTCGCCCGCTGCATCTCGCACGGGGGTCTTTTGCGTAATGAGATTACTGTTTCCCCTGATTTTTGGTCAATCTTGCAGAGACTCCATCAGCATAAAGAAGCGGGACCGTTGGTGTTCGACCTCCTCCAACACGTTATTGACTCCTCGCCGCCTATCATTACCGCGGACAATTACGAGTCAGCCATCGCCCTTGCGAATGACTTCGTTAGCGCAGGTAGCGTCGGGTCCATTGACGAACGGCAAAAAGACGCGATCTCGCGGCGCTCCAAGGGTGTTAAACAGCCCAAATCAAGGTTCGTTCTGCACTCAGTTCCCTTCGCCCATGTCATCATGAATTAACACATCAGCTGGAATAGTGAGAACGAGGTTGTCTCCCGAGCCTTGAAGGCGATTAGTCTCATCTACCAACTCACCGGACGAGTTCCAAGTCTTATCAAGCAGTCTCATCTTGAAGACAATGAAGGTATGTACAAGCTGCACCTGCCCTCAAGCGCCGAATGCCTGACTAATATTGCTTACAACGATCAGCTTGGTCGGCCTACTGGTCTCCTATCTTCCTTTCATTGACCGCCCAATGCATCAATCCCTGCCGAGATATCCGGCACAATGCCATTTCAACCCTGCAGCGATCGCTTCTCTCTGTCGAGATGAGTTCCACCGACAGCAAGGAGTGGACTGCCATCTTCGATCAAGTGCTGTTCCCACTCGTTTTCCGACTGTTGAAGCCAGAGGTCTACCATTCAGACCCTCTCGGAATGAGTGAGACCCGCGTGCAGGCGGCTATTTTGGTCTGTAAGATCTTCTTGCGTTATCTGGATCAGCTTCCGAATCATGATGGTATGCTGGAACTTTGGCTGAAAATTCTGGATATCCTGGATCGAATGGTCAACAGTGGCCAAGGCGACAGTTTGGTATGTTGTTTTCTCAACCTTTCATTATCTCATCAGCCAAGCCATGTCCAAGGACTTTATATGCTAACTATATCTACAGGAGGAGGCCATCCCCGAGAGTCTCAAGAACATTCTACTGGTCATGGCCGGCGGAGGATATTTGGTACCTCCATCTGAAGACGCCACCAAGGAGGCGATCTGGACCGAAACAAAGAAGCGCTTAGACAGATTCCTACCTGATTTGTTCAAAGAAATCTTCCCGGATTTTTCGAACGAAAAGCCGACAGCCTCTGCCGTCGCGTCTCCCGACCCATCGTCAGCCACTGAGCCTCCCAATGACGAGAAGCCTAAACAAGACGAGACCCCTGCTGATTCTCCAGCTCCGGAAGCAGACGCTGGAGATGAGAAGACTGAAGAACAGCCAAATGAATCCTGAACCCAAAGAAACAACACCCTCTGAAACATCTTTTCATGTTCTCATCTACCCTTGGAGTATTTATCCCGTTGGTAATCTGATGTCTTTTTGCGATCAACTATACATAACATGTAAATATAATGATGCGTTTGCTTTTTTTTTTCTGCTTGTTGTCCCTGTCGGAACACCACTAGCGCGGATGAAGGTTGACTCTTCTTTTCTTTCTTCACTTTTTGCACCTTTGTTACGTTTAGAATCTGGCGCTTGCCAACCGGCCACCTTTATACTTTTTCTCTTTTTGGGCAGTATTGTCTCTTCTCCACGATGCATATACATCAACCGTTCAACACTTGGGAAATCTTCTACATACCCCTTTCGTTCGTGTAATTGTAGAGTTCAGAGTTCAGTTGAGCAATACGAGACCGTTCCTCTAAAGTATTCACCACCCACTACCGATCAAGACCATTTGCTCAATATACCTAGGTACAGATACATAACGTATCTGGTAAACGAGCGGGCCACCTCACGCGTTTTGGCTCCGATCGAAAACCTCGCTCAATTCAACCACCAACCATGCCTCCAAAAGCGCGTCAAAATCTTCAAAATTCAGCAGAACAGGAGGGGAGAATCTTACTTGCTATCTCGGCTTTAAATAAGTAAGAAATACCCAATATTCGTGAAGCAGCACGCGTCTATAATATTCCTCGAACAACTCTCCAGCGACAACTTAATGGCCATACTTATCGCGCAGAAACACGCGCCAATAATCATAAAATGACTCAAAATGAAGAAGAATCACTTGTACAATGGATTCTATCGCTAGATCGACGTGGAGCGCCTCCTCGGCCCTCTCATATACGAGAAATGGCTAATATTATACTCGCTCAACATGGTACTACACCAATCCAATCAGTCGGGGAGAAATGGGTATACAACTTTATTAAACGACAAGATCGCTTAAAGACTCGCTATACTCGACGCTACGATTTTCGACGTGCTAAATGCGAAGACCCTAAGATTATACAAGAGTGGTTTAACTGTGTACAAATCACGATAATGCAACACGGGATCGTACAAGAAGATATCTACAATTTTGACGAAACTGGCTTCGCTATGGGCCTAGTAGCTACTGCACAAGTAGTTACTAGAGCTGACTACTACGGAAAGGCCTCTCTTGTACAGCCAGGCAATCGAGAATGGGTTACTTCGATCGAGTGTATTAACTCTACTGGTTGGGCGCTTCCTCCATGTGTGATCTTCAAAGGGAAGGTCCATATCGAGGGTTGGTATCAAGATACTAAGCTCCCACGCGATAGTAGGATTGAAGTTAGTCCGAATGGATGGACTACTGATGAGATAGGCCTTCGCTGGCTTCAAAATCTCTTCATTCCTACTACTACTGGTCGTACAACTGGAAGATATCGTCTTCTTATTCTTGACGGCAATGGCAGTCATCTTACGCCTCAATTCGATCAGATATGCAGCAAGAATAACATTATTCCTATCTGCATGCCAGCTCATTCCTCTCATAAGCTTCAACCTTTGGATGTGGGCTGTTTTGCGCCTTTAAAAAAGGCGTACGGAGACTTAATAGAGGAGCAAGCTCGCTTAGGAATCAATCATATTAACAAGCTTGATTTCCTAGAGGCCTTTCCACAAGCTCGCGAACGCGCTTTTCAAGCAGATACTATTCGGAATAGCTTCGCAGGCGCTGGCCTAGTTCCATTCAATCCAGATAGGGTGCTCAGTCAGCTGAATATTCAACTAAAGACTCCTATACCACCAGGTAGTCGATCAACCAATTCAGCGCCAAAAACGCCCTATACAACTAGGCAGCTGGAGAAGCAGGCATCTACAGCAAAGAAGCTGCTTAAAGCGCGTACGCAGAGCCCTTCGTCTTCGCTAGAGACGCGATTTGATAAGCTTATTAAAGGTCATGAATTACATCTTAATGAGCTTATTCTTGCACGCGAAGAAATCCACGAATTACGCCTTTCTCATGAAAAGAAACTTCGAAAAAGGAGACGCTCTACTAGGCAGCTAGCTATTACGGAGGGATCAGCTATTCAGGAGGGCCTAGAGCGATTTCAGCGCGAGAATGAGGTTAATGAAGCTCAAAATACGCTTCCTCTAGATCCTGCACTTCCTGCAGTCAGGCCACGCGTACGAGCGCCCCCGCGGTGCAGTGATTGTCATATTCTAGGACATAGACGATCACAATGTCCTAATCGAGTTCCTAATTGATTTTTAGATAGAAATGCAATTGTTTTGTTGATAAGGCCCTTATATTTAGCCCGCGGGCAGAAATGGAGCGGAGGTGGCCCGCTCGTTTACCGGATACGTTAATCAATGTAGTTATGACCATGTATGACTAAGCAAACCACACGATCACACAGACTAACTTATAATTCACTTATACAGATGTGTCGACTTGGAGATTGGAAGGTATCACAATAAATAGATAGAATTCTCATTGTCATTCCATTCTGACTGATTTGGATTGATTGTAAGTAGAGGCAAGTAAACCAAGCCGCAAGAGTGAAAGTGAAAAAAAAAAAAAAAAAAAAGGGAGAACAAAAGAAAAATGAAAAGATGCAGAACGTAGTACAATAAAAGACGACGATAGAGCAGAGTCTCCAACCAGTTTTGAGCAGAAATGGCAGCAATCAAGAGATAACGGCACTGAGAGGTCAAGCAGATAGATCGATATGTGTTACAGAGAAGAGTGGGAATGAACAGAAACAAAAGGAGTGTGGCATTTCATGCGTAATTGGTGAGGCATGGTGCGACTTATCAGATAATAAGAACGAGAAAAAGAAGAGGGAAGGAGGAAAGCGCGGAGGTGAGTTTCGACTGATGAGAGGAAAGATAAGGCAGACGAGAAAAAGAACACTAATCAATTGAACGCATTGTCCACTTTTCTTCTTCTTTTCTCTCTTCCTAAATTTTTATTTTATTTTTTTTTATTCGGCATCCATATCATCATCAAGGTCGATAGCGTCAGGGTTGACCGGAGCAGCGGGTGGTTCTTGACCAGCGGGAGGAGGCCGGTTACCACCTTCGGGCCCAGTGCTGGCAGCAACGAAGCCCACAGGGGCACGAGCCTGTCGTTCCAGGGCTGCCATGGCGTCTGCCCGCTCGGCAGCACCTTCGTCACCATCCTGTCCATCCTCGTTGCCCTGTTCACCGTCTTGCGGTTGTTGCTGGCCGCGAGCAATCGCTTGCGAGGCGATGAAATTGACATCGGTGCTGTTGTTGGATAATGGTTAGCCATCAAGGTTGCTTTCATCTTGGGGAAGGAATGCTTGACATACTTGTACTGTGCTTGAACGCTTCGCTTGATGCGGAGCATCTCCTTGAAAGTGTCCTCGTTTCCGTGTTGCACCTCGAACGCTTCCCATTTCTGCCAGAAACCGGCGTTGGTGCGAGGATCGCAGAATTGGGAGGCGTGGCCATAGATAGCACGGGCCCGGTCGATTTCGCCAAGTCTCCGTTCCATCTCGGCAAACTTGAGACACATCTCCTTGGCTTCTTGGTCCGGCAGGGCCGCGATGGCGCGCTCGTAGATAGGTCTCGTGGAGGTCAGGCCGAAGTTCGAGGCCGACTTGGTAATGTAGAACTCGAACATCTCGAATCGGTCTTCGTCGGACACCGCGCGTGTGGCACGCTCGTAGATTCTCATGGCATGTCGGGCCAATCCACGTTCCTCTTCCAGGTTGCCGTACATCAGGTAGAGAGGCTTGGCGAACTTGGGGGGGCATCCATCCAGGGCCTGTTCGAAAAGATCTCTGAGTCTCTCGATTCCAATCTTGCGGTCGACTGCCTTGGTCAAATAGAGGTTCCAAAGTTCGAATGCAACGGGATAGCTGAACAGGTCCAAACCCCGTTCGTACACCTTGAAAGAATCCTCGAAGTACTTGTTTTCCTCCAGGAGGTTGGCGTAATTGACAACGGTCTGAGGTGTGGCGATGCGCAGCTCGAAAATCCTCTCGTACACCTTCTTGGTCTCTTCAAGTGAAGCAACACTTTCCACAAGATCGACGTAAAAGCTCCATAGTTTCCAACTCTTGTGAACTCGTTGCTGAGGCGATAGCGTTTCGTCAAAGTAGTCGACGGTGGATTTCTTGGGCGCTTGCGTTGCCTTGGCCATCACCTCAACGGCCTTGTCGAAGTTTTCATTCCGAAGTTCCATCTCCGCAAACTCACACCACAACTCCGCGAGCTCGGCGACGGATTTGAAGGGAACCTTGACGGCCTTTTCGAGGATGATTCTGGCCGTATCAAGATCGTTGCCAGACTCGTAGAACTTGGCGTAATTGACCCACAGTTCCGAGAACTTACCATGGGCCTTCTTAGGGTTGATAGCTGCGATAGCCGCCGTGTAGGTCTGAACGATTTCGTGCTTGTTGTCGCCCCATAAAGCAACCCTCTTTTCCCATTCAATGACGTTGTTGGGATTCTGTCTCAGTAGCACGTCGTTAACTAGGAACGGCCGTCGGTCCATTAGTTGTTCGAATCGAAGCATCCGTAAGTCGAGATCGAAATCCGCATCCTCGTCAGACTGGCCGTTGTCAGCGCGGGTTGCCGCCGAGTCCATAAGGCTTCCGATGATCGACTCTTCGAATTCAACGTAGGAGTCGAATATCAACGTGAAATCCCGAACCGTCATGACGGTGACGATACCCTCTTCGAAGACGTCTCTCGCTTTCTCGAAATTGCCCTTGGTGATCCAGTATGTCGCCAATCCAGCCCACAATTTACCGCGCTGATCAGCAAACCGTTCAATGCCGCTGCGGAGGATGGCATCCACATCGATTCCAACGTGTAAACCGGTTTCGATCTGCTTTGCTTTCGACACCAGCAAGTCCACCATCTCGGTCCACAGCTGGAAATTGCTCTTTCCTTCCTTCGACTGGAACCGGGGGTTGTCGAGTATCTCCATGTACCTCTTCACGGCCTCCGTGTACTGGCCCATTTCGACAAGTAGCTCGATGTATTCTTCAGCATTTTCCGGATGGATTTGCATATAACGAGACCAAATCTTCACAGCAGTTTGACCGGAAGCAGACCGAGCGAACGGCTTGTAGAGTCTCCAGATTCGGTTGTGTTGAGTGATGGGAAGGGCCCTCAATGCACGGTCGAAGGTTCTCCGAGTCTGTATCACAAGAGGTTGCTGAAGCAAGAAAGAAAGATACATCTCCCATATCCGCGGCATTTTGTTGAGCAGGATCAGGGCGCGTTCGAAAAGCGCGTTGACTTTCATAAATTCGGCCCGGTACACAGTCGGGTTCCGGCCTCGTAGATGATTCGTGCGAAATTCAAGGTACTGCGATACGTTAGCAGATGAATGCGACAACAACATTCAGTTGAAGCAAAAAAAAAAAAAAGATAATAATAATACCATCTTCCATAGTTTATAGGACCTGGGGAGTTGTTTGCACGCGCGCTCCATTACCTAGAGAGAGATGAAAGATTAGCCAGAGATTCGATTGTAAGCCAACGCGCTTCCAAAGATACTCACAAAAGCTTGCTCATAGAGCGTACCATGTTGCTGCTTATATTCGACATAAGCAAGCCACGGTTTGTCATTGTGCGGATCGCGAAGCAAATCTTGCTCATAAACCGTGTCCTGATCGGCCTATAATCACGTCACATGATTAGCCTGTACCGCCTCACAATCCAATGGCCAGGGTACTCACGATCAGATAGAGATCCGGCCCAGAGGCCGTCGTTCGGTCCATCTGTGCGTGTTGCCGGTGGGATCTCGGGGGCAAGAGTGTCCCTGGCATTTCGCCACTCAGTCGAGCGGGATCAGCTCACACGGTGAACACGAAGTCGGGTAGAGAAGGTGCACCGCATGAACCGGGGGGAACAGGAGGCCTTTCTTTTCGTTCGCGCTGGACAAGATGGAGGATACCCGCCGAAAGGACCGTTCAGAGATGAGGTCGCACCGCACGTGACGCCGTGTCATGCGGACTCACGGACCTTCACCTGGTCCGAGCGTCCTCCATTATCGCGGGCCGCCGCATCGTCATGTCCGCCCAGTCGCTTCGCTATCGTGGCCCCCTCTGCTTTCCATCCGAGCGTCTCGCCTTTGTCTATTAATCATGTCGGGTGCCGTGGTATGTTTGCACCATCGCCCCCCTCTCGGCTGCTGAATTCAGGCCGGAACTAATATCTGCGCGATTGTCTAGGGCCGTGAGGCTGTCTTCCCGACTCGTCAGTCGCTGGGGTTGATGAAGGGTAAGCTGAAGGGCGCTGAAATCGGCCACAGCTTGTTGAAGAGAAAGAGTGAAGCATTGACAAAGTACGTCCATTGCCGCCAATCATACCACTTCAAATACCGATATGCTAACATCCCGTCCATTGCAGGCGATTCCGCGGTACGATAGCTCCTGAATCCAAAGTCCCCCCATTATTACCCCAACACTGACGTGGGGAGGTAGAGATCACACGCCGTATCGATGAAGCGAAACAGAAGATGGGACGAGTCATGCAGATCGCCGCCTTTTCCCTGGCAGAAGTGAGCTACGCCGTCGGAGGCGATATCGGTTACCAGATCCAAGAGTCCGCCAAGCAGGCCCGATTCCGCGTCCGGACCAAACAAGAGAACGTGTCCGGTGTCCTATTACCCCATTTCGAGAGCTTCACGGAGGATTCCATCAATGACTTTGGTCTCACCGGTCTCGGAAAAGGAGGTCAGCAGGTGCAACGATGTCGGGAAACCTATGCCAGAGCGGTAGAGACCCTGGTTGAACTTGCGAGTCTACAGGTACGAAGGGCTATGGTATACGGTGTCATGTGATGTACCCTTGGCTAATTATTCCGGATTAGACTGCATTCGTCATTCTGGACGAGGTGATTAAGGTGGTTAACCGAAGAGGTAAGTAGTCGGCCATTCCTGGGAACTTTTGCTCATCAACTAACTCCGGTCATAGTCAACGCCATGTAAGACGAGCTATCCCCTAGGCACAGAGACCATAATCTAACCCTGGAATTAGTGAGCACGTCATTATTCCCCGTACAGAAAACACTATCAAATGTGCGTATTCTCCCGACCACCTCATGCTCATTACTCCGATTAACGCATTTCTAGATATCAACTCCGAGCTGGACGAGCTGGACAGAGAGGAGTTCTACCGACTTAAGAAGGTTTCGGGCAAGAAACAGCGCGATGTCGCTGCTGCGGACGCCGAGATCATGGCTGCGAGAGAAAGAGAAGCAGCGAAGCAGCTAACAGAGGACAAGCCTCAAAAAGAAGAAGAGACACCCGATGCCCCGGACGTGTTTGGGGAGCAAGAAGATGCAGACGTCATTTTCTAACGGCAATTTTCTTCTCCTCTTGCATTTCCTTATGCCGTCTCATGTAACTAGTATACTCGTTTTCTAGCATGCAGCTGTCTCTTATTTCTTAGTATCATTCATAAGCTATTTTTTCAACTCTTTTTCTCTCTTACAAGTGTTGAGCTAGGGTACCAGTAGTAGAAGAGGCAAGGGCGATGACACCGCCATGAGAAACAATTCATACATTTCTCTGCAAATTCTAATCGAAATTCCAGACATGAAAAGAATAAAACCCCACCCCAACGCCATGAAACAATCCCCGGGCTCGCACAGCCCAAGACAATCCATTACTGCCTCTGGTACGTGACCCGAATAGGCTTGCCATTCTCTCCCATCGGCATACCCGAAGTCGCCTCCTTCGCGCTGATCGCACCGGACTCGCTCTCGTACTCGACGAACGCAATCCCCTTGCGGCCCGGCACAGTTCGGACTTCCTGAAATCCCTCGAAGCGACCAAACACGGCGGTAAGGCTGTCCTGGTCCGCGGTGTCGGGCAGGTCCCGCAGGAAGAGAATCTTGTTCGGAGGCAGGTACTCGTCGGGGATGACGGTCGTGGCGGCCCCGCTGGTGGGCTTGAGGCCGGCTCCTTTGGCGGTTTTGGCAGGGCGCGTGGATTCGGGCCCGACGGGAGGTCGTTTGAGCTTCTTTTGAGCTTCGAGAGCCTCGTGGGCTTGTTTGCGTTCTAGCGAGGTGGGAACCGCAGTTAGTAAACACTTTCACGCTGGTAGACTGGAGTAAAAGGAAAGAAAAGCGCACCTTTCTCAGCTAGCCGTCTCCGCTTATGAACCTCAAGCTCCTCATTGCCTCCTTCCCGCAAAACAGTAGCGTCACTCCTCGTCTTCGCATAGTCCAAGACCATAGGCTTGTCGAAGAGGTCGAACCCGTTGATTTCATCGATCGCGCGGGTGGCGGATTCCACGTCGTCGAACACAATGAATGCCTGGCCCTTGGCCTTCAAGTTGGTCTTCGCGACGATCTCGATGATATTACCATATTCCGAGAAGATCTCGTCCAGTGCGACCTTCAGCTGTTCGACTTTGATTCTTTCTTCCAGGTTACGAACCTATCCCCGCAGTGTGGTTAGTGAGCGTTCTTGACATCCCATAAGATTTAAGTTGAGGCCATGACACGCGCCGTCGTTCCACGGATGAGAGAAGTGACAGTCCGTTGATGCAATGCCGAAGTCTGAGACGATCGGTCGCTTATTTCGTACCAAGCGTCAAACGACCTCAGTTTCACGGCGCAGTCTGGGAGGGGAGTGGGATGTTTCGCGGAGGTTGGTGATAGGACATACATAAACTCTGCCAGAATGAGGTAGTTAGCTTGAGGAAGGCTCTGTGAAAGCTCAAGAGAAAGCTGCCCAGGAAGACTAGACTCACGTATTGTTGGGCGGGATACTTCCCGTGGAGGCTGGTACGGCCGCCATGATTTGCGACTTCTCGGGGTTGTGATCAATTGAGTCGGTAACTGTCTTGAAGGAGCTGCGGGACTTCAATGAGGAGAGGATGCTGAGCTGTGGAGTAAAGATTTCATGATATGATGTCAAATTGTCGAACCTGTTACAACTAGCCAGCATCATTGGTCTAGTGGTAGAATTCGTCGTTGCCATCGACGAGGCCCGTGTTCGATTCACGGATGATGCATTTTTCCCCCCCGTTCTTTTTGCTCTTGACCACAACCGAAAATCCTGTACAGTCAGTTACTTGATCTTTTTTTAGCTTATAGTTTCCTCTCTTTTTATCTTTATTGGCTCTTCGTCCCATATATATTAGACTAAACCAATGTCATGTATATGTTCGGCATCCCCTACCCCGTGGCTCCGTCCAGGTGCCGAAATGGAGTATAATGAAATGAATCAGTGAATCAATCGATCAATGTATACGTTCGACACATAAATGGTTACAGGCCCCAAGTCTCCCGTAACCCTTCTACAAGACCCTTCAATTCTTTAGGTTGTCTCATCCAATCCTCATATTTGACCTTGTCCAGCTCGGTTTCCATATACAAGTATTCCGCAATGTTACTTCGAACCTGTATAGCGTCAGCCCCTCATGTCCACTTCCATGTGACTCCTCGGCCAGCGACGAATGCACCGCCGAGCGGTGGGAAAGTGAGTTTCGTGATGTTTGGTCGCGGGTAGAGGGATAAAGCTCAAACTTACCCTTGGGAAAGGATGCAAAAGCATGCCCGTCATCTTCTTGAGCGCTTCAATGCGCAGTGGCTCCAGTCGACATAGGCACGCATACACTCTGATTGCTGCTTCTAGTCTTGCGATATTCGAGGTTTTGAAATGGGCCTTTTGTACAAGGACGAACAGTTTTCGGAAACTGTGAGTTGTGTTAGTCAGTGGATGTCTATCTAGTGAGGTGTAGCATAAGGGAGAATGGAACTTGCCTGGGCTCGGAATCGGCAGCGATTGAAGAGATATATCCATCTAACAGAAACGCGAGTAGCTCCATTACCGGTATAGCGTAGCGATCATCTTGTAGGTTGTCACTCAATATGACCAGGAGATCTTTGATGACAGAAACCACTGTGATGAGCCGGTCTTCCGCCTCCCGGTTGTTGATCCATTCAACCAGGGCTGAACGCGAAGAACGAATAAGTCCCTCGGCTCCGGCGACGGCGGAAGTTGCAATACCCTGAAGGATCGGGACACGCAACCAATCGATTGCTTGCAGATCGAAGAGCTGCAGGAAATAATCCGACGAGGACACATGGCTGAAATGCTCGTATTGTCTGGTTTGTGTCAGCATAAAGTTCTCATCATGAGTCGATACTGTGGAAATTCGCACCTTTTTAATTGTGGGAACTCGTCGGTTGACTCCCAGAAACTCTGCAAGCATAGCCAGGCTTGAAGGCGAACTTTATCCAGCTTTTCAGCTGCCAATCGGCAAAGGCATCCGACAATGTTCTGAACATGAGAGGCATGAACTGTGGATTTCGATTTCGTTTGAAGGAGAATATTTGCTGATTGGATTGCCTCTAGCCGAATTTGAGAGCCAATATCACCGCGTCTATCGGTAGTATAGTCATTCAAAAAACTAATCACATGGTCTGAGATAGCATCCATTTCGTCTGTTTCATGGTCAGCCACTTCCTATTCGGCACAGTGGATTTACATACCTAAATATGGAAGAACACCCGTAGTCAAGCTCTTCACGGCCATTACTCGCTTTTCAATCAATTCGTCTTTCTCAGTGCATCGCAGCAACTCCTCCACAATTGACTGCTTCAAATCGCTCTTTGGGCCAAGGTGCTTGAAAACAGCACCCAGGACTGAGATTTGACCGCGGCCAGTTGGTAGCTTCCGAGTAGCGCCAATGTGCGAGAACCAGCCTTGGATTATTCCATCCTGTTTTGTTAAAGCCAAGAGAGGGAATATACCAGATAGTGATGAAGAGGATGTCTCTATGGCAATGTCTTCGCCTCGAGAAACGCAGAGCAAAAGAGTATCAAGGGCTTTGTCGAGCACGTCAGCGGACGGTTGTGGAACTTTTGGCACCGTCTCTTGCGACACTGAGCGAGAGAGAGAGGAAATCAGACATGCAGCTGCTTCAGCTGTTAATTCAGGACGTGATATTTGAAGTGTTAGGTCCTTCTTGGTAGGGCCGGCTGGGGAGTTGAATATGTTCCAGAGTTCCTCTAGTTGATGCACAACATTTGCTGCCTCGGGACCATCCTCCGAGTTCATACGACAGACATTGAAAGCTTCAACCGTCGAAGAAAGTGCTAGCAAACAGCCGTGCCTCCCCTCAATGTCGCTGTGTGGAAGATTCGTAAATTTGGTGATCAATCGCTGAAGCACAATTTTCAATGACTTGTAAGAATTCTGGGTGCTCAGGTTCCCGATGGCTTTTGCTGCCTGTCTCCTAGACTCGGCGTCTGGTGATCCAATACCTCTCCAGTGCATCAGCGATTCAACCAGAGGGCTCCAATAATGATGGCTCAGGTCTGCAGTAGCTTTTGCGACATCGTTCATTGCTCTTGAGCGACGAGCCACGGCGTGATAATCAACCACTTGAACCAGCGGGATTCCCTCGTAAATGGTATTAGGATGCCGTCCAATGAGCTCCTGTAAAGCAGCAGATGCACCTCTCCGAATATTCCCCGACGGATCCACGCAAGCAGCACATACTAGCTCTATGGCCAGCATCTGCAGGATGTTTGTTTCATCCTGGGCTGTAGATGTATTGATTGTCTGCGGCCTTAAAGCGAGCAGTTCCTGGGTTGTATACTTCCGAGATATAGCCCATATGCCAAAGCAAGAGGCATCCCGTACACCAGTGCCCACTGAACTTCCGGTAGATGACCTTTGCTCAAATTCAAGCCCGGAAATAAGCGGTTGGAGCACTTCGGGAAGTTGATGAGTGGGCGGAGCACGACGAAACAGGAGATGGCCCAATGTAAGTATCAGGCCTTGCCATCGCTGAGCATCCACTGCGCTAAGGTTTCGCTTCATTTTATTGGTCCCAAACATCCGGGCTTCTAACGGGGTCACGATGGCACCATCCGGCTTTTCATATAGAATATTCTCCTCCAGCGAACCAGTGACGGCCTCGATGACCTCTGCTGCCATATCCGAGTCAAGCTTCAGCGTTATTATACTCAAGGCCTTGCTTGCAGCGAATCGCACGGGAGTGTCTTTATCAGCCAAAGCTACCAAGAAATGATCGATTGCATCTTCTAAAATTGAAGAGAATTGGCCATCCGAAAGTGGATTGTCAGCCCTTTCACTCAAGGACAAGGCCATGACCGTCACTGAGCGGAGAATTTTGATGATAATCTTCCTTGCCAGCGCAGAGGTCTTGATAATCTCGGATACATCTGACATCCCCTGTGCAACGAGCAGGGTCTTCTGGAAGACCGGTACGATGAGTGGAGCAAAGTCTTCCACCTGGCCGGATGCCCCAAGACGTGCAAGAAAAGACAGTACACCGATACAGGTGTAGACAGTAGGAGGCTCAGGTCTGTCCGCGGGTTCGATCATAGAAAATGCCCATTCTGTCAGGTACGTCAAGAGTCCTAGGGACTGCATGTCCCCTCGAAGTACCAAGCGTGCGAGAAGCGCGGTGGCGGCCTCACGCTCTTTCCCGGGAACGTTCACATAATTCAGGGACACTGAGAGAATGGACTTTGCGATTGCCGGCGTCTGAGGGGACAGGGGCTTGAGCTGGCCGAGATTATCATATGGGACTGGAAGATCATCCGATGACATCGAGGACAGATCAAAGGGGGCCAGCAGCAAGTGGGAAAGCCAAATCAGCATGACATAGCGCTCTTCCCAGATCAGTCTTTGCGAACTATCGCTGACAGAGGTTTCCAGTGCATCATCTTGGCGGATTGCGTCCCATTCAATAAACGCTCGCAGTAAAGGGTCGAGGTATTTGGGCTCATTGCTTAGAAATCGACTGATCACCTTGACCCCACGGACCTTACAAAATGTGTAAAGAAGCCGACAGATCGCTCTTGGCAGGGGGTATACAGCCTGCTGCTGTTTCGAGCTTGCTGGTTTCAAGGCATATTGATCGCGATGCTTGACTAGGTATGCTAAGAACGCATCAACCAAGGAGGGCAGCACTATTTGGAGGTGTGGATCCAATAACTGAGGCCATTCTTGAAAAGGCTCTAGCTGTAGCGATTATGGTCATTAGCAATTCAGAAATGTAGTTGGATAGACCAGTCGATGTTAAAATGAAGAGGAAGTGTTTATATCAACTCACAAGGCTAACGAGTCTCTCTGTTTTCGCGGCGTGCGTCCATCTCCGCGGGACTCGAATTTCACCCTGCTCGGAAGCGCGGGTTTTCCAAAGCAGAGATGGCAATTTGTCTGAGAATTCCTTCACAAGATCCCCGGATACGCGCTGGAGTTTAATTTCGCGGTCATCGGCTGCGTCCATGATGGAACTCTTAGTCTAGAAGGGATGAGAGCAGCGACTGGTCCAGATGGCGGGGATTCGGTCAACGTTGAATCCGGTCATGTGACCTGTATAGCTTCTCACATCTGGAGGCAATCGAGCACAGGTAAATCTTAAGCACTTCGTTATTATAAGTATTTTACAACCTCTAACACTTTCCTGTTTCCTAGTTCTCATGAGATGAAGTTTTCACGGCAGTGTCAGGTGTTGTCGAAGACTTTTCCGAAAATGAAAAAATATATATATATATTCCAACACCATAGGGACCACATTCCCGAATCCTTTGGTTTTCATTTTCAAGAAAAGTCACCAACCAAATAAACTAAAATCACCCAAGCTCAGTGATTAAATATCTACATCTGGACCTACGTCCAATTCCTCCCCCTCCAAAAGCTTTCTATATCCAGCCACGCCATCCTCTGCCAGCTGCAGCATAGTCCTGCGGATATGCATGACCGTAATTGCAATAGCAAGAGAGTTCCATACATCCTGGCCTCTTTCTCCCAGATCAAACTGGCACATAAAGGTGCTATCTGTATTCTCGCTCTCGGTGGTCGGATCGGAATTGCGAGTCAGAATGACAACTGTCGGACCGGAGACGATGGATCCGATAAGAATGGGGTATTTTCGATGAGAGGAATCGCCGTTCTGGGAATCATCCGTAGGAGGCGCGCCCAGAACTTTCTGATATTGTCCGACAAGATAGTGCAGGCGTCGATCAAGTCTCTTCAAAGTCTCCATGATGCCTTCTCGTTGTGCGTAAATAGCATGAAGAGGGACAGCATCTTTTGAAATGCAGACCTTGGCATCACGCATAGCCCATCGAATATAGTTCTTGATGGAATGTCTTATCAAAGGCTCCGGTTTCTTTCGCAGAATCTTGCAGTCCCTAACACGCCCTCCCAAACTGAATAAGGTAGCCAAAGACTTGATCGCTGGAGAAGGGTGTTATTCAATAGAATCAGACTATATAGGACTCGGTCACCGACTTACCATAAAACTCAGAGGCCCCAGATATCTGCAGAATCGGCTTGAATCCTAGACCCGGCTCAGGAAACAAAGAGATTGGGAGAGTTGGAAAATCGAACTTCCAATGACTCGGGAGAGCGGGCTCGAAACCACGCATCGAAAGTCTGAAGTAAAGGTCCTGCTCGGCTTCATTGTAGATGTTCTCCGGTAGATCGTTTGCGTCAGTCCAGCGTCGAGCCCTCTCCGTGGAGAAGTCAAAGACGACCTCCGATTTTTCATTTGCTGAAATGTGAATCGAGTCGTCCGAGTCGTCCGAGTCGTCACTTTGAGGCACGAATGCGTCCTCGTCATCGATGGGTGCGATGCTTCTCCTTTTGAGACTTGTGTTATCCCAGCCCCCATGACCAGTACCGTGTTCATGAGGTATGTCAAATCTGATTGTGGTTCTCGAGGAAGTATCTTCAATACTAGCAATCGGCATATCAACATCCTTTTCACTGTCAGAACTTGTTTTTCTTCTTTTCGATGCCGGATTAGGTTCAGGAGTGACAGGCTCATCCGCCATTATATCTGAATCGTCATCGTATGTTATAGCATAGGATGGATCTTGGGCCTTTTTCTTGGGCGGTTTCCGCTTCGGCGTGCGAAAAGCGGCTTCTGTCAAGCTGCTACCGTGATCTGGAATACCAACCGGGGGCGATTGCGAAGCTTTCTTTCTTTTGGGTATGCGGATGACTTCATCGTCTGTATCACTGTCTCCATTAGGGCGGCGATCATTGGTATCTAGCAGGGGATAGGCATCCGCCAGATTTTGCGCTTGCGGGAAAGATTGATACATGTTTCACATGTAATTAGGACGAAGTAGAATAGGAAAGGAGGAGCGGATGGAAGATTCTGGGTATTTGAATACTGTTTCTGGCGTAGGCGTGGACTGATTCAAACCTAACCTAAGAATAGTTGTAGGCGGGGGTGAAGGATGGTAAATAAGTGTTGGTCTCGCGAGAGCTCGGAACAGTGATCAAAAGATCGAGAAGACCCAGGGTATCGAGTATTCGATAGATAGAACGAGGGTGAGAGTTGATTCGCCTGAGGCAGTCGTAGACGCTTGATCGTGGTGAATGGTGGACACAAAGAAAAGCAAAATCAAGGACACCCCTAGTCCTCGGTCCAGTATTTCAAACCTCATTCTTGGATGGAAATCAGGGCATTTCTGCTAGCCCGCTCTTTGTCATGACCAAAAGGAAGGTTGACTGCACAAAGAACATGTCGAGTTGGAGGCGGCAGGCGGCAAGTGAATGATAATGAAAAGGCAGGAGCCAAACTGCGGTCGTATATATAGAACAAAGGAATTACGAAGGTACAGACGTGGTGTTAGAATTGGAAGGAACACAAGAAGTGTGCTTATGGCATGAGAAGTTAGGAGCAGAATTACATTCCGAAAAAGGAATTAATTGAACCGTCCAAGGCAATGAAACGAGCAGCGTAGAATGCTGGACACAACAGAAGAGAAAAACGAACCGCCCCCAGAAACCAGCCCCATTCATTTCATTTCATCCACAGTCGCAAAGACGGCAAGCTCTCCAAACTCTCAAGGGTATGTGAAACAACATTTGCAACCAGTGCTACATACAGCTGGCAACGATCAAAAGGACGAACGCAGAATCCCGAATTGCACAGCGAACACATGTAAACATTAAACGCAGTCTAAATCAGACTGTTCCCGATAACAATAAATTGAATCAAGCGAAGTCCGCAGTGTACGAAAAGCCACGGAACTCTTCCTGCATGGCTTGAGAGAGGACTGGAAACGTCGTTAGCATGTGGATAGACCTTCTGGCAGTTCAGCAATGTCTTACCTGACTGCACCGGGGTAAGAACCGGTGTAACACTGGTGAATTCCTGATCGAAGTTGCTGGTATCGGTCGGACTGGAGATGGTCGGCATGAACGGCGGGGGGACACGCTTGTGATAGATATCATCCCAGTTGATGTTCCGGAAGAAGGCATGGGACATGACCTCCTGGGCATCCGTTGGTCCCGAACCAAGTCGCAGCTCTGGCTCGCGGGTGAGCAGCTTCTGAAGAATAGACACCGAGTCCCGAGGCATGTGAATGGGATATAGCGGTTCATCTGCCAGAATGGCATCGTAAATTTCGTCCTCGTCTTCACCGCGGAAGGGCGATTGTTGGAGAAGCATCTGGTAGATGAGCACACCGAAAGCCCACCAATCCACCGCTCGGCCATATTTCTTGTCCAAGAGAATCTTTGCGTAGCGTCAGTAACTGTGCACTATGACAGACAAGAAGCGGCAGGACATACCTCAGGTGCCATGAACTCAGGGGTACCACAGAATGTGCTTGTGGTTGCCCCATACCACATATTCTCCTTGCAAAGACCATAATCAGCGATTCTGATATGACCATCCAGGGTCATCAGAATGTTATCAAGCTTCAAGTCACGGTAAATGACACCGTTTTCGTGGAAGTATTTGAGTGCCAGCAAAACTTCGGCAGCGTAGAACCTGCAGAATGTGATGTTAGTTTCTTCTCGGCACCGGACCCCGAAGTAAAAGATGGAGAGATTCTGGAAACATACTGTGCCCGTTTCAGGCCGAACTGGCCACGCTGAATGTGCAGCATCAGATCACCACCACTAATGTACTCCATGACGAAATAAACACGAGTCTCGGTCTGGAAACAAGCATGAAGGTTGAGAAGGAAAGGATGGCGCTCCTTGTTAGCGATCAAAAAGACGCGCTTCTCCGACTTGGTGCTTTCCACTTCGTCATTCTCAATGATGAATTCCTTCTTCAACACCTTGATGGCATAAAGCTTCTTGGTACTCTTGGTTTCCGCCAGCATGACCTTTCCGAAATTACCCTTACCCAAAACAGCCAAGAAATTGAAGTGGTCCAGTCCAATTCTGGTTTTTGGTACTTGAGGCTGAATGTCTTCCTTCACAGCCATCTGCTGCTGTTGCATTGCTGGAATAGGCTGCTGCTGTTGGGGCATGCCATAAGGTGAGGTAACCACCTGTTGCTGCTGCTGCTGCTGCTGCATCACTTGAGGCGGCGGCATACCCTGCTGGTAAGAAGCGTACGCCGCAGGGTCATAATGGGCATGCGGAGGCGGTTGAGGTTGCACAGGACGAGCATCAACTTGAAAATCAAACGTCAACTTTGTCTTTGCTGCGACAAGGGCATTATGGGTGAACATACCTGGTGACTGCTGGGGCGAACGGAGACCGCTTGCCACGGCGGCGGCGGCGGCAGCAGGGCTGTTGGAAGACGAGGTTCTCGGGGGCATCTGTTGACGCTGGGCGGCAGTTGGTGACTGCGGGGGTATATAAGAGTTAGTGGCAGCGCTAACAGCTTCGGCGGAGGGCTGTCTCTGAGGGGCCCCGTAAGGGCTCTCGACAGGTTTCTGTGGGTAGGCAAGAGCGGCATTGTCCATCGAGGCCTGCGGCGGGCCTCCCGATCGAAGGGTACGGCCACTAAGACCGGAACTAACAGAGGCGGATTTGTTGTGATTCTTGGCCCGAATCAGGGTTTCCAGAATCTGGTTGGCTGCTTCCATAGACATGCCACAGAAGTCAGGTACGAGATGGGTACAATTGGCATGGCACGTAAGGCCACATTCTATTTGAAGAGTAGGGTGCGTTAGCGTGTCTGATAGGTCCGTTCTTCCAAAAAATCATACCTGAGCATCGTTTGGCGCTTTTGCGCCCAAAGGGCAGCAAGTACCCGCAGTGACAACACCAGTTGGCGGAGATGTTGGCAAAGCCCTCGAAACGATGTGGGATGCGGTGGTTGATTTTCTCCTCGTCGGGGTCCGTCTCGTAGTTGGCCTTGCTGATACACTTGGTGACAACCTTGGGGTAACATTTCTTGTGACAAGTGTACTTGCAATCAGCACACTGCATACCGGCAGCGTACTTCAAAAAGTCGCCACAAAGCGCACAGCGCATGATGTTGTAGAACTGCTGCGTGACAAACTTGTGTCCTTGCTTTTCGTGCACCTCTTCCTTCTTCTGACGAACCGCACCTTGACGATTCAGGCCAATATCGAATGGCCGGCGATCCTTCAACTGCTTGGCTGCAGCGTCTGTTAGCACCATCCAACCGCGCTGAGATGTGTAAACGTAAGTGGGACATACCGAAACTCAGCGACAGCTGAATCCGCCCAACAGGTTCCAGCGCAAACCAAGCATCGACCATCACAGAGCCACCGCCAGGTGCGCCGGGAGGAGCACCTCCGTAACCTTGACCCGGGGCACCAGGGCCTGGAGCATGAGGCGAGCCCATCTGCCCGGCCGTATCGGGCCGCCCAGGCGTGCTCCCGTCCTCCATTTTATCGGCAGAAACCCAGCCGGATGTATTAAATTCGGTCTCGATTTTCTTGCGACGCATCTCCTCGGCGATATCAGAAATGCGCACCCACAGCATACCGATCGGAGTTGGCCTATCGCCCGACTTGTCATATACAGTAAGCTCGATCTCATTGGCCTTGTCGATATCAATATTGAAAATCTCATCTTGCCATCTGTCGGTTCGAGTAGCTTTCGTTCTGGCTTTGATGGCATCTTCGACCTTCATGACCACGAATGTCTCGGGGCCTCGAGAGAATCTAGAGCCAGCGGCATGGTCCACATCCTTCACGGCAACGATTCGCATGGTCAAGGAACCGGTGAGGGGCTTGCGCAAGTTCGGCGTGCTTAAACTTTCATCTGCTCGAAATGGAAACCGGGGGGATATGGATTAGCCACTGTCATGACGGCGGGTTTTAGAACGAACAGAGGGAGGACTTACCATCTGGAGTATCTGAGGACTCGATGTCGACGTGAAGATCCTCATATCGCTTCAGGGCCTGCTTCAATAATTGGATCTTCTGATTACTCTCAATTCGCCGACCCTCGGCGTCGGCGCGGCTCTTCCTGTCGCCCTCATCCTGATAGAGGCGAACCATTTTCTCAATACCAGCCTTGTATTGCTTCTCCACGCTCAGCTTGAATTCAAGCTGGGACAACATGAGCTGGATCTTGGGTCCAAGGTATTGAGTGTCGTATTTGATCAGATCTTTGGGCAACGCACACAGCATAGGTTAGATAACTGCACACTGAACCACTCTGCCTTTCACCTTCGGAAATAGTCTTACCAAGTTTCGTATAATTAGGACGGGCCTTGGGCACGGGGGCGAAGGGTCGGGGGTCTTTGAAGGGAGCGCCCGCCGGCATGGTGCCGGCTCCTTCGTGCGGATAGGCCGACTCTCCATACTCGTCCTGCTCGTCGTAGTCCTTGGGAGGGGGAGCCGGACCTGAATCAGGACCGGGCGGGAGACGCTTTTCCGTAGGGGAGCCACCGTCGATGCGGCGAATCTGCAACTCCCTCATCTTCTCCTCCAAGTAGGCAATGTTCTTCCGACCATCGCGAATGTTTGCGTCGACTCGTTGTTGCACCAGAGGGTTATCGGTCGACTGTCGCATATTAGAAGCCGCAGTGATCAAGGCCTTCTCCCGCTCGATCTTGCGGTAAACCGAGGCGATGAGGTCATCCCCGTCCATGATGAAGAAGGGAAGACCGGGGGATTCGGGTTCGGGGTGCGTTGGGTTTCAGCGGCGGCGGCGGCGAGAGGGAGGGGACGAGGGGGAAACAATGCGAGCCGCAAAATCCCCGAACGAGCAGCAGAGACGAAGAACCCCAAAGGAATCAATAGAGCCAGCCGAAAGAGACCGTGGGGGGAACCAACTTGGAAGAAGGGGAGGAGGGGTGGTGGTCGCGGGGCTCTTGTTGACAGATGCAGCAGGAGAGGGGGGAAATGATGGATCGATCGATCGCAACGGGAACTGTCAACGTTAATTAATTAATGCCACTCGGGAAATGGTGAGACAAATTCCCCGTCCTCCCTTCGTCTTCCGAGCCTTTGCTTCTGTAGGTGTCTCCGATTCAAGTTCTCAGAACTTCAGAAGGCAGGAAATCAGGACAAAAAATAAAATAAGAAAAAAAAAGAACGCACCCACGGCAAAGGGACCAGATTTAAATGCGTGCGTTCAGTCGGCGGTGGTTTGTTGCTACCGCCCACAAATCCTCGCCTTCAGGCACGATGAACAGAAGAATATGAATATGAATATGAAATAATACTTCCACCCAATTAATTCCCGGGTTAGAGCGACCAGACAATTCCAATCCTCATCAATCGTCCACGTCAATCTATCGTATATTGCCAGGGAAATAAACCCGGATGAGAAATTGTCTGGCGAAGGGAAACGGCAGGAGAGCGAAAAGACAAAAAAGTCGTTGGGGTTTGGAAATGCAGTTCTGGTCGTGGCGATACAAAGGCAAGGCAGGCCACAACCCACTTCCCATTCAATATTTCTTCGATTTCTTAGGGGGTCTGGCCTTTCATTGAGGCCTCTCTACTTCCCTTCCGCCTCTTTTTCTCTTCCCTTACTCACATCTAGTTCTCATATAGATTACTTGCAAATTGGTGGTCTCGCTAACGAGATACATCCTCTACACGCACGCTGGTTCTGGCTTCTCCAGATCTTGGTGCTTATCTCCATACGCAGTCCCTTCAAGGCTGTTCCTGAGAGCTGAAAGATACCGCCCTTGCAGCGTCGCCATCACGTTGCCGGAGACATGGTTGATAGCGCGACCCTCATGAGACCTGGCCCGATGTACATTCCGTGACATTGAATGCGCTGGGCTCCTTGAGTCAGCCGGTTGAGTTGATGATGAAATCAGTACGCAGGGGATATCTGCTTGACCCCCTTGCTGTAACTGCTAAGGGGTTTGGAGTCATCTCGCTTCTCTCCGGTCCTTTCCAAGGTCATGTGGTGCATCAATGACCTTTTACGAATTGCTGGTTGGAGCAAAATATCTTTGCGGATCTGCATCGATTGCTCACCTAGGTGGAATGCCATCGTCAATTTCGTATCCTGCGTGGAAATAGGGTCTCATCTATCTCTTGGATCCGCAATCGCTTGGCCCTCGTCGAGGATCAGGGGATACGCAGTGGTAGAGGTCTGATCTTTCCGGTGATGAGAACAAGACGGACATCCTATTCACATCACGTGGATATACCTCTACTGCTGCTCGTCGTGCCGAGACACCCAAAACGCGATTTGCATCGTTTGAGGGAGCCTGCTGAACACTGCCGTGATGTAGGGATAAGCAGGAGTCAGTAGCAGATCCACAAGGGCGACAGAGACGGCGTCTCCGATATCATTCGGATTTCGCCAAGCCATAAGCCAAAAAAATGCTGCCAGCTTTGAGGAAGGGAATTGAAAGAACGTAGCTTCCAATGGCTGCTGCTTCTAGGCATAGACTGTCCTTGCCTCTGCTGAGGAACAGTTTCGGTTTATTGAAGTGCCGCAAGCAGCTGGACTGGCAAGTCCGCATACTTACGGAGAGACCAGACCGGGTTAAAAAGAGATAGAACTAGATTAGCCAAATGAAGGGGGAACCACCACCCTCCTTTAAATGCTACGGTTGTGTCATTATTTCTTTGAAATGTACAGGGCATTATCAATGAGACGGTTGCCACGTTCATTGAAAAGGCATTCAGTAGTCGCCGCGAACCCGTCTAGCTAGAGATCGAGTTCGCTGTATGATCTTCACCGGCGGAACGTGGGTTGCTTTCTAGCTCAAGTGTACCAGGTGCATGGATGATTGCAGCTGAATGAGGAATGTCGATGTTAGCAGACCTGCTGCGTTGGCTCTCGTCCAGTCAAGCGTACGAGCAGTGCCTTGCGCACTGCTGCAGCCAAGTTGACAAAACTGGGATGGAAAGATGGAGAGGAGCAAAGGCCGAGACCTCTTATTGAATTATTGATAGAGCCTGCCTATCGGGGAAGGCGGCGGGTACCACGAGGTACCGAAAGAGGAAAGGTCACCTCCACTCGGCGTCGGATTTTACTTGATTTTATTTGATTGTATTTTACAGAGTACCTTGGGTATTCTCCTCTCCCCTTCCATCATAATTCTATCAGGCGACTCCTTCGATTTCATTCAGCACGTTCACTGCAACCCGCATTCCTCCCACTCTCCTCCTCTCGATTCACCATTGGATCTAACGACCATGGCCCCACCACGACGCAAGATGCTGGCTACCGCGGAGGAGACGATGACCCCGCCAGACGAACTTCTACCGGGACAACTGATCGCGCGAGCCATCAAAGCCGCGGGCAATAACCTCTATGCGGTGGAATTACCTTCGAAAGAATCGGTTCTCGTCGAACTACCCTCAAAATTTCGTTCCACTATCTGGATTAAGCGGGGATCCTACGTGGTGATTGACACCAATACTCTGGAGGGCCGAGACAACAAGATCAGCGGCGAGATTATTAACATTGTTCGCGATGAAAAGGCCTGGCGCAAAGCTCCCTACTGGTAAGATCGCGCGGTTCCTCCGATTTCGGACGCCTCCTGACCTCATCGTGCAGGCCGAAAGAATTCGTTAGGCAAGAGACTTGGGTATCATCAGATGATGAGGACGATTCCAACGTGGGCAAATTGCCTCCGTCAGATGACTCGGATGCATGATTCATCGCCCCGACCAATGGCTGGAGGGAAATATTCCTAACTAAGGAGCATTCTGCACTTGAATGGCAATGCGGTCCTCGTGTTAGTTCACATGCTCTTTCCCGCCACCCTTGGGCTTTATGCCACCAAATGCATTTGAGCGATTCACAAGCACGCCAAAGACCTGGACGGCAAGGGAAAAGATGACAACCAGCGAGCTTGAGTTCGTGCTGGGGAAGGTATTCCAGGCCCATTCTTGAAGCGCCCACAGGGCGTATAAGATTACCGGATGGGTACCCGCGCGCCAAAGAAGAAAGGGCGTCGCCCAGGAAATATAGGCGAAAAACTGGTAATGAAGAGACCTCGCGCACAGCAGTCCGATTGCGAGGGAGGTCAGCAATACAGTGGTCACAAAAGGCCTGGAAAGCGGTGTTCCACAGTGACGTCCTTGGAGCAACGTTCGCAGGAAGCCGGGGAGGCTCGAGCCCGATGGTTTTACCCAGGCCGCAACTGCAAACACGCATAGCAAGAACATGTGTAGGGCTAGCAATGATAGGGAAAACCTTTTAGACAAGAATGTTTCTTCACCCACGAACCTCCAATTGACCGTCCATTTGAACATAAACTGTCTGGTCAGTTCAAAGGCCCGCGAGAGATAACCATTAGGGTTAGTCTGCAAGAAAGGTATAGCGAGTAGAACCTGGATTGCTGTCAGTTCACCGGATACATGTCTCCTGCGAAGCTACGTCGCCGAGTGTATACCTGCACAAGCAAAGCCAAAACCCCAAGCCGGAGGCTGGGCAGAAGGGACAAGTTGAGCACCGCCAGCACCGCGATTGCCGGAGCAAGAAGCAGCAGGGTCATTTTGACAGCCACCCCCGTAGACCAAACAATCACTGCGGCCGTCCACTTTTTGTTCTGGAACAAAAGTATAGCTACCCACATCGCGAAAACCGCCAGGCCATCGTTGAACAGACGCAGCACGAAGACACTATGGAGCCGTTTGGACAAGATAAGCAGGGGAAAGAGGTATGGAGGAGCCCCCGACTGTCTGTAGCATGACATCACGACCGCCAGAGTAGCGATGTAGAGGACGGCGAACAGGATCTGGCCGAAGAGAATGTCGCGACCTTCATCGGTCAGATGGTAGAGTATCGTGTAGCTGTACACATGCGCGGCGGGATAAACGAGAGGTCCGGTCGATCCTTTGATGAGAGTATAGTCGCGCTCGCCGGAGATATACAAGGATATTTGCTGCATGTACGTAGTCCAATCGATCTCAGTGTCTGGAAGGGCAGACCGCAGCGATCAGCATATTGTTCGGGACAGACATGCGGCGAAGGGCCTCGGAGATAGAGGGAGCTCACATGGGATTCTCCAGATGATCAGAGCGCAGAGGAAGACATCGCCTAGGATCAGAAGCGGGGCGATCCATTTTGTATGGCGCGGGTTCACGAGAAGATCGCGAACACAGTGTATCCAGTCCATTGTCTGTTGGCAGGTCGGAAGCTGGAGCTGTTGGTGCTGGACTCGGCAGGCAGGTGGCCTTCCCGCCGGAGAGCCAATGAGAGCCGTCCCGTTGCGGCTTAGCGCACCGTGGCCGTCGAGTGGCCTGAGGTGCGCAATAGTCATGATGGCTTCGAGGAGACAGCATGGTGATTGTTAGATAACACAGGACAGGGTAAATTCATGGCGAGGAGATCAATATCTCCGGGGTTCATTCAGTGTACATACATATATCCCTAGAACTATCCATCTTCACTTCTAATACACTATCTATCCGTACATGGGTATATGGCTGGCATAGCAATGGTATGTCGCGACACGAGGAGATTCCAATGACAGCTCCCCTATCCAGCTGTCCAAAAGCCTCAAAACATCTCCTCCAAGCAGTTTCAGATAAATCCTCCCCAATTGTCCATTCCTAGCGCCTTATGACATAACTCCTCTGTCCCTGAACAACCGATTATTGTCCCTCTCTCCCCGGGGGCTGGTGATGCAATTGTGTATCTTTTCGAGACGGAAAACCGAGTAATTCACCAATCACGCCGCCAGGTTTGGGAACAGGACATTCCCTGCCCGCCTTGGCCAGCCGCTCTGCTTCTTCTTCGAGTTGTAGGAATGTCGACACCTCGTCATCGGGAGTCGGTTGTGTGGGGGGTAACGTTTTTTCGTCTAGATCAGGAGTGATATCCTTGCGTCTCCTTCGTCGAACTCTCTGAATTGGTTGTCCATCCTCATTGACCGTTATTTGGGAATCGGCCAGGGTGCGACGAGGGGCTGGACAGGGAAAAACATGCGGTATGCCGACAACGAAGAGGGAGGCTAGGAGGGTAGCGGCGAAGAGGGAGGACGTCGACCGCGACCGAGGATGAAGATGTGGCGGCATATTGAACAATTGATGAGAGGATAGGGAGAACTCGGGACTCTTTGCGGGGTGGTGGCTCGTCACGTCGACATGGGAGGATTGGATTGCTTTTCGCTGCGCGAGGGTTCATTAGCCAGGGTTCAGCCACACGGTCAGCATCAGCACCAGCACCTACCAGTTGTAACAGTCAATCCTCAAAGGAAGAAAAGGGAGGAGGTTCAACGCAAGGACCAGGACGACAAGCGGGACCCAGGCATAGCCTCTGCAACTGGCACGACGGGACGGCCGGCGACGTTTCTCACCAGAAAGAATTCGGCCGGGCTTGGCGATCAGATCTAATCTTATCTCGAGACCCCGTGATTGGGCGGTGGATGGCGAATTGACAGCGCGCAGGAAAAGAACCTCGTCTGCTCTCCTCCGCATCCCTCGCCCTCCCTCCTTCTTTTCTTCCCCCCCCTCTCTTCTCCCCCGGGTGGCGCTCCAGATGAGGAAAATGTCTGTCCTTCTTCAGTTCACATAGTGGTTTTTTATTTTCATTCGTTCCTGGATCCCCCAGGCCTAATTCCTTCCATTGTCTCCTCCCCTCCTCCTCCATCCTTTTTGCCGCTGTCAGGACCCGCCGATCAGCGAAGACGCAGCTGTCTGATTTAACTCCTACATACTTTCGCTAAATCACAATGAGCGACCTTGACCAGTAATGACCCAAACTCTGAATCCCCCCAGGGTGCCCTGAGCTGACCACGATGATCTACTCTGCAGGGCGATCGCGCAGCTACGCGCCTGTCGCTTGATACCCGAGACGCAAGTGCGAGAGCTCTGCTACAAGGCGCGAGAATTGTTGATAGAAGAAGGAAATGTTGTCAGCGTGGACGCCCCAGTCACCATCTGCGGAGACATCCACGGGCAGTTCCACGATCTCATGGAACTCTTCCGCGTCGGCGGAGACGTCCCCGACACCAACTACTTATTCATGGGTGACTTCGTCGATCGCGGTTTCTATTCCCTAGAATCCTTCCTCCTCCTCCTTTGTCTCAAAGTGCGCTACCCGGATCGCATGACCCTGATCCGAGGAAACCACGAATCCCGCCAGATCACAACCGTTTACGGCTTCTACGACGAGTGTATCCGCAAGTACGGCAGCGCCAATGTATGGCGGTACTGCTGTGAGGTGTTCGACTATCTGGCGCTCGGTGCTCTCGTCCTTGGAGCGAGTTCGGAACTGGAGCCTTCGGGCCCCATGGTGGACTCGACCCAATCGACCATGCCCCTCGACGACGGGGAGCTCGAGATCGAGGTGTTGAACTCGAAGGGGGAGGTTACAATGAGCACCTACCGACAGAGACAGCGCGCCTCGTCCGACGCATCCACAGATTCCAGGAGTATTTCGCCCCCAAGAGACATCTCGGCCGCCTCTGGCCAAGCGCCGCTCCGAGCCGGGGCCCCCGGTACCGGCGCCTCCGGGGATGGCGCCGGCAGCCTGTCCAACAGAACAGGTGCCGTCCTGTGTGTGCACGGCGGGCTCTCGCCGCTCATCGACACTGTCGACAAGATCCGTCTGATCGACCGAAAGCAGGAGGTTCCCCACGAAGGCGCCATGTGCGACCTGTTATGGTCCGACCCCGACGAAATCGACGGCTGGGGGCTGAGCCCGCGGGGTGCCGGATTCTTGTTCGGCGGGGACATCGTGAAACAATTCAACTACAAGAACGATCTGTCGTTGGTTGCGCGTGCCCACCAGCTCGTAATGGAGGGGTACAAGGAAATGTTCGACGGTGGGATCGTCACCGTCTGGTCCGCCCCGAACTACTGCTACCGCTGCGGAAACGTCGCCGCGATCCTGGAACTCGGCGAGGACACCAGCAGCGGTGGTACTGTCACTAGAAGCAACGGAGACTATGGCCGAAGCAACGGCGTCTTGACGACCGAGAAACTCGGCATGAGAAGCCCCGGAAGAAGATACAGGGTCTTCGAGGCCGCCGCGCAGGATACCAGGGGCATGCCGGCGAAGAAACCCGTTGCTGATTATTTCCTGGTAAGAACTCACCTCCTTCTTGAACCCAACTTCATATATGATCTGTCCACTAACCTTCCTGCCTTCAATCCAGTGATACCATTAATGTGCACATGTCCTCTCTCTCTCCGCCGCCTTCTTCTAATTATCTCCGCCTCGCCCATTCTCCTATCTTCTCTCTCCTTTTATCTCTTTTTCCCTCTCTTCCAATTTTTTTGGTGCTTATATAGGCCATTGGCACCCGTGGACTTTTTACCTCAATTTTCTTCAAGACCCCCCAAGACCCCAAGTGATGATCTAGATATGTGTTCGTGTATTCTCCAAGTCAATAATTAGTCGGAGTTATTAGCTTCTGTGTTGTTTCATACTTGAGCCAGGTTTTCGCTAGTGCAATGCATTGATTACATTAGTCGACGTGTTTCCCATCTTATTGATCGAATTGAATTGAAGTTACTATCCTATGTATTATAAGGTATAGTATCCAGGTTGAGTTGCAATTCTTGACTATAGTTAAGTACAGTAAGTTGGTGGTAAATAGTCAGGTAAGATAAGGTAAATAAGTAACATCTACAATGAAAGCACCGGGAAACCACATGAACATGAAGATCTCCTAGGACATAAATATCAATCAACCATCTACCAATCTGGCAAATATCTCAAAGGAAGAAAAAAAGCCAGAAAGAGAATCAAATAACGACCCCAAAAAGGAATATATAGATCAAACGACATCGTACATAAATTGATTCGCTTTCTTGGTTTCCTTTCTTTTTTCATTCTTCGTATATTTGTACTGCCCTTTTCTTTTGAGCACGGTGTGGAGGGAAAATGTAGGGGTTCGGGGAAAAGAGGCCTGCTGCTCGTGATTAACATATCATTTGATCCATAAATTCACGACATCATATCATAATACAGTTTTCTCTCGACATTTTTCTGGACTATTATTGGAAATTGTTGGAAAAGCCTATGTGGCTGTACCCGGGAGCTTGGTCGGGTCGCACCATGCCAGGAGACATTCCGATGGGGTAACTGATCGGTTGCACTGGTTGTACAGGCTGCACAGGCTGCACTGACTGAGCTTGTTGTACCGATTGAGCTTGCTGTGCTTGTGTTTGATGTGCTTGCTGTCCTGGTTGCGCTTGGTGCGCTTGGTGTGCTTGTGGTGGTCGAGGAGTATGACTGCCAGGGTCTGACGGGTGTCTGGGGTGAGGAACATAGTTCTCAAAACGCGGATCTGATGACGGCCCGGTGAACCCAGGATTCCAGCTCTGGTTCCAGCTCCCCATTGCCAGGTGCAGAGCGCTGGGATCGCGTGACCACCAGTCCTGACTTTCTTCCACTAGGTTTTCCGGCGTTTCAAAGCTAGTAGGAGATGAGTCTGAGGTGGGAGCGATGCTCTGCCCAGACCCCATAGCGCCAACGTGTGATTCATTCGAGCTATACCAAGCGTTGTGCTGGGATAGTGGGACAGGCTGCAGCGGGCCATAAGTATGTGTTAATGGTCTCAGATATGTTGGTTCTGGGAGTGGTACATCTGTCCGAGCGATCTGAGCGCTGGCGGCCCGATGAGCAGTGCGCATAGCCGAAACAGTGTCCGCCATCGATACTCCTCCAGGGTATCGAGAGGTTGCACCTCCCATCGAGGATTGCGGAGCTGAAACAGAAAATCCGCCGTGCTCATTCACAGCCGCAAGCCTCTCCTCAGGTGTCGTTAACGGGTGGGAGGTGGGTGGTGGAGCTACAGGAGAGGGTATGTCGGAATTGGACGGAGACGACGCCTGATCCCATGACCCCCAAGAGCCCCATTTTTCATGTGTCTGTTCGAATATGACCGCAGCCTCGCTAGGGGGTGTTACCTGCCACTTATTGGCAGATATTTCGAGAATTCGCAGTGTGCGCCTGGCGCAAAGCCAGCTCTCCCCCATCTCTTCCAGGTGCCGGAGGCCATGAACAAAATCTCTCTGAGCGTTCTTCTCGGGCATGTTGAGTAAGTGAATAGTACAAGCTGTGTGTGCGATATAAACCGCGATGTTGCAAATATGTTTGAAGCCATAGGTGCGTTTGTAAACTCGAAGCAATTTGGAGATAGCGGAGGCGGCCTGCGTGCATAATTTACGAGGTGAAGCATAGGCGGGAAGAGGGGAGTTGGCTCTCGTGTATTTGAGAAAGGGTCGATATAGGTGTATAAAAAGTAATTGGTAAAACATGCTGCATGACCGTTAGCTCTGGATATCTTGGATGATAAACGACAAGGCAATGAATGACGTACTGCATGAGAAGGGCTTGAGGAAGCTGCCCTTCCTTTGGCTCCAACTCCGTCGGTAATTCTCGTTTCCAAGCTACCAGCTTCGTATGAATATCGGAGAGTTTTTTCACTTCAGCCTGTTTGGAAAGAGGTCGTTCCCTGGGCGTGGGGTCGTAGAAGAATATAAGAACATTTCCACTGATTTCACAAAGTTTGGAAATTTGCAACGCCACCGTCCTCGTTCGCGATGGCTGTGCAGTTTCGCGAATCGCTCCAGTGTCGGTGTAGGAAGACCAGAGTCCAGCTTCCTCGTTGGGCAGAATTTCCATCTTTGGGATGCTCACACTGGATGTCGGCAACTGGGGTTGGCGGCCAAGGTAATTGGACCAGCACCTATATGTAAAGCGAGGTTAGACAGGTACTCAACAAACATCAGAACGCTGGGAACGGTAGGGGTTACAAACTTGTCAATAAGGAAGCAGCCCCAGAATGTGACTCGCCGCGCATCGAGTTCCTCTTCGTCAAGGTTGCGTGCTCCAAAGGTGGCCGAGTCAAAATTTAAGCCCAGGTCCAACGCCATGCGAAAACTCATTCCACTGTAAACCCAGCCCTTGCCTTCGCGCCCGCACCCTGCCTCTCGGACAGACATGAGGGCGAGCGCTTGGACCGTACAGAGTTTGGCGTTGACGTGTTCGTCGTTCTCCAGGACCAGCCGTTTAGCCTCCTTGAAGAAATGGTCTCCCGCCGTCGCCGAATTCTCGGGATCTTCTCGTACCCCATCCCAGGTGCTAAAATGACAGCCTAGGGCCAGCATCGCATTGACTAACAATGACGAACAATACTGGCTGGAAACCCCGCGAACATAATCCCGATAGAAGAGATCCTTGGAAAGCGTGGTGAAAAAGGGGTAGTGCCATGTAAAGTACATGGTCAGGAGGTGGCTGATCAGCTGTTCGTCGCTGGTTACTCTGGTCCACTTGGTGACAGAACGATCTTGTGCCTGGTTTAGCTCATTGTCATCCACCGATGGGTTAAACTCATACAGCTCGGAGCCGGGCGGTAAAAAGATCAGATTCGATGTGCCACCGATAAGCTTGCGAGAGCCATCCAGCATCAATTCACTCATCTTGCCCGCCAGCTCGGATTCAAACTGATCTGCCGGTGACGGGGCCTCATCCCCGCCAAGCACGGTATCCCCATTGGTCGCTATTGAATCTTTCTGCTCGCCTATGATCGACTGGGCAACGTCCTCCAAGTTGTCGCAAGCGCGGATCTGTCGTACCAGCTCAAAGGCATCCTCCTCTTCGTAGTTCAACAAGGCCTGGATCAGAGTCAGAAGCGTTGTGTTTTTGGTTCTTAGCGTGTCGGTGTCCTTCTTATATACGCCCTTCCGGCGGTGATCGGAATTGGGGTCGTAGACACCTGGGAGTGGGATTAACTAAACGGACTCGGCCGCATGTCACAGGAGAAAGGCAGCACGTACACGTCGTATGGTAAACGGAAGAACAGGCCGCACAGCTCGGTAGGTTGCCGTCGCACTGGAAGCATAAGTTAGACCTATGCGATCAAATAGAAAGGGGTGAAGGTTCATCTACTTTGGACTTTCTCCTTCGACAAGCGATACAAGCCGTGCTGACACAACGTCTTTTCGAGGCCGGGCCCTCATTCGGGTTTGGCGTCTGGGTTCTCGTCGACGCCTTCCCTCGCGAGGGTTTGTTTGCAGCTCCCGGGTCCATCCCCGGGGGGTTCTCCGCCGAAGTTTCCTCCATCACTGTCGAGTCCACCGAGAAACGATCGAGGAAAGTCCGGATTTAGAACGAAGCATGCTTATAGGGAAAGCGTTCGAGCAAATGAGGTGAAGGAAAGCCCGCGGCGACCTTTTTGCGACAAGTAGGCGCGAGACGACGCATAGACTACGGTATCAACTGCATAAATTCTATGACGATGACAGGCGCATTAGTTACTAGGGCGCACGGCGGCTATAGGGAGGGGGCGCGGGGGGACATTACTGACACAGTTGCATAACAAGCATGCATGAGAGGACGAACGACGGGGTCACTGAACCTCAATACTTGGACAGGCAACGACGAACCAGCGAATGGGATCAGAATCGAATATCAAAACCTGTTCCCCAGAGCTTCGATGACCCGCTAAGTGGAGGCGGGGGGAGCCGCTGATGGTGATAGAGGAATGGCAAGGAGCCGGTCAGCGGGGGCCAGAAGGCGATAAGAAGCCGGATTATCAGATCGGTGATTGGGCAACGGTGATGAGGCAATCTAAGGCCAGACGCCTAGCACTCAGCAAGCTGTAGGTACTCCGGGGTAGATTTTGAAGATCTCCTGGCAGCCTCTCTCCGAGGGGGATATTTTGGTTGGAAGGCAAATCTCCCGCGGGCGAGAACCGCGCAGTGCGGCTGACTAAGCGGTCACGCCTGAGGAATCCGGAGTCAATCATGAGAATATCGAGGTTGCTACTCCGTATCTCTGGCTCTACATATCATACACGGTAGAGGATGCAATCATACAGGTATCTAAAGGGACTATTCGTTCTCTGTACCCCGTACATGATCTGGATCAGGAGTGATAGGTCAGATTCAGACTATCGAACGCATCTCGGTCCAACTGCATTATCACTCCATTGACCAGAGGCTAGAGAGGCAGAAACAGGGTCTTAAACTAGTTGACCTAACCGTCCTACGGAGTACTATGCGCACACTTGTGTACCTATGCTTGTGCAGTGTCCCTTGTACAGAAGGTGCAAACCCTAGCCCTAGAGGAATAGGGCAAATGGGACATAACTGCACGGAAGAAGAAGAGTAATGAGAATTATCAAAGAGAAACACCCGTTACCGCTTTTTCCGACACAAATCCACTGCACAGAGACTTTTTACGGCAGATTCTCCATCGCAGTGAAGACAACTCGGCCAAAGTCCACCCAAGTCCACCCAACGCAAGCGATTATTAATGCCGGATGGGTCGTGCCTCCACCGCCTGCTGTTTCCTGCCCGTTGTTACCTAACACTAAAGGTAATAATACGTGGGTAAGGTACTGTACTGCCAGCGGTAACGGGGTGCCCTTACTGTCTTGGGACTTCATCGGAGCTGACCGCCTCCCAGCCACGCCTCACACCGCCTGTCATTCTGGATTGGGAGTCCACTTGGCATCTGCCGGGACCCGATTATCGCTATTATTATTCTTTTATTCGATTATTCTTCCTTTTCCTTATCGACCATTTTAGCTTTCTTTCCTCTCCCAATCCTCCCAACTTTACAACTCTTGAGGTCATTCTTCGCCCCCCCCCCTCCCGGCTGACTTTCACTCTTGCTTCCCTTTCTTCGTTTCCTTCTTCCTCTTTTCCTTGATCGGTGTCCCGTCCTTTACTGAGGTACCACTCCGTTGGTTATCCTTTATCCGCCGACTCGCGTGCCTGCATACGCATCCGGGCGGCTTCCCGCATTGGGTCTTCTTTGGGCTTCCGCTGGTCTGGGATCGACTGCCAACACATCTCCTCCATTATTATTACTTATTTATTCCGATCCCTCCTCCGTGGAAGTTTCCGTCGAAGACGTCCTCTCTCTTCTTCGGTCTCTTCTTTACTATCCATGTATCTCGTCCAGACTCTTGATCAGAGTGCCTCGTCAGGCCTAGGCCGTCTTATCAGTGATACTACTCCGACTACTCCGACCACTACTCCATCCACCACGACCGGCAGCATATCGTATTATGCTCATATCCTGTAAAGATGATGGTTCCTAGGGCTTTTCTCTTTACCTCTGTGCCGTCGTCGTATCCTTCCTGGAAACATGGCAAGCGAAATCAACCCTCGTCCAAGTCCGCCGCAGACTTCGTTGCCTCCCCTGACGTCTCCGGCCTCGATTTCCCCGATAAGGATGCGCCAGAAGCGATACAAACCAGTCCGGTTGTCATCCCCCCCAAACGCTCTCCTCGCACCGCATCAGCTCGTCCTGAGACAGGCAACAAAAGCCCGCGGACTCCTAGAAACTCCAAGACCGCCCGCAGACCTTCGTCGCTCGCCTCGATTCTGGAAGCCACGGCGATCCCAGTTCCTCGACGCAAGTGGTCGTCAACCCGAGAGTCTCGCAAATTACCTCGAGGCGACCATGTGCAGGATTTTAGCCGATTGTTGATGGACGGGGTGGAGGAGAGTGGGAACACCGCGCTCGACCTCCTCCTCAGCCCTCCCGAAGGGAATGATCGATCCGCGATGGAAAGCGACTGTGCCAGCGAGTTCTCTAATCGCTCCCTATCTCTCGAATCTACTCCGTCGCTCGATCACGACATAGAGTCACCGTCGAGCTACTCGCTGTCGCTCACGCCTTCTAGCCAGCGCAGTCCCTCGGAGCGACGATGTCGTCGCTGGTCGCAATCCGAGAATTGCGCATTCGACCATCCTTTGCTGGACAACGACTCTTCTGATCTCGAGACGGAGGAGGCTGTTGTTGAGCCCCGATTGACGACTGCGGATTCGAACTGCTCAAAGCCTCCGGCGCCCCGGTCATTTCCACGCTTCGGATCTACATTTAAATCCAACCTAACGGCTTCGCTGCGGGCTATTAAGTCTGCAGCCCAAACGGTTTCCACCTTCGCCTCGCCGTCGGTCCAACCCGACGACTTCCTGACACGATCCTTATTTACGATTACCCCTGAGATGACGGACGACCGTCGGCCTCCGCCCATGAAGGAGCCGCCGTCGCCGGCACTACGACGCTACCTCAACCCGATCACCGCCTCACCTGCGGAGATGTATGCCTATCACGACCATCCGCATGAATCGCTCGATCCCCGAAATTGCCCCGTCTCCGTTCAAATGCAAACGTATCATCGATCCAGCAAACGAGGCAGCCGGAAGAGCGGTTTTCATCTCATTGGCTCGGAGGGTCGCGACCGACAAGTCCATCGGTTCGATCCAGAGGTTCCCCCGATGACACGTCAGCGCGAGCCCCGAGAGAACAGTGATTTCCTGCGCATGGTCGTTCTCGAAATGAACATGCGACGCAGCGGCAAGCTCCGGGATGACATCCCGACTCGGGCTCGTGTGTGCCTTCCGCCTCGCAAGGGATCCCAGACCCGATTCACGCCTTACGATGACTACGAAGAAATAGAAGAGAATTCTATTCCGTCTAGATGGGTCGGAATTCCCGCAGTCTAAAGACGGTCAGGCCACTTTCTGTTTTTTTTTTTTTTCATTTATGATCTCTTTCTTTAGCCCCTTTTTTTTTCTAACTTTCTCAAATTGTCTTTTGCTTTTGCTTTTTTTTTCTCTTCTTTTTTCTCTTTCTATCTTCTGTACATATCTGCCCCTTTTTCTTTTTCTTGTCCTTTTTTTTCCCCTTTCATTTAACTGGTCCCAAGCATGTAGAAGAGCCAAGAGAAGCGGGCGCAAGGCGTTATTTTTGGGGAACTACAAGCGGAACTTCCACAGGAGTGGAAGAAACATTCTTTGTCGATTCCTTACATCATCTATCTTACTAGCGGCCAGGGGCACACCTGACAAGCAATAACACTGCAATACATCGTCATTATTACAGACTTCCATTCCACTCCCCTTCCCGTCGTCCCGTCTGGGGAACACGTATTACACCATCGTGCGTTGCTGGGAAGATCTCGGTCGGTCGGTCGGTCGGTCGGTCCTTCGGTTAGGTTGTGAGGACGTCATCACGCGACATGTCTCCGTCCCTATGTATTACACTGTATGTATGGATCTAAGAGTAGGACAAGACATAGGTAGGACATAGCGGAGGTAAGATCATGGCTATTATTAAGTAGGCCAAGAATTGATGTGGTATATTCTATTACTCCTTGCCTTACGGTGTACGGAGGACCCCGTACTCTGCTGGTTAGTTACTAGTTCTTACTTCTGGGTGTTGTGTTTCATGTACTCCGTACTTGTATGACTATACAATTGTGCAGACTACAGAGTACCTAAAAAGGGGGTTAAGGGGGTTAATTTACCCATTTGGGCAGAAAGGGAATGTCGGGAAGACATCCGATCGATTCCTCTGTAGATAGATAGATAGATACGAACTACGGGGTAAAAGTACCTAGGTAGATAAGACCCAGTATCAATATAACACAACCAAACACACCAATAATAGAACAACCTCACAGGCGCCGTATGCATCGCGATATAGATGGATAGATTATGGATAGATTATGGATAGATAGTGGGTAGATAGTGGGTAGATAGGTGGGTAGTATCCGGAAACCGGCGGGTAAACATAATTTGTCTACTCTGAGAAATTAAATAATAATAATCAGGATAGATATGACTGTCAGATCATCCATCCATCACTTTCCTGTCAGCTTCCTCTGTCATCCCCGTGACTCGGGAAAGTCAGAGGCAACTAATAAACAGGTCTTCGACGAGATCACACAGACACAGCCCTGACTGCGGTCCGTTGTCCGAGACAAATTACTACCCTACCTATCTAGGCACTGAACCTACACATAGTGAACTTAGGCGCCTGTTTACGACCAGACGCAGCAGGTCTTTATCTCTGTCCAATCGAAGTAGGTTACACGAAGAGGAGAAAGGACTCTCTGTGATAGTTCATTTTTCGTAGGCGCTGGGACCTGTTTTTATTCTCGAACTAGGATTCATTTCTCTTGGATGATCCTGGTTCCTGCTGGGAGATGACGCCTCGTGCCCGTATTTGGGCAGAGTTGCAGATGCCGATAAGGGATCGTAGGCTGACCTGTCATATCGGTGCTGATTCATTTATTTGAGGGGGTGGGGTGTGGGGTATCTGAGTATGATGACTATGGACAAGATAAAATTAACTATACTATACTATCCGGAGTAGGTAGTGATCTCGCTAACTACTATCGGAGCAGAGACGAGCGGGTGGTGAGGGGTGGGGAGTGTTAATACTATGTAGGGTGGTACTGGTCATGATTCATAATTGACGTGGATATTTTCCTGGTCGCTTTTCTTTTTCCTTTCCCCCTCTGATCCTAGGAAGAGGTCATACTAGGGGGAAACCCTGTAATCAATCAATGGGGTTAGAGAGATCGTCACCAGTGTGTATATGCTTAGAAGCCGATGACTTACGTTCTTCGTCCAAGAGGGTGTGTTGCTTCCAGCTTTCTTCGATCCATTCGACGGTGACGACATGAGGCAGTTTCTTGCGGTGCGTCGTCGACAGTGATTCTCGAATCAGGCGAATGTCTGATGCTGGGGTGTCTGGGTCCACAATGATGTGTGTGATGGTCCGATCGCTGGAAGAGTCTGCAACGATCGCTTCTGCAAATCGGGCTGTGTTTTTTGCCAGCTGGAGACGGTACGGATGACTGGCGTCATTTTGCTTGGTCGAGTGGAAGTGGAATGTCAGGCCTCTGAACAGCCATCCCCATGGCACCTCCCATCCGGAGTTTACATTCTCCTGGATATTTTCGTGGAGCTTTCTCTCGGCGTTAGTATCTCGGGGGAGGTCAAATGCGTGGTCTTTAGTCATTTGCTCTAGGATCTAAATGTCTTGTGAGCACTGGGGACATGACGAGGCTTAGGTATTGGTATTTACCTCGCTGAGTTCTTCGCGAGTGACGTCGCGCGCATAGCTATCATTGAATCGATCAACATTGCTAGCAACTTCTTCTTGCTTCTCGGGGGTGGCGTGGAACATGTGTCTAGATATGATTTAGCAGACAGTCCGTCACGGTAGAGAGAAGGTACAAACCGCGGCTCCAGCGGAAGCAGAAAGTCTGGAAGTCCTGCATCAATCACGTTCTGGTGGACGCAATCCAAGATCCACGATGGACGGACGATGTTGGTGTTCTTTTTCTGCACGGCAGCTACCTTGACCGTTCCTGCTCAAGAGTCAGTCTGTTGCTGCGCTCTGGGACATCACATTTTTCTTACTTCTGTCTGCAATGCATATGGTGTTTGGGGCGGCGTTGTCTTTCTGGAAGAAGCTGGCCCCGTTCGCCTTGACCAGCTGCTCCAACTCCGATTTGGTCTTCTTGTCACGGGTGTTTGAATCCGTCAAAATATCTAGTCTACGTTAGCAGAAAGTGACAGGCGGGTGGATGTGCAACACACAGAAATTGAGTCCCTTGAAGATCTCTCCAGATGGCACGGCATATTCGACTTCTGCCTCCTTCTCATCGTACCCGGCAATAGCAATCGGCTTTTTGGTAACTTTCTTGGTCCGTTTCCGGCGGGAATTGTCAACATCAAACACCTTCTCTTGGTGTTCCTGTTCGACGTTCGATTTGAGATCCAGAAACTCTTGCACTGAAAGGGCACTCTTCCAGTTCTTGTCCATCCGCAGTTTCTTGAATCGAGGGAAACGTAGCGTCAGCCCGATTCGGAACTGATCACTGATAGAGACCGAGGCCGCTTTGACACACAGGACAACCGAGTCTTCCGGCTTGATCCACATATCAGGACGCTCATATTGAGCGTCGCCGCCCGCTAATTCGATGTACATCGTCGGCGGCTTTTTGTGATTCCAGTCGGTCCATTTGCCGTCCGTATGGTGCCGAATGTTGGCATAATCGGTGGCATTGAACCCTCCACCAACTTTACAAAATGAGTAGCACTTCGTCGGACTCGCGCCTTGTGATGAACTAGCCCCGTCGACTCGTAATCCACACAGGAAGCTCGAAAGAGCGCCGCCCCGATGACCACTTCCATAGTAACCTCCGATGACGACGAGATCCAGTGACTCTCCAAATTCGGTCATGTACTCCGGCTTGACTTTCATCCAGTCGTCGTGCCTTTCATTCAGACGATAAGGTGATCGGGGATTTTTGAGCACCAGGCCCTCAGAAGCTTCTGCGACTACTTTCCTGAGTGCCGTTTCAATCTCGGCCTTGCCAGTTGCTTCCTCGTAGGGGTGAATCTCAAATCTGCGATGAACAGATTTGATACATTTCTGTAGCGCGTTGCGACGGTCACGAAGCGTATATCGCGTAATATCTCGCCCATTAAGATATAGAAGATCGAAGATGCGGAACAGTGGCCGGGCCCCGTTCGAGAACGGGTTTCTTTGCTCCGCCAACGCGGCTGTCTTGAGGGTGCCGAACGGCGCTGGTGCATCTTGCTCGGGATCCCAGGTGATCATCTCGCCGTCCAAGATCACACTATTGACACCGTCGGCAAACGCATCGGTCAAGTATCTTGTCAAGGCCCCGTTCTCATCGTGTATACCATTACCATAGAGATATGTGTAATCTTTCGCCTTTCTTGACCAGAAGCCGAATTTCCTTCCTCCCGGGACTGAACCGTCAGAGTCCATGTGCAACTGCATGCGCTCCCCATCAAGCTTTTCCTCAATCCAAAACACCGGATCCTCCTCGGTCGGCTTCATTCGACTGATCATCCGATCCAGCGAATGCATCTGAAATTGAGCTAGCTGTGGCTGGTAGCACTGCATCAACGCGATCCCCTTATCTTCGGCGTCCAGTCGTATATTGGGATCATGCAGTTCCCAACACACGCGCCGAAGACTGCTGGAGATACTGTAGAGGTTCTCCGCATCCGGGTGCCAGACATTGAACAGGGTCCGCTCCGTCGCGCCGACCTTCATCTGCCGGAGGATGATGCGGATCAACCACATGAGCTCTTCGGGATTCATGCGGCGATAAAACTCCGCCAAAATCGGCTGCTGATCTTCCTCCTTGAACGCCGTCGAGAGCTGATCCAGCCGCTCATTCACCTCCTCGATCGTTATGCTCCCGACCTCCGTCCGCATCGGCCGCTTGGAAATCACATCGTAGCACCGTCCCGCGAAATCGCCCGCCATACTATGCGCGCTCACCTGGCCCGGCAGTTTCCAATTCAAGAGATTGAACCCGTCCTCGGAGTTCTTGTCGATTTTCATGATCTTCACCAGCATCTTTCCGATCACCTTCTCCTTGATCCCGTACATCGCTCGATCGCGATCCTTGTCCGGAAGTATCAGCCGGAACGCGGGGTATATGTCATCGCCGACTTCCTTGCGCCACCGCGAGATAAACCGCTCGATCACATCGCGTCGTCGTTCCAGGGGATTGAGGTTCGCTGAGGACTGGCCATGAGGGCCGACTTTTCGACGCGGACCCGCGGCGCCGGCGGGTTTCTTTTTGATGTCACTGAGAGGGTTGAATAGGGATTGGAAGAGCTCGTGGAAAGGGAGTGTCGAGGCATGGTTTCGTGGTCGGTTGGGAAATCTGCAATAGAAATGAAATGCGCATGGTCAGTTACTAGTCGATCATCAGGAGGGTACTGGTAATAACACCGCTGAAGAATTACTTTTCATCTAGCTCGGGCTCATGTTTGGAGGTGCCATCGCGCTCCATCACTTCGTCTGAATCCATGTATACTGGAGATTAGTCCTGGACATAGGCGATCGAGTATTGATAGAACAGTTGGTCATATCAGTGAGAGACCCGGAGCGGAACTCAATGGGCGATATTTGTACTCGGTGGCTTCAAGATGCGCAACACTAGGCTGCAGCAGGCACCGATAAGATAGCTGGCGGCCATGTGACATCATTCCGCCCTTTTGGGAATGGCGCCTTGGTGTTCTCCGTTTATCTTGAACAGTGAAGAAACTTATTACTCTTTGCTTATTTTTTTCTTTCTGCGTGCGCTTGCTTGTGAAGTACCTTTGAACAAGAGAGAATCAGTATAAACATTATATCTATTCACTAATTTACTACGCTAGTCAGCTGAGACATCGCCTCGGCGAGTTTGGCTAATGTCAGCATGAATTGCTTCGATATCCCCCACGAATTGATGCCCGCAAGGATCGCACACCCAGCCCGCAGGATTCTCTTCGGTCCATCAGGGCCGCAAATATCCCCCACGCCAGCAATGGTTCCTCTCATGACCTGACCTTCACGAACAAACATTTGGACTAGCTCGTCGTTGCAAGGGCGATCCAGTTGAACGGAACTCGGCTCATTGGACGGTCTGCGCATTGATCCGGCATAAGAACCACTGGCTTCAGGCGGCACCTGGGGATGGCAGAGGCCGTAGGCCCAGAGAGTGAGGATCGCAAGGAAGGCGGCCACAGGCTCGTGGAACGCATTGGTCGAATATCGTTGGGTGTGCCACAGGGATGCACCCGCATGGATAACCGCAAGACGCGCTTTGTATTGGTCGTGCTTGATCCATCGCTGTATGTAATGCCACTCGATGGCTTGTTGTCTCTCATTCCAGTGGACCTTCCCCGTCGCTAGGGAGGTGGCCAAGGATCGTATTTCATGAAAGGGGGCGAGTAGCACAATTCGGGCTTCATGAAGATGCAAAACGGTCGGATGCTCAAACCCTCCTGACTTGGCGATGATACTATTTGCCGTCCAATGAAGAATGTCTAGGCAGTCGCAGGCACTATTTCGCCACTTTGAATATGAAGGGATACCCGGGAGCCACACAGATCCCGTTGGAATTGCCGCTTCTCGCGATTGTTTCTTTGCGGTCGGGTTCCAGAACGACAAGGGGCGACGAAAATAGTCGCCAACCTCCCACATTCGATGATAGAGTGCGTGAATCAGAAGAATATGACTGAACTCTCCCATACTAGGAACCAGTCTCTTTTCAATGTACATGATCAAGACGGCATCGTAGAGAGAAAAGCGTCCTCGACCTGGAGGACCAAACAGTTAGACAGAATTTGTGAAACCAGGACAATGTACATACCCAAAGCCTTATCATAAATCTGTTTCCAGGCTCCGGCCGACTTCGCTTGCCAAAGGCTTTCATGTGAGGGAAGGGGAGCAAGGCCATCGTCAAGAGAAAGTAATGGACGGGCATCAAAATGGTACGTCAGTGTACAGTCCAGAAGCTGACATGGTATGTTAGGATCTCGCGGTGATTTGGCGGGTATTGAATCACTCCTACCCAGATCAAGTAGCCTGTCCGTCTTTTCAATTCATCCTCAACCCAAACAGTCCATTGTTGCTCCACAGGGTTCCCGGTTGAGAAGAGTCCCGATTGGGTCGAGGAACATAATAAATCCTCCTTGGTTGCGAGATCAACTAAGCTCCCAAAATTACTAAGTGCGTTTCGTTTGGCATGTTCATTACTGCCGTGAAGTAACCCGATGTGATTGAGTGTTGATACTTGAATAAGCCAAAGAGGAGTCTGACTGGCGCAGCTTTTCTCCTTCTATCATGTGAAAAACGTTAGCTATAAAGTGGCCACTGCTTGTCGCATTGCGATAATCCTACCTCCACGGTGATCGCTCGCCGGAGAAATTCATGAAATGCTGCACTAGATGCCTCTTGTCCAGCAAAATCCACAAGATGGCATCCTATTGCCGACACTGCTAGAGTCAATAGCCAATGGCATTTGTTTGGGTCGAAAGTAGGGGCGTGAAGAATAGGATACACCGCATGAAAAGAACCAAAGTAATGTTGTATGAAATTGGAGAGCGTATTCGAGGCAGGAAATCTTTCGGACTCAAACTTTGGGTAAAGAATATTTTCCGAGCAACACAGTTCTGTGAAGCATCCGCGAATTTTATCGTATGTGGAGGGTTCGATCAGATAATCAGAAACATGCTCGCCGGAAGTAAAGTTTTCTGTCTCTTCGAACACAGGGAAAGAAAAACCCAGTGCATCGCCAGTTTGTTGTGATCGGGTTATGATGTCGGCAAACTCCGTAGAATGTACATCACAGGAATTCTGTCTCCGCCTATACTTTGAAAGCCTGGCGCCATCACTCTCTATGTAGTGATCTGCCGAGCGCTTGGTAGCACTAGATTCCAGGTTTGATGGCGTTGACGATATAGAAGTCGATAGTGAAGACGAATGACCGGTATTTTGTCTGTAATTTTCATTACTTGCCATAACTGGTCCTAAGGACACATTTCCCATTGGTGATTGGGAGACATTCTCAGGTAAGGCTGAGCTATTATTCATGTTGATGACTGGAGGTAGCCATGGCGTTCGACCCCAAGGGCTGTCAAGGGCTGCCGATTGCAACGAATGCGATGACGCAGCAGGTCTTTCATTGGCAGGATCTTGCAGCAAATCACTTGGAAGCCAATTAATGGTGGAAAACATGGACTGGTCCAGGAAAGAGGGCGCGAGGCCCAGCGGTACCTGCGAACTGGTCCCTGCTGTCGTGATATCCACATGAGGGGTGGAGCCTGTCACTCCCGGCGGAAAACTGCCCATGTGAGAGCTGGTTGAAAGCCTGTGACCATCCGAAAGTGTACTTCGATCTTCTGATATGGGTAACTGTGGATATGCGCGCTGGACCTCTAGCGCAGGGTATGGCTGTAAGGAAAATCGGCGTCCGTCTGCTGGTTCACTCGCCAGACTCAAACTTTCGGCTTGAGAAGGTCTCCGGGCATTTTGAATGTCGCTTTGCTGTATTCTGGAAAAGGTATACGGGTTGCGTTCGGCCGCAACAGTGGAAGGCGGGCTGAGGCCACTTATATTTGAAAGTTGCAGTTGGAATTGGCCGACCTGGTACTCAGGAGGCCGATGTGAAGGATTTGACCCAGTCTGGCTGTGAGAAACATCTTCTTCCATCCTCGAAGATGTAGCGCTGAAAGCATGCATTGATGAACGGTTGTCCTTGTCCAGGACCCCATCGGCGGGCGCATCCTTTCGCGCTTTTACCTTAGACCGCCTCTCCGTTGGGTACTGACATTCGAGAGATCGGTTCTCGCAGCGGACACACGGGGAGCCCCCACTACAACGAACTCGTGCTACCGCACATTTGAAGCATGCTCGAAAGGTCTTGACTGTGATACGATGGGTGCGGTCTTTTCCGCCGTCGGTTCCCACGGTATGGTGACTCAACTCATGGCGGTGAAGAGTGTCACTGGGACATCGAATTAACTGTCAGGTCAACGGGTCAATTGATAATTAGAAAGGACACATACGTTCGTGAAAAGTGCCGACCGCATTGTGCGCATTCAAAAGGTTTCTCTTTGGTGTGACTACGAAAGTGTCGCTTCAAGTGCTCAGGCCGCCGGAAGGTACTCTGACAGATTGAGCACTTCGTTTGACCGGTGGTGACTGAATTAGGCTGCGCGTCACGGTCATCGTCGGTAGGGCCCTCGGGATGTGTCTCGTCGGCTTCATGGCGGCTTGCAACTTCTATATGAATGTCGCGGTTAATTTAGACGACCCCCAGTACTTTGTCTTTTTCCCACGTCTCCCACCAGTAGAACAGAACACACGGGTCTAGTTGGTAGTCATACCTAAGCCCGCATCGCTCTTGTCCGGCGACATGGCGTCTCATGGACGATAAATTCTGGGGATGTTGGACAGAGGAAGTTGGCATGGCAGCGAGAATCGCATGGGAGTAGAAAAGGGAAAGGGAAGGAAAGATCCCAGACGGAGCGCGAAGAGTATATCACGATCTGATGTGTAGCACGGTCATCATTATTATTAGAGTATTAGTATCGTCGACATAGCCACGTATAATCCTTCCGACATTTCAAGCATCCAGCGGGATGCAAGGAGGAATAGGAGGCGCCGCGGGAGGCAGCAACGCAGCGGGAAAACCAAAGTTTGTCACGCCAGACGGAGAAGTGGCTCGCTAGTTGATGGGGACGAACCACCGGGTCGCAGGCCTCACTGTCTCAGTCGAGCAGGAACGATGAACAAAGAAGCGGGGGAAACAGGACGGTTTGGCCCTTGGCCGGGGCACCACGAGGCTAGTCTGTTTAGTCCCTTAGTGACCTCAGAGAAAAGGCCTGGGGAAGCCAGACTGATTGGCCAATGCGTCGGGGGCAGGTTCCATGACGAAAGGCGCTCCCTTCGGATAATTCGCGAAGCCGGCTTTAGCGAGCGATTTTAGATTAATTCCTTGGGAGTATTGGCCAATTTGCTCCGAGGTTAGATGCAGGTAATCTATTCTGCTGCCAAAACAATTTGCATCTGACTGCCGTGGCTTTCTTTTCTTATGCCTTCTTGAAATTTTTTTTTTCTCTCGCTCGCTGTCTTTTTGGGGAGTTCAAGAACAGAAAATCTTGCCATCCGTTGAAAGAGTAAGGACAGATAGAAGTCGGTTAAATGTGGTACTCCGATAGGTACGGGCCAACTTAAGCTTTAAGGCAAGTCAGGCGACCCTCTTGCTACGGTGTCCTGCAGAGTCTTAGTATTTATAATGTAACGCTCGACTATAACTTCGACATATGTTCGCAGTCTAATAATATGCAACATGCCTCTCGTCAAGAACATTCGGACATGCCCCCTGGAACTTGCAGTTTTGAAACGAACCGACAGGGATTGCATCATGATAGCCGACGCAGAATGACGAACTACTGCAGGCCCATTGCGATCTGCTGCATCTGCTGTCCGTGGTTTCGCGCATCGTCGGACAGGAACGGGTATGCGTGTGGCCGAATATGCGCTATCTGAACTGTCCTGCACTGTCGAACGAGCGCCCAGGGGCACCAGAGCAGTAGATATCGATGGATGTTCTGTGAAAGTGGCCAGGGTCAGCGGATAAGGATCTTCCTGACAGACGTCTAGTAACATCGAGCCACGTCGGGTATATTTTTCATGAGCTCTTCATCATTTGAACAACTATTTTTCTCTGAAAGCAAAGAATATCACATTTCCTTGACTCGGCGCAGCAAAGTTGTCTGTCGCCATGTCTAGTCCTGATCTCTCGGCTAACGAAGAAGAGAACCCTCGACTTCTTGAATCTCTGTGAAAAAAGATGTATAGCGAACTGGATTAATACAAATCTCGGAAAATAAACGTAACCACGAAGGAATGAGAGGCTAGAAGATCAATTTACCAAGTCAGAGCCCCTGGAGGACCTCACAATCTACGATGAAGCTGAAGAAATCCGGAGGATTCATCGTGCAGGCCACGCTATGCATGGATCGGGGAAAACTGATTCAGGGGCTAGAAGAACCGGCAGATCATGTCAAACCTGAGCCACGGTCAACTGCAAGGAGTAGGACAGTTAATTGCACAAATTCACTGGAGTCGTATTAATAACTCGGACTAGAGCCGGTGCTGCATTCCAAGGGGGCCAAATTGTGGGGATGAATAAATCAGGAGGGAAGGCAGCGGTGGTCGTTTGAAAGAAAATGGTTCACAGACCACTACGCCGGGACGGGTGGAAAACTTACAATAATCAAGGAATGAATCTTAGGTGAGACTACGGATTGGATATTTGATTGATTGTTCAACCAAGGGTTGGCAGTATTCAAGAGAATGACCAAGTCGGGCAAAAAAGTGACATCGCGCCGGCTGCAAGGAACGGGCGTTGCAGGCTGAAAAGGCTGATCCCTAAAAACTCCCCCGACCCGCATACACGAGATGCTCACGGGCCTAAACCGAAGCCTAAACTGAAAGTTGATATTGATTGGCAGGGTCAGTTTGAGGAAACTGGCGCCTGTACACCGTAGGTTGCACTGGTCTTTTACTTCCTCTTTCTCTTTTTGTTAATTTATCTTTTTCTTTTTTCATTGCGCAAGGCTGAAACTACTAAGCACCGTAGGCGATGTCGTCTCCATATTTTCTGGATTGTTCATCCTGTGCCAAGTCTCAATCTCCAGTCGGAATCTGTATCCAGCTAGGAGCCCCTTCTATATTGGCGGACCGTTATTATTCGGTGGGGGCTCAGATGGATCTAGATGTCTGTGTGCCTCTGCGACCGTCAGGAGATAAACGGCCAAGATATTTAGCTGCTGACTTTGGGGGCCTTTCTAGAAGTTAATCATTCCAGAGGAGTATGCCAGGGCCGCAGGCAGAGCTGTAACCCATAGCGTGAAGAGTAAAAAGGCTTTTTAAGGGGGTCTGGATCCCCATATTTTCTATGGAAATCAAAATATTCAATACACACAGACAATCGACCTAGTAACCGAACCTGAAGTTACTGAGGCAGTCCCACAATACTTCTGTTTCATTTCTTCACAGCATCTAGACTACGATGCTTTCCATATTGCCTCTTCTGCTTCTGGGTGGCCTCCTCCCAGCCGTCAACGGTCAGAACTCCGATAAGGAGGTGCTGGCACATTTTGCAACCCAGGGATGGTGTTACGTTTATGTTGAAGGTGGGGACATGGAACTGGGTAGCTCCCCGTGCAAGACATGGTGCCCCGAGCATGAGGGCAACGAGGGGATGGGTGTAAGTTTTGTCTCAGTCCCTCAATCGTAACGAATTGAAGGATACTGTTCTGCTTAACCCGATGATGACTGACTGATCAATCATAGTGCCACACGCCCGTGGTTGATTTCGATGATGTAGATCCCTCGCTCTTCGGCCGCGACGACGAAGGCAACAAGTACATTCCGGGAAATTGTGTCTGCGGAACTCCCGAGGACTATCTACCTCTTATCGAGCCGGTGATAGAGGCCCTTTCGATGCTGGACAACATTATCTGCGCTGTTTTCTTGTCGAGTCTTGAGACCGTTGCCGAGATTGGTATTAATGCTGTGCCTGGCGGTGCAGCAATCAATGGTGTCAGAAGGGCCGTCGAGGGTGCCAAAACATTCGTTGATAATTCATTGGATGCGGCCAACTTCTTCGACAACTGGATCGGAAAGGCCTGCGACGTCCCTGACTGGAACTTCGACTTGATGGGTTCGATTTTCGGCAACTTGAATGATGCCACGGATGACTTCGGAACCAGCAAGGGATGTTTCCAGAAGAAGAAGAGTCTTTGCAAGGACAGAAAGCCCAATCCTAAGAAGGAGGATGACAAGAAGAACGACGACAAGAAGAATGATGACAAGTGCAAGCGTGATGGTAAGTCCTGCCTCGAATGTCGACGGGATGCCGAGAATCCTTATTGACTCGTCCACTTTATCACAGACAAGGATTGCAAGACCACGGACGCTGCTCCCACCACTACGAAAGATAGCAACAGTAGCACCACTAAGAAGGATGATAGCACCTCCACCTCCTCTACCTCTACCTCGACCACGACCACGGACAGCACCACCAGCACCACTACTAGCACCACTTCGAAGAAGACCCGTCGCCCTAAAACTAAGACCATGCCGTCTTCCTCAGTGATCCCTATGTCTACCCCGGCAATCTTCAGTCCTGCACCGACAGCCGATGCCACTCCTTCATCTGCTCCGGTCATTCCCCGTGCGTTCTAGATGATCCTCACGCTCGCTAGGTATACTTAGTCATGTTCATTCTTGTATATATAGAATAGATTTGAAGACCGGTGTCTAGATGTACCGTACATACAATTCTAATACCCTATTCAGTATTGAAAAAATGAACATTCTTTATCTAAGGAGGTTTTAGACTCGTGTGATAGTCTCATCTGTTGTCAACTTGTCAGAGACAAACTGTATGACCTTATCCATTCGCCATTATCGACCAAAAAGTATGAGACATCAATGATCTGTCGGATAGTGTCTGACCAATTCATTCTTTATTTGAAAGACCCATATTTGCCTACGTACGCGTTCTACAATAGTATAGTGTTGGATCGATATCTGGCAGATTGGCCGCTTGTCTATACATCCAGACGAGCGATATTGTTGCATTGTAAAAGAGCGGTCTTCCCAGAAAGTTGTTGTGTACATAAAAGAACCGGCCATAGTTTAGGTAGCTGGTAAGATACTTGATTCATAAATGCAGACATCTAGACCGCGCATAACTCGAAACTCTGGATTCCAAGTCCCCTCCACTATGGCTTGATAACTTTGAATAGGTTGTCATTTTTCCTTTTTTTTTTTTTTTTTTTTTTTTTTTTTTTTCCAGCAGGGTAAATCTGTGATCATCAATTAGACAGTTTGGCCGAGTGGTTAAGGCGCGTGCCTGCTATTCATGAAGATGTCACTATTATATACACAAGAGGTGTGATAATTAGGCTCCTCTTGGTCCATAATAGCGCGTACTTTCGAGTGCGCAGTCGAATCCTGCAGCTGTCGAGACTTTCTTAATTTTTGGTTTCAAGACCTTGTGTCTAATTCCTTTTTTTTGCCTGTTCACTTCTCTCACTCACCACCTACCTACCAACAACAGACAGTTTGGCCATGAGTATGCATGCAGGTCTGCTCGTTTGCTCTTAATCTTCTCCCCTGATTCTGTCAATGAATCCTTCCGCCGTTATGCTCAGCTCATGCTCAGTGAGCTAATCACGGCACTCAGATGATCAGTGAGTGGATCAGGGCGCTCAGGGGCGTGCTCAGTTGTACTCAGTGAGCAAAAAGCGGCAGGGCCTGAGCACTAAAACGGAAAGGGAGGGCCAAGAAGTGGCAGAAGAAATCAAGTACCTAGGTCTGTTAGTCTACTACCTATTGATCCTGCTCTGAAACCAAGTTCTTCGACTCTTCTTACGACTCAGTCTCCCTCTGCCATTGTTCGCGTCGTACCTTACATACTCTTTCTCACGCAAAAAAACTCAGAACGCCTTTTACAATGAGCTGTGTTTGCAATTACGTCTATACCAGCTGGTCTTTCTACTGATACGGGCCTTCTATGGCTGCGGCAGTGATCTTCATCATCCTCTTCATTGCCACAACCGCTCTTCATGTCTTCCAGATGACCAAGGCAAACACCTGAAATTCTATTCCTTTCTGAATTGGCGGGTTGCGTAAGTGTAGCATGAATGAAAAAATTGGAAAAAAGCCGTCACGGAGATGACCGCAATCACCCATGAAGCGTACAAGCAAGCTCAGTTTTCGGAACTTTCACTTTATCGCCAAGCACGTATCAGAAAAGCCCAGGAATATGCTTGCCTGCAATGACAACGCCCAGGTGGAACGAGTCTGTCGAGGGCATTGGATTGATGAGGGGTTATATTCTCCACCAGTCATCCACCCCAGGTTTTGAAGTCGTGGCTCTTTCTCTAAGTACGGACAGATCCGGCACGAGTTCAGTATCAGAAAGGAAATTTCGAGCCTGCCTTGAGCGTGCTGTGTCTATTTTGTCCTGTGGGTCTGATTATGGAAGCCAACTTCCAACATTGAGTATTCCTCTCCAATTACTTGGAGCAGAGGGGCTGATGATCAACGCTCTTCCAAGACTATCTCGCATCAATTTTGCAGTGGCTGGTTTCCAGTACCTTTCACTCTCCGCAGCGCGGCTCCCGCAAATTTACCGCGTTGTTGAAGGTGAAAGCGACTTTGTTCCTCGGCTACCAACACCATCAGTGCAGCAGATCTTATGAGGTAAAACTAGGACAAGGCTAATGACAAATATCAAGCCTTTACAGGGAGAATGGCTTGAGGCCATGGACGTTGAAGAATATCTCGATGACCGAGGGATATATCTGCAAAGTGCCGACACACGGCAAAATGTCCTTGGGGGAGAACAGACCCCAATACTTTGCCCAGTCCCAGGGTGGCTCCCTGCGCCACAAGCAAGTATTCCCTATAAACAACTATTCAAGTCCTGTGACACAAAGCCCAGGAGCAGGTTTTGTTCACGAGGAAATGCAACATCTGCCCAATGTCGTGGAACATGGCATGTCGATGGTCTCATCAGCTAATTTGAGCCGGCATGAGCCCGCAGGTTATCCAATATTCGGAATTTCAAGCCCTCATCCATTGACAACTTCGTTTCAGTCCCGTCTGATGGGCGTCAGTTGTCTCGTTCCTCCAAACCAACAGTTTCCGGACACGTCACCCTCGAGACATCAAGATGTCCAGGTTTTGGGCTTCACCCCATAAATTACCATCGATCTCGACAGGCTTGTACAGCTGCTTGCAGCAAATACCACATGACTTTCTCCTTTTCCAAGGATCCGGAAAGCTGCTGTGGACCACTCAATTCGGGAAACTGTCGGCATGTTATGAAAAGCTGTAAAATAATATCCAGTTCTCGCATGTTATCTAATTTTGTGTTGTGGTTATTGAATCTTTACTATTTCCCTGCGTGTATGACTTATCATCGAAGTGAGCGGAGTTTCTCAGCGCCGATCTAAAGTGGTCTGCCTGAGAAGGAGAGGAATTTCAAGATCTAACTGATCCTCAGATCCCAAGAGATCGTTGTCAGTTCCACAGTGACTGAGAATGCCCATCTCCATATTATGAGAACCGTTGTCCGTGTCGCCCAAATTAATACCTCCCATTATTGATAGAGTCCTGTAAATCAGTACTGAATATTATCGTGTATCATGGATCTAGTTGGCCGCAAGATGTAACTGGAAAGGCTAGCTAAATTGTTTGGAACTATGGCCCAGGAATATTTGTAGGCCCGAGACCGATCTTTGTGCAAGACGCTCCAGATTCGATAGCCAGGATATGTAGCGGGTGCACTTTTCTATACTACATGGAGTTTCCAATTAGCAGTATCTTGGACATGGCTGGGTTAAAAATTCCATAGCAAGTTAGCTTATTGTTTCTACAAGATCCAAAAATTCTACCATACACGGAAATACAAGACGATTGAAGCAGCTCTCTGTTAGAAGCTACACCAGGTCTATCTAGGAAGCGACAATCAACTTTTAGTGCCAAAATGATGCGCCAATTGGAGAACACTAGTGTGGATGGATGGATGAATGAATGATTTCATTAGCCCGATTTCAAAGTGCACAAAGTTGTGAATTGATCCAAGTCAGACATTTTACATTTCTCATAGGAAGATATGTGAGCATCCAGCTCAGACTGTGAAATCGTGGCGATACTGTAACGTCAGCCTTTTGAAACTTTGTGGTCCCTCATCACGCATTGTATAAGAATCCATTTTCTTTGATACATTGAAATGGAATCAAAGATGCCTTGAATCCTACCCAACTTAAACGAACCGTAGCATCACTATTATCAATATACAAAACTATATAATGTAGGCATGACAATAGGACTATCCTGGATTGGATGAAGTGAAAGAAAGGGATCAATCAACGTACATGCATGTTGTGCACCGGACAGTTCTGCACCTCATATCACTGTTTGTCTGTGTGATAGACACGGGACGCCCACCTTTCTGTTCAACAATGCACGTGTGCACCCGGAAGGAATACGCTATTCTACGTTGGAACCCCACTGCCATGCACGCTGCTTATTTGTCCCTCAATTGCGTTCTGGAGCCTAGTTTTCTTTAACCCACTATTTGTTATACCTCTTATTCTCTATGTGTCTGCACGATCTAGCTTAAAGTAGGCATTACAAGTAGTACCCGGAGTGTCTTTCTCTCATCTCAGACGGGGGACCTCCAAACCGCATTTTCTGTGTCATTTCAATTAGAAGTGGAAAACTGGCAGAGCATTCCAGCGCAAAACCAAAACATCGGGCATACCACCCTTGTGACCACTTGCTCAGCTCCATGCAATGAGGTGCACCCCTCACTATGCTCGCATCAACACGAGTACTGCTCTTGAACGCCCGCACGCAAGTGTCAATTTCCTCCTCAGTGGACACAAAGAAGGGATCATCTTCCACAAGAGAGAACATTACAGGTGCTGTCACCTGTGCTGCCCACTTCTTTTTCCATATAGGTAGCCACCCAGGTGCAAATTCGGCTGTTTCAGGCAACGGACACACCGCATTGAGGCGTTCGCATTGCTCCAAAATCTCTGAAGTGACAGTCCCCGGCTTGAACATAACAGTGTCCTTGGCGTCTACGGGGAACAATGCATGATCGGCGTCGACGATTAGGAAAGAAGGTGCATAATTCTTCATAAACAAGGACTGCTTGTCTCCCATACCACTTGCAATCAGACCACCAAGTGGATATAACGCTGTTTCATCTTGGGCGTGTAAAGAAGCTGTCACGACACCTCCCATAACGCCCAGGCTGTGGCATAGAAGAACAATACAGTTGCATCGGTTTGGTACGCCAATTTCGGACCAAAGTTTTGGGAGAATGTATTGATGCAACCAGAGGCCGGTTTCTTGAGGAAAACTGGAGCCCTCGGGAATAGGAAGAATGGAAGTGGTACCACCATAGGAAGGACGGTCGATAGATACGAAAGGTACCCCCAGAGAAAAACTTAATAACGAGGCGGAGTAGTTCGGAGTCGCGTCAAAGTATTGGCTATCATAGCCTCCACCGTGAAGGCCAACGATCACAGGACGGTATTCGATAGACGATGCCGTTAATGGAGGGATAGAATGTAAACCAGTCACGGTTCCATTATTGGAAAGGGTATATTTAAACGGCTGCATCGAGGTCAAAATAAGAAACTTGCTGATACTCTTAAGTATTTTTCAGACGAAGTCACACATATTGTAATCATACAGAATGGTGAAACGGCGCATGAAGAAAGTTAAATAGCTAGGGTGTTAATCAATTACACCGTGGCATTCCGTGTATCCGGCTAACACCGCTTAAAGCCGAGTTGGGCGTAGCGGATTGATAGCTATTTGCGGTAAAAACGCAAGCATGAAGAACTACTGTTTTATGAAGAAAACCGTCAAACGCCCATACATCGCCTTAAGCAAGGTACTCGAGATGATAATGACGACTTTATAGGCGATTCATTGTAATTTCGCCTTGCCCTGAGACCTACCGTCGATCTTGCCTTGGGAAGACTCAATAAGCTACTCTGCTTGTTTCGTTTAGTCGAAAAATCGAGCGAAAGCCCCGAGCCCCAACCATACCACTGTACAGTAGTACTTACTTCATTGAAAGAGATTTTCGCGGAATCGACGCTCATTGCGGGTCATCTTAGTCGCCACTGACTTTCCATCATCCGCGATTCAACTGGTCGACGTTACATTTCGCTGGAGCCAAGCGAACATGGAAAATGCGACCTGCAAGCAGAACTAGCAACTGACCAGGCTTGACCTTGAAACTGTACATTCAATCTAAACATCCTGATGCGAGGAAATGATCCGTAATATCCGTAATGGCCTCTAGCGCTTTGCTTTCTTGCCCTAACCTGATCTATAAACTCTCAGAGGAAACAGGAAAAAGGAAAAAGAAAAACGGAATCAAACCAAATCCTTGGGTAGAGTCTCCTATATGGCATTGATAAGAAAGTACCCGCTGTCAACACTTACGACAAAGCTAAACGACGCTCATCACTACCCTCCCCATCCCCCAAGGGAATTGGAAGGGTTGTGAGAACCAGACACTCCCTGACTTTACCCGGCATATATACAACACATATTCTGGCTATCACAATGGCAGGATTTCTCTGGGAGAAGACTCGGGCACAGAATGACTGAGTGCAATACATGACGCACCGGTGATTTCGGATCTCTCGACGTACTACTGTAGCATCAAAGGCGCTTAAACACAACTGACCCAATATGAATGCAGCAGCATATATATATCGCTATCCAGCTGTATAACATTCACTTCCGATCAAAAATGAAGGTTGAAAGCAGAACTTGGGAACACATTGAGAATTTGACCGCGAACCCCCTATTGGTCCCGCAAGCACTTGGTCTTCTAGGTAACAGCATGACCATTATAAAGGCCAAACTGTTTCTAATGTTTTCCCAATGACACTTGGCGCTCGCGCTGGAAACATGATCCCATATATTCGTGCCCATTCTGTAGTAACGTTACTCCAATTGTGCATGGTTGCTTGCTGTACCACCACGTCACCCTCATTCAACTTGATTCTGGACCCATCTTCCAATCCAAGAATCAAAGATCCTTGTACAACGATGACATGGTCCAGAGTAATTGTGCGATGGAAAAGCCCCTCAGACTTGGGAGGTAGATCGTAGGCAGTAAAGCCTGATCCCAGCAGTGGCATGGCTGGTTCTAGAAAGGCTTTGTCCTGAGGACTACTGACATCCGCCGGCTGTTCGTTTGTGTACCAGAATGGTGTCAGGTTGGTGCCATCGCCGTAAGGTTGAATATCGAGGTATGAGTCGTGTTTAACGGTTGCGACGCCTTCTTCGTTGTGGCCAGTCACGATGCGGCGGGGTTTGGGGAGGGACGAAGGTGATTGCGCCTCAGGCATTGCGGTATTTTGGGTGCCTTCGAAGGGAAAAAGAGGAGATAATTGACCAAGACTCCATTCTTGCATGTTGCGATAGGTCTATATGAAGAATAGATCTCGCCACATGGGCTTACTCAGGGATACAATACGGAGTTCAAGACGCCAACATTTAGTGCACCTTATCATTGGCTGCGATGTCCGGTCTGGAGCCATGGAAAGTGGCCATCTGGTGAAATATCTTCTCGGAAATAAGTCGCGGAGTTAATGATGCTGTAGACAGTATAAAAGTGCAGCCTGCTTTTTCCATCCGCCTATCGAGTGATGCGGCCCTGCCATTTTCTGCCTTCCCCTAGCATCGGCCAAGCCCCGCCAATGCTCTGAGTGGGCAAGTGGAGCATTTCAGAAACCTCAATGGAACCCAGTCTAAAGTCCATGACACTAAAGCCTTAGCGGTCAGCATTTAGTACGAGTGGGTGCCTCAATGACGTGAATACATGCTTATGTAAGCTCACCAGGGACTTTTCATTGGCTACAACGTCAATTTATTAGCAGTCAGCAAACGTGCACGGAACTATCACTATCCCCTTCGCCTTGTCGCTGCTGTTCATTAGCTCACCACCATGATTCTTGCGGCCAGTATGACGACCGGCGAGGTTTCCCAGCCAGCAGGCCGACCTGCCGCTTCCCTGTCCGAGAGATTGTCGGCAGATGAATGGTATGGTGTGCCGGATGCCAAGGAACGGAGAAAACGGCAGAATCGAGTGAACCAGAGAGCCCACCGCAAGTCGGCCGAAGCTGAAATTACTGTATCATTCACTAAAATTTGTTAATATCTAGGCTCCAAGACAAGATCCGAGCAACGTTCCATATATCCAAAGGTGCAATGGCACCAGGTGGAAATTTGGCATCCGACACACCATAATTCGACCCCCTTAGTAGAGTCCACGCGCCAGCGCAAAGTTTCGCTCATAGACCAAGTCAAAGGACTTGAATCTGCCCTTGGTGTCCCTACTGAAATTGGTCACTCATTCTATGAGTATTGTGATTCCAGCACAAGTACCAGCAAGGCGCTATCCAGATTTATGACCTCTTGGCCGGCAATGGTCAGTGCATTATGGGTCAAAATACCTGATGCAAATAAAAAGGCAATTTTGCTCAGACAAGTGACCCGATTTCATAATAGCTATCAGCTGAATAGTCCGGAAGCCGACCATTTACTCTCCTTGACTAGAGTCAATGTTCATCGCGCCTTTGTCAGCAATATGGTGGCTCTTGGTATCACATGGGAGTGGATGGAGGATGATTCTATATCCCCGTTCTCCATGGCAAGACCCGGGTTTGATCTTGATACTATTCCTGAGAAGTTACGCCCAACACAACTCCAGCGCAGCAGTATCTATCACACCTGGATTGATTTGTTCCCCTGCCCGGTAATGAGAAACAATCTTATTCAGGCAGGGAACGAATGGAATGATGAGGAACTATGTATCGATATTATGGGGTTTTGGGATGGAGCCTCAACAGGACCGTTTGGTTTGATTATCTGGGGTGAACCTGCGGATCCAAGAAGTTGGGAAATCACAGAAGGCTTTCTTAAAAAATGGGGCTGGCTGATACGGGGTTGCACTGAATTGATGTGGTCAACGAACTACTGGCGAGCGAAGCGAGGTGAAAGGCCGCTGTTCCCAAGAAGTGTTATATATAGCTCGCACGATAAACTCCATCTCCAGAGTCAAATCAGTTGATCGTATATAGTAAAGGCATTGAGAGGATTAATTGGCATGGAGTAGAGTTATCTTGTTTCTTAGATGGAGGTTGGTGGTATTTAAGAAAACAGACTATTTGCCGTCATTCACAGAATGGGATGCAATTCTTGGGGATGATGATTACGGAGCATGGTAGATACCAGCTTGACATTTCTCTCGAAGCGCATTGGACTTTTCATGGCGGTGATAATTGCGTAATTCATGACGAGAATTGATTTGGCCTAGCCACAGCTTTCTATCCGACCAAATCCGACGCTATCTCGAGAGCCGTACCTTCCCAACAGGGCAATTGTTACCCTCAGTGCTATCTCCAGATCTCCGGTCAGCAGGTGACACTCGCAGATGCCTGATTTACGTCACCGGTATCCCCATGTGGCCAACTAGTGATGCTGCAGAAAGTCTGAAACTGGGCTCTTCAGTGAATGTTCCCTCCTTGTCCATGATATCACCACCCAACTTAACAGGCTGATTTGGGCCGTGCGCATCAAGGAACCCTATATAAGTCCCGAAGTCCAGAGCTTTTCTTCTACGCTGTTGTTTTATCACCCTGACCTTGAGCTTTCCTACCTAAGCGAATCATCCTGTCCAACAGTGTTTTCGTTACACCGTCAGTTATCCAATACAAAATGAGCCCTGAGATGACTGCAAAGCCTTTACTGGCTCGGTACCGCCAGCTTACCCCCAGCTGCATCCGTTCGGGTGTCTCCCTTGTGTTTAGGAGCCATGATGTTTGGTTCTTCCCACCAGGAGCGATATGGTGAAATCACTAAAGAAACGGCTTTTTCTATCATGGACACCTACTATGATAACGGAGGCAACTTCATCGACACAGCCAATGTCTACCAGAATGGCGAGTCGGAGCAATGGTTGGGCGAGTGGATGTCCGCTCGCCAGATCCGAGATCAGCTTGTGCTGGCAACGAAGTACAGCAATGCTTATTCGGGTAAGCCAGGCGACATTCAGGCGAATTATCTGGGCAACGGGACGAAGTCCATGCGTCAGTCCCTTGAAAAATCTCTTCAAAACCTGCAGACAACATACGTGGATCTTTTCTATGTGCATTTCTGGGACTACACGACATCCATCCCCGAGCTGATGCATGCTTTGAACGACCTGGTCTCCTCAGGGAAAGTCAACTACCTCGGCATATCGGACACCCCAGCCTGGGTTGTCACGAAAGCGAATTAGTACGCCCGTGACCACGGCCTGCGCCAGTTCGTTGTCTACCAGGGGATGTGGAACGCTTCAATGCGGGATTTTGAACGCGATATCATTCCCATGGTGCACGACGAAGGCATGGGTCTATGTCCTTATGGGGTTTTCAATCAAGGACGTTTTCAGACTACGGAGGGATTCAAACAACGCGAAAAGAACCACGGAGGTCGCAATTTTATCCCACTTTCAGAACGTGATAAGCAGGTATCTGCACAGCTAGAAAGGCTGTCTGAGAAAACCGGCTACTCACTGTTCAATATTGCCTTGGCCTACGTACTCCAGAAGACGCCCTATGTCTTTCCGATCGTCGGCGCACGGAAGATCGAACACCTTACGCACAACATTCCCGCTGTGGAGATTTCGCTGAGCGAGAAAACATTGCTGAGATCGAACGCGCCTACCCCTTTGATCACGGATTTCCACATACTTTCTTGAGTGGCACTTTGTTCGACCATTCAAAGCCTCAAGGTGCTTTTGGCCCTCAGGATGTGTCGCTGACTCGATCTGCGAACGTTCACTATGATTGGGTACAGGGACCAAAGCCTATCACTGTGTCCCAGTCTGACCACAAATAATAGGTAAACACCGACCAACTGCTTGTACTGTATCAGAGTAGCATCTGCATCTTGGTGTCCAACCTAGTTAGACAGATGCAGATATAGCTAATTCTGCTAGATACTGCAGAAACAATATATTGTGGGGTTATTATCACGCAGTAGTCACTCCAACTCTCGCTTATTAAACAGGGGCATTTGGCAAATATTTGTACAGGCAAATCTATATAGATAGAAGCGCGACAGGATAAGAGCGCGGCCAATTCTCGTAGTGTTGAGCCGCAGAACGGCGAGATTCAATAACAGGTTCCACACATCGGAACCGTAATCGCAGTATTCCGAGGTCTACTTGGGACAGAAGATTTAATGATTTGCGCCTTGGTCTGCCAACGTTTCAGTCAATTTAGTCATGCTTCATTTCAATTGGCTGTAATAATTCGAGCATCAAGCGAACTGAAAACCATTTGGAACCAGCGGATGAAGCAAGAATCGAAACGATGGCCATGGTCGCGAGAGCTAGGCCCCTCCAGTGATGATCAATTTGCAGAGGCTAAATATCTCATCTGTTTCCGTGACATCGATCAGATAATCCTCGCCATGAAGTCTTAAAAAGAAAAATTAGATCGCATTTGGAAGATCAATGCGAGCAACGATTCCTTCAGAACGAGTGCCATTGCCTCTAGGATTGACCACCCCGCCGGACGCAACGTAAAGACTGTTACGGTCCCACTTTGTCCTGCCAATGGTGACTGAAGCGGCTTCTGAAAGAGCAGATGACTCCGCGATAACCCTGCTCGACTTCATTGCAATATCGACTGTGCCATCGGGTGAAAGCACAAAATCATCGCCCGCTGTGCCGTTGACTATAAGCTCCGCAGGACCGGTAGCATTGCCCCAGATCGGGGACACGGGGATTTTGGCAAATAGTCCTTGGTTAAAATTGGTGAAGAACAGGTCGGAATCGTGAGTATGAACTCCATCTACCCCGAATTGTAGGCCTTGCGGAATGTGTTTCAGAATTGGCTGGTTGATCACAATTTCATGCAATCCCGTGTTCACGTCCAAATTCCAGATGGTTCCGTCAGCGGAGTCAGCCATTATGAGCATGTGATCGCTCTGCCCCAACTGACACATGCCATTTAGGGTTCCAGCTTTTTCGAGGGCGGCAACCAAGGTCACTTCAGCCATGGGCGACGTTTCGTTGGAAACTGAGTCCTTCGAAACATTTCGATGATCTACTCGCCAGACGCTGTTGGTCCCCGGGTCAATTGTCAAGCCTGTCATGTTTGAACCGATAACGTAGAAGATATTTTCCTCCAACTCGGCAATCCCAAGGAGACTTCGGACATGCGGAATTCAAAGAAAGGCGAGACCTGAAAGAGGTATGGCGATGCCGTAGACGTGAGGAGCTCGCCATTTGATCTCACAGCAATGTTCTCAAAGGTTGCTGGCGTTTCAAACTGAGAGACAATGGAAAGGGGATAGCTTATTAAATCGGGTGTCGCCAATGAAGATGGTGGCAGTGCCAAAGCCAGGCACCAGGCCGCCAGCTGAGAAAAGGGTGGAAGTTTCATATTGCAAAGCTGGAGTAGGAGATGTTGATGGAACACTCATGAAATCTTGATTCGTGAGAAATCGAATGGCGAGGTTCTAATGGGCTAGCTTATATGATCCTGTTGTTAACTAATCATGGTTGAAATTACTTTGCAAATTTTTCGCTATTCAAATTGTAAACGTTTCTTGCGATACCTAGTGGGTCTGACAGATCCGCTGTCGATCATAACGAATCACCTCGTGAAGGAACTCAAGCCGCAAAATTTGTGGGCTCCTTGTCGGATATACTCCGGACATAAGCAGGCTATTGCTATGATCGGGATTTGAGCATCATGAACCCATCAAGCCTACTCGGTGTACATTGAGCTCAAAAGTGACCATTCAGGGGTAAACGGCGCGGGTTCTGGCCCTTAGGACGGTGTCTGTTTTTGTAGTCTAGCAGATACCCATGGTTATACCCAATCAAATAAATGACATCATCAATCAGTCTGGAGCCCCTAGCGGTTCCGCTGGATGCGCATGGGACTCCGGAGGTAAACTATAGCCGCAGACTCAGGTCTCATTCGTGTGGGTATATTGTGGGATATAGGACCAACCTGGAGCCGTGTATTCAACATGTAAAAGAAGGTTCTAGGTTTAGGGAGATAAGAAACTAATCGCCGCTCTCTTTCTGTTAAGCGCGTTTCGAGTTACTGCTCAGGAATTAATGCGTGATTTCAAGTGGTAAGCAAACATATACTGATTTTGGCGAAATGTGTGTTTTACATGCTTCAGCATCATGATAAGCTTCTACCACGGCACCTCTTTTCCATCGTATTGGCCAAGGCCGGGCGCGTTCTCCCATCCAGGCACATGGATGTTGAAAAAGCGACCGTTGCCGTCCTGGCTGGTCGTATGAAGAATATTCAAAACTGAGCTCACACCTACTTCAACGGGAAGATCCGCGTTCTCGCTTCCCAGATCAGTCTTCAGCCACTAGTGTTCGATCAATAGTTAGATCATCTGAAGTTTAACTGCAGGGTTTCCATGAAACTTACGCCAGGGCTAATACAGAATACTGTGAATCCTTCATTTTCAAGTTCATGGGCGTAGATCACCGTAAGCATGTTCAAAGCAGCCTTGGAGATCTTATAAGAAGGAGTAGTCACAACACGCTTGGTAGGTTGCAAAGATATAGAACCAAGAGTAGTTGAGCTAGAATTTTTTTATGACCGGTTGCCCCCAAACGAGATTTATCCGGAAAATCACTTACATGTTAAGAATTTTCTTTTCTTCTCCTTTTCTCATCAGAGGTAAAATCGCCTTGGTGAGATTATGGACACCGCTGACGTTGAGGCGAAAAACGTCTTCCAGATCGTTCCTTTGCGGAAATTGTCAGTGAATAAATTTTTTTTGGGTGACGAAATTTTCGAGTCACAACTTGACCACAGAGCAATGTCAAGCGATAGAACATACATCTCTTCAATGGGTCCAGTAGACATGACTCCGGCATTGTTGATAAGAACATCCAATCCTTCGCCGTTTAGATTCGATGTGACAATATCCACAGCATTTTTTATGCTTTTTTGATCCGTCACATCAAGGGGCACATATACGACGCGCTTCGGGTGTTGTTGCAAGAGTTCCTGGAACTTCGGGTTATCAGAAGATCGAGAGGAAGCAAAGATAGTCACATCGTCTTGAGAGTTGGCCAATTGGCGTGTTAATTCGAAACCAATTCCTCGAGAACAACCTGTGATCAGGTAGGAGCGCATAGTGGCGTCTGAATGGGAGCAGAAGCAAGAAGATGGTTTATAGGACGATACTCCCTTGCAGAACACTCTTAGTAGAATCAAGAATGTGAGAACGTGGATTTAACGAATGGGGGGGGGGGGAGCTGGGACATATATAGACATTTTTTCATGACGCAATGTACTCTGTGTGTGTACTATGTGGACAGTAACACCATGAGGGTACTTGTGGTCATTGGATAAGACCCATAATTGTCTATACCGCAAATTGACTGAATTAGATCCGCTAATGTCCGGTATTTCCGGCAAAAGTTCGCACAGAAATGGAGATCTCGGATGGGCCTCACCAACCGACATGGCTAATGTCAGTATCATAATGTTCTACATAATTACACTGTACTAGTCAGCACCTTGCTGCTGGGGCTGACTCCCATTCTTTGACTCCAGTCATCTCCTTTTTATAGGATATGGGAATCTCCAGCACGGTCCGGATGACCGGCGAGCAGGTCGTTTTAATTTGCAGAGTGGATATGTTGGTTACAGGGAAATTTGGCCTTATTCTTTTCTTTTCCTTCCCTGTCTTCAGACTCAAACCATACACGTACATCCGAGCCTCTCAGCGGCGGTCAACAACGGGCACGTCGAAATGGCTACACCGATAGGTTGTGGCGGCTCAATACTGACCGCCTAGTAGGTAAGCTATTGGCGAAATCTTGAGGTTGGGAAGAAAGGGCAAGCCCAATTATAAGCAACCCATAGGAATAGCTCACACTCGATCAGAAAGTGCAAGTTCGATCATAAAGTGAGTCAACGTAAGCAGAAGTGTGCGTATCATGTATAGCATAATAGGGGAGAACAGAGCAGCTAGTATGATAGGTGGAAATTTCCTCATGATACGCGGAGATAATTGCGGGTATACAATGATTCTATGCCGCCATTACAGGCGCAACTATCCCCGCCATTGTTCTCAACACTTTCCCAGTTTCAATTTGTCACCTCTTCGGCCCATCGGGTAAGTAATCTTCGATGGAACACGGCATTCGACTTTTACCTATCTCGGCAGTCGACAGGAATCGTCACTTGCAAATTGTCATATAAATTCGGTCGGCTGGATAGAAAATTAAAACGTTTACATAAATTTTTCAATTTAGGTCAATTATCTATTAGACATGAACAGGCCAGCACTACAAACCAAAATCTGAGTTCCAAAGTGTTGCATTCAAGGCTTCTCATGGCCAGGCACAGACAAACTCACCAGCCATCCTTTGTAGATCCGAGAGACAATGACCCGAGCGACCAAAACACCTTTGGGCGATATCTCCCAACGGAGACCGCAAACACCCACATCCGTATGGCGCTGTCGAACGCACCGTCCACACAAGACGCCCAAGTAGCCGGGGTGGGCACCACTAGAACTGGTAAAGTCATCCCAATAAAGGACATAGAGTCGGCAGAAGCAACTCGCAACAATATTGAATGGCTGCACGAACTAAGAAATAACATGAAACTGGTCAAAGCGCGCTTCGGCGTCGTGGTACACTGGACCCTGACAGAGGACTTGGACCTCGAAAACGCCAATGCACAGGCAATCGAGAAAATCATGAAAGACAACGATTCAAATGAGCAAGGACCCCGGATTGAGAAGATTGCGTGGCTGAAGAAGAAGGACAAGGCACTGGGAGATTATGCATCTCTCGGCATCTGGTTCGACAGCACAGAAGGTGTTGATTACGTTCTAGGCAAGGGCTACCTGGTTGGCCTGAGATTCATCGGCAGTGTGGAACGCTGCGAACTAAAAAGAAAGAGATGCTTCCGGTGCCAACGATTTGGGCATTCCGCATAGTCATGCAAGGAAACGCCTCGATGTGGACATTGAATACTCCGGACAGGTTGGCATTGACAGATATGCTTTCGTCGGATCTTGGATAAGAAGCTTTCCTCTAGCCCCTCTCATCCTATTAATATGACTTAGTAATGACAACGACGACAATTCGATATTTTGTGGTCTCGGAAGAATATCAAGAACATGAAAGCTCGAATCCTGCTCGATGGCTGGTAGTAAGTAGATCACGCCTAGACCGCGGCATGAGGTTTGCGAGGACTGGACTTCGGGAAACTCAACCGCACCTCAGAAAACCTCATAGAACCTCAATTTTGTATAATTTTGCGACCTTTCCTGTTTTGGATGTATAATCTTGCGTAGTCATCTTTTTTAAATACCTAGTTCACTAGTTAACTAACTAACTAACTGATGAGCGATATAGCTCTGATAAGGCTCGAAAACCGGATGGAAACGCTTGATTCTTTCTAATACTACAACTGCAGAGGTTCTAGAGATGCAGCGGCCCAGTGTGGGTCAGCTGACTGACTAACTACGTGCAGCCTAGCGCCGCAAGCCATACCATCAGGCTCCAACACTAACTAACTAGTTAACTAACTACTTGATTTCTTCTGCCGGGTGGGGCTTTCCTATCTTAGCTGCCGCCGCTTTTATGAGGGCGCTCAGAGTCAGGCTCACTGAGTAGATTTCAGTCCGGGCTCAGAGCTGCTCAGACCAGTCACGTGATTAATCTGTGAGGTCCAATGAATGCTCAGTGAGCGATCAGTGACCTGATTTGATGGTCACTGATCGCTCACTGATTACTCAGAGACCGCTCAGAGTCCATTAGTTAAGCCTCTTGGCCGGAAAACTCCAACCACCCTTTCCTGTACTGGCTGGATCCACCATAAGCTAAGGGACTCAAAGTACTCTGAGCAATCCTTCTTTCTTACCGGTCAACACCGAACATTTTACACCTGATTCAGTTAGCTACTTCGCTCCACCTTTTATCATTCTTTCACCTCAGATGCTTCACCATGGCTTGATTCCCATCTCTTGCCTTCAACTCCAATCCTTGTATGAATTAGACGAGCCACGTGGCTCGTCCTTACCTAAGCGCCGACCCGAACTTACGACCGCGGCAGATCTCCTTTCTCCGTGAATGGCAAGCTCAACTTCCGGTCTAGACCCGCGGGCAGCTTCTCATTTGTCGCGCAACAATGTCAATCATTCCTTGACAGCTCTTCAAGGTGCCGTCAATGCGTTTCATAGGAGTCCGTCAAGAGGTGTTTCACCCGCTGCTACCCATAGAACCGGCATGGCCATGGATAACAACCGTGGCCCCGAGCCGCCTCATTCCGAGGCTGATACGCCCGAAATTGGCTCGGTAAAAGACAAGATAGGGAGGTTTGCGGCACAGTCGCAGCCTCCCAAATTGCCCGTGAGAATTCAAAGCAACAAAACAATCACCAACCAAAGGTCTATGCATCAGATCGCCGCTCAGCTGGCTGCAGAGAAATCCGCGATGGCAAGCGAGAAGAGAAACCCTTCCCCGACGCCTAGTATGCGTTCGGTGCAACATGCGAATAGGGCGCCGACTATACCCCGCGACCAGAATCAGCTGGACTTGCTGACAGGGAACTCTATGGACGACCTGACGACAAGCACCAGTTCTATGCCAAACATCTCGGCAGATGAGCAAGGATTGCCATCCAGAAAGGGTTCTATTCAACGAAAGCCAATAGGGGAGGTTTCCCCTTCAGTGTCCGAGCCCATACAGGCGACTGTAGCGAAGCCCCGTCCCGTTCCGCCGGTGCCACGGAAACCTCGACTGAACGCAATCGACACCGCTCTTCCTATCCAGCACCAAACGCGAACTCCCGAGCCGTCTTTAACCTCCAGTGCATCGGTTCGCTCCAAAGCTTCATCCACCTTTTCCAATGGGAAAGCGCCGCCACTGCCTGCGCGACCGGGCACTTGGTCAAGCCAGGGACCACGAGACCACCGAAAGCTCCTAGATACCCGTGATTCCCCAAGACGACCCATAAGTCCCAGCATGGCCTCTGTGTCTGCTCGCTCGCTCAACACCAGCAACTCGAGTTTACTCGATATGGACGAAGAAGCTCTGTCGGATGCTATAGTCGCGTCGTCGTTGGCTTCCAGTCGGGCACCACCGCCCAGGAAAGTTCCACCCACTCCTCCACCGCAGCGCCGGCCAAGGTCTCGTTCAATCTTACGCCTGCAGCACTCGGGCAGGAGTGAACATTCGATTTCCTCCAGCCCCCCGGGCACCATGCGGCATACACTCCGCGACTCGGTCAAGTCCGACGACGAGGAGGCCCATAATCAGCGACACAGGAAACATCTTGTTCGTAAACATCCCCACAAGCACCACGAGGGGGATCGAAAACGGTGGCGGAGCGAAATCACGGAAAAGGAGCGGAAACGATACGAGGGCGTCTGGGCCGCCAACAAGGGGTTATATGTGACCCCGTGCCAACTGGATCAGCAATCCGCACCACAGGATCAAGCGTCCGACGGATATCCCGCGAACGCGTCGGACATGGTGGTGAACGTCGTGGTTCGCGATATCTGGTCTCGCAGCCGCTTACCGGCCGTCAATTTGGAGCAGATCTGGGATCTCGTCGATCACCAGAAGATAGGGATCTTGAAGCGGGACGAGTTTGTTGTGGGAATGTGGTTGATTGATCAACAATTGAAGGGCCACAAGCTGCCCCCTAAGGTGCCCGACAGCGTTTGGTACAGTGTGAGGCGAGTGCCCGGCGTGACGCTGTCGCAGCAAAGTCTCATATAGCGGTGTATCATGATGGTTTCTCATTTACAGCCCTACTGCAGTGCAGTGGCTAGGCTTGTTACCCATAGTCGAAGTCTATTGAACTCAAAATAATGAAATTTGGAATGACCAACAGCGGTATATAGGATATAGGGTATAATTGTCAAACAATGCCCCACTACTCTCCACCGCCCCTTGCTCAGATGCCCACGGCGACGTGAATGGCTTCAGGGGGGAGAGCAAACTGAGCGATGAATACTCAGCAATTTTAAAAAAGGTCTCTAAGGTTAGGAAGTACCTCTTGACGTCATCGTGACTGACGGGAAAGTAGATCCAATGTACTTCTCTTCTCTTGAACACTCACTTATCAGTTCAATCTTATTCTTCTCCCAAAGATCACCAAGAGCAAGCTTCTATACTACTACAAAACCGCTCCACTCACTTGTACAGATAAATCTACTATACAGAAGTTAATCTTAAATCTAGGCCTTTGGTCTGACTATCTATACAAGGCATACTTAGTAGATTTAAATAGAGATTGCATTCCCATTTTGCTGACTATAGTAGATATACCCTACCTTGGGTCTAACCGTCTAACATTTAGTCCCAGAGAAATCAACTTTCCCTAGGCTTTCTTTGTTGGGTGTACTTTGGGTAGAATGGGTGCTTGTCATGGGAATCAAACAGGTAGCTCCTACTTGCTCAAAAGAGGTCCCCCTACCTCTTCCTTGCGAGAGAAGGAGGGGGAGCATGAAGGAGAGCAGAAAAGTGCACCCATTGACCGCTTTTTCTGTTTTCTCTGGATCGATCCCTTCGAAATGTTGGCCATTGCGGCGGCCTGATCATACAAGATAGTATAGAGGGATAGAGATCGCAGTGAGGTGAGGCCCAACGCCGATCACACTGCCATGTATGTACTTACTGTATGTACGAAGTGCCCTGACACCATGCACACTGCAGGGCGTTGGATCATGCGGATCAGCAACTGGTCGACCGAGCTTGTCCGTGGCTGAATCCGGATGAAAAGCCAGTCCACTCACAATGCATCGATTGATTGATACAGGCCCGCCGTGCCACAGGCGTTGTCCAGAATAAGAAGATGGCTGCGAACGGGATCACCAACGTACATACATGCTAGAGAAAAAAGTGCAATAATAGTAGGTAATAACTAGCTTAGCTACAGCCCATGCACATGATCGTTATGTATCATATCGATCACCAGGGAGGGACTTCCTAACGTCACACCTGCGTGGCGCTTCAAGGCTTGCTGCTATCTAGGTTGCTGTCTTCCGTAGGGCCGATCATATTGGCGTTCTTGTTCTTGTCTCTGACTGTTTGATAGATGTATCGATGAGGCAAGGATAGTCCATCCAGCGCAGTTCAGCATTTTCAAAAGCATCTTTGCTTTACTGGTCAGGTCTTACTTCGATCAGTCGATCTGCGTCCCTTCCCTCAGCCTTCCCCCTAAGCCTTCCCCAAGCCCTAGTCTAGCCCTAGGCAGGCGGACAAGCTACGGAGCAAATCGTGTAGACCTCTGATCGAAGACCATGACATTATCGGATCATCCGCGCCGATCCGGGAATAGAACAACTGAATACCCAATGAGGGACTGATCAGCCCTGCATTCCAGCACGGAGTAGACTAGAGGTATCTTTGTTCATTTGGCTTCCTCCCTATTGCTCTGGCGAAGGTCGAAAGTACCGCCCAGTACGATGAATACTAACTAATAGATTGACTGATCTGATCTTGATCGAAAAGGAGCCCCACCTTGTTTCTTAGTATGGTTTCAGAGTTCAGACCGAATGACGTCGTCCATGGTTCATGCGGCCATTCGTGTACTTTTGTCGGACGAGCCAGGAGGGGAACGGCGCATGTCTCGTCCTTACTTTGGAGGTGAAGCTACATATGTGAGTCTTGCTTCCCCTTACCCGAAGGATTCTTGTGGTTTTGCTTTTTTCTTTTTCTCCCCACCTCCTCCTTTTTCGAGGTTTCTTTTTCTTTTCTTTTCTTTTCTTTTCTTTTCTTTTTTTTTTTTTTTTTTTTTTTTTTTCCCTGTTCCCTGCGCTTTCCCCACTCCGGGTGTTCCAGGATTTGGAATTCTGACAACGCAATCTCTCCGGATCTCGGATTTAGCGCCGTAGATTCAAATAACTCTGGCAGATCGAGCCGGCCAGTGTCCACACGTCATGCCGAGGACCGAACTGGTAGAAGACTAGATATTGACTGGGAAGTGGAGTCGGCTGTCGGAATGGCGTACGAAATAGGACGGGGTGATCCAAAGGCTGAACTTTAATGACGGGCGTCACCATGGACTGGCAATCCGAGATCACGGACTCGTCCGAATAAAAGAGAGGAGACGATGATGGGCTCCCAGCCGGCGCATTCTCGACGATGGCGGTAGGACCACGTGATCGCAAGGTGACCGGGTCCGCAAGTTCCCGCGCGGCCGAAAAGGGCAGGAGTCAAAGATGCAGGAGGGCAGAAGAAGTGGAAGGGGAAGTAGATAGCGTAGGGCCTTACCTGCCTACACTGTAGTGCCAGGGCTGTCCCATTATTCCAGGTAACGGATATGTAGGCAAGAGGGATAGACTGTAGCCTCGTCAGAGTCCTGTAGTCTACTGCCGTGCATGTACTGTACCTAGAAGTATGCAAGTCCAGAAGGAATCGTGCAACGCTAAAGGCGATCGAGGGGTGACTAATCCTACGCCAATCCGGCGCCACATTCGCGCTTTGCCTGACTGAACCAAATCCCGGCCGTCCGTCTTTCGGGATTTGCTTTTGAATGGCGATGGATGATTAAGCCCGCGCTTCCCTCCCCAGCTTTCTCTAGTTATCGCCTCTGTATATCAGACCACTTCCTCGGCGTTCTCCTTCATTTGCTCCCCCCCCCTCCCCCCCTCTCCGTTTCCCGTTAAATGAGGGGAAAAGAAAGTGAATCAGAAAGGTCGAAAGAAAACCCCAAAAAAAAAGGGGAGAGAGAGAAAGGATTTCAACGGGCTTGTTTCCTCCCCCGAATTCCTGGCAACACTGCAACAGGAAGAGAGAGAGAGAGAGAGAGAGAGAGAGAGAGAGAGAGAGAGACCAAACTCCTCCGTCTCCGCTTTGTACGTTCTTGCGCTCTGTAGTAATGCGCCATTGGAGCGTCTAACCCGGTGGAGGAAGCCGACGGTAGCACGCTCGTTTCTGCTCGCAGATTGCATGACCGACAAAAGTAGCCCAAGACAACATTCGCCATGGTGCTGGGCGCTTTCTCAAGTTCCTATGACAATGGAGTCACCACGACAGTTACACAGCCCAAGATGGCCAGGACGACTGTCGTGCGCAAGAAGTTCGCCAAACCGCCCGTCAAGGTAGCCTGTCTGTCCTGGTAAGTCTTCTCGTACTTCTCCATCGATCGCTCTATTGATCGCACATTGCGATCCTCTCTTATTCTGCTCGGCGAGGCTGACGGTGATGGACATTCGAACAGTCGCTCGTCACGGACACGCTGTGACGGACAAGATCCATGCTCAAACGTAGGTCCTTTCTTTCTTTCTCTTTCCGTCTATTCCCTCTATTCCCTGGCCCTCTAAACACTACACACTCACTCCCCTGCTGGACGTGTCTGTCAATGGTCTGTGCCACGCACTATCATTACGCCTCGTTGGCTCCTCCTCTCTCACCCATGTCCTCCCCCTTCAATTTCCTTCAAGAATTATATGCTGAGGAATCTACCTCCCATGCGTGAAGTGTCTTGGCAAGAAGAAGAAATGTTCTTACTTGCCCAGCAAGCGCGGTGGTCCGAGAAAGAAAAGGCCGTCCATTCCTACAGATGTACTCGTTCAACAGGATGACATATCGGACTCGAATATTCCACCTCCTTCGACCGGCTTTGACGATTGTACGTGAACACGATCAACATGTCTAATGCAGTTTGCATGTCGCTAACCTGAGATACAAGCCCCGGGGATGTTTGGTCAAATCGATGTGCTTTCCATACCGGGGGCAGGCCTGAGAAGTCTGGATTTCACTTCCGATGTCCACAACATGTTTGCCGATCTGTTTGTCCCGAACGATGCGCCCAGTTCTCATGCTCAAATGGAGCCGACCCCTTCGCCATCTAGTGTCTCATCGCCATCCTTGGTCAGGGCTTACGGCAATGAGCACGATATGTGAGTTCTGCTCGGGAATGCTCCAATGTACCTGCCCTGCGTTTTGTCTAATACTTGGCCAGACTCAATGCCTACTATTTCTTCATCCATCCCTATTTTCCTATTCTTTCCCCAAGAGTGTTGTCTCCGTCCCCCGACAGCCCAATGGAAGGGGCCGGTTCATATACTGACTCCCCGTCCGAAGAACCTGCCTTGATATACAAGCCACGCTCTCCTCTCAGTCTCGCACTGTCCGCCATACTGGCTCTGGTCCCGCATCCAAGCGACATGGAGCCGTCGTCTCCAATTTCCGTCGTCCGTCGCAGGGCCTACGCCCATACCTTCGCACATTTGGCCAATGCTAGCATCGAGGCGGATTGTGAGCTTCAGGCGTCTTCCACAGATCCCTCTCAAGCCCTGTCCGGAGATCGACCGACAATTGACCGTGAGCCTTTCCACCCTCGGACGCCAGTGGAACTTGAAAGTATCCTTGCTCTCTTGGTTCTTTCCATCTACGAATATACCCAGCGGGGCAATCTTCTCAAAATGCGGTACCGTGCCGGTCAAGCATTGGCAATCGCGTTGGATATGTCTCTTCACGCCTTGGGAGAGGAGCATGACGAATGTGCGGAAGCGCGGAGGAGAGCGTGGTGGATGACGGTATGGACGATCGCAGTCAATTTCATAGACTCAGCAGCTAACCTTGAGGCTTTGCAGTATTATTGTGTTTTGCAAGGATCCATTGTCAGCACAATGGTAAGCTGCCGATTTTCGCACCATTCTGGATTGATTCGTTGGCGATTCAGCTGCTAACACAAAAGTTCAATAGCCGCTTTCAATCGTCGCCAATGACCCGCAATTCGTAACACCTTATCCGCGATTCTCTGCAGATCCAGATGTGCGTCTCCCTACTGTCGTCCGATGTGGAACTCAAATTCAGAGCGATAATATTCTAACTATTCCCCAGGGATGGTCCGTTCTGATGCAAGCTCAACAAGTACTTGTCTCGGCGACTCAGTATATCATCGATTTGAACAAATGCATTGCAACGAGAACCAACATGCATTACATTTATGAACGCATGCGACAGCTTGATGTTTGGGCTAGTTCTGCGCTGGCGCAGTCCAACTTACTCCCCATCGTTCCTCAATCTGTAAACCGCGGCGGTGATATTGAGTACTCCATAGCTCAAAGTATTCGTGCAATTTCGCGCATTAAGATATCCAGGTGGGTGCTTGTCAAACAATCGGGCGGTTCAAGGATTTTGCTAACGTTGGACCAGCGCACAAATCAAAATTCATCGCTTTAGGGCGTTCTCCGACATTCCCATATTCATCAAGAAACATTGCGATCTTACCGCAGCCAACGCCGGCAACGCGGCCCCAGGAAACAAAACCAAGCAGAACAAGGCCGCCAGCGGGATCAACACCATCGGGTGCTCATGTGGGGGATTGGAACCACTTCAGCAGCCGCCAAGCGAGCTTACACCCTCATCAATCTCCTCGGCGTCGTCGGATTACAACTCGATGTCGCAGTACTCGTTCACGAACGGGTTCCCGTACAGCACTCAACACTCGGCCAAGACATGCCTTCGGGCAGCCCTGCTGATCTCGCACATGTTCCAGAGCTTACCGCTGCCACACCCGCTGAGCGAAGGGGGCAAAGGCATGCAATTAATGCCACAAAGCGAACTACCGCGAACCATGCCATCGTTTGCTTGCTGCTTGATGCAGGGAAGCTATGCCATGTTAATGATCTTCTACAAAGCACGAGTCGAAAAGCAAATGTCGCCGGACTATGAGAACAAATCCCCGGACAATCCTTCTGATCGACTCATCGAAGAGATCCGCCAAGGTCTGGAACGTATCATTGCGACTGTCTCCAATTATGCGATTGCATTCGAGGCGTTGGACGGCATGAGAGGTGAGTGGTACTTTCTCTTGATATCTATTGAACTCTGCTGACATTAGGTCTTTTCAGATGAAATCGAAGGTGCATATCACACGGCGTTTCCAGAAGCGTAGAGTTTCTTCACTCTTTCCTCCTATCTTTACTTTCACTTCTTTTTTTTTTTTTCTTTTTTATCTTTTTTTTTTTCTTTCTTCTTCTTCCTCCCTTCTTATATAATATAGCGCCTTTTATATTTTTCTCCTGCCAAGGAATTACATTTATATAGTATCGGTTTTCAAATTAGGGTATCGGACAAAGGACAAATATATCGGATCGAATCGGACTGGACTGGACTGGGTTTAGCAATGGACAAAAGGATATCATACCCAAAAGCAATTACAATATACCCTTCTCTCATTCATTTCTACCTTTATCTACAACATCTTTGGTTGTCTACTGGGTAGTGAAACGCGTCCAGTGAATGTGTTTCAGATTTTCAAATGGCAATCTTTTCTAACGACTGAAACGGTCATGACTTCTTTTTTCGCTTCTCTTCGTTTTTTTACTTCTTTCTATCGTTCTCCCCCTCCCTATTTATCTTTACGACTTCTGTTGTTTCTATTTCTAATAACTATCCAGCTGGCGGGCTCTCGCGGAAGGAAGGCGATTCTTATCTATCTACTGCGCATCCTTTTTTTGTATCTATGTACAATTATGATGTTGTATTTGGATCATCTGGATTTTAGGCCGATAGAATAGCACCAATCGATTTGTGGATTTCTTTTTCTTTTTTTCTCCGGTTTGTTTCTTTTGAATCCTCCTTGTCGAATCTATGAGATGTAGGTGAGTTAATGGACGGGCTGGATGAATTAGTTTTGTCTAATTCTAAGTAGATGTCAACATTCTTGCACAGCTCATGGATGAGGACATGTCAGTTTTGTGCGAGTATCAACCTATCTATACAAGGGAAATGAGAACTAGATGAGAACTAGATAAAAGAAATATTATAATTCACCTAGGAAAGAGAAAAGAATGAAGAGAAAAAAGATTGATATCTGATATCTATTTGATAATAAATTGTAGCCTGTATTTAGTACAAGTATATTGACATTGAAAAAAAAAAAAAGGCAACGAGAAAGAACGTTCCAGTGACCGAATGAGAAAAGGAACGGGAGTGGGAGGGAATGAATTAAATCTAGAGCTTCGATCGGATTCCTTCCAAGCGGAACTTAACGTCCTTCAGGACCTTGCTGGTGGGTTTCCACTCGTCGAACTGTCGGAGGAGCTGCATGGTCTCGTCGTAGAGTTCGCGGCGCACGAACTCTTCTTCGAGGAGTCCGCGCATGGCAAAGGGGAGGATGTACGGATTCACTTGGGACGAGGGGGGGCTGCGTCGGATGTCTATGGTTGCACCTTGGACGTTGGATGTTTCTAGCGCGAATTCGATGGCCAATCTGCGTTGATGTTAGGGAGTGGGGGTTTGCTTTGGTTTAAATCGAGTTAACTTACCGATAGACGGCCTCGTCATCATAGAGTCGGGAATGGCCTTCGCCGCTATATAAGCTGCCCGCGAGTGGAGAACTTAATTCACGGATGAGACCGTGGTCTGCGATTCCCAGGTTGCGGAGCTTCAGGGCAAATCCAACCAGATGCGAAACGAAACTTGGTGCATGAACTCGGCCGTCAACAAACACTGCCCGATAGATATATGGATGGGTTACTGGTGAGAACAATGACGACTCAAGAGAGACCAGCTGGTCGTCGATGCTGCCAATGTAAGATATCCGGACTCCGAAATCAAGGGAGGCTTTGAGAGCCGCCTCATATTGCTTAGACACTTCGCTGTGAGGCAACGCAAAGTCGAACAGCTCTCCCGCAGACCCACTGATCCATCGCGATCGGTATTCGGAGAAAGGTCCCATGTTGACGCCTGCCATGGCACAAATGCCCACCCGAGCAGCATTGATACACCCGAAAGAGATCAACTTGGCCACCAACATAATGGTCACGGGTACCCCTTGACTGTGGCAGGCAAACATGATGAAATCTGCGTTCCTGATTTCTTCCATCCAATTCAGTAGTAGCTTCCAGAGGAGATCCACCCGTTCAAAGATGCGGCCTTCGCCTTCCAAGGCTACCTTTTCAATGTTACATGTGTATCCGTGATTATCGACCCACTTCTGGATAGCGTCTGCTGCCATGTTCGAAAACCTGACTGATGTTCCCGTTGGCTGACCAAGAACACTCCGAATCAACGGCATAGGAAAATACCCATGTATCCCGACAGCCAGCGCTCTCTTAATGTGTGGTGTATCTCGGGTCATGTAAACATGTCTATTGTTCGACTCCCTGCTGTAACTCAGGAAACGCCCGATCGTTTGGAAGAGACTTGGCCTTTCCTGCAAGGCAAATGTTTCTTTGAAGCGTGGCAGAACCTGGTTAGGCAGTATTTTCTGCAGCTGTTTTGACGCCGCAGCTTCCGGAACACTTGGCGTTGAGGCCTTGGGTTGAGCTTCTGGCTCCGGCAGGGCTTGATCAGTTGCCGCAGAACTGCCTTTCGAGGGCTTGATTTTTACCGTCCCTTTCTTTGAAACCTCTAGTCTCTGCTCTGCCTCTGATTCATTGGCATCAGGCTTCGAAATGGGGGGGTCTTGCTTTGTAGCCTCCACCAGTTCCGCTTCTTGCGGATTTGTTTGTGTTGAGCCTTGTGAAGTGTCTCGAAACCAAAACGACCACCCTGATGGTTTTACATTCTGAGCGGATGACTCAGTAGAGGGCGCATCCGCTGGTTGTTCCGATTCCTGTTCCGATTCCCCGGGGTTGTTGATAATTTGGTCTGCCGTAGGTGCTGGATTAGTATGTGAAGTAACAGTCTCATCACTAGTAGTAGGGTGATCATCCCCGGTAGCTTCTACGGCTTCTACACCCTTGGGTGGAGGCACGCCGTACCACATCTGGAACCAAGAACGTTTCTGAGAAGTCCCTGAGATTTCTGACGTCTCCGGGACGCTGTCTGGATTTGTTGGCTCTTGGTCGGGGAGCGTGACAGTGTCCTCTTTATGGGGTGGGTTCTCGGATGGAGCGGCCGGTGTCTCGGTCGTTGAATCAGTTGAATCAGCTGCAGGAACCTCCTCTGTTGTCGTTGGCCTGTAAAACCATGAAAGCCAACCACTTGGATGTGTGTTTTCCGATGGGGGTTGATCTGGCCCCGCAGTATCAGGACTTGTATTATTATCGCTGGGGACTTCGGCTGCTGTCTTCGGCTGCTCTTTGTTGGTGTCCTCCTGCGCGTCTGAATCTTTATCATTCAACACCTCTTTGTTTGCCGACTCGGATGTTGAACTAGCAGCAGGGTCTGCTTCAGAGTCCACCGCTGGCGTGGAGGTAGAACCATCGGAGGCAATGTTGATTTTGGTTGTGGTAGCGTCAGCGGGCAGGGATCGGCTTGACGCGCCCGCCTTCCTCGTGAGTTGAAGAGATGGATTGCGATGCTGTTTGAGAGAATCGAGCTGGGGAGTCGATGAGGAGGTGATGTTCGACGCTACGTTCTGCGCGACGGAGATGCTCTCACGGGCAACCTCGGTAACCGGGGCCGCTTTGGACGATCTAGAAACAGCGGGCCAAACACCGGGGTACCAGTTCTATTGAAAACCCCTTATTAGTCATGCACACAGTACAGACGTGAAGCATCTATCGACAAGTGTCCGGATGCAGTTTGCTATCTATCGTTGTTCTTGAACCCCGGTCTGGGTTACCCGGAGAGATGGGTCCTACTTACAACGCCTCCTTGCTTTTGTAGATTGGAGCGTCCGTTGCCCGCGGGAGATAAGGCAGCCCCATCGTTCGACATCTGGGGGGAATCCGCGCCTGACGGGCTGGGTTTTACTCTCTTTCGAGATCCCGTGGGCGCCATGGAAGAAAGGAAGAGAACATCACTTGCAGTCAGAAAAGGCAGGAGGTGGCAGAATAGTATTGAGTAGTCACTAGGAGGGGAGAGATGAGAGCCAAGTCAGCGTCAAAGAAGATCGATCGATCACCGCTCAACGTTGATGTCACGTCACATGCCGCCGCCCCTTCTGACCGCCTTTTGCTGCCTTTGCTGCCTTTGCTGCCTGAGGCTGGCATGCTGTGGCGGTGCGCGGCGCCAGAAAGGGGAAATTTTTCTTGCGGGCGGTGTGGATCCGCGGCCGCTGATAACTTTTTTTTTCTGCGCTCATACCAACCATCATACTCTCGTCCTTTAGTGATCTGGGTTCTGGGGTCTCGACTGACCCTCTGCCATAATACACAATGGCGATCCAGAAGAAGGTGCGCAAGCTTTTATCATTCTGTTTTCCTTCTAAAAAAGACCGTCTCATCACTGACCCTATACACAGCATGGTAAAGGTCGTTTGGATAAGTGGTACCGCCTTGCCAAAGAGAAAGGGTATCGAGCTCGTGCTGCGTTCAAGTTGGTCCAGCTGAACAAAAAATATGGCTTTTTGGAAAAGAGTAAAGTCCTTCTGGATCTTTGTGCTGCGCCTGGTGTAAGTTCTACTCTTCTTTTTATCTTGGCCCCAAGGAAATCGTTCCGCTAATAGCAGTATTAGTCCTGGTGTCAAGTAGCTGCAGAATGTATGCCTGCACAGAGTATCATCGTCGGTGTTGATCTCGCCCCCATCAAACCCATCCCTCGAGTGATCAGCTTCCAAAGCGACATCACAACGGAAAAATGTCGCGCTACGATTCGATCGCACCTGAAACACTGGAAGGCGGATACGGTTCTCCACGACGGTGCGCCCAACGTCGGTACGGCCTGGGTTCAAGATGCGTTCTCTCAGGCGGAGCTGGTGTTGCAATCGATGAAACTGGCTACCGAGTTCTTGGCCGAGGGCGGTACCTTCGTCACCAAGGTCTTCCGATCGAAAGACTACAACCCTCTTCTATGGGTCTTCAAGCAGTTGTTCACCTCCGTCGAGGCCACGAAACCTCCCTCTTCTCGAAACGTCTCTGCCGAAATTTTCGTCGTCTGCCGCGGCTTCAAGGCCCCCAAGCGTCTCGATCCGAAGTTCCTCGACCCCAAGCATGTGTTCGCCGAATTGGCCGATCCCACTCCCAATAACGAGGCGAAGGTGTTCAACCCCGAAAAGAAGAAGCGTAAGAGAGAGGGTTACGAGGAGGGTGACTACACCCAGTACAAGGAAATCCCAATCACCGACTTCGTCAACACCACGGATCCGATCGCTATCTTGGGAACAGTCAACAAACTCAGTTTCTCAGAACCACCAGGCGGTGATATCGGCCTGGCTACGATCAACCGACTCGAAGAAACAACAGACGAAATAAAGGTCTGCTGCGAGGATCTAAAGGTGTTGGGTAAGAAGGAATTCCGCAACCTGCTCCGATGGCGTCTCAAGGTTCGCGAGAAGTTCGGTCTCATCGTGAGGAAGGGTCAGCATAAGAAAGAGGAGCCTCAAGAAGAAGTGGCTGAGATTGCCCCAATGGACGAGGAACTGGCCATCCAAGAAGATTTGCAGCGACTTCGCGACAAGGAGAGTACAAGGACCAAGAAGGAGCGACGGAAAGAAAACGAAAAGAAGCGCAAGGAAATTCTCCGCCTGCAGATGCATATGACGACTCCTATGGATATCGGTATGGAGCAGCTGGGTCCCCTTGGTGAGGATGCCACCTTTTCGCTCAGGCGCGCCCAGAGAGGAGGGGTCACGGACGAACTTACCTCCGGTAAAGAGGCGCCGGTGGAGAGTGATAGTGAAGACTCTGAATCCGAGCCCGAAGACGACGACAGCGATGAAGAGGGTGATCGATTAGAGAGGGAGCTCGACTCTCTGTACGAGCGATACCAAGAGCGCAAGGAGGACGGAGATTCGAAATTGAAAGCCAAGAAGGCCCGCAAGAACTACGAGGCCGACGAATGGGAGGGAATTTCGGATTCGGACAAGGAGGGACTTTCGGATGAGGAATCTGACTCCGGGGCCCTTACTACAAACGGAGAGTTCTCCAAGGGCGGAGCCCTCTCCAACAACGCTGCCATGTTCTTTGACCAAGACATCTTCCAAGGTTTGGAGGATGTGGAGGATGTTGAGGACGAGGACGAGGAAGACGCCGCTGAAGTGAAGAAACAGAACAGCAAACAAAAGAGCAAGGACACTGTCGCGGAGAAAAAGACCTCCAAGGACGCGGCCAAGGACAAGAAGAAGAAGGCCAAAAAGACAGATGACTTCTCAGATGACGAGGATGATGATGATGAGGCCGCGGACCTGGGAGAGGATCCCAGGAAGCAGAATGGTCAGCTCGGTGAGCTTTCAACCACATTACACACCCATATCCTCTTGTCACTAACATTTCATGCGCAGACATCGATATCATCACCGCGGAAGCTATGTCATTGGCTCATCAGATGGCCACCGGCGAGAAGAAATCCCAGGACGTCATTGATGATGGTTACAACCGGCTTGCGTTCCGAGACGTTGACGGTCTTCCCGACTGGTTCCTCGATGACGAGGGCAAGCACAGCCTAGCAAACAAGCCCATCAGCAAGGCAGCAGCCGCCGCTATCAAGGAGAAACTGCGTGCCATCAATGCCCGACCGATTAAGAAGGTGATGGAAGCCAAGGGCCGCAAGAAGTTCAAGGCCGCACAGAGGTTGGAGAAGCTCCGGAAGAAGTCCGCACTGATTGCCGAGGACGAAGGACTCAGCGAGAAGGACAAGTCGCAGACCATCTCCAGACTGATGAGCCGGGCCACCAAGAAGAAGCCCAAGCAGCAAGTGAAGCTGGTTGTTGCCAAGGGAAACAACAGGGGTATTTCTGGCCGTCCCAAGGGAGTCAAGGGCAAGTACAAGATTGTGGATTCTCGGATGAAGAAGGATATCCGGGCGCAAAAGCGCCTTGCGGCGAAGAAGAAATAAAAAAGGGATTGGATCAGGCCCTGTCACCGACGGACGGATGGATGGATGTATGTATAGGCTCTCAACAGTTGATACCCACACGGAGGGTGCATTCTCCACGGTGTTTTATAATGTCTCTCTCTATATATGGCCAATCTGCCAGGATGCCTCTGCAGTGTATTGTTTGTCGACGACATAAGTGTACTGTGTGTAGTTGCATATTGGTAGGCTGAATAAGGGCATTGAAGGGATACTGACAATTGGTAATAGATAAGTACAGTCATGGAAGTCTGGGCTGTACCCCCCTCCTAAGTTAAAATGACAAACCTAAGACAACAAAGAAGTATGCAAGAGAAAAGAGCCTGTAGTTGTAGTATTAATAAACGTCCGATCAGAGAGTGGCGATAGCCCTCCCTAAGCACCTCCCATGGGGTATAAGGGACGTGCAATGCTAAGATATGTGACAAATTGGCCAATTAACTAAGCGCACGCACTCTGACGCTTTTTCTACGGGTTTAAAAGACAGAGTTCTAGAGAGCAATTACTGCAGTTGCTGTGGCTTGTAGGCTGATAACTGCGCGCCTGTGCCCTACACACCGCTGGGGGGGGGGGGGGGGTTCTCCCGGTGAGTTCAGCACCAGAGGGGGTTTAGTGAGTGTATTACCAGTGGGTTCGTGGTTTGCGCCTGGAAAAAAGAGGAGGGTGTGCGGGTTTAAGGAATAGAGGAGTATGAGGTGTCTAGATTTAACACGTGCAGACTTTCGCGTAGAAATCTGGGAGTTGCAGGAGGGCAGTAAAGTCCCGGGGTTCAAGAAAGCCCAGGTAAGTATCCGTAAGTGCGCTTTCCCGGAGGGGGGCTAGGATAGTCACCTGACCAGTCGTCAGCACCGACCGAACCTCCTCAAGACTCGCCCTCACCAAAACATAGGGAAGGCCTCCAGCAAGAACTAAACCCGCTCCTAGTCCCGCAAAAATGCCGATAATCAAATTCTGAAAACGGACCTAGATAGCTAGTAGAGATGTTCACTTTTTGCAGCGTTTTTCTACATTCCTCTCTCTTTTTGGTTGGGGAAATCGTGTTAAATGATTGGAATGCATAAAAATTCCGTTACGGTCTGATCGGACCACACCCAAAATGTTAGAAAAAACCTGTGGCTTTTTAGAGTTTGGGTCACGTGTTGTGCCGGTATTTAGTATTATTACAGCGTTATTACCACTCCCGGTGCAGCCGCAGCTATAGGTTAACTTGGCGTCTTCGTGACTAAATCAGTGATGATATTACGCGAAGTCCCCGTGTGAGGAGCGGATTGCAAGCCACCTGTATAAGGCCGGGCGGCGGAGGGAACAGCTATGCTTGTTATATACCTATGTATTCATGTCCACATGTTTGTACAAGAAATAACCACCCTCACTAGGGGATATTCCGAGAGAGAATGTCAAAGAAGGAAAAGATCGTCTAGTAAATACAGAAAAGACCTAGATTATCAAAACCCGGTCTGCCATAGAGGCAAAGAATTTCAGAGCTCTTGAAGAGAGGAAGTGGTGCAGAGCGGTCAAGAACATCCTCACCCCATATCTTCCACAAAAGCCTTCAGTCTGGAACTATCCTTGGCGGCGATGAAGTATGTTCCACCGACATCCGTCCAACTTACACTGTTGGACCAATAGTTCCTCTGCTTGACTTTCAGGAGGTTGATGGGGGAGTTCAGGTTCCGGGACTGAATCTTATGACCGGCCGGGACGAATGACTTGAGCGACACGATCTGGCATCCCTCTTTCATATCCAAGAAGTGGTTGATCAACTCGTTATTGAGTTGTGGGGTAAATGCTTGGTTATTGATCAGGATCACGTCTGCACGCTTGAGGACGTCGATAATACTCTGTTCTCGCAGGAAGTCGCCGGACACCAGGTGCGTTTTCCCTGGGGCAATTCCCCAAAGCCTGCAACGAGCCTTGAACTCAGATTGCTGAAGATTGGCGAGGTCACACGCATTCTGCATCATCTCGCAGCCCCAGCTTTCGCAGCCAATTTCCAAGGCCGCCTGTAGGACGACGTTCCCGACGCCTGATCCCAAGTCGACAAAGACCTGGCCAGATTTGAGACCGGTTTCCTTGAAAATCGTGCTGATAAATCGAGGGAGCAGTTCGCCGTAGACGTTGTCGGTTCCGTTCTCATACTGACGCAGGGACTCGACTCGAGGCGAAACAGTGCGGGAATAGATTTGAGTGAGAATGCGCTCCACCAGAGGCAAATTCAACCGATGGGTCGAGTCCAACTTCTTCGCGATGCTGCCACTGCGCCTCAACCGTTCTATCGCCTGGTTATAATCCGTCACGACTTGGCGAAAATCATTCTCTGAACCCTGTGCCAGCGCTCGCCGCAACCTCCGTTTGATACCGGTCGACTCGTTGTTGAACTCGTCTGCTTCATCTTCGGGAATATGGGTCTGAGACACAATATCGACAACCGAGAATATATCATCAATAGGCTTGAAGTCGTCGTTGTCACGAGGAACCACGAGGTTGTATCTAGAAAAAAGGAGAAGCTCATCAGCAAAGCCCCGGGAGCTGTGAATTTTTGCCGTCGACTACAATGTCTTACCTTTCCTTAGGAGATGCACTAGGATATTGTAGTGAAATCTCCGTAGATTGGACCTTCTCACCAAAAGCCGGCCAGAAGTTCCCGGCCTTCTGGATCGAGGTGATTTCCGCCGCGTGGACCATAGGCAGCGGTTTCACATGATCTTCCGAAAATGCTTTTAACGAACGCACTCGTCTCTCAAAATCTGGCTCGGCACTATCACCTGTTCGGGCTCGTTTGCGCACCTCGAAAGAGGCGTCGGTGTCGCTCTCATCCTCGTCGCTGGACAGTCGCTGCTCTGGAGTTGGTCGCTTGCGGCTTTGTCGAGGAGTCCCTAATCGGCGTTTCGAGGCAAGATCGGGGTCCCTCGATACTGACCTGCTCTCGGAACCGCGGGTTTTCTTCGAATTCTCGGACGGTGAGATTCGCGACGAACCGGCTGGAGTGTGTGAGGATGATCTCGACGGAGGGGCAGGGCGCGCTTGAACGACTTTGCGAATCTGAGGTTTCTTCGGCTGTAACGAGAACGCTCCTCCCTTCTGAAGGTGGTCGAAAAATCCCATCGAGGAGGGCCAGGGCAGCGCAATCCGGCGGCGGCGGCGGCGGGAAGTATAGTGACCGATACGGAGACGCGTGGCAAAATCTATGAACAAGGCGGGCAGGCTGAAAAAACTCGATGCGAAATATGTACTAGAGGGCAATAAAATATAAAAACGAAGGCACGAAGGCACGACGACCTAACGGCGAAAGGAACCAAAGTAATGAATGTACGGGAGAAGTGAAGGAGAAGGAAGAAATACGAAGCGAACGAGAGAAGCTGAAAAAGACCGGCGGACAAGAGACTCCGAGTCGGCCAATGAAAAGCAGCTGCCGTCGACGATCGAGTGACCCGTGTGGCTTGGCGCCCCGCCGCTGTGGCGCATGCTTTTACTGTAGATATTCTACGGAGTAGACTATACAGAGTACGGCTCGTTGTCTGAACCAGAGGCAGGCTACAAGGGTTTAGTACCGCTCCCCTCCAGAGGCACTGGGGCCCGGCTAAAACCTTAATCTCAGCTGGTAACTGGCTCCATACTGCTTAAACGGACGTTCCCATACTTATGCGAGAGGCTCGCTATACGTTCTGTTATAATATTTCGCCATATGCCCTGCTGGTAGTACGTAGCGGCAGCCTCTAGTTGCCACCAGCACTCTGTCGCCGCGAATAACCAGGATAGATAGGTTTTCCATATATACCACGCAGCTATTCGGTATAAGGTCAGCCCAGGTAAGCTCTATCTGGTGCAGGGGGCAGAACTGTCGCCCTGCCAGTATCCAGGACAGCTCAGTGCCTGTCATAACCCTTCGATGGGGCATCCGCCACATAAAGTCCCCTGCCTTAGAATAAATCATGGGTATCATACATAGTGTGTATAGAGATAATGAGAATATAGCAATGAACCTCGTCAAGAGAAAGGAAGAATATGAAAGGAAAAGTTTCGCTCGGTTCGAAGAGACCTGAGATCTAGGCTGAACCAGCAGAAACTCAAGATCGTTGAGGTAAGCCTCATGAGAACCTGGAAGCATCGTTCATAGCTTCTGCGTCCTTGTGCATCCGAGCCATCCAACGATCCACGAGGTGTTGGTTCTCTTCTTTCAGCTTATCGGACCGCTCTTCGGCCATGTTCAACTGCAGGGTGAGGGATGCTAGTTCATCTTGGAAGTCCTAGAGAGATAAAAGCAGATTAGCGATTCGCAAGGATGATCAAACACGACAAGCGACGGCATCATACGTCTAGCAACTTCGCCTTGCCTCTAAGCTCCTCATCACGATCCTTCAGGCGCAGTTGTAAGTGTGCGACCTCGTTCTCTAAACTGCCAATCCGTCGCGTATTCTGGGTGCTCTTCTTCCGCAGTTTCTCCAGCTCAACGGTTGTGCGGGTCAGCTGGTCTTGTAGCTCCGAGCGGGATCGCTGCGCCTCCGACAGCTCGGCTCGAGTCGTGATCAGGATTTCTTGGAGGGAATTATCCGAGGACTTTGATGGGCGTTTTCTGGGATATAGCGCAGGCGAGGGTGGTTGAGAGCCCTGGGACTCGGCCGTGCCTGATCCTGGGGCATTGTTTCCGGTGTTTGCGGCTTGGGCGGTCCGATCAGCAAGTTGGGTATCTGTCGCGATAGAGTTAGAGGTTGATGCAGGAATACACCGGCGGCTGGATCAAGATTCAAGACTTTCCAACACGCACATGCATTGTAGATAGCGAGGTTGGCTTTCTCTCGGTGATCGCGAGCCGCCAGAGCGGCCAAGTACTCCTCTCTCCAGTGGGCCATTTGATAGTTGCGATAAGACAAGGCGAGTTTATCGGTGGGAACAGAGAGGACTACGGAGCCATGGCAGCACCGGGCCTGGAGGGAGAGACGTGGAAGATCAGAACACAACACAGATTGACGGTGACAAACACTAGAGACCGTATGAAACCCTCTTAGTGCTGGCTGGCCAACACGTAGGGACGAATAACTGGCAGGCGGTGCGATGTTGCATCACAAATGGATAATCTTAAATCGAGTTCGCTCACCGCCCGACCCACCGCCTGCATCATCGAAAGGCAACGGACTCCCGTTAGCCTCCTACTAGTTAAATGATCTAAACCTCTCCTACCTCATACCGCAAGACGTGATCCTTCCGCTGCTCTCATCCCACTCTCCGTCTCGGGCTGGCTCTTGTGTACAGACCTTTTTGATCCCTTCTCCCTCCCCCTCGGCTCTTACCGACTCTTGTGCTGCTATTCCGTTTCCTCTGAAACACTTATATCTGCTTATCTCGACTCAGCCACAGCCATGTCGGCACGGAAGAAGGTCCTATTGAAGGTTAGAACCGCGCAACGCATCCGCCCTCCCTACTTGCCTGTACGGATGTTCAGTCTTGCTCACTTATATTTATGGCTCTTTAGGTTATTATCCTCGGTGATAGCGGCGTCGGAAAAACAAGTTTGATGAACCAATATGTCCGTGAACCTACACCAGTCAATTCTCGCAGTCCACGTTATCCCAACTAATACGTTCGGGCGCAACTAGGTCAACAAGAAGTTCAGTGGAAGCTACAAGGCAACGATCGGAGCCGATTTCCTGACCAAGGAGGTCTTAGTAGATGACCGACTAGTTACGATGCAGGCATGTGTTCCCTCGCGCCGAACACCCTTGCGGATACGACGAGAGCAGATAACTAATTGTGTGACGGGTAGATCTGGGATACTGCTGGCCAAGAACGATTTCAATCATTGGGAGTTGCATTCTATCGCGGAGCCGACTGCTGTGTCCTGGTATATGATGTCAACAACTCCAAGAGTTTCGAGGCTCTCGACAGCTGGCGGGACGAGTTTCTTATTCAGGCGAGCCCTCGGGATCCTGAGAACTTTCCATTCGTAAGGCCTACCCTTTCTATGCTTTATAGCGATCGAAAATTCCCGTTTGCTGACGGTCGCATAGGTGGTGATTGGCAACAAGATCGATGTCGAAGAGAACAAGCGCATGATCTCGTCGAAGCGGGCAATGACGTTCTGCCAATCCAAGGGCAACATCCCTTATTTCGAAACGAGTGCCAAGGAGGCCGTCAACGTGGAACAGGCATTTGAAGGTAAGCGGCTACCTAGTCTACCTAGTTTCCGCCGGTCGATATGTCTGGGACGCTGATCCTGTTTCTAGTCATCGCTCGGAGCGCTCTCGCGCAGGAAGAAGCGGAAGAATTCAGTGGTGAATTCAGCGATCCGATCAATATCCACCTTGACGGTGATCGGGATGGATGTGCCTGTTGATACCCCCCGTGACGCGCTCGTGACTGCTTTTAAATGATTCATATTTCATGACAAGATCTGCCTACTTTTCTGTTTGATTGAGTTTCTGGGTTTTGTAGAGAAGTCCCTCTCCCCGATGCTGATCTGAGGTGCCTAAAGAAGGCCTCTCGTGGCCCCATCATTGCTCTTCCTATATAATCTTGGGGGTTTTCTTGCGCATCCACGTCTCTGTCTATGTCTCTCTGTTGAGCTGTACGGGGTTATTTGTTTACAGGTCCATGTTTTATTGTCCGATCCTTTTTTTTTTTTTTTCTAATTTGCTTCCTACGTCAGCGTATTCATTCATTAGTATACTATCTAGGAGTCTGGAATAACCAATGCTTCAATTCTGTCTTCCCAGCAAACCACTCCGCTGTGCCTAGCTCAGCAATTAAGCCTCATTTCAAGCAAACCAAATCAAATTAAGGATCGTCAGCATGACCGTAACCTCGTGCGGATCGCTCCATCTCGTGCCGCTTGGCGGTGTGGAGGAGGTTACACTCTCTTATCTCCGATAACCAACCACCTACTACTAGTCCCTCCGCGCCCTCCGCGCTCTCATCCCTTGCATCCTGCGTGACCCTCCAGCATCATCTTGATCCGCTGGCCCCTTTGGAGTCTGCCGGCGCTCACTCCTGTGCCCCATGATCGGTTATCAATCTCCACGCGCCACCTCGGGATCGCACGCTGCTCGTCTTTGTCGGTGACCGCGGAAGCGGTAGAAACCTTCCCCGCTGCACCTCCGATATTTCCATTCATCTAACCTTCTCCATCGCCTCGCTCTTATCGCATAAACTTGCTTCGAAGATATTCCCGTTGATGGACAAGAGCGCTACCTCATGGATACCGTTTCAAAACCCAGTGGCCCGGGGCTGAGCGGTGTCGCGAGACGATCCCTCGGCATCGGTCTACTACTGATAGTAGTGTTTCTGTGGACAGCGTCGAATTTCTTGGCTAGTGTAGGTGTTTTGCCTTCTCGCTCCGGCCTCCAGCGTGAGGACGGAAGAGGTCCTCTTTGTTGCTACGTTGTGTTGTGCGATATATCCGGTGTGACGAACTGACGTATCACTCTTGTGTCACAGACTATCTTTGCCGACAACACATATTCCAAGCCGTTCTTTGTGACGTACATTAACACCTCCTTGTTTATTCTACCACTTTTCACGATTATCTTTGGCCGCGTCTGGCGATTATGGCGCTCAGGCAAGATCTCCCGGATTCGCTCGCTTCGGAGTCTACTGCGACATCTGGACTCGCACGACCCCGAAGCGGAAACGCAGAGTATCCTTCATCATGACGCGCATCGAGACAGCGAAGACGCGCCCGACGATCCTGAAGCGTGGAATGCAGCCCGGCTGGCGCCGGAGGGGAAGTACCATGAAGCCTCCAAGCTGGGCTTGAGGGCGACGGCGAAGCTGAGCTTCGAGTTCTGCATGCTATGGGTAAGATCTGCACTGTATAGCTCTTCATAGATACAGATCGGCTAACATTGTGTCAGTTCCTTGTAAGTTGTCTCTGAGGCTAGAAACATCCCCAAAGCGAGTTCCGTCGTAGCTCGACTAATTCCGGACTTGTGTAACCAGGCCAATTATTTCGCCATGGCCTGCCTACAGTATACCACCGTAGGAAGTACCACTATTCTAACCTCGACGAGCGGTATGTGCCACATGAGATGAAAATGAGGTGAAACTGAATACAGATGAATGGTATCTAACGCGCATATCCTCGCAGGCGTATGGACCCTCATCTTCGGAGCCGTCATCGGAGTCGAGAAATTCACCGTCCGCAAACTCCTAGGCGTAGTCGCTTCATTAGTCGGCATCATGCTGATATCCCGTGTCGACCTCCTGTCTTCCTCCCCGGAGGTCCCACCAGCCGATAATAGTGGCGGCAGCACCTTTCCCTCCAAGACCCCGGCCGAGATTGCCTTGGGCGACGCCATGGCGGGCTTCAGTGCCGTCATGTACGGCGTGTACACTATTGTCCTGAAGAAGCAGGTGGGCGACGAATCGCGCGTCAACATGCAGCTGTTCTTCGGGCTCGTCGGCCTCTTCAACATGTTCCTGCTCTGGCCGGGCTTCATCATTCTCCATTTCACTGGGATCGAGACCTTCGCGATGCCCGACACTGGCCGAGTATGGACTATCATCTGGGTATGCCCTCTTTTCTTTCCCTCTTCCCTTGGTCTCTTTCGCATGTGTTAATGAAAACCTCAATCAACAGACCAACTCCTTCGCCTCCCTCGCCTCAGACATCTGCTGGGCCTACGCCATGCTCCTGACCACACCCCTTGTCGTCACCGTCGGTCTCAGCCTGACCATCCCGCTCTCCCTCGTCGGACAGATCATTCTCCAAGGCCAGTACGCCAGCGGCCTGTACTGGGTCGGTGCCACTATCGTCTTCCTTTCCTTTTTGATCGTCAACCACGAAAGTCAGGAATTGGTGGGAGCGCAGTCGGATGAGTCGTCCAGAGCGACTTATGATGCGCTTCCTAGTGAAGAGGGAGATCGATGAGAGAGAGATACTGACAGGGAGAGAGGGCCGTGGAAATTGTGCTATATAATTAACAAAAAAAAGGAGGGAAAGAAAAAAGAAATAGGGGGTCGGTTATGCGATTGTTTTGGACCCGTGGACCTGCACTTGCAATTACCTGGTACCTGCCTACTTACTCACCTACCTATTCATAAGCCTATGACCTATGTGTTTACCATCGCTAGTAACTGGCGTTTGGTTACTTCATATATATTCGCTCATTTTTATGTAAGGAATAGAAAGAACATTGATAGTTTCATAATTCCCTGTAGGTCATTTTGCTGGCACTCATTCATACACTACATATTGTATACTGAAGTGTTATCCCATTATAAGTGTGCTTTATAAACTTACGGAATAATAGAGTACAAAACATAAATATCACATGAATGCATCAAAGATTACATATTAGAATTAAGTATACACGTGGACCCTCCCAAAAAAGAGAGGGTAATTAAACCACACACATAATACAGAAAGGAGACAAGGACCCGATAAAGAAAGCATGCTCATTCGACATTCCATCGAGACGAAGAGTCTGATCTGATTATGTCTGAAAACGAATAAAAAAAAATCGAGGATAGAATTAAACACTAGGGAAAGTCCAAGATCATCAACATTAAGTCGCTGGTATGGGACAAGAAATAAAGATAGCAAGAGATGAAGTGGTGTTAAGACTCAGGCTCGAATAAGAGACATGGAAGAAGTAAGAAGGGGGACAGAAAGTTGAAATCAATATCATCAAGAATGGTGGGGTATGTATGTATGTATATCATAAATCAGAAGAGAATACTGGATCACAGAATGAGAAAGGAAAGGAATAGGTAGGTAGCTAGGTACGCAAACGAATGGATGATAGACGATCGAGATTCCAAGAAAAATATAAAAAAAGGGGAATCATCTCGAAGGGATATGTATAGCAGGAAGTATAGTAAAAGAAAGAGAGATTTAGGGAACGGGCAAGGTTCATTGGCTTTGAACCTCCTAAGATTGAACGGTTTGGTGGTATACAATGCGCTTTTTACGCAGGGACAGCGATAGCACCCGCAGCTGGCACGGGGTCTCGCTTCTTACGAGCCACAAGGATGCTCTTGAGACAGCCGAGCCACTTGGCGAGCGATTCCTCGTCGGGGGTGCATAGACGGAAAGACTTCTCTTCCGCGATGATCTGGAGGCAGTTTTGTTTGGAGCGGGACAGGGGATCGATCTCGGCGGCGTCAATCACCTGAGCCATCGGTAAGATCTTCACGGCGGAATATTCCTAATCGCAACGGATGTCAGTCATTTTCATAATCCGGCAAGCGGATGGGTGAACACATACTTGCTCATCCTTGTAGAAGCCAAGACTTTTCGGACGGAGAACAACCCAGAGCCGTTTCCATTGCCGCATGGTGCCCTTGATGCGAAGGCACTGAAGGTAGCCATTGCAAATGACCCTCTCGGGGTCGCGCAGAATCCCCGACTCGCTGTGTCGGCCGGTGTCGGGCGACAAGGGCGACTGTCCGGCAGGAGCAGAGACGGACAGAGTCTGAACCGGAGTTCGCGGTCTGGGGTTGATGCTAGAATTGCTCGTAGGTCCGTCGGACCACTCGGAGTACGACGTGATATCGTTTCCGGGATAATCGAGGTGGTTGTCAAGGCGCTTGGATCGATAACTCGACGAAAGCGCCCGTCCCAGTTCAGGGGAGCTTGCTCTGCCCATCATATCAAAGTCAGAATGATCGGTCGTGTCGTCGACTCGCGGCCGATTCACCGCCACGGCGTTTCCTTGCTGCGACAGCGCCAGGAAAGCCTCATCTTCTTCGTCCGTACGTATTTCGGCGCGGATGCGCTGGATCCAAACGTCGGCCTCCTTGTCGGACGCGACCTGGAATCGATAGTTCTTTGAGGGGGAAAAGACACCGAAGACGTGCTGTCGGTTGGAGCGGGGAGACCGAACGGGTGCGACCGCCGTCACCTCGGATAGGGTGATGGAGGCCCGGAGCCGAGTTGCTTCTTCGTCTTTGTATACAGACAGGAGGTTCGGTCGGAGGACGAGATAGGCGGGTTTCCAGGAAGCTCTAAAGGCCTAGGAGGCAGGGTTAGTCCAGGGAAAGGCGCATTCAACAGGGAACCCAGGTGAACTCACATGCTTGTGCTTGACCCGGCGGTTCACTCGCCCCGTCTTCAGCACTCGATCAAACTCGAAGCTCCCATTTTCGTTGACGGGCGAGAAAGTATCAAGGTTCACATGGCCACTGCGATAGGCCGCAGGTGGAGCAGGGCGTGGGTGGGCGCTCTGTTGGACAGTGCCGTCGGGGAGTTGGATTGCCGGAGCTTTGGCGATCTCCGACATTGACGGGCACGAGGACGACAGCGGCTGGGCCATCATGTCGCGTAGCTTTTATAGGGCGAATATCAAACCCAGAATCGTAGGAGATAAATGACAGGCGGGTACTCAGGGTGAGAAGGTCCTGCGCGATGCAGAAAACGGGCGTTTATAGACTCCAGACCGCACCGCGCAAACACACATCTGGACAAGTTGGAGATAGCCGGGCGAGGGGAAAGGAGGATGAGGATGGATGTCGCGGAGCAACTAAAGAGAAGGCCCCCAACAAGCGACCGGGTGAAAAAAGGCAGAAATATTTAGATAGCACGTTGATATTGGAGTCCGAGTATAGAGGAGATGACGAAGTAAGAAAGGTGCCAAGGAGAGGATGAACGAGGTATGACGGTGAGGCTCTCGAGGGAGAAAAAAGAATTGGGGAACGAAGACTGGAAAAGGCCGAGAACGTGATGAAGAATGGAAAATGATCCACCGAGTTTGATGCAATATTGTTTTATATTAATTTTTTTTTCTTGCAACTCGACGAAACGCTTCTTCTGTCACGGCAACATGTCGCCTGATGCGAAGTTCGGGATGATTTCACGACTGCAGAGAAGTCGACGGGATGACAGAACAACTTGTTTAGGGGGAGGGGGGGGGGAGGCGTGTTTCGATGCTCCCCCTCTCTTTTACTTTCTCTCTCTCTTGCGCTCCCTCTCTCCTCGAATCCCCTTCGTGGAATCTGGTTATTTCCCTCGGCGCATGGACGTTGTTTCAAGGAGATCGTTCATCCCTTTTTATTTTAGTCTGGTTTCCTGTCCTCCGAGGGTGAAGATCCCTTCCACGCTGCTACACAGTAGTTCCAACTACAGACCAGTCGACCCTGTCCCAACTCCACATGGTCTCTTCTTCAGTGGGATTCTAAACGGGAATTCAAGGAGCAGTACGCAGTAAAATGTCTTGGTCCCTTGAATATGATCTCGTCTCGTTGGAGATTTGGACCCGATCGAAAAGGCTTGGTCAAGGGTCTCGTCGTTATTCTTCACGGCCGAGTCAACGTCTCCACCAAGCTAAGGATGCTAAGGATGCTAAACGGGCTACTAAATGATGCTAAGAGAGGACGATTGCTCTCGACCATCCCCGAAAGTGGAAATTTTCAGCACTGACTGCTCCCTTTCTAGAAATGTGGGCAAAGTGCATTACCGTCTCCTATTTCGAGGAAATTGTTGTGATGGAATAGGGTTCTTACCCCTTATGTAATGGACTCATGGTTGTCTGAGCATGTTTCTCCCCCGTACGTCGAGGTCTCAAGTGTCCCTGTCGTGCGATGCATGGGAATCATAGCTGGCATGTACGGAGCCCAGCACTTACGGTGTACTGTCTACAGGAGCAACTACTCTGTACGGCATCACGCTCCTCCAATAAGTCTTCTACCGATCGGTTGGCATGGAAAAGCCCCTGACGGGACTCGAAGTGACTGCTCATAAAGCCGATGATGATTGTAGGTAGGGATACCTTCACCAACTGTCCATGTGTACTCCGTAAGACCCCCTATATGCATGTTTCGTGTACCTACATGCTGGGCTCTTAGGAGCGACTATGACTGTGACAGCATAACATGAATAACTCGAGTCCTCCAATCGTAGACCGGAGTCAAGTGGGTTCTGCATGAGAGCTTTCGTAATGCAGTAGCTGATGGATCTTGGTATCTACTATACGGAGTACATATATGCTTGGTGGTGTACGGAGCAAAGCAAATACATCGATCAAGCAGACCCGACATGACTGAGGCAGTTGCAGTTGCAGTCGCAGCCCCCTCTCCCCTGGGAATTGTGCAGGCTGTTGTTGAATAAGAATAGGAATTAATTCTCTAATCTCTGCCCTACCGAAAGGCCACCTTGACAGATCCGCCAGGGTCACGTGTGGGGATCACGGGGGTCTGGACAACCCGTAATGGAATTACCACCGGGTCCCTGGTATTACTTATTAGGTAAATGCGTCCTTTTTTGGAAGAAAAATTTGTTCTTCAATGAACTGACAAAAGGACCGAAAGAGAGGTGGATGTCAATGCTCGACACGCAGTATTACTATTTAGCCTGTAAACAGCAGCGATATCCTAGTATACACATCATCTTCGACGGTGCTCGAGTCATGAACAGAGGACGGAGTAAGTCCTCCGTACAAGCGACCTTATCATGGGCCAAGGTCCTGTTTCAATAATGCGGTTAACCAAACCGATAGCAGTTGGAGCCAATGATAACATTAATAATAGATATCCTTTGCTATTGGAAAAGCCACCTAAAAGGGCTACGGTGGTTGGATTGGCGTGGATTAAGCCGTATCCTGGTAAATGCTGGTAATCAATTTACCAGAGGCCGAGTCCAACAGTTTGCACCCTTCGACCTACGGAGTACACAATGGGGCAGGAGAATAAATAGAAATACCCCATATCCTTAATCCTCCATTTCTGCGATCGCTCTGCTGGAGGGATTGACCCGCCGATCATGAACCCAGAGGCTTGAAGGGTCGAGCCGCGTTGTCGGTGGCCGGCCGTACGTAGTATTATTGACGATCTGGCGCTTGGAGGACGTGTCCCGCAGGTAAGTTATTTATTATTGTTGTTGTTGTTATCATTATGAACTCCGTAACTTGGACCCAGTTCACTGGTTGTAATTAATTTCTTGGAGGCAGACCTAGGCACTTTGGAAGTTGGTAGGTCTCAGTGTTCAAAGTATCAACCATCGGAGGAGTTATATCTCAGAGGAGATCATTCTTGATCCAAAGATAACAATCCATGTGGACATAGAACATGGAACATAAGACACAGAAATATACCTAGGGAGTAGGTGTACTCCGTAGAAGCCGTCCTTCCCGATTGCCATCGAAAAGGCTAAAGGCAAAGTTACCCGTGACCGTGACCGAACGGCCGCTTGCGCCTCCCTGGCCTTGGCGAGACTTCCACTCATCCCCATCCCCAAAATATTCCTTTCGAGCCTTCATCTCCGTCGGTCGCCTCCCGCAATTCTCGACCTTCCCCCCCCCCTCCCCCGGTTCTGTGATTGATGATCTCGTCCCGTGCTCTCCGCGCCTTTGGCTTCATTGCTTTGGACTTCAGTCCCCTGCGTTGCTCTCAACGCTTCCCCAACTAATTCGCTCTCAAGCCAACTGAGAGCGAAAAAAAAAGGTTGGAGAGAGAGAAAGGAGGTTTTCCCTCCGGACACTCGTTTTTATCTTATTCACCTTTTATTCCTTTCTTGTCCTGTTCTTTTTCTAAACGGACCCTTTACCTTTTTCCCCCTTCTCGATAATAATTGCCTATTATTCTTATCCTAGCTCATATATTGGGAGCAACCTGTGGCTAGATTCAAGACGGCGATCTCGGTTCCCATTATTGCTCGCGTGAACCGTTGGCATAGTTTCCTTCAGGTTCCCCCTCAAGGCGATCGCGCTTTGACTGGGGCTTTTCTCTGATCTGGGAAGCGTTTCCCTACTACGTTGGCCGGTTCTTGACCCCGGTGTTCCTTTAAATCCCCTTGGACAAACACACTCTGGATACTCGCACCAATGGGCTTGAAGCAACGGATTTCGAAATGGCTGCCCTCCTCGCCGAGTCTACCGTTGGACGACTCGTCGCGCGAAAAGGGTCGCAACGTTTCTAGATTCGCCTTTTTCAAGCGGAGGATACGGCTGAAGGGCAACTCGTCGATTTCGATACCCCTGGGATTCGTACTCCTATTCCCGTGTATCGTCATCGTCCTTGTCCTGCTTCTCTTCGTCCGGCATCCCGCCTCCCCCGGTGGCATCCTCATTCCTGCAGGCACGCCCCCGTCTATAAGGTTGGTTTGGCCCCTGGATCTCAGTTGGAGGAAGCGCCGTCGGCTAACTTAACCGCCTCGTTACCACAGAAAAATTAGCGAAAAGTACGATAGGGTCTTTGCGACGGGATGTCTCCCGGTCGAAAAGGAGGTGGAAGGCAAGCGAGCCAACGCCGCATTCGTCGTTCTTGCCAGGAATAAGGAGCTCGACGGCGTGATAGAATCGCTCAAATCCATTGAGAGACATTTCAACCGATGGTTTCACTACCCTTATGTGTTCTTGAACGACGGTGATTTCGACGATACGTTTATGCAGGGTGTGAAGAACTATACCAGTGCTCCCGTTGAATTTGGAAAGATCGATGACAGCATGTGGGGTTATCCCAAGTGGGCCAACGAAGAGGTGGCCAAGGAAGGCATCAGAAAACAGGGTGATGCTGCTATCATGTACGGAGGAATGGAGAGCTACCATCACATGTGCCGATTCTATTCTGGGTGAGTGCCACCGATCCACCATGCACACCTGCGGCCGCTAACATCCCCAACAGACATTTCTACAAGCACCCTCTCCTGATGAAGTACGAGTGGTACTGGCGTCTGGAGCCCGAGATCAAGTATTTCTGTGACATTACTTAGTAAGAACCAACGCCCTGCTCGACCCTCTTCCATACTGCAGACGGCGCTTTGCTAACACGCGTTCCAGTGACCCTTTTGTCAAAATGGCCGAGGCCAATAAAACCTACGGATTCACCATTGCCGTCAAGGAACTGCGCGAGACCGTCCCCAACATCTTCCGTTATGCGTCAGCCTACAAGCGAAAGAACAATTTGCCATCCAAGGGCCTGTGGGAGATGTTCCTGGAGAGAGACCCCGAGGAAGAACCCAAGCTCGAAGAGGAAAAGCAAGAGAAGCTTCCCGAGGAAATCTTGCAGAACGAACCCGGCGAGAACACCGTTCCTGACGTCGACCCGGAAGCCATGGAGGGCGAGAAATATAACATGTGCCATTTCTGGAGTAACTTTGAGATTGCGCGATTGGATTGGTTCCGCAGCAAAGAGTATGAGGAGTTCTTCGAGATGATGGACCGCAGTGGAGGGTTCTGGACCGAACGAGTACATGCCCATCACTCTACATCTCCCCGTCGATTCAAGTTTGCTAACAATTTCGCAGTGGGGTGATGCGCCGATTCATTCACTTGCCGCCGGTGCCCTCCTGTCCCCCGCCGATATCCACTATTTCCGTGACTTTGGTTACCGACACACTACCATTCAGCACTGTCCCGCCAACGCTCCTGCCCGCCAATTGCCTCGGATCCCTTGGCTTGAAATGACCACGCAAGACGAGAAGGAGCGCTTCGAAGAGGATGAATATTGGGCCAACTCTGACCCAGTGAAGGAGAATGGTGTCGGCTGCAGATGTAGATGCGATACGGATATTGTGGATGTCGAGGGCAAGCAAGGCAGCTGTCTCGCCGAGTGGGTGGAAGTTGCGGGAGGCTGGGCATCGCCCTAGACCGGGGGCAACCTTTCTTGATTCTTCGCTGTATAACTTTTGCCTCCTCGTTTACGTACCTATCTGTTCGACTATGAGCATTACCCGGGTCGCCCTTGGAGTTATTTGCTTGAGCCTGCATATTATGTTGGGCCGTGGGGTTCTGGACGGCGTTTTTCGGATCTGACGGCTTATATCGAAGACGGTGTGACCATTCTCATAAATATTGACAAATTCATCTAGCGTGCTTTGTGTTTCAATTTGGATTGCCGCGTTTCTCTCCAGAACAATATCCATTATCCGGAGGGAGGGGGACAGTGGGAAAGAAACCGATGTTCGGCCACGAGGCGATTGCGAAGGAGTGCCAACGAAGTCTCTGCCCGCCATCCGGTCTTTACATACCCAGGAATGGGACCGTTCGCTCTCCACAGAGGACCTTCCAACCCTGCCGAATGAATCGTTTCTGCCGTCAATTGCCAGGGATGAGTGCTTCCAGCTCACTGTGCCTCCCGACACTTCCTCCGGACCCCCGTCCTTGGTCTCTGCCCCTTTGATTTTCAGAACATAGTCTGGTGATGATTTACGGTTTTTGTGGTTGATTCAAGGGTCATAATTTGGATCGAGGCGGATGGATTTCCGAGCAGGATACACGACCGTGGCTCGCCTGACCCTACGACAATTGTTATAATTCCTTCCGCCTCTGTTTTCTCTTCTTTTTGATACTGCATTTCCATCCCAAACTCGATTTTGCGCGAAATGTTTCCCCTCACAACTGTCTCTTACTCTATTCTAACCCCCCTTTATTTCCCTCTATTATCCATTGAATCATCATGTCATGAAATGTACATATCTTTTCTCCCTTTCGAAGTTCTCCTGTATCCGGGCTCTTTGCTTTTCCCCAGACCTTTTCTTTTTACACATAACCCTATCAAGTTCAAACCACCGGCCCAGGAATGGTTGTGTATAGAGGATGAAATAATTTGACTTGTGAAGATTTGTACGATGATGCCAACCCCAGATCTCTAGCGCTGTAGAATCATACTATGGATGCCATTCGCACCAAATGTGTAGGTGCTTCAAATGCTTGGGTTTGCAAATGTCGATCATTCACCGTTTGCCTACCCTGCGCAGACCTAGAGGACCTCTTCTTCCACATCAACCATCTCTCGACCATCTGATCTAGTTGAAATAGTTAGATTCTTTCATTTTTGATCACCCTCGACAGTCCCCTACCTCGCAGAAGGCTTACAAGGAGTGGGCTCTGCGAGAGACTATGTATGCATGCGATCGAGAATCTCTCCGCACCTTTGTCAAACGAACCAGGATTTTGCTAGCGCAAGGAGGCCTGCAGATTACTTGTGCAGGTGCGCGGTATGCACGTGTACACGGACTACATATTCCTTTCGCTTTTGAGGAATGCAGAGTGAGGGGAAGAGGTTGGTGATGAGGATATGTGTAGGTGGAATAGTTAGTGGACGGGTAGATGGTGCAGATAATATATGTCATTATCGGGTTTCCTTTTCGCGTTGTACTTGCTAGTTGATTGAATTTACGTTTGAGAATGAAAGTCGAGGGTTATAAAAGGCTCGATATTGGTAGCAGTAACAAGACGTTGCATTTGAAAAAGCCATTCCATGAAGTTGGTTGAGGTAGTATATATAAATAGGGTCTTCTTCTCCTTGGTGAGATCTTTAAACCATCAAATTGATTGAATATATTGATTGCCAAACCTCTGAATACAATATTCCTACAGAAAATTTATAAGTCTCCGAGAGAGGCTCTACGTCAGACTTGACCCCTCATGGGGAGGTCGATAAGATCACGAAGGGCCGGGGGTGAAGTATAGAAAGACCCACCTCCAAGGATCTACGGGGTCGGTCCCACTTGCGGTCTCTCTCCACGGAGTAAGTAGTTAAGAGCATTGGATATTCGACTCAGTGTCGAATATAGTTACCTGCGAGAGACGAGAAAGTATCTCACGGCGTGATTTCCATGCGCCGGTACCTACGTACCGTACCGCCTGACCCCTTCAGCTCGCGTCATGTGCCCCGCGTTTTGCCAGGGAGCTTCTCGGCCTGCTCTCTTCTTATCTGCCATCCTTCCTCTCTCTGCCCCTCGTCTGCCTATCGACGACATCTCCCATCTCCTCCATTGTATCGCTTCACTTCTCCCCCCCATCAACTCGACACCTCTATCTTTCCTACATCCTTTGGCCCGAGTCTCGACATTCACCTCACTACCCAACGCCGGCGGCCACCTCCATGGGAGCCCGAGGACTATCCCATAGGTCTATTCAGTGATCCCCGATCCACCTGCACCTGACTTTTTTACATTATTCCGCCCGGGTCCGGCGCCGTCCTTCTCTCCACACGCCGTCCGCCTCGTCATCGGGCACCCGCCTATTAGCCTGAGCTATCTACACCGGTGCTGTACCGTCGAAAAGTATCCTCCCGCTCATATTCACTCCATTTTAACTAGTTTATTCTTTCTCTCGCTCCCGTTCTCGCCCGTTGCTGTTTCCCGATCTCGGGCTGGATCTACCTTACTTTCCCCTCATTTTCCGCTCCTATGACACCTACACTCCGTCAATCAACATGGCTGACTTTCAGGAACCTTCTCCATCCAGGCGCCCAGCTACGGTTTCTAACGCTTCATACCTACGATATCCTACTCTGCCGCCGTTGAGCGGATCGGTTGAAGAGTGGTTATCTCGCTCGCGGCCTACCACTATCAGCATGACGTCAACCCCTCTGTCAGAGCAGCCTTCCACCAAATCGTTGAGCGAAAGCTGGGCCACTTTGAGTGCATCTGATATCCAGTCCGAGGATGGAGGTCGATCTGAACCCACTGATGCTGGCTCTTTAATCGACCAAGCCGGACCCGATGATGTTGCCAGCCTAGATGATGATCAGTACAGCTGCAGCGAAACCGGAAATGATGAAAAATGCTTCGAAGACGAAGACGACGGCTACGACTCCAAGAGCAATATCTCCGATTCGCAGGAACTACCCGCCCTTTTCCCGCAGATTGGGGGTTCTATCGATGACAGCAATCTCACAGCACAAACCGCATTTCGTCCACCAGCCGAATCTATTGAGTTCGCTGAGCCTGAAGAATGGCCCGCAGTTGAACGGGTGGAACTGAAACACACAATCCGCGTCTTTGGGCGTATGGAAGCTGCGGAGCTGCAGCGACAGCTGCCGTTCAATCTTGATGACTGCATCCTTACGGCTACCGTCCAGCAGACGATGACCAAGAGAAGCCTCGATACTGATAAGCCCTTCCGTGTTCTGTATGTTGGCAGTCCCGAGTTTCGAAACATCATCCTCGACAAAATCGGTGACGTCCTCGTATCAAACATCTGTAGCGGCTTCGAAAGCAGCTCCACGGAATCTTCTCGGTACCATGTGGTCCCTACGTCATATGGCGTGGGTGCCGTCCCTAATTTTGCGGAGCTCCTTCCGATTCACGTTCAGCTCATCGTCGATGAATGTCTTGAAGCTTCCTCAGACACTCACAGTGATGGTCCTAGTACAATCGTCTTGAACTTGAAGAATAGGCCCCCCAGCACATCATCGTGGACGGGGAGGGGATATTCCATCTCGTCCCCTTCCGAATGGACACTACCGGATGTTGCTATTATTTTCGTGTCCAACTCTGACACGCCTGTGACCAGGGAGGCACAGAGACTGGCTCGTATCGCCATGGAGAGACACGACACCCCGACTATGGTCATTTCCGAGCAGCCACTTTGGAAAATGACTCAAGAGCCAATCCCGCTTAACCATAACAGTCTTCACATGTGCCTGGAATCCCGTCATCAACTGACTGGGAAGATGACGGTGGTGCGACGGTACCCGATTGATCTGAAGACTTTTGAAAGCATTACTCCCGGCCAGCTGAATCGAAACCTGGCCTCGTTGGCAAGCAGCTACCCCAAGCAATCCTGCAAAAACATCGCCGGAGACCCTCAACCTGCCCAGAGCAAGCTATTCCTTGAGACAAAGAAGTACGCAATGCGATTTTCTCCTCTTGCATACTTGGGTAACAAGTATGGCTCGGTGCTGCCATTGTGCCTTATGGCTTTGACTCTCCTGTCTGCCATCATCACCGGTCTTTCCCCCTCCTATATATTCAACAACCAGGAAAGCACTGGGTTAAGTGTAGTTCCCAACACTAGTAACCCTCCAGTTGACGATCTGCGCCAAACCTCCCTCTCGATCATGTCCTTGACCTCCGCAGAGACCCAATTTTCAAGGCCACAATCTCAGGAACAAGGTAGACTAGATGACCTGATTGAAGAGGTGGGGCTCTCTCCGAGGCAACTGGAAAGCTCAGATGGATTTGAGATTCAGGTAGTTGGAGACTGCCACTTGGTTATCAAGCCCCCGCAGAAGACGCCCTCCAGCAAAAAGCAGCCTAAATTTAGCGTGCAAGTCTTCCGGCGTGAAAAGACCTTGACTTACGAGCTTTCGAAGTTATTTGACGGCGTTTACACCCTCAAGTTGGATCGAGGTGATGCATACGGGATAGTGGATGTCACGATAACCACGCATTCGAAGTCTCCCGTCAATGAGACGATATCGGTAGATCTGGGGACACCCTGGCTGAAGATTGCAAACTGGAAACGAGCAGCTCAGGTCATCACCTCCCAGCTAATGAGGGACTTTAACACCGCGCATACCGGATTTTCCGAGGCTTATGGCCGGCTCTTCACTGATCTGCAGGTGTTGATGGGTGACGTGGTGAAAAGAGCACATGTCTTGCGTCGAGAAGCTGATGAGCTCCGGCGTGATTCATTCGGGGTGTCTTTTGAAACTCGCGACGTGGTTCTCTCCCGGTCAAAGCAGTTGTCGGAAGTCATCAAACGCAATGCTGTTCAGCCGTTCTTAGCAGCCTCATCGGTATTGCAAGATCATACCGTTAAAGTAAACCGAGAAGCAAAAGAGATGATGAGCGACACGTGGAAGAAGCTCAGTACTCATGCTCATGCTCATGGTCTTGACATTTTGGCATGGAAGGATCATGTGCGAAATGCGAGGAAGTGCAAGGCTTTGGACAAGGCGCAGAAGAAAGCAAAGGGCTTGATGCAGCGAAAGAGATTGCCCTCCCGCTGAATCACAACCATTCTTCTCTTCGACCTTTAACTATTTACGACTGACACGCTGTTCTCCCATGTCCTTATTTTTGATGCCCCTTGCTTTAAGTATCTTTTTATTTTATTTTTCTTTACTCTCTTTCTCTCTTTTGGGATGGGATGAGTGTTACTCAGGCGAACTGGTCAGATAATCTTATACAAAGAAAGAACAGAACGAAAAAAAAAGCCGTCACGAGGACTCCAATTGAAGGGATTCCTGGGAGACATTGCTGGTTTGATGTAAGAAACAGAAATCTGGGCAATTGTTACTCGTGTCATCAAGAACATTTTCTTTCTTCTTTTGATCTCCAGTTCTTTATAGTGCCACTATATGATGGAAATAAACTCTATGTACGGCCGGCCTAGCGCCCCGCAGCCTACCAACTAAAGTAGCGATTCCTCTTAATTGTCGCGATAATATCGCGGCTAGGGGGAGACATACGATACATATCTGATTGACCCGCCCAGAGAAGGGAAAAACCTTACTATACCATCCGGTTCTACTCCGTACACTGCCGCCCAGCCGTATTTGAGAGATAAGTGCAGATACCAGCTCTCACACTACTGTACTACAAGTGTAAGAAATACTCTCTAGGAGCCTGTCTAGGAGTACGTGGGGTAAACCCCTACGCGGAGCAAATGCAATAGTGGACGATGCTAATCTGCAGACTTTGGGTGGCACTAGGCATAGGTTAGTGGCCTAAGGCAAGGAACCTCCCCCCCCACCTTCGTAGAACAAAAACAACCGCTCATATTTTCCCACTTCTCTTTCTAGACTCATCTTTCTTCCCCCATCAAACATCTTCCTTCCTCTCTTCCTCTAAAGGTACGCCCCTTCAAATACCCCTGTGATCTACATCTGAGACTTATCTAAATTTTTCTCTCTCTTCCAGATCTCCATCGCATCCTTCACCATGTCCGACGCTGCTGAGACCAAGCCTAACCCCGCCACCGGCGCTCCTGAGGAGAAGCCCCAGGAGACCACCCCCGCCGCCGAGAAGCCCACCGAGGAGAAGTCTGCCACTGAATCCGCTGTCGACGCGGCTAAGGAGGCCACCAGCAAGACCACCGACAGCGTTTTCTCGATGTTCGGCGGCGGCCCCAAGAAGGAGAAGAAGGAGGAGCCCGAGGATGCTAAGGATGAGCCCTCCGGCTCTTCCAAGGCGCAGAAGGGTGAAGATGAGGTGCGTCTTTGATATATTCCTTTCTTGTCTTTCTTATATCTGCTTGGTTTGCGTCCGCTACCCCTCCTGAGGAGCGGGGTATCTGATGATTTCTCGTTCTTTTTGTTCTTACTGTATCCTTTTCTTTTCTTTGTTTTATGCCTACAGAAAGCTTTGGAGGGGATACTCAAGGCGCACAAATACGTTTCGTCTACGTTTGTTAGTTCCTCACTAACGTGACATCTACTATTAGGATGAGGCCCCCGAATCCCCTGAAGTTCACTTCGAGCCCGTCATCCGCCTGACTGAGAAGGTGGAAACCAAGACCAACGAGGAACTCGAGGAGCAGATGTTCAAGATGCGTGCTAAGCTCTTCCGATTCGACCGTGAAAGCAAGGAGTGGAAGGAGCGTGGTACCGGAGACGTTAGACTGCTTAAGCACAAGGAGAACCAGAAGACCCGCCTGGTCATGCGCCGAGACAAGACCCTCAAGGTCTGCGCCAACCACTACAGTATGTCCTGTCCTTTCAAACTTGTTTCCATAATATTGTGGATGCTAACAACAAATTACAGTCGTTCCCGACATGGAGCTCAAGCCCAACGTTGGCAGCGACCGCAGCTGGGTTTGGAATGCCACTGCCGATGTCAGCGAGGGTGAGACGGAACCCCAGACCTTTGCCATCCGTTTCGCCAACAGCGACAGTAAGTTATCCTGGATTAGAGTGATGATTGTATGGCTAGCTAACCCGCTCCCAGACGCCAACCTGTTCAAGGAATCTTTCGAGAAGGCCCAGCAGGAGAACGAGAAGATCCTCAAGCAGGAGTAAATCCGCGTGGTTCCGAAATAATGAGGATTATGCTCCGTTGGAGATCTTCTTGTCATCTTTCTGAATACCTTGCGCTTCATCGGTCTGTCTCATGACCGTTCACGAATACATTATCATCATCCTTTTTCACCATACCACTCCCCTTCTCTCGATGCACATTCCCCCATATATTCCTCCCTTCTGCTTAAACCCCCTTACCCCCTGTTTAATGAGACCGGCATGACCCGGATGAGAGCCATTCTGCGATGCTGGATCGACATCGATTTTCTCTTTTTTTATCGATTGTCGTTCTAGACGCACCTGGCCGTAGATAGATGTCCCTACCCCCGAATATACGTCTTGAAATGCCCTTTTACTGCCCTGATCTGATGTATTGAGAGTTTTAAACCAATTAAAAATGATAGACCTGCTCTGAGTGTAATTCTCTGCTGGCCGATGAACAAGAGTGAGGAGCGATCGCAAAATCCCATGAAAAGGGGACAGAAGTTGTGAAAGCAAAGCAAAAACCCGGTGCTTCGTAAGAGTGGCGGACGAGCAGCTGGCAGTGCGTGAAGTCGGATCGCTTCATCTGCCGCGTAGAATCCCATCTCTCTCTTCTCCCCCACTCCAGCTTCGATCTCTCCGCCTCCCCGTCACTTCTGCCTCTTTCACCCACCAACTTGCGCTCCCCCATCTAGCTTGCCTTTATCTCCTGTGCTTTGCCTTTTTTTGCTATTTTTTCAAGCTTATAACCCTTCAAGGTAGTTCCCCCACCCAAGCTATTCTAGAAGATCGACGCACCAGCGGGTTCCGCCGACTAACGTCCCATCCTGCCTTACCAAGCAGTCGCGTTTCCTGGAGCTGCCTGGTTCCGACTGCGTCAATTCCCTTGATCAATTCACCTATTTGCCAGTGACCGGGGCTACAGTCTACAATCAAGATGCCTGATGTAAGTTTTGTTCGCCTGCCATCGTCTATTGAGCTTTGAGCGCTGTCGCTCGCTCTACCGCGTGACGCACGTCTCTGATTCATGATTTCCTTGCTTTCGCATGTCGCTAACGCGATTTCTCTCTCCTCTGCATCCAGGTCAAAAGAAATGTCAGACTGGTCACGGAACAGCATGTTGTGTATGTCTTGAAAAGAGCTGCCCCTGCAACACCTCCACGCGCCTTTTGTCGACGGTCACCCACCTGCCATTTCTCCCTTCCCTTCGCGACACGCCCTGATTTCCTCAACACGAGGTCGCATGGCTTCCTATATGCCGCGCTATTATAACAATCCTCGTTCTTCTTTTATATATGATGGTTGGGCGTGGGGGTAGATTTTACAAATGCTGATGGTTCGCGCCCACAGGAACAAGGACTCTGGCGTCGAAGGCTTCCCTCTCCGAGCGTGGTCGATTGAGATCTACCTGCTCAATGAGCACGGTGAGCAGGTGCCTGCCAACGTCTTCGATAAGGTCGTGTACTCGTTGCATCCCAGTTTCGGTGATAGATATAAGCAGAGTTCGTCTCTCCTTTCCTTCCGTCTTCTTGCTTTTCCTCTCCTTTTTCAGTCGCTTTTTCACCCCGTCGCCTCGACTGCGCTTATATCCTGGTCTTGAATTCTTTGCGTGTGTTCTTCCGTCGGGCAGATCTTGCTTGGATTGAGCGTGGGGCAGACGACTATTTACTATAAGGATATCAAGTACTCATGCGCTGACGTGTAATCTACAACAGCCTTCAAGAACCCTCCCTTCAGGATTGCGGAGGAAGGATGGGGTGAATTCGATATGCAGATCAGCATGTTTGCAGACAAGGAACATGCTGTGACACACGATCTGAACTTTGCCCAATCGCGCTACGAGTCGAAGCATCTTATTGTGAGTCACCGCCTTCGCCCATTTACCTTTGCTTGGATGTACTCATCCGTGTATTCATTTAATTTAGACGTTCAAAAACCCCAAGCCTGCCTTATTGGCTCTTCTCCGTGAATCGGGGCCTGTCCCTGGAGATGAGAATGGAGTGAAGACGAAGCGCTCGGCCGGAGCTGATGAAGGGTCCAAGAAGAAGAAGCGAACGGAGAAGAACGTAAGATACTCTAGATTCGAAGAGTCGCCGGGAATTTCCCTCTAATGGTTTCTTTTTGCAGGTCGACATGGATAAACTGGCCGACGGCCTCCAGAGACTCGGCGAAGATGACCTTCTCCAGGTGGTGCAGATGGTACACGACAACAAAGCACCAGACTCATATACCAAGAATGACGTTGAGCGTAAGTCTGAATCTATTCCCTTATTCTGTTCTTCCACAGCCTAACCCATCTCTCACAGAGGGAGAATTCCACGTCGACCTCTACACCCTACCAGACGCCCTAATCAAAATGCTGTGGGAATTCACGCAAGAAAAGGGAGCTCTGTAAGCGATGGGGAAACCAAAGGAAGGGCAATAAAGCTTGGATATATTCTTGCATCGAAACTCGAAACTCCTCTATCTATCTATGTTCTTATGTTCACGCCTTTTTTTCTTCTCTCTATGAAAACGTCGCTCTCCATAATACCTCCGTTTCTCTGTCTATCTCTCTCTTTTCACTGTTCCGGTTATTTCGACCTCTGTCTTCAATATCATTTCTGTTTCCTTTCCCCCCTCTCCGTTAATGTTTTCTCTCTCTTGCTCTCTGTGACTCTGTGTATCTTGATTTTCAATTTCGTTATTTCTGTTCCTGTGCATTTTCCTTCTCTATTTTTTTTAGGTCTATTCACCCGTATCCCATACCTCTAGTCTCTAGGTAATCTCCTACTTCCTTCCGGTTATTGATTGATTGTTCCAGTTCCAGCCCCTCGACTCGACTCGACTCGATTCGTACAACTTCACTTTCACTGACTTCCGTCTGAGTGGACATGCATATATGCACATGCACATGCACAACATGTCCCTTCCAGAAAAACTAGAAAAGAACTTCTTTCTACTTTATCTAATCTAAACCAATCTTTAATATTGATAGTTAGGCCAAGTCAAGCCAAGTCATGTCAAGTCATGTCAAGTCATGTATTTGAGTCTTGCGGGTTCTTAGGATGGAAAATCAACACGGAAGGAAGGCAGGAACCAGGCAGGAAGGCAGGAAGGAAGGAATGAAAGACCCAGCCAAGACCTGTTTTTCTCCATTCTTCCTGCCTTCCTGCCTGGCTCTTTCCTTCTCTCCTTTTTGTGTTTTGTGTTTTGCTCCCCGCCCGGGATGGATAGGGTATGACCGCGTAGGAATAGAAATCGAAATCGGAATCGGAATAGGGTTAGGATCAGATCGGCGATGATCGATCGATTCGCTGAAGTTATGGGGTTTGAAGGGGGCGGAATGATTGATTGATTAAGTGATTAATTGATTGAATGATGAGAGATAGAGGATAATGAACTGATTGGCTATGCGAGAGAGACGCAGGCAGACACAGAAAAGGGGTATAAACTACTTCGTACAGTCGGAACCTGCAATTCAAAGAGTGTAGATCCTGTCACTTAGTTAATCATAAGTCTGAATTTTGGGAGATGAGAAGGAATGTAGTTTGGAAAATATTGTATCAATAGATAAGTTAAGCAGTACATCAATGAACGAGTTGGATATCTCAAGTTCAAGCATCAAACAGATTATAGACATAAAATCCCGATCAGTCAGGGAGACGTTAATCAAAAGCCAAAAAACAAGATCAAAAGAAAGACTGGTTGCCAAACCCCAACACCTGTATATCCATTCATATGCACCCCATGAAGCAGCCAAAGAGAGACAGATAAGAAATGAGAAAACCCTGACACAAATGAAAGATTGGGACGTTAAAAGTAGGAAGATAAGACAGACTTCTAGCAATCAATGCTAGATAGGAAACGAAGAGCCGAGCGCCCGCTGTGCTTCAATCTATGAAACATCCTGTTCCGGTGGAAGGAGAGGCGTCGAATAGTTTGGTAGAGACTAGTGGATGGTGAGGAAAAGATGGTTCACAGAACTCGATTCCTGTGGTTGGTTCCATGGTAAGCATGTGAAACATCAAACAATAGTCAAAAGCTTATGGGCCCACAGATGACGGAAAAGGGGCTGGAAGGGAAGCATTCACACATACATTTTCAGAAGATCTTCCAGAGTGTCCGGAGTGCAGCTCTTTCCTCGGGGGATCTGATGAGGGATCTCCACAATAGTAGCGAAAACATCTCCGCCTTTGTATGCCAGTAGGGCGGGTGCGCGGATGTGGTCCATCTCGGCGATCTCGTAGTGCAACTTGATGAAGTGGACAGAGGGCTGGCGACGAGCAATCGTTTCTAGGCAGTCTTCGACTTTGAAGCTGGTTTTGGACTTGAGAAGACAGTGTTAGTAAAATTGAAGACCCCTTTTTACACCGACACTATCTTGGATCTTCAAGACACCGGGAAATGATGTCACGTACCTCGGGATCATAAATACACACGACCACTATCGTCTCCGACTGGACTTTCTCAATGGCATCAAGGTATCCAACCGCATCAACCGTGTCCACCGATCCGTAGAACTTCCGGCGAGGACTCGGCCGTCGATGAGGGATCTGTCGCAATTCCGCCATGCGTGATTCGCGCCACCTGCGGAGGAACCGATCCTCATCTTCGCTACCAGAACCGTCCGGGGGCGTCGAGTTGTGCAGTAGGGTTGCGTCATCGGTCACGGACTTGGGGGGACGTGAGTCGCCGAACAGGGTGCGGCGGAAGGAGCCCTTGCGAGCGCGCTCAAAGGCCTGGGCATCGGCAATGACACCTTTCGGGCCGGTGTTGGCATCGTAGACCATGTTCGGGACATGGTAGGTACTTGTGCGAGACATGGTGGGATCGTGGTCTTCGGAGTCCGAGTACTGGGGTTGATCGTTGGCGTCGTCGTCCGACTCGGAATTGGAGTCGCGGTCAGAGTTGTCACGGTCTTCAGGATGAGTAGAGTATCGCTCCCGGCTGTTAAGGGCAAGGCGATTGAACTCGTCTTGTGCAGAGGACATGGTGAAAGAAAAAGAAACACGAGGGGAAGGCGCGCGGGGGATAGGACGAGCTTTTATAAAAGCCCAACGAAGACAGGTAATTGATTAGCTGGTATAATTAGAGTCGGGCTGATCTGCGTCAGGCAAAGAAAGGGTTGCCTTTTTTTTTTTTTTTTTTAGAATTATTATTTTTTCTTTTACGGTGTAAGTTGCCAGCGAAGGAAGAGAGAAGGCAGAGAGAACCAAAAAAGAAAAACCGGACTCGAATCAGAGATGACGACTCGCGGGGCCAAGCGGTTTCAGATGCTTTTTTAGTCTTCTCCTGAGAAGCGTCGATGGTGGACTCGGAGGCGAGGAACTAATCCAGAGACGGTGAGTGGTACGGAGGCGATCGACTTCTTCCGGGGCTGAAAGTGGCGGGAGGTGAAACAATCGACCCGGAGGGAGGAAAAGTTGAAGCGACAGCGTGGACGATCGTGGTGATGGGGTGGTGGGAAGGAAAAAAGCGTGGAAGATGGACGGGGAGACCGAGGGGAAGAGGAAGGACTATCATCCCTTCGTCGGATCCTTCTCAAAAAGCAAAACCCCGTCTCTCGCGCTCTTCGTCTTGCCCCCCCTTTTCGTCCTAAACGGAAGTTGTTTTAGAAAGTGGAGGCCGTCTCAGCCACGCCGAGTGGGGTGGAAGACACGAAGAATCTTCCATGGTCCTCCCTGGCAATTGGAGCCATCAGAAACTCGGCTGTTCATTATGATCCTCGACGGAGATGCAAGACCTTTTGAAACTGCAAAGATCCACGGTCAAGAGTCGGTGTGCAGTGGATTTCCTCGCTCCTACTCAGCCGGAAGATGCGGAAGGAAAAGAAGACGAGGAGGGAAAAAGCAACGATGTCAGGCAACCGAGAGCGGCAACCACGTGTTTTTTCTCGGCCCTTTCTTTCTTCTAGGCTCGACTCGATGCCGTACGGAGTACTTCGGCGTTTCTACTATCTGGCGTCTAACTACCCCCTACGCCCTAAGAAGAACGGGGTGATCTCATGACCTCATGCTTCAGTAGGGAGTAGACAGCCAGACCGATCGATCGATGTCGCTTGTCGAGTCTACTCTCACTCCCAGTCTCCTCACGACCACACTGGACTCGTTGGGCTGTTTCATCATCTCAATCTCATTTCCTCGCCAATGACATTGCCCCCTAGCTTGCCGATCTCGAGGGTCCAATACGAGGGAGTGAAGATGACAGGTTTACACCGAGTAGTGCAGAGGTGGAGATGCGAAATCCAACTCGTCCACCCCGTTAGAGTTTGGACAGTCCCATTCTCAATCCTTCACGGGACAACGAAGCAGAAAAAGCACAGGAAATGGTGGAGCAGGCTGTCAAGGTCGGCGCATTTGATCCACCCGAATGGACAGCAGAAGGATGCATCGATTACTGGGGCTGATCCTCCTAGTCTGGCGGTCTATAAATAATCTTCGATTCATTGGGTTGCCAGACCGAAAAGGAAACCCCATTGGTATTCCCTGATCGCTCTCACTCGATATCTCCTCAAACTTAAGAGAACGGGTCTTGCTCTCGCCCGCATTTTAAGGCCAACTGCCGCGGCATGTAACGGTTCGCCCATGGGGCCGTGTCATATCTCTGACATCCAGGAATGCCTGGTCATGGGAGTGACTACTTCCCCGGTCGTTTCACCTATTTCTCACCTAGTCGGGCAGATGTCATCTACCGAGAAGAGGGGGTTCTGGACTACTTCAAGCTAATTTCAGTCAAAGGATCCTTCGTGAAAGACTAATAATGGCACATATATCACTTTCAAAAGACAAGTTGGTTGATTAGTTGGGAAAGAAAAAGAAATCACAAATCGTCATGGCCTATCCGGAAACGTTCCCTCCCTTCCCATCGGCAGAAAAGACAAGAGGCAACAAAAAAAGAAACACTTGGAAATCAATGCATCAAAAAAGTGGCTCTCAAAAACAGGAATCAAATGATGATAATAGAAAAAGTGATGGTAAAAAGAGAATGAGAAAAGAAGAAAGAAAATAAAACGCTCCAATTCTTGGAGATGGGGGGAAATAAAATAAGAATAGAGAAGAGAAGAATTGACATGAAGGTAAAGGGGGAAGATGAGAAGAATAAGGAAGGTAACAAAGGAAAAGAAAGGAAAATGTATCTTGAGGCTCACAAGGGTGGAGCGTGAGATGCATCCAAATGACCACCCTGACTTCCATGGCTGGTGCTCAACACTGCACCCATAACTACCTTGTCGCAGACCACCACGCTCAGTCATCGAAGATTGTCGCTGCCTTGTCGTCTTGATCGCTGGATCCTTCTTTTGGGTTTTCTTTTTTCTTTTTCTTTTCGGTAAACATCCAGACTCTGCACGTCCACTCGGGGTTGTGCCGGAGTCTGTCACAAGTGCCAATCACCCTGACTTCAGCTCCTGATTCATGATTCGGTTTCGAATGACTTCGCCTGCGTTTCCGAGATAGTACATATTATGGAAGATAAGGCGACCAACTGCTCCTCGGTAAATAAGATTATCGTACAATGGTGGACATTCGACATATTGGTGTAAGAAAATAGAAGGAAACTCTCGATGAGGACATCGCAAAGGACAGGGACAGGGTATCTTTGCTTTTTTTTTTTTTTTTTTTTTTTTTTCGGATTTTTCGGGTTTTTACCAGGCCCAGACCTTGAGCTGTATTGCGGATTATAAATTAGTGGACCGCCTTGAATTGTTAGACAGGGGTCGGTTAGAAAACTCACCAGAGAATCCCAAGATCCAGTGCACAGACTGATGCCATCATTGCTGACACCCAGGCAGCTAACACGATTCTCGTGACCACTGAGGGCACCGACCTTGTCACCCCGGAGAACGTCCCACACCTTGCACTCGAAGTCATCGTAACCCGCGAAGAGCAATCTTCCGGAGACCGAGAAGGCAACAGACGTGATACCACACATTATTTGTTCGTTCTAAAAAAAGAGAAAGAAAAGCACCGTCAGTTTCTGCTTCCCAGTACACACAAATGCTCGTTAGCTTACCTGGTAGATGTTAAGCTCGCGGTCGGCGCGAATGTCGAATAGACGGCAAGAGGTGTCGTCGGAACCCGTGCCAAAAGCGTTGCCGTCGGGGAAAAACTGAATAGCGTTGATGTCTGATTCGTGGCCGGCGAAAGTCTGAACGGCCTTTCCGGTACGGATATCCCACAGTTTAGCGAACGCGTCGCAAGCGCCGGAGACGAAGATGTTCTGGTTGGTCGGGTTGATGCTGATGGACATGACGTCGCCCAGGTGGTCCGCGAATTCAGTTACTTTCGAGCCCGATTCGATATCCCACAGCATACAGGTCATATCTCCCGACGAGGTGATGATGCGACGATCGTTGATAAAGCGACAGCAAGACAGGTAGCCCGAGTGGCCGGAAAGTTCGCGCGCGACGCGGGTAGGGCCTTCGTTGGCGGAGACGTTGTAAATCGAACAGATGTTATCCAAACCACCGCAAGCGACGAAGTTCCCGCTGGGAGAGTAAGCACAGGTCATGACCCACGACGACCGTAGCGGGATGGCATGGATTTTGTTGGTGGTGTAGGCATCCCAGATGATGAGCTTTCCGTCCTGCGAGGCAGAAACCAGGTGACGACGGTCGGTTGCCCAGTGCATAGCGTAGATCTTGGCCAGGTGGCCCTTGAGCGTGCGTCGGGGCTTCATTGCGATTCGAGGCAGAGTGTCCGTTTGGCTCTGCGCGACCTGACGAACTGTTGTTGGACGGGAGTTAGCAAATGCACTCGGGCCAATGGGACGATCCGCGAGGACGCATTCGATGCCGTGTACAGGCTCCGAAGAGCCCCACGAAATAAAACGGGGGTTGCATACGGGTGGTGTCGGCCAATTCATCCTTTCTGCGCTTGATCTTGTCCTTCAGACCTTCAGCTTCGCGCCTGGCCGCGGTAATCTTGGCCTGCATCTGCTCGCCGCTCATATCGGCTGCCATCTTGACGAGTCGAGCCCCTGGAAGATGATTGTTGAAGAATTAAGAGAATACGGACGGGGGTCCGTATGAGAGGGAGGAGGGGGGAGGGAGAGAAAGAGAGAAAGGAAGGAGGTTGGGAAGAAAGTCGAGCCGGCGTCGTAATTATCCAGGGGACGAGGAAGACCGGGAGAGGAGGGGAGGAGTGGGCGCGGGAAGGAGGGCGGTGGGTGAGAACAGCAAGGAAAGGGAAAGGAAGAAAAGGAAGAGGACGGGAGAAGGAGAGAGGGTGAGAAGGAGAGGGAGAGAGAAGGAGAGAGGAACGAGGAGGGGGGTCGATTGGGTGTGGAGCGAGCACGGCGGAAGCGACCGAGCGAGAGAGAAGAAAGTTTTGACTTTGAGCCGGGGCAATCAATGGTGGTTCGGGCGTTTAAGCAGAGCTGGGACTGAGAGGGAAGAAGCAGAAGAAACACCGGCAAGGCAGAGAGAGCAAGAGAAGCAGAGCAGAGCACAGCACAGGACCAGACAAAGCAGGGGCGGATTGGAGTGGTGCTGCTGCAGAGAAGAGGAGAAGAGAAGCAGGAAAGACCGGAAGGAACGAGAAAGGGGCAGCTTCACCCGGAAAAAGATTAGGAGCCCCAAAAAACCAATCTATTTCGCATCAAAGGACAGAGATTTTGCTGCTGACAACAATGACACTTACGGACTTGGTTTTCCCTCTTCTTATTTTTTAACCCTCTTTTTTTCGTCCGTCTTTTGTTAATTTTCCATCCGGACGGACTATTTGCATTGATTTATTGTTGTTATTATGATTTTTAATAATTATTCTTGACCATCTCCTACTCCGTACCTAACTTACCTCCTCCTACCTTACTAGCTAAGGTAGGCACTCCGGACCTGTTCCCGGCGAGTTACCCAGCACACTGATTACTCGCCGTCAGATCAGGCGTTCTACAGTCAACAGGGAACGAACGGAGGGGAGATGAGTGATCATCATCCGTCAACACCGTCCGAAGGGTAAATGGCAAATGCAGACAATATTCACGGTCAATTGCA